ATCTCCCTGAAAGGAGTAAACAAGGTTTGAGGCTACATGCAGCCACCATGCAGCTTTGGATAGAATCACCTCGAATGTCCAATTTCAAAGTTTTCAATGTTGATATCTGTCTTGTCTTTTCCTTTTCCTTTTCCTTTTCCTTTTTTTTCTTTTTTCTATTGTGTACCTGCAGTGTTATTACAGCCAACGGCGATCAAGTCTTGTGGGCTGGACTACCGTTCCTCCCGGACCTAACTCACTCAACTTCAACAAGATCATTGTTGGCCTGGGCACTATATCTCCTGGGCTCTGTAGCTTATGGTTTATGTTTTTTATTTGACGTTTCTTCTACAATTTCTGTTTTTTCCCCTTGTTCTTTTGCTCAGTAGAGCAACTCGCTTCTAGCATAGACAAGACATGGATATATTTTCCCTGACCATTGGTCCGCACCGTAGGAGCCACTGTTGGTTCATCGCTTCGTGTTTTTCCCTCCAGAAGGCTCATCCAGTACTCATTGGACTTCATGACATTAAACTTTCGGTACTACATGAAGACAGACTGTGTCGTCCTTGGTCACCGGATGTCTGTCGAGTCACTGATGACGTTCCTGGTTCCATGGCTGGATTCTCCACAGTGGATAGTGGGGCCGGAAGAAATGAGTTGGTTCATTGATGCATGTCTTGAGCGGAAGGCATCGGTCCCAACCGAGGTGATTATGGGCTCGGACGTTAGCCTTCGCTAATCCCTCGAGCAGCAGTCCTTCCCGTCCGCCACGGGCCATTCCACGGAAGAAGCGGTGAATCACATTTGATCTGGTTGGATATCCTGGGAGTCGGGTCCACAGAGCCATGTAAATCCCGTGGGTTGCGCCGCGCCAGTTTGAAGGGATGTTCGTTAAGGTTCGGGTACCCTATCTACCTCCGTAGGCTTGGAGTTTGAACTGCCTACACGTGGGGGATGTAGCAGCGATCCTCTACGGCCCATGTATGCCATGCGATGGGTCCATTGCTGTAGGGACTATATACAGCTGAATCACAGTCACACCCGATTTTGTAGGTGGGTTAGCGCCTCGGTCGCGTTTAATCATGCCGTGTGTCCCTGCATCCACGGAGTACTTCGGACGATCAAACTCTCGAGCCTGTATTCCTCATCCGATGCTTGGCCCTGTCTAGTTTAGATAACCTGGTTTTTGGGAACAGTACATCAGATTGGGTGATACACAGGTATGTGGCCATCCTCAAGCCAAGACGGCGTGGCTGTGTGCTATGCGCGACTGTGCGATGCTTCTAGGATTGGCACGGGATACTAAGACATTTGGGCTCGCTGTTGGTTCGGGGAAGTTTGACCGTCCACCACTTGGCCTGCATACAAAAGTACGAAAGCAAGAGATGCGACACGAGAGGCGGTCGTACCTTTGCCGTCCATGCATGCATGAATGGGAAGTGATGGCGCGAGTTGGGAGCCAGGTCCATCATCAGGGGGCACTTGAGTCGAACCCACAGCATTGCTTCGCCTCGCTTAGCTTCCAGCTTGGAAACCAAACACGAGCAAAAGTACGGACCTACCTGCAGGATCGACAGGATAGCGGTTGTCAATGCCGCTCAGATTTTACTATACCTCCCAACTCTGCACAGCCTTTGCCAGCTGTCCAGGCTAGCCCGAGTTGTTGTTGATGTATCCCCACTCTGGCAAGGGCCCAGATAAATGAATAGATTAATCAATACACAGATAAATCAATAACAGTGTGATGATAGAAAGTCCTCCGGATACTAATAAAACTATTTGTAAGATACTCCTCAAGGTCACCAAGAACGGAATGTCTGATTTTATCTTACGTTATCTTTACAGGTTTTTCTAAAACGAAGATTTTCTCTCCGGTCGCCCAACCGTTGACAACTTACAGGCCCACTTTAATTAACTTAACATAATCCATAACCGGCTCAGCGAAATGTGCTCCCCCGGTTACCCTTGGTCTTCTAGCACATTTTCTCATCCTAAGATCCCAACAATAAAACAGGGCAGGAACTTAACATGGCCGAGCCGCAGGCCCGCTGCCCGCTCCCCGGTTACGTTAGCCTAGACGCGCCGACGGATTGCCATCCACAATGAGGATTCCCCATCAGGGTTGGCTGTCGGTTAGCTTACATCGGCATGGTGCTTAATTTAATGTCTTCCAGGAACCATCGTATGAACTGTCGATCGTTGGACACTGCAAATGGTTGTAACGTATATGGATTGCATTCCAAGACCATCCCACCCCAGAGTACCTGGATCCACGAGATGAGAACATGATGGAGTAAGATTTAATCACCAACCGCTGGACGTTGCTGCCTTCAGGTCTGGGCTCCGGAACGGGAACGGTTGGCCAACAGATCCTTGTTCCTGATGGCTTATTGGACCATTGCTTTCGTCCAATTTCCCTTGACCATCGGATCCTGGGTGGGTATTCCGAGATCTTCTTCGCCGCATGAAAAACATCTAATAGTATGATTAAATTAAATCTGCGTAAGCCAAGGAGCAGGTGCTGACAAGAGCATTTTACGAGAAACCATCGACCAATGACCTCAGTGCTGTACGTACCTGAGCTCCGTGCAGAGAACCCGTTGCATAACCTTTCATGCATATGGCGAGGTCGACCACGACAGAGAATATTCTCTGTTCAGCTAGGCCCAACTGCGTAATAGTCGGGGACTTCCGCTCCATCGTATATAACACGTCGGATCCGAGTATAAGGATAGACGCCCCATGGAGCCGCGTGACCATGTATCCATGATTTTGAGTTTGGCCGGACACAACAAGAAAGTTGCTCTTCTTGGAAATGAAGACAACGAGTGAAGGGGAAAGGGAGATTAGCAAAGTCCACGCCAACTATGCCAAGCATAGCCCGACGCAATTCCATTAGCATGCTAATCTTCTGAAGTGTAGGCTATCAGGGCTGCGTCTTCACGCATAGCCAAAATGGCCATCACCCCAGCAATGAGGAGTTCGGAATCTACATTACCAGCAGATAGATGATCTTCGTAGATGAAAAAGTTAGCATTGGTCTCAATCTGCGCCAATTCCCTATGAGGCCTCAGTATCTTTCGGTTATGTTTCTCCCGCACACTTAATCTCCCTTTCAAACAATAGTTTCGTACTAATACACTGTGCCTCGACTACAATAAGTGCCTTTATCAAGTCATGACCCGTACATGAGGTTCGAAGCAACTATTGTTGAAGTACCATGCAGTTATCTGGGCTTTTATTGCCAAGGGCAACCCAGAGAGCGACAACATTGGTCTTTGCCCTGGACTAGTTAGGTACAAGGGTAATCAAGCGCTTTGACATTACGAGGCACACTGTCAGAGGTCCTCAATGCTCATCTTATGATCATGCGCTGGCATACAGTCCTCCTTTTTTTCTTTTTTTTACTTTTAGTTATAGGGCCTTCACACAAGCAGGCCCAGTATTGAGTAGTTAGTACTGTTGTATTTCTTAAATGTATAAATCAGAATAAACAAGTAAAAATAAGAGAAGGGTGATCCACTATTCCATGGCTTTCATTCTATTCGGACGGAAATACAGAGAGCTTGGCCACAAACAGGGCGCGAAAACCAGGGTTTGGGAAGATCCTGTTGAATCAGCTTCGGAAGTGTGAGTTGTACAGAGACAAATGAATGTAAGAAATGATTCTACACTGTTGAGAGGCTGCTTTTCATTCTACGTGACAAGCGAACCGGATTGTTGTTTCAGATCGAGCATCATAGCGCAGTGGCGCCTACTACTAGTAGCCATTTGCTGACTACAATTCAAAATAGTTGTTAATCCACAGGGATCAAGAATGATTACATATGAACGGCTTGCTGTCTTCCTAGGTCTGGTGCTGTTTTAGCGCTTTCCCCTTTTTTCTGTTTTGTTATTTTGTCCCATTTCGTCCCACTTCGGCTCACTTCGGCTCACTTCGGCTCACTTCTGCTCACTTCGGCTCACTTCTACTCACTTCTGCTCACTTCTACTTACTTATCACAATCCTATCTGACTTTTTCTTATTTTTTCTTTTTTTCTTGTCTAGATGTAGGGTGGAATTACATTTTCTGGAGTTCTATGTTGATGTCTGGACAGGGAAATGTCTGCTATCTCCATATTCATCGACTATTGGTAAGTGAAACGGTTCTAAATGATGTCCTTACACTAACCCAGGCGTTGTTACTGGAGATGGAACTTGTACTATAGTTGGAATGCTAGATATGAAGCGTACTGTTACAGACCCTTGTCTAGCATACCTTATCGAGAAAGCGGACACGAAAGGATAGAAATAATAGAATACTAAGGGCCAGAAACAGCTACGTGATCACCAGCAAAGAGTTATTGAAATATTCGACAATACTGTTAGCGAACAGCTGATATCAGTCTTATTATATAATAATCTATCTCGGGATCTATTCTTATGGGACTATATTGGGAGTATACAGTACTGTATACTATAATTAAATATACTATACTATCTATTCTATGGAGAGTTATCATAAAAGTAGATAATTCAGAACATATAATGATATTTATTTATATATTTAGTCCAGTTCTTTGTAATTAATTAATATTATTACTATAGCGTTATCTTTGCTAGTAAATCAGTCTTAACTTATTTATACTCTTCTAACTACTAAGTATATATATTTACTCTAGATGTCAACTTTTTATCATACTGATCATCTATACCATGATTCCAGACTATAATAGAACATATATACCTACTACCCGTGTATATGTATCGCAATCCTAGCTCTGAACCCAGGGGTGCCTTGTTCAGGAGTGTTTCAATATTTGCAATTATTGTCAAACCCAAGACGTTACGACCTTGTGACGTTTGAACGAAATTCATAATATTTGTAGAAGCTTCAACACATCCACAGCTTTTGAACATTGTGCCCATTGAATATTTCAACAACATTGAATAAGACCAGTTGGCTATTTTGCTTGCATCTCCCCACATGTGCAGCTCCTGAGGTTCAAATGTTCGGTTGGATGATTCAAGATTTAGTCTACACGCTATGTTTGAATTCATCGTAAAGCGTTGGCAAGAAGGTATTGAGATCTATTCCTCGGAATCAAGTCAGCTAGCAAATAGGGATCCACAATGAATGAGGGTTGCTGGTACTTACGCGACATCTCGATCCCACAGTGTACCATCAAGTCATGACCGACTTGGGGAGATGCTCCCGCGATCCAGAATCGCGATCGAAGTTCCCGTCGGCCATTACTCATGCGCCGGACTTGATGAATCAGGTAAGATTGGTCATCAAATCCCGATGTGATATGCGCTTATACGCATGTCAGCGTCTCATTGCTCCTTGCTTGAAGTCCACGATAAAGGGACATACCGCCAATGTGGATATGACCAACAACCATCGCCTCGACCCCCTGGTCGTCGAATTTTCTTTTGTCAATTCCCAGTTCTGCGGGATCGATGAAGGCGATCGTCAGCTTGCCGCCGTCATTTCCGATGAATTCCGAGATGAAGGAATAACTGCCTATATAACGACTTGGTAGGTCTTCCGTAGACCATTCAAGTGTATTAGGATGTCTCCAGGCATACTGGTGTGCAATTGGATTCCACAGTTTGTATCTTGTGTCGGTGAGCGCAATATTAGCACTCGGACTTTTTATTCAAATTGATGTTGGCAATTTCCAAATTAATGATGTACCTTGTTGTGTCTGTCAAGTGCCAGCCAAACCACCAGTTGTACATGTCACCGGTTACTGCAAAAGAGCCTCAGTAGACTTGTACATGGTACGGGATTTCATTCCAATCCTAGCTACGTTGACTAACCTTCTGGGATCTCCGTTCGCGCGGCGATGAAAAGTGTCTTGTCATGTAGTATCGTATACCCATTCTCCATAAGTTGGTATCCCTTTTGTAGGAGATAGTCTTTGGCTTCTTTGGCCGGGTACCCTGGGGAGATAGTATTAGCGTCCAGAAGGAGCGCGGCGGAGTGGCTTCACAGCACACCTAGGTCACTAGCCCAGGGACTGGCAGACAATCCCTTTTGAAGTTCATCGGAAATTGGTGGAGTGACCGAATTATAGAATTTCGCAAACGGTTTGTCAAAGTCATTCTGGCGGTACCCCAGATAGTAATTTTTGTCTACGGGATCATAAGGGTCCGCGTTAACCGATGTAAGACTCCCCGATTTTTCAGTCGCCATCTTGTATGGGTCGCCGTGGGTTTGGGTGTGTAATTTGAGGGCTTTTGATGGTCTATTTGAAGTGTTCGGGAAATCGTAAGATGGTTCGGCGTCGTCATGACTCTCAGTCTCAGCTATCCGCAACGTCATGACCCGCGACATTCCTTACGAACGCAGCGACGTTCCAAGATTGTTCTACACCACCTGTCCAACAATACAAGAGAACTGGCACATCTTTAAATGGGGCGCGCAGTTTTGGGGGTTTTGTAGGCTCCTTGCTTCCAGGTGATCACTGGATACACTGGCTGGGCCCAATTGATTAAATAATGCAGTTCTCTTCGCCAGTGAACGTAATCGGTACGCGAGCCGTATGCCACACACCATATGAAAAGTCAAAATGACCACAACACCATACATTTAGACTTCTATATCAAGGATGAGTAGTTCAATGGATTCGGACAGTGCGCAACCTTGTGGCCCTGTACATTATAGCCAGAACAGTTGAATAGGGCGCGCCTAGGAGTCGATTCACTAGATAGGGCCTTACCTGCCTATATCGCTTCATCATATACCAAGAGTCGCCGGTTAGCAGTTGCAACTGCCAGCAGCTACACAAACACGATGGAAACGACGTGTCTATTTGCGCTGTTTCGAGACCCCGTCCAGTTCGTAGCAAGAATGCTGCCATTGAGTACTCGCATACCATGTCTAGAGGAGAGAAAGAAATAAGGCGTGAGGAACAACCCAAGGAAGCTAAGGTTCCATCCCCAAAGTAGACTAGTACTAACTGCCTTCGGGATGTCGTATATAGAGATAAAAACCTCTCTTGTTCCAAGTCCTAATCATATCATCAACGATCCTACGAATGAAGGGTCTATATGGCTATCGATACGAATTGGTATGGGGCACTTCTAGTAGAGACAGAAACAGATACCATACCCATTCTAATTAGGAAAGAGAGTACCACAACAATAACTCTGCTTTGGACTAGTATGCAGAGTACGAATAATGGAGTTTCATTTTGGCTAAGTTTAGATAGGATAAGTTGGAAGGGTGTGGATCATGGCTAATCCTACCGACTTAATCGGTGTATTTCACCAACGTTTCATTGGCCTCTTCGTGCTCCCGTTCAATCACTTCGCCATGCTTCTCAGATCGTAGGGAGAGGCTCAATGGGAATGGTTTGGGAGCTATCAAAAAACCATTTGTCCAAGCTCTTCCCACGTTATCATCTATCTCTTGATGTGACAATTGGCGTCCTGTAGCTGGGTCTGCCCCAGGCGTAATGTCGAACGCCCAGACGAGCTTGGCGATATTGATAAGCTGTATATGATCAGCATCCGCAATAAGTGTATTTCCGGGAAGATATAATTACAAGAGAGTTTTCAGCGAGGTGAGATCCAGGGCAGACGCGTCTTCCTGCCCCAAACCCGTATGTCCGGTTTAAACCGCTGATGGTCGCGGCACCCGACTTGAATCCGAGGTCGTGTTGCTCGAATCGCTCCGGCATGAAAGCCTCTGGATGCTCATAATTCTCAGGATCGTGGTGGATAGCCCTGCCAGCCAAGGTATCAGTGTGTATTCCAAGGCCGTCACAAAAGTCAACCCGGATGGTCATACCACGTGTTCGCTAAAAACGTTGTTCCTTTTGGGAAATGGTACGTCCCATACACGTCATCTATATTCATCAGCAGGGTCTAGTGTGTGTCGAACATGGGTTGAGCGAAATTAGTTACCTTCAGTGAGAACATGTGGAATGCCGCCTGCTGCGACCGGTCGCCAACGCAGCACCTAACCATATGTAAGATAGGGATACAGAATCGAACAAGGTGGCGTACCTCAGTGACACAGTGCTTGATATAGGGCAAGTTGTCCATGTCGTCAAATGTCGGAGATCTCTCGGTCCCGCATAAGGCGTCCACGGCAGCTTGCGCTTTACGCAGCACTCGCGGATTCCTTGCCATTGCCAACAAGAAACTTAGTAAGGCAGATGCTGTTGTGTCAGACCCTCCTTCCATGAGGACACCTCCGATATATGCAATATGTTCGTCATCCAAGCTGTACTTTCGTTGGAAACTCTCTTCAAGTAGCATATCCACGAAGCATTTATGAGACACACCTCGGGACTTTGTGCTCCTGACGCTCTGGAGAAGCTCGAAGTAAAGCTCCCGCTGCTCTTTCCGGATCTGTTGGGCCCATTTTCGCCACGGTGCTAAGAAAGCTGGCATATATTTTAAAAAGGGAAACACGTCGATCGGAGGAGTGGCCCCTGTTTCCAAGATCGCTGTGAATTGATCCTGGACATGATACAGGCGCTGAATATATGGACTGTGGAATTCAGACCCGCGGATACCGAACACGGACGCAAGGATCACCGCTGTCGAGTACCGGCGAATGTGATCATAGTAATCCTGGGGGGACTGCATAAGTTGACGGAGAGTGAAAGTTGACTCTGCTGCTTGCAAGGGCCGGAGAGACCCCACAGCCTTGATGTTTAACAGCTCCTGGAATAACTTTCGCTGGTTCCTCCATTCCTTACCATAGGGCATGAGCAGCAAATGGGTATTGTCCTGCGTAATGACTTCTGTTCCAATATAGTTCGGGGGTCGGCTGGAATAGATAGCGCCACGTTTGTCAAATAGGCTAGGTTAGGCATGTATGAGTGCGAGAGTCTGCGAGGTATGTATACGGAAGACTTTTACTCACTCCCTAACCGCACTCGCTGAATTCAGTATGATGAGGTCTTTCGGGCCGACCTTCAGGGAAACAACCGGGCCATAAATCCTTGCCCATTTTTGAAACCTTGGAGCAATATCAGCATGGATGGGTTCAGATCTGGAGAATCCCGTACTTTAAGAATCCCTTAGCGGAGGGTATCTGGTGTATGTTGCCTGGAATTCATTAGCTTCATCAATCCAGTCACAACCAGCAGCGTACCAATTAGCGGTAGTGTTGGAGGACCAGGAGGAAGAGACGCCGAACGCCGTGATGCTCGCATCAGCCGCAGAGCAAAGGCGGTAGCTGATGAAACAATAAGCGCTATGAGAAGCTTGAGGATGGTAGCGGCACCCATCTTGAACAACAGGCATCTAGGAACAGTGTGAACATTTATGCTTATTGAATTGGCGAGGTGCTTGGATTGCTTTTAAAGTCAACATGTCCGTGTTTAGACAGTTCCTGCCAGGCATGTCAAGAAAGCTAAGGAGGATAGGGAATGACCCTCATGTTGGCGTTGCGTAAGCTGGTGGGGTATTATGCAGCCAGTAATAGCCATTTCTACGGATTTGTGCCATACCAAATGTGCGGGAGTTGTGGGGAGCCATACATATACTACCGGGCAAGCATGGAGTTGGCGGGGAAAGGAATGCCGTGGGAGGCTTTTGTTTGAAGATCCTGCTGATCTCCCCACCCGGGCCGCGTGGGGTCAGCGAGACATGCAATGCGCCTAGGTGGTAATACCCGCATTTTCCACATCTCTCCAGCTCAGCCATGGTCCGATAAGGTTATTAATCTTCGAGGTCTGTATTAGATTGAATTGAGCCAGAAGTGCGGATGAACGAAAATCTGGCAATAACTGGTATGTCCAGGATCCCAATATAGTGGCATCTACTTCCCTATTTACGCGAATCCGTAGAAAGGCTCTATCAGTGTTTCTAGAACCACGTTACCCTCAAAGCTCCGATGATCTATATCTTATTTACCTCAGGGGAATATAATTTCGCCTCATAGTATGTATGTAAGAGTTCTCAATGGTGACGAACTACCTCGAACACCAAACCGGTCATCTTGCTCTACCCATGGTCATTTACATATATATAATTGTGAGAGTTGCCGATATTTACATTAGGTCAAGTGCATAGAACCGGCAAAACAGTCCGCAACTAGCTGACAATGCAAAAATATCACAAGGACTATGACACCAAAAGTAGATCACTAGACACACCCATTCGTATACACTTTCGAATACTAAGAACTCTCATACAGTTGTGTTGCAGGAACCGCGAAGTTTCAACTTGTGCTGTAGTGTCCAGCACCATAGACAGGTATATTTTACTCCATGGAAAGAACTGGCCCCCGTTCCTTCCATGAAGTAAAATATACCTTTCCCTCTGTGATATGACTGCAGGATCATATCCCCAGTAGGACGTTGAGGCAAAGGTTTCTTATATTTCGGTGCTAGTAGCGACACGTGTGAATAGGGATTGAAGATTATCATAAGACTGGGTTGTCAACTTTTGAGGGAGAGAAGTCTGGAGCTTGTATGACACACGAAGGGGTTTTATACAACACTTCGAAACACACTGGTCAACGTTAAGGGTTGGGTATGCCTGAACAAATTTTGGGTCGATTTTGAGATAACTCAGATCCCAGTATCTTAAGTTATAAACGGACTGCAAAGCACAGATGGTTGGAGATGAAGCGCTGACCTTTAATTTGTCGAGTGAAAAGGCCGTTCCATGCTCTATTTCGAGCGCATAAATGTCCCAAATACGGAATGCAGAGTCGTAAGAGGTCGGCTGCCCAAGGTCTCCATTAGCCGGTCTTTGCTCAACGACGGTGTATTCGAGTGCGGCCTTGATAACCTTATCCATATCTAATTGATCCTGATATTGGATTAGACGGTCTCGGAGTTCAGGCCATGGGAACCAATCAATTACGGGGCAGTGAGGGACGTTTATTTGCATCGGCGTGGGTCGATACACAGGAGGCACGTTATAATATGTGCGCTTGCAGGGGAAGTTTCTCCAAAGCTCAATTTTGAAGAAGGCGTCATACCCCGACTATCTAGCGTTAGTATGGTTGGAAACTCTATGAAGCAAAAGTTATGAAACAGCTCTTACAATTAGTTTGAATGCCCCCTCAGCGGAAGTCCAACATGACTCGAATATCCAAGACAGGCTTGAGGCAACCCACCGTTCCATTAGGGCTCTATTGGAAACCGTCAGCCATAAGCACGCAACTCATATTAACCCAGCAAGCACATTAGCAGCCACAGTACCTTGTAGTAGCAAACAACTTTGAGTGACCTGTTGTGAGTGTCTTGACCGCATTGATATGTTGATCGAGTCCTCCCTCAGACGCCTCGTAACTTGGAAACCCATCTTGAAAGATACATGTACTAGACAACAGAAGGTTTCCACTTTCCCAATAGGATGGAACAATCGTATTGGATTGGTCTGGCCATTGTTGGTTTACAAGCCGGCTTCTAGGAGATCTCGCGATGTTTCCAGAATGATGCAAGTCCTCATTGGCATTTGCATCGTAGTTAATGGCCATGTTGGTTGGTTGATAAAGGTTCCGTGCGCCATGAATGGTCTCACAGGTTTGAGTATATGCAGGAAATTCAGGATGTGAGGTCTCCGGGTCCTCGCCAGCGACCAGACAATCTTCCATGTGAGGCGCAGTACCAGCTGCCTGATGCTCGTTGTAGTGGATTGCAAAAGAAGCATCCAATTGAGGACCGCTTTTTTTCAAGTCAGTTGCATAATGATCATTCGATTGGAGAAACGGTAACGTTGAAGACTGATCGAAACATTTAAGCCGGCCATCTGCATTATCTGCTGCAAGAGGTGATAGATCATATATCGGTAGGTCAAGGTCAAGATCTAAGGTTTGGAATACAACACAATATTACGTCAATGTTTATCCGCTGCATAGAGGGGCTGTGGCACTCACTGTTTCCATGCAGTAAATTTCCATTGAAAATCTCTCCAAGCTGCAGGGAAGGTGACACAGCCCATTGAAGCTGGGAATTATTATATCTGTCGACAATTTGCTTCAACTGCGCAATCTGAACTCGAAGATGTATATTCTCATCTTCCAATCTCTTTATGTATCGCTCCTTCTGCTCTAAGGCTGCTTCAAAAGCAGCTAGTCCTTTCTGGCGATGTAACCTGAAAGTTCTCTTTCTATCCCGCCCTGAAAGTGTCGGCTTCAGCCCAGAATATATGATCTCTGCCATGGCTAGGGCCCCAGAGTCGAGGATACTGGAGGCACTAGATTCAGCTATAAGTGCGCAGCCAAGGATTTAAGCTAAATTCGATACATTGCGGGGTAGCGGGGTGAGCTCCGGCGGCGGGGCAACAGGCCAACTAAACCTAGAAATGACCAAGCGGTGATTACGCTTTGCTCATTATTGGGAATTGTCTCCTTTGGCATACGCATACAGGATTCAAATTTACATTTGAAAGCTACAAACGTCCTAATCACTGCCACAATCCATTACCGTAGCAAATAGAAGAAACCTTGCGGTGTTCAAATTTGATCCGATATTGTAAGTTGACCAGACATGGCTGAACGGACCTTGAGCGCACATAATGCTATGCAACGACCTCCATGAGCAGCACGAACTAGATCTTTTGACCCTGTAGTACGTGCGCAGTAGGCAGTAGACTGTTTCTGTAGTTACTCACGGTCCGGTAATGCATCCTTAGTTATTTTTAAGCTTGTGTGAGATAATCAGATGTTACGGTTCTCAATGACTGGTCCGGGAACCTCAATATCTCTCATCAGTCTCCTTTGGGATAGTAGCCAGTTGCGATACATTGGGCGATAAAATCCTGTCAGCTCTAACCAGTCTTTGATATCAGCGGCGTTATGTTCGTCGGAGGCTACTTGTATCTTATGCCGGCCGATTTGACAGGTAGAGTGGCAAAGATCATTTGAATACCGTCTTTCAGCCCGAGTCAGCCGTAGATCAGAGGTTGAGGACATAGTCGGACTTTGCAATAGTTCGTCCATCCCAGACTGTATCTGATGCCCCTCATGGTCATACCCAAGGCGAGGAACTCTCCCATCCACGGATTGGTACTCAAAGCCAATGCCCGTAAGATTGGCAACGTTTGTCTCATCGCCCATCTTATCAGGCATTTGATCATATACCGGTCCAAATGAGTCATCCGGTGCTTCCAAGTCCGCCGACTCTGAATACTCTGGCAAATGGGCTGAAACTGGAATGATCCCATTCACCATGTCTCTCACCAGAGTATGGTCCAAGTGACCACCGTGGTCAGGAAGGCTATCAGCAGGGAGGAAGTCTCCAGAGTCGGACATTCCACTTGACATCGATGTCGGCTTGTTAGCGTCATCAGGCAGTGGACCCCGTGGTCGATCCGACTGACAGTTGATTTGCCTTTTCTGGCATGCCTGGCATGGTACAAGCCCATCACACTTCCGCTTTGAGATACGACACCTATCGCAGGCGCGTAAAACTCTCTCGGACAGTCGAGGGTCCCTAACGTGCTGCTTCAGATGACGTTTCAAGGCATCCCTGCAAGAATTCCACAGTTGGCCACAGATGGTATTACTTGTATGGTTTGAGTGTCTCGAGTGGATTGGGATCCTCTTACAATCGAGCAAAGTCTTGGGGGCAGAGCGGGCAATGATAAGGTCGTGTGTTACTATGTGTTCGGTAGTGGCCGTCGAGGTGTTCACGACGCTTGAACGATCTGTGGCAGCCCGCTACTATACACGGAAATTTCTTCGCCGCTTCCATAATGCTTGTACTAGTACAAGGCCATCACCGTTCCCTTCGCATTGGCAGAGGTTGTGGAGAGAATCAGAGAGGGAGAGCGTGGAACATCTACAGAGGGAACTGACTAATAACTTGTGCCGGGAAAGCATCCCGCGTATGACCCCCGGTGGGGTAACGGCGGGGTGTAGTTCGGGTGGCAGCATTCGGTGGGGAAGCTTCCGCCGTCTCCGGGATTCCCCGCTGTCCTCGTCTGTTTATCAAAGAACCAACTGTTCAGGAAATAGGCTCGCAACAGTTCACGAGGAGCGACACCTGCTCAACGTACTTGTACGACAGCATTCAGGGCTGCTCTGTTAGAGTACACTTCAGCATTCCAGTTGAATGAGTACATTAGGTTTATGTTTTTTTTTTTTTCTTTTGTTTGTGTGTGTGTGTGTGTGTGTGCGACTGAGGACGGGAGCAGCGGTTGAAACTTTAGGGGCCTTTCTTGACGAAGCTGAGGGTTGTACTTTCACTTGAAAGTAGCTTACTAGCCGCTGAGAGTTTGAATAACCTCAAAAGGCAAGAGACACGCCTACCTGATCAAGGGGTAGAAGGTCGTTATCGGTAACCAAATTGAAGCTTCGATCGCTTAGGACAAATGACCCAAGAGTCAGATGTTGATATGTGCAGGACTGGATTGGGTAGTAGAATTTTTAGTGGTCCAACCTGAGCCCTCCCTGGACCCACACTGATCTTGGTCTATCCAGTCGGTCGGCGGATACCCAGCATTAGGCTTAGTAGTTAGGCCTAGTTCCGTATAGACTAATTTGGCCGGTAGGACCCCCCCAGATTGTTATTTAATTATACTACAGATTTACCACCACCACCAAGCAGGATTAAGTCATTTTGTGATATATACAATTCTATATATCTTCAATACAGAAATTATCCATTAAAAGGTTCTAAAAATACTTGGATTGGCTAAATTCTCAATTTCCAGTACGTTTCCCAACAATGCTGTGTATATATATATATTGCTACACATAGAAGAGATATTTGTTGAAGATAACTATAATGCATTTAATTTTCAATTAACGATATACACATCTAGAGATATTTTCAGCCTATGGCAAATATGAAGGGCCCAACTATGTAAATAAAGCCAGAGATGTAAGATGTTACTTAGGTTAAATCTATGAAAACCCGACCCCAGCGAGGGGTTGGGCCCTAGATCTCGAGCACGAACCCGCTGCGAATAACTAGCTGACTGACCGAAACGGTTACTCTAACCAGGCAACTGTCGTTGGACTCGTCGATTCGTCTATATCAGGCAAGTGTAAGCACTCCGGCAGACTACTGGGGAGGCACTAATTTCCACAATAGTCGACCTGCCCCAGATTCCCCGCAATATGGGGTGGAAATCCCCCACATCCAAGGAAAAACCCCAAAATGAGGAACTCCGAGCCGTCGAAGTAGTCTTATAACCCCAGTATAAAACCCGGCGCAGGTTGCGAGATGGGCCACTGTACGGGTGAACCCTGGGATCACTCATATTGACCGCGCTGCTCAGATGCACATGATGCAGCTTTTCACCCGCCACCTGTTCGCGGTGGGCCTGTTCCTCACGGCCGCCCAAGCGTATGCGACCAGCAGGTTGGGGATGCTGCGCACAGTCGTCACGACTGACATGGAGCAGGATGACCTCGCCTCGCTCATCCGGTACCTACTTTACACCAATGAACTCGATACACAAGGCATCATCTACAGCTCCAGCCGCTTCCACTGGGCTGGCGACGGCAATGGCACGAAGTTTTTCCTGCCCGACCGCGAATATACCTCCCCACAGTGGACATGGCGCTGGACCGGCACGCGGACGATTCAGGATCAAGTCCTCCAAGCATACGCAGAAATCTTCCCAAATCTGCTTAACCATGATCCATTCTACCCGACACCGGACGAGCTGTTGTCCATAGTCAAGATCGGCAATATCGACTTCGAGGGTGAAATGGGTCACGACTCAGATGGGTCTAATCTCATCCGCACGCTGCTGCTGAACGAAGACGCACGGCCGCTCTACTTGCAAGCATGGGGTGGCACCAACACCATCGCCCGTGCTTTGAAGTCAATCGAGGAGCAGTACTCGGGCTCGCCGCAGTGGACACAGACCAAGGACGCAGTCTCCCGCAGAGCCGTCATCATGGCAAGTGGCTTCCAGGACGAGACATATGCGAACTACATCTCTGTCAACTGGCCGGAGATCCGTGTTGAGCAGTTGGGGGCCGGATACAGCACCTGGGGCTACAACTGTAATAAGGGTCAGGGCAACGTCCGTGGTCTGCCAGACACCCACGTATACTTTACCGGTGACTGGACCAAGGCGAATATCCAAGTAGGACCATACGGGAAGCTCTACCGTTCCTGGCTCGACGGCCAATCTATGCCAGGTGACCCAATGGACACTTTCGGCGATCGACATGCCGCCAATTCGTCAAGTTTTTGTCAGCCACTGGACCCGTACGCCTTCCTGTCCGAAGGTGACAACGTGGCTTTCAACCCCCTACTTACCACCGGCATTCATGATCCGGCCAACCCAAATCTCGGTGGCTGGGGCGGTCGAGCTATGCAGAACAGCACCTCACCGAACTTGTGGGAGATGGTTGAAAGCGAGAAGAATAGGACCGGCGCGGAGTTGGATGGCTACACAACGGGCCGCTGGGCCGCAGCCATCCAGAATGACTTTGCGGCTCGTGTGCAGTGGACACTGACGCCGAAATATCAAGACGCCAACCACGCACCCTCGGTGAAGATCCTGAACGGAACCACAGTACAGGCGCATCCTGGGGCCACTGTAACCCTGGCGGGTGCGGTCAGCGATCCAGACGGCGGCAATGTCACCACATCCTGGTGGCAGTACGTCGAAGAAGGTACATACCCGGGCAGCGTGACAATGACTGAGTCAGGGAGCAATTGGGCAGACGTGACAATCCCAGAGGATGCCCAAACTGGCCAAAATATTTCGATCATTCTGCAAGGCACTGACGATGGAACATTCCCGTTGACCCGCTATGGCCGCATTTTTATCCAAGTCATATAATCGAATATACCCGGACCGGTATGTCGCTACGAGCTCTAGCATGGATGAAATGAGATACAAAAGCTGCAGGCCTTTCTGTGTATATTCCCGGGCGCAGCAATAACTGCTTAGTATGATACAGTAAATACCGCTCTGCTTCACTGATTGTCATGTCTCATTGCCACGATCCCTTGCTTCCTGCGTCAGCTGAGAATGTACATATATTTATTCCCGGAGGTCGATCTGCTTCCCGGCAAAATATCGATATCTTCTCGCGCCTAGAACCCGAAGTCTCTTCCCATAGATGATAAACAGAGCATTGCCAAGGAGTATGACGGTTAAGATCACACTGAATGTAATGTAAAAGCCCGTGAGCCCAGAACTATCAATCCAGGGAGCCAGAGCAAAGACAAAGACCGTGGAGATTAGGTTGCGGATGAAGGTAACACCCACGAGAGAGCCCGCCACAATCTGTTTAAGTAAATCTGTGAGTAGTCAAGGCATAGAGTCATGATTGGGATTGCCACTTACATCGGTGTAGGCATCAGTTAGGTACGTGAGAGAGACGCTACTGGGTGGTGTTGAGCCAAAGGACGCTAGTCCGAGGCCTACAGCTGGAACTGGCCACGGAAGCCCCCGATCTAAGCCGATTCCAAACATGATGAGCCCCGCAGGTACAAAGGGAGTAAATGCCAAGGATAGCCAAAGGCGCATCTCGGGCTCATAAATGCCATTGTTCCTCCGCGCGAGAAGGACAATGAGTTTGTCACTTAAGGGCCCTGCGAGGAGGATTCCCAAGGACGTGCCAATAAATGAGGGGAGACCCATCAGGCCAATCTGCGCGGCACTGAAATTATATGGCGGAATGGTCATCCAAGATGACAGCGTGGTGACGGTCACAGTCACCGCAGCTGTCATAGCTCCATACACAACCGCCATAAAAAATATGGCCGGAATGGTGAAAAGCATGACGAAGGGCTCGTAGCTATAACGGGCGAAGTTGGCTAGAGAGCTCGGTGAGATCGTCCACAGCGCAAGCCTCTGCAGATAGGTCTTCTTGGGAATAGAAGGGTCGATCCAGTTGCCTCTCTCCGCTTCCCGTCGCATTTTGTTGTCTTCTTGTGGATTTTCCTCATCATTTGTCACGTTTTCTTGATGCTCAAAACTTCCCTTTCTGTTTTGGACCTTCGCTGGTGACATGGAGGGAGGAGCTTCCTCGGTAGGGGTTGCAACAAACTTTGTTTCTTCATATAGAAATAGAAAGGCGACTAATCCGGCACCGAATAAGATCACCATCCACCACCAGACCCAACGCCAGCCCTGTGAGTCCACGATGTACCCGCCAGCCAGCGGAGACAGGCTAGTTCCCACGGTCATGATCCAGACGTAGATACCATTCATCAAACCTCTCTGGTGGACGAAATAGATATCTGCTACCGTCATCTGAACCAGCACTTCTGCCAATGCCCCCACGACGCAGCTCAGGATATTGACTGCCATTAAGTCCGCGACGTTCATCATCCGTGCCGTCCACACGCTGATAGCGCATTGGAAGGCAGTACTAAAGACATATACTGGCCGTCGACCATATTTCAGGGCAAAGGGGATGATAATCACACTTCCGATGCAGAGCGCACCACATCCTGCTGCGTAGCTGTCATTCAGGATCTCGAAGCTGAACCCGAGCTCGGCGTTGACAGGACCCCAGGTTACCGTTGCCACATCGATTCTGGGTGAGGTGTGACTCGTGAGATAGGTTGAAACCCGTGATGGTAAAGAAGATGACCTACAGTGCAAAAACCATCATCACATAGTAGGAAACCAAGGAAAAGTTGAGGTGCTTGCGCCATGTGGACCAATTCTATTGTATATCAGCAGGTCTTCCTTGCCTTCGCGGATGCTCAAACTCACCAGCGGATCGTTGGGGTCATGACTTGGCTTTGGTTGTAGGATAACGTTCGATCCGCGGTCACACTCGGAAGCCCCTGTGATATGTAATAGTGAGCAAAAAGGCCCTAAAGGGAATATATCGTGCTCGTGTATACCTTCAATGCGAACAGTGCCGGGTGGCCATGCTGGGTCAATATCCCTGATTTCCGATGCCATTGCGATTGATTTGACGACTCTACCGCACGCGACAATGAAAGCCAGACGGGTTAATCTTCTTTACGAGCTCTGCTCATGGTACCGTCGGCATCTTATAGTAGTAGTTTGATAGAAACTCCGCACACCAGCCTACACCACAGTCCAAGCCATGGTACTATGTGCTTTACGACATCGTTTACGCTCTGAGCATGGATAAGCTATTTGATACGGCGATCACTCGAGTTTCCCATCAATAATGCGGGGGTGGAGCAGCCCCGTCGAGCTGGAAGGGATAGTTGGAGCGACAGTCCAATAGCGTCAATTTGCGCGACGGACAGTCTGTGCTGAAGTGCCGTGCGGGGAAGCCTTGCCGATGGGATCTGGCGAGCAACACGCCGTATTCATTACCCACAGACGATACTTTGGTGGTGGTGGCAAGAGGTGTTGCGTCGAATGTGGTCATCTCAACGGACTCACTCGTGCAATTCACGATGGTATGGTGTTTTCCCAAGCTTCTTGTACGCCGTTATCGGCCGCTCCCATTCTATCGTTCTCTGCCCCTTCGGCCGTAGACCCACGGGCAGAGTTTCCACTGTAGAGCTAGCCAGAACGAGACAACCCGTTTCGTCTAGTAGGGCGTAATCGGGAAGCAAAGGAGAGTCGATCTAACGAACTCGTCGTCGAGGTTGCCAGAACGGCATCCGTGTACTAACACCACATCATTTCATTTTCGATATGACTGCCATACCTCGTGGCCTCGTATTCGAAACTCTCAACACTTAGATTGGTTCCCCTGGGCTCTAGAAAACGGGCGTTGCGCGTGAGGAGAGACTGTTCAAATGTACATACAAACTCCTTATACATCTGCTACAACACAATCAAGACCATACAAAGCCCTTCCAATGCCACGCGATCATATCGGCTTCTACACACGGAAGGAGAAAGCGACAGGGCCCAACAGGTCAGTATCCTGTGCGCCCTGAGATCCATAGGTATCAAACCACGTTTTGCGCAGTGTGTTCTCCAGTGTAGTGGCGCCTGCAATTTCAATATCTGCAGTTTGTCAGCATTTAGATGATCCTTCTGTCCGATGAATGCCTACCGTTGAGACCGTCTCTTGCATATGAAGTCACTTCCAGTGGTGCCGCAGCTAGGAAGTTAACACCGTCGAGTTGCAAATTGTTGGTGTTCACGCCCCAACTACCTCCAACATCACCCAAGTCGATAACAACCGCGATACGGTCTCCAGACGATTCATTTTTCTACCAAACAGATAGATCAATGGTTGTCTTGTGACTGCCAATGCCACTGGCACTTCCGAGTCTAATAATATTAATCCAAGCCTTGAGGGTGCTCATTTGGTACTCGACAAGCTGGTCTTCGAGTCCAAAGTGGAGTTGAGTCCAGTCTCACTTGCACTAATGGAAGACAGGCCCTCGACAGATAATGTCCAAGATGTCAGCGATACAGGGGCTGGTACATCGTTGAGTGTGACACTGATGGTCCGTCCATTGGACAATTTCACAGTCTGGGTTCCACTTTTGCTAGATCTCAGGAAGGTATTTGCCGTCTCAGCAACGGCCTCGGCCTCGGTAGCAATAATATGTTTGCTGAAGCTTGAGAGACCGTATGGGTATCATTTATTAAGCCAGTTTGCTTATGCAACCGTCTCGCCCAAGGATAGTTCGACTCCGATGTACCCAACGGCTGTGTTGAACGCAGCAATGGGTGAAACTTTCCCGGTCCAGAAGTTCAACATGAGGGGACAACCCCCCGCGAAAACGCTGGACATATGTTTTCTTGGTAATTGCGAACGAACTCGAGATGAAATAGATCGGCTCAGAGTCACTGATGCAACGGTTGGTCGTGATGGTGGATATATTTGATGATGTGGAGTGCCAAACAAAGGGATCGATCCCCAAGGCCTTCAGAGCTGCAGGAGCCTTGGATTTGGAATTCACCCGCTTTGTAGTCTTCGAAGAAGCCATTACTCAAAGGCCTGCCGGATCTGAGCTTTGACCTGAGCGCAGTCGATGCACAATGATTGTGGATGGGACGGAGTGTCCCTAATAATCACGCTAGGTAGACCTGAACTCGCATAGGTGAGAGTCTTCCTGACATTAGCCAAGTTAAGACTTCTGATATTATCCATCCGAAGGGCTTTGTACCGAGGACCACCTGGAAGAGGGCGCGTGTTCTTGGCCGTTGCGAAGTACTCTGCCAGGCCCTGCATCTCGAATGGTTTCACCGGGTAAGAATAACCGCTATCGTTGAAGACAGTATCTGTCCATCTTGCCGCCACACGCCAATCAGTATGCCGAATAGGCAAATTCACCAATGTAACATCCATTTGCAGAGCTTGATGAGCGTGCGCCATACACATACTACCTCTCGACGCGAGGATCCACTGAAGCCGACGCGGACTCTATGCATCCGCACACCCATTACTCGAGGAGCCGAGCGGCGTGAAAGGCGCAAAGCCAGGTCACACATAACATGGAAAGTCGCGCAGCCAAAACACGGAAAGCACCATTGCCACCGTCAAAGCTGAGAGACTCCCCCTGGGGAATACCAAGCTAGAGGGTGCCCTCGAAGAGTGAATCGTACCTGTGTAAGTGTGTAGGCGCAATTTAGGCCGAGTTCGATAGTGAATATTTTCAATCCCTGGACGCGGTAGTCAATATACAAGTATGTGACAGGGGAGTAAACGTCGTGCTCAATTCTGGTTGCAACTTTATCATGACCCGTAAATGTGTTGGTATCTCTGATTATGTAGAACTGATGTGGAGTCAAACCATAACCTCGACACTTCTTGAACTATTCCAGCACCCTGTCGGTCTAACATTGCTTCCACTTTAACCCGAGTGAGTCTTCGAGAATCGATCCTCCCAGACTCTTTATGATATGGCGCAATTCACCACTCAGGATGTGTTTGTTCCAGTAGTTGAAGGATGCATCTGGCCCTGCCCCAGCCAAATGGTCGACGATGTAGGCTGGAAGCGGATATATCACCACCTTTGAAGCATCTGAGATTCCGTCATGTATTTCAGATCTGCCCGTTTCTTTGGCGTAAATTGCAACAACCATATAATTTTCATCTTCTGGTCTAGTCTAGAAGAATCGATCTTTCCGATAGTGCGTCATCGAATCCACCACTGTTGATGGTTGAGATGCAGCCGTGTATTCATGTGCGATTGTGTGGACAGATGGGTTTTCCAGTTTCTTTACTGTACACCACAGGCAATGAGGCATTCAATTTTCTTCCTTCGAAAGCCCCTCTCGACCCTTAACCTATATATAAAGGAAATGGTTACGCATAGGCTGGGGTTCCAAGAAAAACGCAAGAGGTATAATGTTGTCTCTCAGGTAGGATGCCTCGTCTAATTTAGACAGGTAGTAGCGATATGACCCACCAGAGGTTTGGACATCCCTTTCCATTCATCTGTCCTCTCCTTCACAGCGAGAGTCCTGATCGTCCGAGGGTTGATCTTGTGTCTGAAACAACAGGCCAAGACTATGAGAATCAGACCCATGAACATGCATATCTAGGTTGATAGATCATAATCCAGCCCGTTCAACCATATTCCTTGTAATATCCTAAGGAAGCAGAGGATTAATGGTCGCTGTAGAAAGCTGGATCCGTGGGATGATTCGAGTGGGAATGGCGCAATACAGGCAAGGTTTGGACGTCGACCTAGTTGGATGCATGTACCCCTTCTTCCCTGCAGTTGAGCATCGCTCCACCAATAGTCAGACTGCCATGTACGTGGCATCAATTGCATGTCCGGCTGCAAGAACAATCCACCTTCCCCATCTGCTTTGAGTGCAAATAATTTGAAGAGGCCCTTGTTTCCCTTCCATCACTAAGGTTCCGACATCTACCTCTCACACTACAAACAGCCCCGGCTACTAGCAGGTCAACTCTGGTGGATTGACTACTCTGTATCAAGAGCATGGGTAAGAGCCATTAAGAGCTTTGGTAGCACGGGGATCTACTATGCTATGCGACGGCCGGCTTCATATACCGAGAAACACTCATTGACGGGCTACCGTCCTATCATTGAGAATACCCCTCCAAGTACAGGTTAATCATGCACCCGGCCTAGCGGGAGGGGAGAAGATCAACATCTTTGCTTGGTGCCACATCACTTCCCACTGTGCATGCCCCGCTACATCAGGCCGAAATGACGTTATATGCAAGCATCAGTGGCCGGATGAGTTGTTGGTCTATCACATATTGAAGCAAACAAGAAACGACTGAGTCCATTGGCCTGGTTATTTAATCTGCCGCCTCGCACAAAGTCAACTCCGATCTTGTTGCAAACATCTAATTCTCTAAGTTGAAACAAGGCATATTGAGCAAACTGCACAATGGTGAGTTCGGCAGCATAACCTCTCTACTCACATGAGGAGATCGCGAAGTGGAAGGAAGAGTTGCGGAAGATTGTGAGTGCATGCGATCGACCGGTCCAAACTCGGCTAATCTCAGGAAATATTATCGAACACAGATTATGACAGTAAGTCTGTTGCTCTTTGAACTACTTCCTCCCATATCTCACGCATTATATCTACTAGGCTATATCGATCCGTATGAGATCATCGGTACTGTAAATGAAATGGGCCTAGGTATGACCAACGAAGAGGCTGTCGCCTGGGTGAAAAGGCTGGACTTTGACAGCAATGGCAGGGTGTCATTCGGCGGTATGGATCCATCCAGCATCAAAGCTCCCTTGTATTCACTGGAGGGAACAGAATTCCTCGCAACGGTTGGTGAAAGGAGCAACAGCAGCAGCTAAGCACACGTTGGGAGGATCAAGGAATTGGACATGATATCGAATCACTTATATGATAGTGGGTTTCCAGAAAAAGCCTGCTCATTACTTGGAGTGGAGCGGTCGAGGTACATAGCATCCTCAGGGTACTGGTATCATCCTCGAATAGTTTAGTTGTGATGTGAAGCTTTGCACTATCAATGCAAACGTGGCCAACCATAAGTTGTCTACTAGTCGTCCAGGCCAAAAGAGTGCCATGCGCTACGTGGCTACCATTTTTGTAGTTCGTTAGATCTGATAGTGGCCGTATACCCTACTAGTAGTACTGGCGGGATCAAGGATACACTCCGGAATTCAGGTATCTGATTCGCCTGGATTGGGTGGTCTTGTATGTCCTTGTTATCCAGAGATTATAGGATCATATTCATGCCTTATACCCTACTGTGAGAACGCTCGTCTTCGAGCCAAAGGAAAACTGAAAAGCATTTTATTGTCTGAAGAATGATGAAATTTTGGTCAGTCTGCCACGACACCACACTCTGCAGTCTCTGCTCGTCCAATGGGATCTGAGCCCTACTCTGAATCGTCCAATTCCTCTGGTTCGGGGGACTCAGGTGCCGCTTTCAGTCCTTGCTCGATCATAACCGCCTCGGCAAGACTCATATTCCTACATTCGACAGCGCGTTGCAGTATCTCGGTATGCAGGTGGTCATCCAGGGGCGGTTTGGTACCCTTTGCCGAGTGGGCCATAATACGAAGACCGTAGAGCAGAAGGTCCGACGGGCCAATGTGCTCCAAGTCGGCGTCCTGGATCTCTTGGCCCTCCTTATCGTCCACTGTCTCCTCCGTGGCCATGAGCAGCCGGCGGCTACCTCGCCAGTTCGGGTCCACATAATTATTCATGGAGTCTGCACTACCAATAACCATCTCAATCCATGTCAGAGCCCAACCGCCATTCGTCGCCCACTCCTGGAAGCCCTCCGGGTCAGTGATGGCCATCCATGCCACCGAGAATCCCGCCGATAACAGGGGCCCGACGCCCGGCACAAGACCCAACCCTGCGGAGACAACGGTCTCGATCAGGTTGAGAAGAAACGAACTTCGGGGCGGCACCGGCTTCCAGATTACATCCACCGCGAAATTTGCGTTGATGAAATCAAGGAAGTCAAAACTCAGGTTGGGGCGCACTTGTTGGGCTAAATGTCCCGTGGCGATGTCACCCACTTCTCGTATGACAATGAGCTTTTCTCGCCAGATATTTGTCACTCGCAGCCTCGGCGTTAGGGCGAGCAGCTTGATGCATTCTTGAGGACCGCCTCGTCAGTATCCAGTCACTTCCGGCGGACATCCCTAGATGCACGTACCCTGCACGTCGATTCCTAGACTGTGGCCCCACGCAAAGCCTACTCCAAGCTCCGGGGTGAAGTCGTGGCCAAGAAATTGGTTTATTCTTGGACGCCAAATATCTCGCCGTCCCTGATGGTAGAAGTTAATCTGGACGTAGGTGCAGAGTTGGGGAAAGTCCTGGTCGGCTTGCTGGGACAATGGAAAGTAGATGGCTCGGATGGGCGTGACGAGCTAGACATTGCGCGGTAGGTTAGTTTCTATACACATCGCCACAATACTTAGCAATGGCTTACGTCAAGCCAGATCCACTGCTCTGCTGTGGTTGGCAGAGGACAAGGATGCACCCGGACCTAGCAAGATCAGCCGTTACTCGCTACGAAACAATGAGTTAATACCGCTGCAGCTACTCGGAAGACTTACCTTCTGCGCCCCTCCGTTGTAGCTATCCCTGAATTCGGCTGGGTTCGTCTCCAGTGGGATCTGAGCCCAGCGGCTGATATTGTTGTTCCGGCCATAGCTCACCGGAAGATGGCTCCAGAATCCATACCAGGTCCTGGGTACCCCGGATGGCCTCTCACGCAGATACTGAGATCGAGGGCCTTCATGATTGGGCTGGGGAAGATCGCGGACCTGTCGAGCCATGGCCACATTGCTAACCCATTCAATTAGAAAGTGAGAATAAAAATGATTCGCATTGTTGGCATCGAAAAAGGTGAGATGGTTGGCAAATCGTAGGCTTGATCGCTGGAAATACACTTCGCCTTCCGGATGTGCTGCTGCCATGGTGGATATGAACCTTGAGAGAGGATGCCAAACCGAGAGATGGGGAGCACAGGACGCCACGTCCTCAAATTTATAAGAAATTACAGGGTGGACAAGGGAATCGGAAGGAGGCGGCGATGGATATTGCAACTAATCTGCAATGTTCAGCTTGACTGCGTAGGATATTGCCACCACCATCGCATCGGCCAATACATGGAATCGCAGGTATTCTGCTGGCGCTTGGTTGGTTCTGACCTGCATTTGCTCTCGGGCGAGCTGAAACCAAGTAACAGAAGCAAAGGAAGCACTGCAGTTCGACAGTACCACCCTTCCAGTGGGCGTAGTTGTGATTGGGGCCTGGCGATGCACCATACGTTGCTTTTTCTAGGATATATTGGCGATAGCCAGCCACACGGACCCATATCCATGCATCTAAGCGGGGCACCACCAGGTTACAACTTCATAATGAAGAGACACTGGACCAGGCCGTAATCACGTTCAATCACAGCCTGCATCGATAGTGGGGGAGACACCATTTACCCAATGTACTCCGCATAACACGACCATGTAAGTGACGCGACGAGCCCCTGCTTTCCCCGTTCTGTCTTCCAGTTTGTTGTCACGGCCTATCCCCACCAAGCGATGGGAAACCCGGCCCGTGTCTTGTTATGGCTGCATTTTCCTCTCCGTCCTAGTGCTATACCATTGATGCAAATGGTACCTTTGTTTTGGCGCTTTCCGGCCAAGGGGATGAGAGGGATTTGGGGGGAAGTTGGGGTGATCAGGGCTGCTGCACGATGTATTGGCTTGCCGGTATCATGCCAAGCCCTGCGGCCTCCAAGTGCAAGAGTGTGCTGGGGACATCCGTCAGGGTCCCAGTGTGTATTACTACAGAATCGGTCTCAGGCGGAGCAGAATGGTAACATCCCACTTAGAGTTGTTTTCGGGTCGGGTTGAGGTTCAAGACCTAGGGCCCGCACCGGAACTCACTGCGTTCGGGGCGGGTTCGGGTCTAATTATGAATCGATCAGTGACCGAGAAAGACAATATAACATACCTGCGTTACACGTTTTACATATAGGAGGGGGAAAGCCTTCGAGTCGGGTATCTTGCATGACTAGGGCGGCTGCGGAAGAGTAGCCGATCTGGGTCGCTCCCGTCTTGAAATGTGGGCGCAGAGCGAGTAGTGTATTTAGCGTGGAAGACTTGTGCCAGGGGCCTGTGGTCGCAATTCGATATGGTCAACATCCCAGGTAGGCTGATGTGGCTAGATAAATAATCGGATCAAACCTGGTCGTCAATGAGCGCTAATGCGCCTTGCGTTTTGCGTTCATTGTGTTGGGCGCATATGTCAGCGCCACCTGGTCTAATGGCCTTGTCCACAGACTAGTTATTCTGTTCCTTTGACTAATTCTCAGTGCTAATCTCCATTGTACTTTTCATGGTGTGCCTGCCAGTAGCATGGGACGGCCTCCACCCCCAACGTTGCGCCATGCTTTGGGGCTCTTTGGGTACCATTAAACCAACCAATTCTACTTGGCGCGAACGCAAGCTGAGAGTAGAGACAAAGGATGTGTTTACTTCTCGTAAATCTCAGAATGTAACCTTGACTCAAGTTGCCGGCTATTGTGGTCTGTTGGTGGCATCGTCCTGTTCCTTTCCACCCTGCCTATACTAAAAAATATATATCGCCGAATGCCACCCCCCACAGATCCTGTCCACAAAGGAAGAGAAATAGAAGTACATTCAGTTCCTCAGCAGCAATGCCCACCTTTCCCCTCGGACCTGCCTGTGGTTGCCCTAACGAAAGTTTCTCTCTCAGCACTGGAGCGCAATTCTGCGGCAGAAGCACAGAAACTGCTTTCGGCATGTCAAGAGTGGGGTTTCTTTCTACTGGACATGGAAAGCTCAGACCAAGGAACTAGAATGCTCCAATATGCAGAAGCAATGTTTGACCTCACGGCTGACCTTTCGGAGGTGGACCACGAATCTCTGAATAGGTATCACCACAAACCACCCGATTTCACACGGTATGTGCTGCTCTCCTGCTGCCCTCTATCACAGCCGACTAATGATCAAATCAGGTATAAATCCATTGGGACCACCAAGACAGAGCCCGGAAAGTTCGACCACATCCACGTGTACTCGGTTGCCCAGGATGATATGCTAGGAAATACCTCCTCCGAGCCCCAGCTCCCTCACCCAGGGACCATCACTCGCAAGAAAGCCCAAACCCGCGATTTTATATCCCGCAGTCATGCGGTGTTGGATCGTGTTCTCGCCAGCCTAGATACCAGCCTCGGCATTACCCCAGGAACTCTCTCAGCGATGTGTCCACCCACGGAACCCTCTGGCACCCTCGTCCGTCTCATCTGGACCCCTCCCAGCGCCCAACAGCCCGACTACCGTCAAATCTCCTTTGGCAGCCACACCGACATGGGCATCATGACATTGCTCTTCAACGTCGCGGGCGGACTCCAAGTCCTCCCCCCGGGCGCGGCCAACGTTGACGCGAACTGGCAGTGTATTCGGCCGGAGCCGGGCTGCGCGGTCGTCAATGTCGCTGATACCCTCGAGCAGTGGACTGGGGGACTCCTGCGCAGCTCCCTTCATCGGGTCGTGATGGCCCTGGAGCCCAGGCGATGGTCACGCGGAGAAGTGTGGCGTATTTGCTGCGGCCGAGACAGGATGCGTCGTTGGCACGCTTTGTGGGGGGCATTGTCCCGCCGTTGCAGCCTGGAGAGGAGAATGAGACAAGGTCAGTCGATGAGTGGAATGAGTGGAGATCAAGGCAGATTCTGCAGGGGCAGTTGAAGACTGAGCATCAGAGTGAAAGGGAAAATTGAGATCGCAGGTTGTTGAAGGATCCGGGCCAATAGAGAGACAGGCTTAGGCACCGATGGCTACTGGGAACATAGGAACAGTACATGTAGGCTGGCACAGAGAAATTGCTATCCATCAAAATCGACGGTGTATGTAAGGTCACTATATAAAGAGCCCAAGTAGCACCTGGCACCTGCATCCCCGGACCGCAGGTTCACAACTTCTGAATCTTGAAAGACGGAGGAATAAGAACCGCTGTCTGATGACTGATCGCAATTAAATCCATCCTCTAATTGAATACGAAAAGCTCCATATCCAATCGCCCATTCAGAATGCGCTTGCATTCGTTTCGCAGGTAGAGGCAGCGGACGCCCTGAGGAGGCAGCCGTTGCCTGATCTCCGTAGACATCATGAACGAGACATTGTATCACCAGGCATGCAGCCCCATCCATTGCCGGAGTCGCGGCAGGACCTGCCCTTCGGTGAGGGCTTCGATCGCGATTCCCCGCCACTGTCTTCTGTCTCTAGTGGAAGGAACTGGCACTCCAGGAATCGCAGCTGGTCCGCAACCCAGGCTATCGGCCGGATGTACAAGCGTGTCCTGGAATGGGCGCGAAGAATCGCCCGAATAGACGACCTGTCTGGGGGTGTGGTCGCTGTCTTTGGGGCTCAGGCAGTTCCTCTTGCGCTTGACGTTTAGACCCAAGAGCGGAACGTTCGGGCACGGGCATCATTACATCCACACGACTCTCGGATGGTAATATGGGGCCGCTACTCGCGTGTCCACCGTTGCCGTCGCCGACGCGTTGCCCGGGAACTTCGCAGCGGCGTATCAAACGACGGACGGCACGGCGTTTATCATCCGGTGACGTGACGCGCGGGCCCCAGGCACCAACCAGAAACTCACCTTGCAATGAATTTCGTCCTCCATTGTACAGATCGTACGATCTCAGAACCGTCGCCGGTAGCGCTGGCGACATACAGCCTTGATAGGCGAGTTAGACGTCGTTCCGGACAAGACTCTACCTTGCAAGCACCTGTATAGCTACACGTTGATTACTTACCCCTCGCCAGAAAGATAGGCTGGATTGATTGCGTGGTATGGGCTACAGAGACAATATACGGGAAAGCTTATCTACAGCTTCGTCTTTGCCTTTTCACGCCCGGCCTTTCCCTTGAATCCAAACAAATATGCCGCAACCTTGCGGATCTGGATCTCCTCTGCGCCTTCCGTGATGCGATACCGGCGGAAATGCCGATAGATATGTTCGAATGGGTAGTGGCGCGAGTAACCGTCACCACCATGAATCTATCAAGTCAGCCTCGCCAAGAATAAATCCAGAAACGGAACAAGGGGCAATTTATACCTGAATCGCTTGATCGGCAGCCTGACAACACAACCGATTCGCCCAGAAATTGCACATGGCGACTTTATCACTCAACCGTCTTTCGATCGCGATCCACGGCTTGTCCGTTGCCTCGGCCACCACCCGATCCATGTCGCAGCTCGTCTTGAGGATCAACAACCGCAACATCTCCACCTGGGTCATGAGCTCCACAACCGGAAACTGCACCGCCTGGTGATCTGCCAACTTCTTTCCCTCGCCCCAGATCGTTCGATTGCGTGCGCGCTCGATGGCACGCTCGAGACAGAACTTGGCCGCTCCGCACGAGCTGGCCGCCTGTCGGATGCGGTTCTCATGCACAAAGGTCTGCGCAATCGCCAACCCCTGGTCAATGACCCCTAGAACCGCCGACTCGGGCACCCACACCTCGTTCAGGGTTACCGTTGCGTGGTCTGTGGGCATATTCAAGGTCCACTCGTAGCTGGCGATCTCAACCCCTTCTGTCTCCCGGGGAACCAGGAATGCCGTGATGCCCTTCGCGGATCCATCTGGGCCAGACGTTCTCGCGAAGATGATCATATGCGTGCAGTGATGCGCGCCCGTCTGCCACTTCTTCGCACCACTGATTTTGAACCCGCCCGGCACACGCGTCGCTGTCGTCGACATGAAGGTCGCGTCGCTGCCGTGGTCGGGCTCCGTGAGGCCGAAGGTGGTGCGAAATTCCCCGTGGAGTCGCGCGGGGATAAGGTTGAGTTTTTGCTCCTCCGTCCCAAAGTGGTGGAGCATCAGGATATCGGGAAAATTGCCGACGATGCTGTGTTCGTTTTGCAGGTCATTAGCGAGCCCTAGACCACCACCGTACGTCGGGTGGGAGGCCATGTGGAAGCGCGTGGCGGACATCCATAGGTTAGTGTCCGGGTGGCCTTGTCCACCATAGATTTTTGGGAGGGCAAAGCGGAAGAATCCGGCTTCGTCAGCAAGACGGCGAGCTTGGCCTGGTGCTTTGTCAGTATCTCTCTACAGTTGAAAGTGGTAGAGACCGGCATTGGTAGGGCTGGGAAGGGGTGTACTTAGTAAATCCTCCCATTCTGGCGATGGGAGGCCGCCCTTAACCCAATCTGTCCGGGCATACTCGCGGCGATGATCGAAGAAACGGTTATTGTCTTCGGAGTGCTGGAGAGGAAGGATGGTCGAGTGGATGAATTTGTCCACGGAGTCAAGGTGGGCGACTAAGGGGGCAGGCAGATCGAAATTCATGTCCGCCCAAGGGTTTCTTATGGTCTTTCCGATCGATGTTGCACTCAGGCGTAAGGAAGGTTCATATTCATACTAGTTCGTTGTCGAAGTGCCGTGATGGATACCTATATTTAGCCTAGATTCCGCTCCGCACGGTGTGGTTCAACCCCGCAGCCCTACCTCGGTCGCGGATCGGCCGCTCGGCTTCTCGCTTGAATTGAACCAAGCCTGTTAACTCTGGCTAGCACTAGGAGGAGTATGAGTGCTGTGGTGACAAAATTACGGTCCACGGCGGCGTGTTAGGAGACAACGATGTAAGTCTGGGGGTTTCAAAGCAAAACTTCGAAGTATGGAACTAGTGATTATGCGACAGCAGGCTCGTTATAGGAAAAGTATCGCCCTTGCCTGATTCAGAGTCTAGAAAAGAGGAGCAGTCCTATTTACAGCTTCTTCTCGCGGGTGGAACTGTCGCGCAGCGTATTCACTGTTTCCCACATTATCTGCGCTCTGGTACCAAGGCTGTCCGCCCATTCTTTCGCGCCCGGGCTCTTCGATTGCCCGGTCACGTATCGTGCTGCGATTCCTTGTGCGATGACACAACCTCGAAAATGAGCGAATGCGATACCCCAGTCGAGGTCCGACTTTGCCTCGTATCCTGATTCATAATACCACCTCAAACACTGCTCTAGACTAGGCAGACCTGGTATATCGTTCCGAGTTTGGTCACGGAGTACCGGCGCACCGGGTCCAGAGTCTTGGAAGATGGGAGACAGCAGATGAACAATATCTGATAAAGGATGCCCGATGGTTGCCATCTCCCAGTCTAACACCCCGATTACCTTTGGCTCTGTTTTGTGAAAGACGATATTGTCGATCTTGAAGTCGCCGTGAACGATGGTAGATCGATCCGGAGGCTGATTCGTCTTGAAAAAGCTCGCAATTTCCTCCAGATGTGGGAGTTTGCCAATGGGGACATTCGTTTTGGCGTCCACAGCCTTTGACTGGCTTTTTGCTATCGCCGTAAAAGTTCGAATCTGGCGATCATAGAAGTTACTATGCTTACCCAACCCCCCTACACCGACCGCATTATAGTCGAGGGTATGTAGTTTAACAAGAGTTCTCACTGCATCCCGCCACCTATTTCCGGTCAGCCCGTGAGACAGAGTCATAAGCTCCATGGATCCTTACATCTCCGTGCGGTGTTCCGCTGTCACTCCCGGCATGTAAGGATCTGTGATAAATCGGCCGTCCAAGAACTCCATAATGTAGAACGCGGTGCCGATTACCGTCGGATCTTCGCATAAGACGTAGACCTTGGGTACTGGAACCTCAGTCTGCTCCAGTGCGTGCAGGATACGATATTCGCGCTCGACTTGATGCGCCGTTTTGGACATGATCTCGCCCGGTGGCTTCTTTCGAAGCACATATCGTCGGGACTTCGCATCTGTGAGTAGGTACGTCGGATTGGACTGACCAAATCCGAACTGCAGCCCACAAAACGAAACAAAAAATATTTAATTTCTGCTCATCCTCTATGAGGGCAGTAACAGATAGTCGGGGGGTAGCTTAGGTACCTGCTTGAGATCAAGGGGTCGCGATATTGCTAGGTTGTGTTGCCTAATATAGTGTTCTAGGGCAACCAGGTCAATGGGTTGTCTGACGGGGCCGGCCATGATGCCCTCCTTGATGTCTACTACTTCTAGCTCTATCTCCGCCGGTCTTCCGTGCACATATTAACTTATATACGCCCCTCTTGGCGCCCTCGGCTGTTATTGAATTACCCCGCTTTGGTGATAATGCCCTCGGACGTGGAGATACGGCCGTCGTGTACCTTCGTGCACGGCCTTTGATAGAAACCCTGGCTCAGGGGGTGAGTGAGTGGTAAGTACTTCTCTTGCGTAGAAAGATCCCCGCACAGGAGCATGGCTAGAGTCAGGATGTATAGATTATATTTGGAGGCTGATCTTAACTCCACGATTATGAGTATTTAGGTTCCCTAAAGGCAAACTATGGATGTTGTTATTTACGGGTGACGGTGACCGAGATCTCGGTGGCGTCCTTGATACTGGTCGATGTGAACAACGCCAAGGTGCGCTTGTCAACTGCGTACTGGACCACGCTGCCCTCAGGCGAGACCTGGACACTATATCCATTGGGGAACGTGGATGGGGGCAGGATGATCTCGGTGGGCGCGTCAATATTTGGATCAGACGTGAACTGCAGCTCGAAGGTGGCCGAGCTCTCAGAGAAGCCGAAGCTTTTTGGAGTACCAGCGACGGCAGCCGGGTAGGCACGGCTGTAGTGCGTTGCTAGCTCAGGGTATGCCTGACCAGACGTGCCATTGTACAGGTTTTCGTACGCCCAGCCGATCCAGGAAACCATCTTTTCGTCGGTCGCCGACATGGCTTCTGCGAGGTCCTGCATTTGCTTCTCATCGCCCATCCAGAACGTCAGCTCGGTCAGCACACCGGTCGTCTTCAGGCGCTCGTTGTCCTTGCGGCGGTTGTCGAGCGTGGTGGAGATCGATCCCATTTGCGGCGGGTGGTAGTAGTGGAACGAGTGCACTGACTTGGAGCCGTCCCCGAGAGGGACGTCGTTGAACCCCGACAAGACGTCCAGGGTGGCGCCTTCGAACCAGATGAGCGTGTCCGTGTCGACCGTACGGATCTGCTTGGTGGCGCGGTTCCAGAGCCCTTCCAAGACCTTGTGGTCGGCCACCCCAGGCACCAGGAGTGTCGGGTCGGCCCAGGTGTCTCCCACCCACGGCTCATTCAGCAGGTTATACCCGACCACATTGGTCGTCGTGACATACTCGGATGCCAGCTTCTTCCAGTACGCCGCGAATGCATCGCCCAGCCCGTCGTTATTGTTGTATAGCCGCCCAAACGCATTGCCCAACGCGACCGACGTGTAGCTCAAAGCCCAATCCACAGTCCCGCACAGCGACTCCGGCGATGGGAAGCCGCGTTCATCCACCGGGAACGGCGTCGTCTTGAGAGGAAACGGATACATCTTACCACTCGAGACCCAGTCCTTCTGCGCAAACCACTACAGAGCCGTGTCAGCATCAACTGAGGTAATTTGCCCCCTACGTCTACTTACGTCCGGTGCGCCGTTGCCACAAAATTGCCGCGCCAGGCAGTCCTGATGGACGTCCACCAGAACATAAAGGCCATGGTCCTCAGCCATCTTGGTCTGCTTCTTCATGATATCCAGGAAGGTCTGGTTGTACTCCCCACGGACAGGCTCTGCACCCGCCCAGCTGTGGCCCAACCGCACAATGTTGAGACCCAAGTCATGCAGGTTTTGGACATCTTGCTCGCCAAATGAGGAGACGCCCGGCACCCACTCCAATGGCCGATGCCATGGTGGCTCCTTCATCACGACATTGGTTCCGTGGAAGAACCGCGTCCGGCCGAATTCATCGATGATCTGATGCGTGTCTTGGTTGACCTGCTTGATACGGGACATGCCCGGATGATCCTGGTACCAACCCTCGGCATCCTGAGCCCACACGCCCGCCGACGGCGTACCGACCACTGCTAGCAGCGATACAACACCAATCCGATTCAACAGCATTCCACTGAAAGGATCCCGTCAGTCCCGGGCGGAAAGAGGAAAAGTGGGAGTGGACGAAGAGAGCAAGTGTCAATCCGAATCAAGGGACTACAGAGAGGTTATAAATGGCCCACGCTTCTTTTTACATAACGTAAACTAGGGTTACATTGCTACTCCATCGCCTGAAGAATTAGACGTCGAGATGGCCTACAGCCACCCCAGAGCTCGGATTGGGCCGTGGAGACACGTCGCAGGGTCTAATGAGAAAAGCGGGTCCAGCTCGCCTATCAACCACCGTGATGGCTGCGGGCAGGTAACATTAAGAACGGCCCAGGTGGGCCACCAGCACTGTGACTTCGCACCCCAAAGGCATCCCACACTTGCATATGTACTTCCGTAGCGCCTACAGCTCTCGCGTCGGAAGCGAGAGCATCTGTGATTGTCGGCGGTTGTAAGCGACTCTCAGTTCTTCGTCACCCGCCTTTACCATTACCGTTGGGAAGGAATCCGATAGCGTGAGCTGATATGCGACCAATCTACCACAGATGCCGTTTCGAGCGTGCGTTGTAGTGTGATTGATTTTATCTCCGATCCTCGCTTCGCTATCAGCAGGCTATTAATTACCAACAATGGTACGGCTTCAGTTCACGGCACAACAGATCAAATGAGTGACATGCGCTGCAGAAGCGGTTTTATGGATCTTGCTTGCCAGGGTGCCACTTTTCAGGCAATTATACGGCCGTCAGATGAGCTGGAATTCGCCATGCTTATCCTTGGGCCGTGGGGCAGTCATTTCAGCAGATGTAGGAGTGTTCCTTTTCCCATGGTTGGGGCAAGGCTACGGAAAAGGGGTCACAACGACCGCTAGTGCCTAGTGTCCGATCATAATACCTCGGCCATTAGGTCCAGAGTCCATGCGCCCTGTTCGCATCCCCGGAAGGCCCCACTTGTCCCTGTCCGTGGATCCCCATTCCAGAACAGATAACCAGATCTTCGTGTGTGCGCCGGGCAAATGGGGGAGCCGAACCGTGTACAATCAAGTCAGAATCCGTGACAGGAGCACAGCAAAGCAGAGTAAGAATGGATCCCAGGTGTTAGAAGACCTAGTATAGAATCTCGCAAATATATCTCAATGCGACTAGCCTGCAGGTTGGCAACGCAATCCTAGTCGCTAGCCACAATAGGGTTTCCCATGCATTAGTCCTATAATCGGAGGAATTATCAGTCCGATCCTTCGGGCGATCCACATGTGATGCTATCCGCAAGTCGAGACAGGGATAGCGACAATCGATTGTTAACCAGACTCTGGGGAAGCAGCTTCCCCACATATAGTCCAGGAGCGGTGCTCCGTGCCCATTTATACAATCATGGCCCTCATCGTAACATGGTCGTTTGCTTTCCGCTGCTCTGAGTTGGAATAACTCGCGTCAGATAGCTTGAGCCTGTTGATCAATTGCAGAATGACTTCCAAACGCGAATACGACTTGATTTTGTTAGGTGCAACTGGCTACACGGGTATACTCACGGCGCGGTATATTTTCAAGTCGCTACCACCTGACCTGAAATGGGCTATTGCCGGGAGAAACAAGGGAAAGCTCCAGCAGCTTGCTCAGTCTCTAGTGCCGGAAAGCTCTTCTAGACAACCACCTCGTCTGTGAACGCCAAATCTCCATTCAGCTTTGCAAAAGCTGAATTCTGAGCAGATACCCTCATCGTGAAGCTAGACCAGACTGAGCTGAACGACTTGGCAAAGAGGACACGACTCGTTATATCGACTGTGGGCCCATTTGCGCTGTTTGGCTCGGAAACCTTCGCTGCCTGTGCTCGAAATGGAACTCACTACTTAGACTGGTAAGTCTCCAGTGTGCTAAAATACATGACCAAACTGACAATGGATGTATAGTACTGGAGAGGTGCCCTGGTTGAAGGACATGATTCAGCAGCACGATCCCGTCGCAAGAGAGAACGGAAGCATTGTATATCCCATGGGCAGGATGATCGCACGGAGATGTTCGTAGCTGACTGCACCCAGATGATTCCGTGCTGTGGCTTCGACTGTGTGCCATCCGACCTTTCCACTTGGGTTGCGGCCAACTATATCCGCCGCCATTTCGGCACCCAGACTGGCCGTGTTGATGTATGCATCCACAGTGTCCAGGGCGGAATCAGTGGCGGGACATTGGCGTCGGTTCTGCAAGCGTTTGAGCTTCATTCCCTTCGCCATCTCTACAAGGCCCATGCCCCCTATTCCCTATCCCCGAGGCGACCCGCACCGACCGTGCCCGTACAACGAACTAGTATCTGGACCAAGCTTTTCGGATTACTCTGGATCAGGCAGCTGGGCTGGATGGCGTATCAGCCACAGGGACCGGTTGATCGAGCCATCGTCCATAGATCTTGGGGCTTGTTAGAACCGACTACCGTTGCATATGGCCACCGGTTTGAGTTCCATGCTTGGTTTAAAATCTGGGGACCCGTGGCTGCGATCTTGTGGCATTTGGGAGGATTAATATTGGCGCCGTTGATCCTCCTACGCCCCATCCGAAAGCTACTTCCGAAGCTTTGGTATGAACCCGGTACTGGTGCAAGCCAGGATAAAATTGAGAAGAATTGGTTCGAGTATCGATGTGTTGCCGAGGCAGATACCGCTACTAAGGTGAAGCCAAAAGCCTTGGTTCGGATGCGATACGAGGGTGATGCATACATATTCACGGCTGCTGCCTTGGGAGAAGCAGCACGAATTCTTCTTTGGCAGAAGGATACATGGGCGCACAACTTTGGTGGTGGTGTGTTGACCTCCGCCACCCTGGGAGATCACTATGTCTCTCAACTACGGGCTGCTGGGGTGACCATCGAGGCTCGACGCGACGATCCAGCATTAAGGGGAAAAGATCCTTTCACCAACGTTTGAAATTGCTGTTGAGGATGCGCCCGGGGGTCTTCCGGTAAAGGCTTGATGTCGTCATTCTATTCTATATTCATACGAATAGTTATGTTTTCACTACTGTCTGCGGCAAAGTCGAGCCCCAGTTATTTTGATCCGTCCACGTGCATCTTCACCTATTGCTAGAATCAAGACGCGGATCGGGTTCTCATCTCAATACTCTCGCTTGCTTAAACTGGTAGACTGGCAATATGGTGTTAAAAATGGTACTAGTCTCACAGAAAGCATAGCCATGAAGTTGTCAAGACAGTATATAGTAACAATGTTTAAAAGGCAGCTTGAACAGGATCTTCATTTTGGCATGTCAGCCAGGATTCAGCAACCAGTTCTGTGCCAAATAACTTGCTGGCTGTGGCTGCGCTGCGTGGAGACCCGAGAAAGAGGACCTGAATGTCAACCACGGGTTACCAGGTTAGTACCGGAGATAGTATTCCCCTCTTGAGTCCCTCCTTTGAATCCGATAATAGCGGCAAACAGGAAGTGGAGTGTTGTAGTGGGTACGACTGACTCTAGAGACCCCCTATGCACGGACTTGGATCTCTTCTGTGGCACTAAGGGACCGAAGCATGACGATCGCCGAGTGCAATGCGGCCGTACTCTGCTAGTTGTCCAGCTGCATTGCTTGATGTAGCTGTCATTTTGCAGGGCAGCGGCGAGGAACCCATACGGCTAAGAGTATCTTGGAAGATCAGATAATACAAGGAACCGCCACCAACGGCCTTTTATCACCAATATAGAAGGCCGCATGCGACTTGGCACACATCATTATGCCTAATTATACACACATCTCCATCCTTTGGCAGTCGTATGGCTCACCTAACCGTATAGCATATTGTTTGGTCGAGGTCGGCCCGGAGTGCGCGTGAGGTCTTCACGGCACCACAGGAAAGGTTAGTCCTAGATGGTTGGCACAAATCCGTGTCTATTCAGATGTCAGCTGCAAAATCGACTGATTCCATCCTCTGTGAAGTGACATGATGTCCGAGCCATCTTAGTCATCATGACCATTGTATGCTGGGTATCGTAGAGCAGCGTTAGGGTAGATCTTCCGACAGCTGTTACGCTGGTGACAATAGAATGTAAAGAAAGTTCAGTCAGTCCACCTCCAGATTTATCCGTGTTCCGGGGCAATATGTCTGCATATGTAATTAACTTTCGCATCCATCCTGTACCAAAGTAATGGGTTGGGCGGGATATAAATAACTTTCGCTCACTTGGGTCCTTGTGTTCTTGGCTTCGTATTCGACCCTTTACACGAAGCTGTTCCACAGCTTTCGTGCCAATGAATTATATTGTCCTCAAAAGGACAAATCTATGACGTTTAGAAAAGTACAGATTACCGTAAAGAACTACATCATGCACCCAGAAGGGGTCAAATGTTCTTTTGCCTTCAGGATACAACCGGCTAATCTAGAACACATAGGATACCAAGTACGGGCGACGAGTCAAAATACCTTGAGGGGCACCAGATATAGAGATCTGTATCTTTGGATACGATGGTAGTTTGAGGCAAAATATACCAAAAGGATCCGTCTCTGCGTTTCTCTCTCAGTTCTCTGGTACATCTCCAGCCAGCTTGACCCTGAGAAAACGCCGAATTACGAGATTTATCATGGCTATCTGGTTATAGACAGATTTACTGCCATGCATTAATATACCAGGGTCCAAGGTAGTATCGTATTGGGAAAGTGGACTTTAGTATGAACGGGGGTCTAGATCAACCATGTTGAGTTAGCCTAACTATGCAGTGGTGTGACAACGCCTTCTATACACCTTTCATTGGCCTTGATTCAGAACCGCTCCTGAAGTAGCTACTGTGTACCAAAGTCCTTGGGCATCTCCAGGGCTATATGCTTTTGACTCTCGATAACGGACATTTCGACCATACCACGACGCCTCCTCTGGCCATAAGGCATAAATACCTCCATCTCTCCTCTCCACGATGGTCCTCGACCCATCCTTCCAACCCGGACCTTAACCATCTTCCCTTCAAACAAGCTTAGTGAACAACATCATGTTGCTGTTTAGCCTTCTTACCTATACCGGCCTAGCAACTGCTCTGACCTGTACCATTATTGGTCCAGGCTCCGGCAATTGCCGTTCCTGCCCAGCTGATGACTGCGAAATAAAGCAGAAATTCAACACTGGAAGCCGGCAGGAGTTTAAGTGTGTCTGGCCTGATGGCGGACCGGTTTCTGGCAGAAAGTAAGCTTGCCGGTTTGAAATATCATTGACCTCATGCTAATGGTGACCGTTCCTCAAGACGCTGGGGCTATAACCAGGATCGTGACTGCTTTGTATCAGAAGTAAGGCTTGGAAGGTGCAACATCAGTATGTTTACAACATGTTTCATACCTACCTCAGGAATAACTAAGGCTCACGTTTTATAGACTCCGTGACGGATTGTGTTGTGGGCTTCGCTCAGGGTTTTGCGCCCCCTACCTAGGCTTCACTTTAACCCGGACATTCTCACATCTGGAATCTCGGATCACCCTTGCAGGCCCCCAATTCTTCTTTTTGTTTTTGTTCTTTGTCTTATTCTTCTGCTTTTTTATTCCCTTTTTCTTTTTCTTTTTTCCTTCTTTCCTTTGTGATTCTCGGGCCAGGAGTTCTTTGGAAAGTGGACCGTTTCACCTCGCATGGATGCTAGTCAGAAAATCCCATATTTCGTCCATAAATAGTATACGTCTGATACCGAACAGCTAGTTGTATGTTACACAATATAGCATAATATTGCTTCCAATCAATTCTGCAGACTGCGACATTTGTCTTCCTGAAGCGACTCGTCCATGATTTAGCATGCTTCCATGCCTCTTGGTGTCAAGGAAGCTTACTTAATAGCTCTTGTATGGGAGATTATTTGGCACCCATGTGTACCCTTGGAGCGTAAGATGTGTAATACAGCTATGTATCAACACAAAGCCGTTTTACACAATAGCAGGCGACATTTCCTTGACACAAACCATATTTGCACGAGAAGTCAAACGGCAGGGATTATGCAGGTAGCAATATGTGTATACTCTGATGCTCTTGTTGAGGAAGTAGCGTATAATGTTTATTCTCATCATAATAGATAGGTAAGATTAATCACCTGTTAGTCATGGTGCATAAAACACTCGATAACTGAGAAGAAACTACCCAGAGAGAGTAGTAAAACCTAACTGTATACAAACATATCGATACCACTACACACACACACACACACACATGCATTTGTTTAAAACCAGAAATGACAGTGGAGACTATCTAGATCCAAGTATATCGCAGGTATAGAGGAGACCCCACATACTGATAGAAGGAATTTAAACAAGCTTTGCGCTGTTGAAAGAATAAAACCGCCCAGAGCTGTCAGCAACCTTGTAGAGCCGAAGTACAACCACTTAACTGACGATGGACCTTTCCACCTCTCTCCCTATCCTCGTCTTCCATGACTTTGTAACTTCGGCGAATAAGGTAGGGTTATTGGCTTAAGGTCCCGACGGGTTCAAACATCCGATGGCGTTCTCCACATGTGCAAGACTACTACCTCGGCTGTGGAATTGAAGCCATGCATTGTGTGCAATCACGCTCCCACTCGTCCCTCTCATCTTATATTTGCTGCTGCCAAGAGGTTCGTATAATGCCATCGACAGAGACTTTCCCTCAAGCACGAAACGTTAAGATATGCGGCCACATCAAGAACGAGGGTCGGCAACCTCGCCACCAACAGTCGAGACTCTTGCTGTCGAATCCGTCCCGCCAGATACAGAGCCCAATTACCCAACAGGCACCAAGTTTTGGTTCACCATCATAGCGCTGGGTGTCATCCTAATCCTCGGCGGTCTGGATGCCAACATCGTTGCTACAGCGGTACCGAGTATCACCAACCACTTCCACACGCTCGCCGACGTAGGATGGTACTCATCTGCATTCCGACTCTGTACCTGTGCATTCCAGTTCGGGTTCGCGAAGCTATATACACTCTTCTCGATTAAGGCTATTTTTTTAATAAGTAATATGATATTCCTTGTAGGCTCAGTACTCTGTGCCACGGCTGCTTCGTCGACGATGTTTATTGTAGGAAGAGCAGTAACGGGTCTGGGATTCGCCGGTGAGCTGGCTGGCTGTTTTGCCGTCCTTGTGCACATTGTTCCGCTGAACCGACGCCCCGTATTTGCGGGTTTAATGGCGTGTGTGGAATCGCTGGCCATCATTGCGGCGCCTATATTGGGTGGTGCACTGACGCAATCTCTGGGGTGGAGATGGTGTTTCTGGTATACCCTGCTCCTTCGAGTCATGACCAAACTGGAGGCTGCGAGATGCTGACACCTGCATAGGATTAACCTTCCTATCGGCGCAGTATCGCTAGTGACCATGCTTTTCCTTTTCTCGGACCCAAGAACTGTCCAGGAGGACGACCTTACGATAACCCAAAAGATTAGAGAGCTCGACCTTGTGAGTAACTGCTTATTCATTCCCTCCCTGACAGCCCTGTTCATTGCGCTATCGTGGGCGGGGACCAAGTATCCCTGGTCTGATGGGAAGGTGATTGGACTATTCGTTGTATTTGGTGTCCTACTCATTGCCTTTATTATCAATCAATACCGACGCGGAGATTCGGCAGCTCTCCCTTTCCGTATCATTAAAAGCCGAAATGTCATCGCTGGCTTTATCTTCACAACGTGCACAAATTCAATGACAAATGTCTTGGAGTGGTATTTACCAACGTACTATCAAATCGTTCGAAACCAGGTGAGCTTTCACCAGATAGTGAACGACGTACTCTCACTGACAATACTCCATGCGACCAGACCCCAAGCGAGAGCGGTTACTTGATGATTCCCATCCTTGTGGGAATGATGCTCGGGCTCTTTTTGCAGGGTATCGGTACTACAACCTTCGGCTACTACGCCCCATTTATGATCTTTGGCTCCGTTTGCATGCCGATTGCCGCAGGCTTGATGACAACATACAATCCGCACACATCCCTTGCCCAAATTATCCTGTATTCGGGATTGGCCGGTTTCGGTGGAGGTATCGGCTTTCAGGGCTCCCAGGCAGCTGTTCAGACAACGTTAAGTGCCGCAGATGTCAATCTTGGGATCGGGGTCATCTTGTTCGGGCAGAGTATGGGCCCGGCGGTGTTTATAGCCATTGCGCAGGTTATATTCACCAATCAGTTGTCATCAATCTTAGACGGTGTCGTACCGGGGTTGACACCTGCTTATATTGCAGAGCGTGGACTTGGTGATATTAACAACCTGGTTCCCATGCAGCGGTGGGATGAGGTGCTGCGCGGAATCGATCAGAGTTTGACTCGGACGTGGTACCTTTGTGTCGCGCTGGGTTGCACGACCATTGTGGGAAGTCTGTTGATCGAATGGCGCTCGGTTAAGGAGAAGCAGTCATGAACGTGGTAGTGCTTCCATATTGGAGTTTTATGGATAGCCTTGCTAATTCAAGGGTCATGACAAGGACATAGGCTGAGTAAGTACTTACTCTAGAAGTCTGCGGCTAATTGATAAATTTGTAAGTAGTGGATGAATTGGTTGACACATCCGACGCCGCATGACTCTTGATTTGGCCATGTTTCTTTGACCCTTTCGCCTTGTTGCAGGTATGTACATATATCGGATCCAGCTCAGATGAAACCATGTGATACAATATATATCTCGAGTACAGCGTATTCAACTAGTAGTAACGGTTTGACAGACAACTGGCACCCTAGACTAGACAGAAAAATCTACTGTGGCTTTCAGTTGCAGTCTCTACTGTCGTATACACAGACAGTTCTGAATCCAACGATATCGTACATCTCCCTCCGCTGTGACTCCTCCGGAGAGTGACATCTGGTGGCGAGCCTTAGGCCGACCACGCGAGCAAAGACGCGGGCCGCCCGACGCTAGGCCACAAGCGGAAAGAGCAGGAGACAGCCTTTTGTTCAACGCTGTTGATATCCACCTCGCTTACTCCATGCAATCAGTGCTGTATTGGTTACCTTTACCTCCACTCACGGTTTCCAATGGGAAATATGATCAAAGATGTTGAGAGGCCATTTCAATCAGGCAGGTCCTCCCGTTCTTCAGAGCTCCTCGGTGGGTCATATCCAACCAGATCTTCGGAACGTCGGAATCTCGGAAACCCCAAAGTTTTACCTCCATCGGCCAATTTATGGCTCTGTGATTCCTCGCGGCTGCCCGAAGCTGGCTCGCCATCATCACATTGCACGTATAACTCGCTACGATGCCAGACTCCGATCGCCAGCAAGGGGATTGTATCGGCGCCTTCCCAGGCACAGAGTGCGGCACCAAATCAAAACCTTCCACCGATATAGATCCACATCGTGTGGGGAAATGTCAGCCGTGGTCAATATCCGCCGGGCTGAGGTCAATGGATATCACAGCGCAAAAAATCAACATGTAGGTGTCGTCCATCTTCATTTCTCAACCTCCTTGTACCTAATGTGCGATTGTGAACGGCAGCCTGATCTCTAGCTCAATCGGCCAGGACACCGCTCTCGGCTCCATTGAATATCTATCACACGCCTTGCATTACTTTCTCCTCTCCAGAATCTGGAGGAAACTCAAGGCTCGCCTGTATGCTCTGCTGAGAGTGATTCAGAGACGTAAAACTACTCCGTGTCAACATCACTCCCGCCCTGAACGAGTCAGGACACCTCCGTGGTCACCGCTTCTGTCCCTGTCAACTTTGATGTTCGACACTCGTTGCACCCTACGTCTCCTGGGACTATTCTCGATATGGACCTGGGGCTCGGAAACCGCAAAGGCTCCACCGGTGGATCGAATGGTTCGAACACTTACGCGGCTTCAGTTATTGGCGACCACATCGTACCAACTCCTAGAGAATGTCGCGTTCCTCATGTCGAAGGATGTTTTACCGGAGCGATTATGGGGACGGCTGGATGGCGAGAAGCTGTTTTCTTGGAGTCTTCTTTCTCTGTGTGCACATATGATACTCCAGTTAGGCAAGCTTTGGCGGGAGAGTGTGCTTAGAAAGGAAGAAGACCGGAAAGTGATGTTATCCAGCAATGGGTGCATAAACATGATTGACAAGGAAGAGGAAAGTGCGACTGGAATCGGCGACAACGACACGGAAATATCAATACGGCAAGAAGAAACCACGGAAGCGAGGAAGAGCTTAATATCTAGCTTGACTTGGGGAGCATTATGTGCGCATTGGGGTATGCCCGCTGGAATTGGGATTCCGGAGGCCTTCATAGGGGCCTTGAGCTTTGTTGCTGATGCTTGGGAACTAAGGGATACATGGAATTCAATCGAAGTTCCATAGGTTGGATGTTTCTGCGGCTTACAGGCTGGAAATACACGGTAGCGCGTTATTTACGTTATCAGGAAGAGCAATACATCATACTCAACGGGGATCCTTCAATTGAAGAGGTTGACCTACAGAACATGCACCTCATGTATTGTATGAAATTGAGCCACTTATGGTAGCCGGTTAACGGATATGATTGAGTGTGCCCTAAGCGGCGAACTTTCAATGGAGCCATTGACCCATAGCTCCTCAAGTGGATGTCTGGTTGCTGGAGAACCTGGGAAGGATATCTGTTATAGGAGTTGCTGGACAAGAGTACCGCGTGCTATTGTGACTACAGACAACAATCTTTCTGTTCTCGGGACCTGGCACCTGGGTCATCGTGCAAAAGGTACGTATATACGCCGTTGTTTCTTGCGGTGTCGCATTGTCCCGATTTTTGGGTTATTAACCCTCACTGCCCTAGGATATGAAAAATGCCACATCTCGACGCCATCCACGTTGCCGTCAGCTGGCTCTTTGTGCACAATTTGTCTTTCGCCAAGGCGTTCAGTTTATCCAGACGCTCCCAGCTCTTCCCATAACCCTCCTCCTTATACCAACGCCTCCTTCTCGGGCGGTTGCGATGAAAGTTAATATGACTCGACTCGATATCCAATGTAAGGTTCTGTTTTGAGCTTGGCCTATGTTTGATGACATTGGAGTAGAGTCCCGTGCAATCCTGAGATTGAAGCTTGCCACTGAATGGCCTTTCTCACTTGTACGTGATGTGCATATACACCCATGTTTGTTCTCTCCCAACTATTCTGCTCTTTCACATTCCAACGCGAGTCGATCTTTGTCAGACTGTTCTACCTGCACAGCCTGGATATCATGCTATAAATGCCCCTTATTTCCTCAAAGTGGCAATCCGGCGCCGAACATGGCCCAACGATTGTGAGATACCCACTTGGTCGTCGAGAATGCTGGTTATGGCTTCTGCGTGGCTCCGGATCAGCAACCTCTCCAGACTGGGTGGCCATTGATCAACAAGCCAATATAGTTCATTCTGGCGGTCCCGGTTCCCCTCGTGTAAAGGCAGGCCGAGGCCCCAATCATAGTTCTCTCGGGGCTGAGAAGTGCTCCAGCGAGCCCTTCCGCCTCCAGATCCATAGGGCATCCTCAACGAGTTGTCACCATCTGCATACTCATTACTCTGCTCTTCCTCAAGGCAACTTGTTTGATGTGCCTGGCTCTCAGTTTCGTTCATGATCTACGAAGCGAAACAATTTTGACATCCGGATACAAGACCTCGAGAGTTGTGTGGTGAGATGGTGGTGCTTGCAAGACAACGCTATGACTGACGATGTCACAAGCTGTTTCCAATCGAATACCAGAACGTCTTGCGGCAGTCGGGTGGGATTAGCCCACTCTTGAGGTTAAAATAGTCTTCTTTATGTCCCGTGTACTTCCTTCTGACCGATTGTCCACCGACCGGAACACTTTTGTGGTCCCGATTATGATCTCATATTTTACCGGACGCGAGCCGATGATTGGGCATCTTGCTGCAGCCAGCACTATGCCGGCGAGAATGAGTACATGTCGTCGTATCTATCTCCTTGCAAGATAGTGGTGGGTAACTCGTCGTGACGCCACCGAGATAGCACTGAAGATGGCGGAGTGGGGAAGCCGCCCGTCTAGTGGTTTTGTTTCGCGTGGACCTTCCTTGGCCTTAGCCTGGAAGCTTTGGACGCTTGGAGCATGGGGAAGAGACCCACTCGGGTTATCTGGCTCCGGAGATAAGAGATATTGCTAAGAAATAGTCGGAATGATGCGCCTTGACGATAACCGTTATCCTAGATCCCGATACTGTGACGGAATTAGACACTGCGGCGTAACAAAGCAAGAAAAATAGAAAGAAAATCCCTATCAGGACAGCACATCTTCTGGATCAATATCCACCATGGGATTTATCGAAAGACAACAGAGCAGAGAGGCGCTGGAGCAATCTTCCCGCGTGGACCTTCCATCGCCTTGAGAAGAACCCCATGGGGAACAGACCCACCATTCACTTCGCCGCGAGACGCTCCGGACACGAGCTTAGCGTCAAGATATGAGGAGACATACTCCGAAGCCAGACACCCATCTATATAAGCCGTCATGCTGGCCAAAAGGATTCTGGCATCTTTCTCCTCTGACCTGACCCAGTCACTCAAGGCGCCGTACGTGTGGTGATCGTACACCTCTTTCATAATGATCGACGCAAAGACGGCTGTTCCTATTTCACGCGAGGGCTCTTCTCCCACCTCACCAACCAATATAGTCGATCAGAGTCAGGGAGTCACCATGGAGGCCATTCCGCTATGGAAGCGTGTATGGCGGCACAGTTTGACGCAGATGATCCTTTTGAGCGTCCAGGCTTTTTGTGGGCCCGCCATGTCTGACGCGATTACGGGTAGGAAATCTATACCATCACCATATGCCAACTAGGCTTCGGTGGTCTGAATGTGCCGCTGACTTTTTGGAGGCCTCGGCGGTGGTGGCCTTGCAACTCCACAGGTGTCAAATATTTCGACCGCGATCAGATATGCCACGTTAGCTGTCGGTATGTATCTCGGCAGACTCGATCAATAACTGTCAGTGTGCTGATCGGTGAATGCCCGATCAAGTCTGCTTCTTGGGCGGTCCCATAGTTAATAAAATTGGCGTGAAGTGGGCCCTGGTCATCGGCTCAATGTCTTTCCCCATCCAAGGGTCTGCCTACTACTGCAACAGCAAGTTTGGAAACCAGTGGGTGAGTAATAGGACTTCTTGAACGTGCCCACCGGCCAGATTCATCCTTTCTTCTTGAAGTACGCAATGCCTGACAGGACGCCACTTTTTCCAGTATCTCATTCTCAGTGGTGCTATTGGCGGTATCGGAACTGCTTGCTGGTATGTCGCCGAAGCTGGAGCCATCATGACGCTTGCACCGTCGGGTGCTCGTGGAAAGTACCTGGCACTGTGGATTGTCTCGCGAAACCTTGGACAGTTGGTTGGAGGCGCAATCAAGTAAGCCTCTCGAAAGTCTACACGAAAAGCTTGTGTGATGAATCGATGCTAACTGAGGGCCCACTCTTTTGATAGTCTATCGAAGAACCACGAGAAAGGCGCCAATGGCGGAGTCACACCCGATACTTTCATTGCCTTTGTGATTATTGAGTGCATCGCGTGAGTGTATTCTCCCTTTGCATAATCTCGAGGACCGAAACTAAACGACGATTCTTGCAGCCTTCCGTTCGCATTATTAATCACCCCCTTTGAGCGCGTTATTCGATCCGATGGCACCCAAATCGTGACCGCAGAGACTCTGTCTACCAAACTGGAGCTTAAGCGCATCGCGAAAACCATGACCTCACGGCTCATCGTCCTTTCGTCGCTTTGGGCATTGTGGTCGTTTTTCTACACGTAAGTCATATTTCACACTCATTTTCATTTATTCGACAACAAGGAAACATTGACAGAAATGGTAGTGGTACTTGGACTACCTACTTAGGTACCTACTTCTCCGTCCGGGCCCGCGCGCTCTCATCTCTGATTTCGCCCTTCTTCTGCATGTAAGTCGAAGGCGTGTTTGATTCTTATTATTTACACTGACCAAGTGCTTTCCTGACCAGCATCGGCTGCTTTGGCCTCGGCTATATCCTCGACATGAAAGGTCTTAGCCAGCGGCGTCGCGCACAAATTGGTCTTTACACCGTCGTCGTCCTCAACGTCGGTGTGTACATCTGGTCCATCATCATGCAGACCAAGTTCAACCGCCATGATCCTGGCCACATTGATTGGGATGACGGACTGTATGCTTCGTCCTTCCTGCCGTATTTCTTTGTGCAGACCACAGGTCCGTTGTCACAGTCATACATGTATTGGCTCCTGTCGTCTTTTGCGACAGATGCACAGGGTGAGTATTGAAATAGATCTGTGTTTGAAGAGCCGCAAGAACTCGTTCATATGCTAATGGCCTGTTAGAAAACGTTCGGAACGGGGCTGCATTCAGATGCATCGAAGCTATCGGCCAAGCAATTGCCTACGGCATGAATACTCAAACAACGAGTGACCCTCTCATCGGATTGTACGGTTTCCCATCCCACTTCTATATTATAAGGCCCAGGACATACTGACTAGCCTAGTTGCGTGACGTTCGCCCTCCTTGGCGCTTCTCTGCTCCCCATGATTATGCTTGTGAACACGACGCCGGACCGCATTCCCGCTGATATAATTGCTGAGCAGCAGGATGTTGCTCGTGAGAAACTTGAGAGTGCCTAGATTAGCCAGGACTTCATGGTCTGGGTTAGTGTAATAAGCGGATGTTGTCTATAGTACATATTATGGATGCCCTGTATATACAGTGTCTCGCCAAAACACCAAAGGCTCTAGATCTGAATACCACTGAGACTTTTTGACATGTTTCACATGGGATACCAAGGCTAGACTATAATAGTCCCGCGGAAGTCGTACAAAGTAGCAAAAGGTGAAGGCGTCTGTGTAACTGCGTCTTCGATGGGTAAGGCAATATTCCCGTCACAGGACGGTGTGTAAATGGGATGGGGGCTACTCGTTAGCAGCAAAACTTCGAATTAGAGTAAGTTGCCAGGGTTTTCTTCATGAATTATTAATACAAGATAGTCTATAATATATTGACACCTCTGCTGGGCGGTGTCAAAAGATAGCAGAAGGTCCCATGCTGGGGTTTATCCATTGTCCGCGAAATGGTGGAATGGAAACAAGCCCAGCTGCGGGCTCTTCAGGTTCGGCCTTAGAGCCCTCAGCCCATATTCAAACACGCTCCACTTCGACACCACCGATCTCCTTTTCACCAGAGTGCTGTTCTGATTGAATATACCCATATGCCTTGATTTCCGCCGCCATCAGTCTGGCCTGTTTCACCGGATCCCCGCCCCGGGAAAAGATGAGATCAATATCCTCAAGGCGCAGGTTGCTCGTCTCAGGATAGAAGAAGTAAATGATTGGGATAAAGAGGAGGTTGGTGACCATGAAGATCAGGTATGCCTTCCACTGGATGCGGTTGATGATAACTGGCGTGATCATGACCACAGTAAAGTTCCACAGCCAGTTGGAGCTCACTCCAATCGCCGTGCCTTTGGTCCGGGCTTCGAGGGGTAGAATCTCTGGGACGTACACCCACGGGACCGAGTTGATGGACATGCCATGGATCAGCATGTAAAGGAAGAAGAAGGTAACAGAGGCGGAGGCATAGGCCTGTCCATTGGGCTCATTGACCTGGGAGAGCAGGGCTGCGACCATGAGCATACATACGCCTAGGCCAAAAGAACCAATCATCATTGTCTTGCGTCGGCCCATCCGATCCAGCATAAATGCGGGAAGAAGCGATCCGAGCATGAACATGATCTGGATGCACCCGCCGAGGATCTGAGAAAGTTGGTAACTCATGCCCACGTTTTGTCTGAGGACCGCTAGTAGATGGATCATCAGTAGTGGTCATCCAGTTCAAGGAATACAGCACCTACTCGGAACAAAATAAACGACTAGGTTGATCCCTCCAACCTGGTTCATGAGCTGAATCCCCCACGCAAGGAGCACTCGTTGGCCCGTTTTCACCTCATCGTTACGGAAAATCTTCCAAAACGACTGTTTGCTGGCCGCGTCTTCTAGCTCAATCGCTGACAAAATTGCCCTGTGCTCGTTGACGATGAATTCGTCATCCCGCTCCCGGTCATAGACGGCGCAGAGGACCTCCATGGCTTCTTGCTCTTGGCCGTGGTTCATCAACCATCGCGGAGATTCTGGGAGGCCAAACACCAGCACAATAACGAAGATGGCGAATACGATTTGCATCCCAATCGGAAGTCGCCAGGCGATGGGGCCGCCGACAAATGACATCCCGAAGTCAAACCAGTATGCCACAACGATACCAACCGCAGTGAAAAGTACTTCGGATGAAATTAGGCGTCCTCGGGTTTTGCCCTCGCACATCTCAGCTTGATACCTTGGGTCTCGGTCAGCATCCTAGTCATTGTGTTTCAATGATCGCTAGCACCGAAGCTTACATTGGCACCGTCGATGTCTTCAAACCTGTGCCCGCTCCGGTCACTACTCGCCCAATGATCAGATGGGACACAGTAAACGCGCTAGTCTGCAATACTGCGCCAACGATCACCACACCCATTGCTAGCCAGATGGTCTTCCGGCGGCCGAGACTCTCTCCGATGAAGAAGTTGACTAGTGTCCCTCTGAGTCAGCCCGATGCTCGTTGATAGTTGCCAGTTCACTTACTCAAGCACCCCAAGAGACAACCCAGGTTATAGCAGCTGACTATAATTCCTTCCTCCGAATCATCGGGATAGTTGAACTGCTTCCTCCAGTCCTCATTTCCAACAATCCCGCTGAAGACGCCCTGGTCGTATCCGAACAGAACAAAAGCGACAAGACAGCATGCAGTGATAGCTGCCTGCAGGGATTTGCCCCTTCCATACCAGGAGCGCATACTGAGCGGTGGATAATAATTTAAGAGAAGTGGTCCACTACTGAATAGCACATGACAATGGCCATGGATCTGGTCCAGCCGAGAGCGTTCTTATATATCCTCCGTGAACCATGTATATGACGACACGCTGGTTCTCAGAGTCGGGAGGACCCCGATGATTGTGGATTGGAAGGGTCCATCTTGTCCACTTGACGGACAGCAGTGGATCCAACGCGGGGGATTCAGGAAGCTGGAGAGAAGCATCAGATATCGTTGTGAATAATGCGGAGGGTGAAGGGTCTGGGGAATGTCTGCATCGGGCAAGCGAGGGTCCAACTCGGCCGCCGTCCGAAGCCCATTGCGGTTTAACTTGCCTGGTTGGGCCCGCCCCAGGATAAGGATTGCTCCGAGCCCACGTGACCCGGGCCCCTTTTGGGGGACGCGTGCTGGTTTGGGAAGCCGCAACCACTCCGGTTCTCCGCCGATCTTGTGCCGATCGTATATCAAACCGAGTCTGCGAGCATCGCTCCTTTCGAGACTACACGTAGGGTTACATTAGCTTACGGGCACCTCATGTTCGACTGAGAAATGGCGCGAAAATGGGTCCAATGACACCCTTGGTACGGACGACATGGGGAGAATTGCAATATATCGAATGCTGGAAAGAACAGGAGGGGTACTGTGATATTGGTCTTTATATTCAGAAATACCTGAGCCCAAGTCCGAGTGACTTCAGAAGAACTTGGCTGTACTTGTTCTCTATTCGTGTAGCCGTTCGATATCCGTAAGATTGAGTCCCAGCCCTCCACATTGGATGGGTTGACGGTATTATATATAATCCATACTCGATTGCCCACTCGAGATGATTTACTTTCCATTTGGACACAGTACTAGCCAAGCGAGGCCTTTAATTTCAAACTACGGTTGCCCGTCTTGGATTTTGTTGATCGCCATTTCCAGCTGGTGTAACTAATGGCAAGAAAAGTCAAACTCATCGGGGTTCCACATCGTGTCCGGGTTGATAAAGGCCGAGTCCGAAGGGCATTTGGGGATAGTAATGTTCAAAAAATTTCCCAGCTGATCGTCGATATCCTGAAAGATGGGATCCGCCACAAAATCATTAAAACCGCTGTCATCCAAGTCCCCAAAGTCGAACAATGGTTGGTGATCTGTCATTGCGACGGCCTCGTTTTCAAAAAGTTGTTGGTCGTGTGCCGCTTCGGCTACTGCTACTGAGCTCCCTTCGGAATGGAACGAACACACATCACAGGCATCGCAGCTTGATGAAGCTGCAGCAATAGGTCCCTTCTTGTATGGCGGCGCTAGTTGACTCGTTCTTCCCGCCAGGCGTTGCATGCCGTCCAGTGCACGCTGACCAAGCCGGGTCATCACTTGAGCGGACCACCACATCGAGCTCAGAGCCTCTAGGCTCTTATAAAAAGTTTGTAAATGTTTCTTGGCCGCATGCTGGGCACTGAGAAGCTGACAACGCTTGAGCTGTTTATAGGAGATGGAGAACGCAAGTGAGATGGAATACGCAACTGTCGGTAAAGGCGCGAACTGACTGATAGCGCACATTTGTATCAGCGTGGCTATGCGATAGACAGCCAGATCCTGTCGCAGGTACAACGCGTGAGACCGAGGTTGAGCCTTAAGGCCCCATGGCCGCGAAGCTAGAAGAGCTATTGCATGATACGCCAATTCAAACGACACTGAGGTAGTTTAGCCAGAACTCTGTGTAGAAGAAGGCGTGAGAAGGAGACTGACACATTTGATCCAAGGGTATATTCTCCGCTTGACATTTCGCGATCAGTTCTTCGAATCGGGGAATTTCGGGTTTGTTCTCATCCACCGGGGCATCCAGCATTGGCCGATACACCACCATGACCTCGCCCATGATTGACGCCAAGGAAAGCCAGACGCGGAACGGGCTGTCGAATAGGTCAATCACGTCTGTGAGCTGTTGTCCCAGGTCTCTGTCATGGATCACCAACGGCCTCCCGTGAATGGCAGCAGTCCATCGGTCAAGACTCCACAGGCACCAAAACAGTGTAACTAGCGGTTTTTCATGCCTTTCAGGTCCGCACTTTAGGAAGTGTAGCCCAACCGTGTGAGCATGATGAATGGCTTGGGCTAAGTAGAGCGACGCGTCCTCAAAGCTCTTTGGTCTTGAAGTATGCAACGAAGCAAGAGCAAGGGTCTGTATTAAAGCCATCCGTTTCCGCTCTAGACGCATGGTAATAGCATAGCAAAGGTCGTCGTACAGAAGGTCGCTAAATTTGCGAGGGGGAATGGTTTCGGTACGATCCCCAAGCTGGAGCAATGGTTCTGCATCGCGTTCCTTCGAGGCCACCAGACATATTGCCTGCACGAGGTACAGAGAAACAGTACCATTGCGGAATTGCATTTGAAAGTCTTCCTCGTGGACCAGAGGGAGCATGGGGTGGATGCGATGAAAGTAAATGTTTATCAACGCTTCCTGCGTTTGTCGTGGCGGGAGAAGAGGACCCGCGCATCCGGAATGTCGCTTTGATCGAGACACCTGGTATCGGGTATTACTCGATGAGCGCTCTTCATGAGAGGCGTTCTCGCCTTTTTCAATAAATTCATTTTCCCCATCGAGCCAGACTCCAACATCCTGCTGATGAGCACGCCCACGCATGAGTCTCATACTACCATCGTCGACAAAGAGTACAACTGGGTTCAAGTCACCGATAAACCGATGGGTGCTGGTATCCCTCTGTGAAATTTGCGAGGCGTTTCTTTGACTATCGATGTGAACTTGAGAGGGTTGTTGCGCACTCTGTAGCTTGGGCTCTGCAGGTGCGCCAGGAAGTCGCTGCGATGCTGAAACACCCCGTGGTGATTGTGACCCCCGCGTCGTAGCTGGAGAATATTGAACAAACTGGGTAGTCGGCCGCTGTGGCGTAGAAAACGCCGATTGTCGGTTTGCTTTCTGATGGTAGCATTTCTTCTACATGTCCGGTGAGTGAAGTGCGCACGCAAGGGTAAATACCAACCAACCTTTCTCAGGCGGCATCTCTCACAAGCACCCCTGGCATAGGATCTTTTCGGGACTTTTCCATCTTGACTGATATGGAAGGTGAGGTCCATCTCGACTGACTCATATGGTGTTGCTTGTTCAATCTCGTGGTGGCAACTTGCCCACAAGTGATTCAGGTTTTCTATCAGGTCAGAGGGATTGGTCGTGGCACACCTAGAATGACCTCTATTCGCTTGGGCTGATTACCAACGGATTTGACTCACGGTGTATTTGATATCTGTTCGGTAAGTCTAGACGACGACGACGTCGTCCGATCCACTTCGGTGGTCTGGACCAGCAGCTTCCATTTATACCCGATCTGGCAGTCTTGGCCACTGGGAGACTTACCCTTTTGAGCCATTCCGCCCTTGATGGGGAAGTTCCGCTTTCCGGACCTAAAAGGGAAATCCCTTCATCCCATGCGATACTAAAAGAAAAATATATATAAGAAAACAGTGAGGAGTCGACGGCACAAGTACAGACGAGCAGTAGTGAAATCAGTTGGATTGATCATAACGACATTGCATATCTAGTGACCCATCGATACCCTTCATGATGTTGTTCAATGAGACCGTGTGCTGCAGTGTAAGGTTCGATTTGAGTCCAAACTCCCATCTTGACACTTGCTCAAAACAAGCTAACGCCACTATGTTTCACATCTGTAGTTTGGACAAGTCATGTATCTTTCTTCCGTCTTCAAATTGCTCTGAGGGCAAGCCTTGCATATCTGGGAAGCTTCGTCTGTCACTTGCGCAAGCTATGACCGTTAGAGGAATCTCGGTCCAGGTGCGAGGTCTAGCCAAACTGTGAGTTATTCTCTGCGGGTTTAAAATTCCCATCTCTAACAAACATAGGCCATATGATCAGGGCACATTCTTCCAATCCTATCATGAAGAAAATACATTTGTAACAACCCAGCCCCTGGCGTCGTCTCACAAGCAGAATCCATTCAACCTACCAACAGGGGACTATGAATTTCCATTCAGCATTCCTCTAAATGATAACATGCTGGAAACTGTCTCCTGTCGACGGTCAAGCTACCGCTTGTACCAGGTACATGCCATCATCCAGCGCAGGTGGAACAGAAATGTCACTGTCTCTAAACCGATCCGAATTTATAAACGGTTTTCCATTGAGGAGAGCCTCAACTGGATGTTAGCTTTGAATGTCAGCAATGCAATGGCATTGTGCCTATGTACACATGGCTAATGATGCTTTATAGTCAATTGACAAACAGTGGGATAATGTCGCGCAATATAACGTGTCCATCCCCGATGTCAATATCCCGTTCGGCGCAACATTTCCCGTGAAACTCCGGGTCGCCCCCTTATCAAAACGTATAAAGCTCCAAGCGTTAACGATCGATGTGGTTGAGCAGCATGAGGTCAAAATGAAAGCTCCGGCAACATACTCCGCACAGTTCAACGTCCACTTTCTATCATCCAACAAGGAGCACGTCATTTTCAGAGAGCGGCACAATTTAGATGACTGCACAGTGTCCGGATCAGAAGACTCTGATCTTGAGTGGTGTATAACAAAAGCTATATCTTTGCCACAGGACCTCGAAGAGTACACCCAAGACGTGAGCTCTAACGCGATAAGGATCAAGCATCATGTAGCGTTCACCGTCGAGTTGCTCGGCGTGGGCGAGGGGGTATCCATGGTAAGTGAAACCCATTAGTTATACACGACAGAAGAGCACCGCTGCATACCTTTCCTGGACTACCTATGCTAACGCCTCTATAGATCAAAGGAACTATTCCACTGAATATTTACATGTCACCCCATGCCATCAGTGAGGACGGCACCGTTCGTCGTCTTCATATTGATAGATTCCATGACGAATATGTGCCTCCTCCACCCTTGTACAGCGAACATCAAAACGATTTATTGCTACCTATAGCGGAGGCTTTGCTGGATATTAAGAAGCTACGATTGAATTGCGAGCAACAACTGGATAATGCGAGCTTCAATTCTACCCGACGTGACTGTGCACCCAGTTACGAAACCGCGATTCAAACTAGCCATTAATCGCAAACCACACTCGGGCAATATGTTCTTAGAATTGAATGATCGGGATATTCTCAGACTGGGATGTTACCTAATATCTTTCCACCCGCTGAAGATTTCAGCCAAAGCTTAAATATATCCCTAGCTCTGTTTATGGCTCATGATTGAATGTGACTGGATATAATGTTTACTGCGCGTCTCAGAAATTGCGGGTCTATCTGTATTCATCAACATACACATCATACGAACCGACCATTCCTTGCTTAAACTCCATATTAAAGCCAGTATTTCCTTGGGAAAAGAAGATACTGTTTGAGAAAAGAAAAGATACAGTTTCTTCACTAGTAAGAAAAGAGATCCCTGGTGATCACGGCCCACGCGATACACTTTAGAATAGCTTAAAGTTAGGATTTTTAGTACCCCATTTGATGGGAATTGATGTAGACCAAGAGACTAATAAGTTAGGATCCCGCACTGTCGAGGTTTGTCAACGTTTTTTTCTTCTTCTTCTTTTCTTCTCATTTTCGCTACGAAAATACGGTGAGCATCCCCTTGCTTTTCTCCCGGTTGCCATGGATCAGATGACCAATCATTCCCTATAACTGCCCCAAGCCAGTTCTTCTCAATGTGGTAAACAGGCACCAAGCAATGGATAACTTGTTTGAAAAACCTCTTCACTACGCAAGAATACCTTACTTTTGAGATAGCCTCAGGCGGTTATCTGGACCAGCGGAATCCTGTTCCGCAGTGCGTTCATTACGTGGCTTATCCCAATCGAGCACTGCCCATATATCAACAACAATCCTTAAGTTGCTTGTTGATGATTCGTGATAGACACTGCGACCGGAACACATTCAAAGCTCATGCCATTGCCTGTAGGTATAACGTTGAGCTTCGTGAATCCTCGGCCGTGCTCCGATGAGCTCCCGGTCAGCACAACGGCCACATGCCTGGTTCATACTGAACCCTGGCCACCCCGTTAAGAGCCTTTTCGTTGCATTTTGGTTATGGAAATCCATTTTACTAGTGGTTATTGCTTGCTGCCCTGGACCTGGCTATGAGACTTCCCTCGGTCTTCTTTCTTGGATGCCGGGCGCCATGATAGTAGACCTCAGCAAACCGAGTCCCTCACGCCACTTCCAACGCTTCTGAAATTCGCTCGGTGGGACGCAGTTTACTTTCTCCACATCGCTGAACATGGCTACGTTTATGAGCAGGAATGGGCGTTTGGATATGGGTATACTCAAGTCTTATCATTTCTTGCTTCTGGTACTATCCTCCATATCGCTATCTTTATCCGCCATATATATGCAGATGCTCACACCGATCAGTTCTCCGTCGGAGCAGTGGACTAAGTGGCGTCACTGCGACCACTCTTGTTGCAATTGCCCTGTCTCATATGACGCATTTGCTCTCGGTCGTAGTACTGTACAGGCTGTCGATCAATGTCTTTGGACAGGACACACCTAATCGGAGGTTGACCTGCTTTCTTTCTGCTGCCTTGCATATCATTTGTCCAGCAGGAGCATTCCTCTCCGCTCCATACGCAGAATCCCTTTTCTCTTTTCTCAACATGCTCGGGTTCTACATTTATTCCTCCTCATTTCTTGACGATAATGCGGGTCGTACACTAACTAGTAACGTAAAGCTACTCATCGCCTCGGTGGTTCTTTCAGTAGCTACTACGGTTCGAAGCAACGGGATCCTCAGTGGATGTTTATTTACATATGACGCTGTTTTCCTTCTTCAAAGAGCACTCTTCCAGGGTCCGTTGAAGCGGGCTTGTCTTCGCTTATGCGTGACCGTTCTCGGCGGTTGTATAGTAGCCGCTGGGATGATCTTCTCCCAGGCCCTGGCTTACGCAGATTTCTGCCTGGACGTACAGACCTCTCGACCCTGGTGCAGACACCTGATTCCTAGTATCTACGCATGGGTCCAGCGTCAGTATTGGTCAGTAAATGGGCGATCTCAATGTTTGGAGCGGTCTAACCTTTCCGTTTTCAGGGATGTGGGTTTCCTTCGATACTGGACGATACGGAACCTTCCCCTCTTCCTACTCGCAATTCCCATGCTACTCACCCTCTGCCGGTCTTCCATCTGGGCAATGTCTTTATCCAAGGCTGAGGGTCCCTTATTTTCCACCATGTCCGCTTCGTTATTGACCCGACTGGCTCTCCCTCAGGGTTTGCTAGCCGTACTAGGCTTCACCAACTATCATGTCCAGATCATCAACCGAATATGCTCTGGATATCCGCTATGGTACTGGTACATTGCGTGCCAAATCGTTGGTGATTGCTGCGAGCCACGCTCTAAGAAAACCCCGGGCTGGGGATTCGTTGTACAAGGCATGGTCATGTACGCCATTGTCCAAGCAGCGCTCTACGGTTCCTTCCTCCCCCCGCCTTAAGGAATCTCAACTCTGTCCCCAAACAGCGGCAGCAAAACCTACAAGTCTGTATATTGAGCGTTTCGTTCTGCAACATCCATCAGACCAGTCATGATTCATTATTGCGAGACACAAATAAGCGCACCCACACCATAGTCAAGGCTCTAAGGTGGGGTACGTTGTTTAACGGATCGATCCAGAGCACCATGCTACGGTTTTTATTTCACCTTTGTTTGCTATTACTTCGGGTAGATCAAAACTAAAGCCATCGATATTCGGCCGAATAAGTGGATTACGTGCATTGTGCAACCAATATAATAAACTATATGCGCAATGTTCTTGATGATGTGATTGCCAGCGAGCTTAAGTATATAAATCTAAATGCATGCAGACACATATCCGAAATACCAAAAATGATCCAGGATACTTAAAAGTAGCAAGAGAACGCTGGTTTGCCCAGCATTTCCTTCATTGGAGTCGATGGCCTGTATAATTGTGATCTCTGGCTCGCGTAAATAGTCCCATCGATCGGTTTTCAGCCAATATTCCGGGCTAAAGTGGCTGTAGTCAAGTACCCGCGGTGGGAATTGAGGCACTACATCAGTTGAATGTGTGATGCGATAGGAAGAGCCATGCCCTTGGCCCGTAATAAACTCTGCTAACACGCGATTCCCAACCCTTGGTGAACCATACGCGTACTATCTCATTAGCAGGATTGAGAGGAAATGATGAAAATGCGAGCCCACCAAATCAAGAACCCAGCCCGCCTTTCTCAACTCCGTCGCGGCAATTGTGCCTACGGCAGCCCCTGCACTGTGACCAGTAATAACAATGCCATAATCGGGGTTTGTTCCAGCAAAGTCTAACAGCTCATTCGTGACAGCTTCGGCCACTGAACGCCATGATTGCCAGTATCCTGTATGCACCGTGCAACCCTCGCAAAGACAACTGATATCTACCTGGGAAATCTTCAAATTGGATATCCATGTCGTGATGGAGCGCGTACCGCGAAAGGAGATCACCAACAGCCTCTTTGTCCTGTCCACCGCAACAAAACCGCGGACATCCCCAACGCGTGATCTGAATGTCTGCTCAGAGATATCCAACTAGTGAGAGATGGGGGAACGAGTTACGTATTGATCTCTAGTAGCGTTTCTGTATTTGCTTCCTCCACTAGCGGACAATTGCCAATAGGGCACAGTACTTTGTCTCCCGGGGAGTTGGTGTTGGCTGTGCAGTAAGCCGCTGCAGTGTATTGTGCGAATAGGTTGAGTTGTGCTGGAAGCGATATGGGACTATCTGACGAGAGCATGGATTGGTTAGAGCCTGTCGTATACTTTTGGGGCTAGACTCCTACCTCTGAAATTGGGTTGACTTGCAGTTCTAGCAACCAGGCATCCTAGGCTAAGTCCTATGTAAAGAAAATTCACCATCAATACCAGCATCGAAGAGAGTGTCACGGCTATGCCAAAAGCCGCGTAATTGTACGAACTCTTCGCTCTCATCAGAAGACGCGGCCGACTCGTGGTCGATACCCATATATCCCTGGCGCAGAAGCCAGGCGGGTATGTATTACGTGGTTCGCTCTGTAGCAGTCGAGAAGCCGCTTACATGCAGGAGTACAATGTTTGAGCTGCGGCGATGCATTTGGTAGCGAGAAGCTTAAAGCCTTGCAGCAGGCCTTTGGTTATAGCGCAAGGGACAGGAATGTGCTAATATGACATGCTCTCAATGAATGCCCCCACAGGATTGGGATTCTCCCGTGGCGGTCATTTTGTACGAGTCGCGCTGTGAGAGATTCGAATGATTAAAATTGAACTAACAGTATGAGTACTCTAAGCCCCGGGAGGTTGCCAAAATAGTCGATAAAGGTTAAGGAATGCCAGTTCAATAGTACGGAGAAATATGCAGGATAAATCAATAGTTTCATTTGATCGGTTGAGCGGTCAGTTCTGCACGGCGATCAAATACTTCGTGTGTCATTTCTGCACCATTTCTCTAGAACATACGTAGTAATTGCCCAAACGTAGTTCTCGGCCTTGCTAGGAAAGCCCAAGAGGTTCAGGTTGGATACAGTTCCCGGGGATCAGAATAATTCGCTACATTCCCACCCCTCTAGAGTATACTAGACTACATGTATCTCCGGATGACCGGAGAGCGCACGGATCGCCCCAGTTAAGCAAGGACTAAAGCAAAACATGAAGTCGACGAAGCGGAAATGGTTTGATGCGGAGTTATTTCTCATTGGCAACAAGGGAATCACAGTGTAATGCAAGAAAGATAGCAAGCCCGCCTATTGGCACGAGAAGCGTGGCCCGGCCGTATCCTACCGACGCAATGACGCCTTTTTACGGTTGCTGGCTGATTTCCACACAAGCGCTCGGTGGACTCTGACGATCGACAAATCGTGCCGAAAGAGCTTAAATTGATAGATGAAAAATCACACACACCCCAGAAAGTGGGCCAGCGTGCATATGAGAGCGATTTGACTCAGGAAATACGGTGTCCAGAAAGCAGACAGTCGGACCCTTTCACGTCACCGAGATCCTCCGACATCTCCTTGCATTCCGTGGGCCGTGTGGCAGATGGAAAATGGGGAGGATGGGGAGGTGTGTCGGATCACCGTACAAGAACCATAAGACTGGTAGGCGAAGGCCCTCTCGAAGGTCTAGCCTCTCATTATCCCCTTCTCAGCCCTGAACTCGCAGTTTCCTACTCTCACACCAGCCATGGACAGCGATTATAGGGCTCGGAAGGAAGCGTTTGTGTCGGACCTGTCCGGTGGAAATCTCAAGGAAGTCAGCAACGTCCTGTTAGCCCCCTTGGTTAGTATTCCCGGTGCGAGTTCACTTTCATTTGTCTCACATGGCTTTGGACATAGACCGCAATCCTCCTCTGGACTACTCTTCGAACGCGATGCTCGTTCCTGTTGAGACTTCGCGCTGTCAGTGTCACAGTGGAATTCCTGTTAACTGTATGGGTACCGCTTGGTGCTTTGACGGTCTGGTACCCATTCGTGCCAGCATTAAATATCGCCCTTGTTCTTTGTTCTGCGCTCTTACTCCTCTCCTTGAAGCCATCCGTAGGTGGGCGCCAGACATCTACATCATCCTCAAAAGAAGGTGCGGGCCGCCAGCAGCACTATCTGTTCATCTCACATCATCGTGGAGCGCTGATGATGTTGGCCTGTCTTGCCATCTTGGCCGTTGATTTCCAAGTGTTCCCGCGAAGTCTAGCCAAGGCTGAGAACTGGGGCATATCTGTGATGGATCTCTTTGCTGGCAGCTTCGTGTTTTCGTCGGGATTCATCTCGCACAAGTCCAGTCGGAATGCAGCAAAGCGGTCCTTTTATCTCACATTATTTGGCCTTCTGCGGCTGGGCGCCATGAATTTGCTTAATTACCAGCAACATACCTCTGAATACGGGGTTCATTGGAATCTCTTTTTCACGATCCCCGCCGTGACCGCTATGGTCAACATAGTCGACTGTATCACCGTTGTTGTTCCCTTGCCGGATGAGGCACTGGCGGTCGCGACCGTGGTGACAAGTGAAATTTGCCTGAGAACCAGAGGCCTACAGGACAACCTTCTCAGTCTCGACAGAGGAACCGGGTTTATTTCTCTCAACCGGGAGGGTCTTTTCTCCACGGTCGGATACGCCGCAATTTACCTCATTGGCCGCGGTGTCGGTTCCCATATTTTCATGCTGCTGTCATCTCAGAAACGGTCGAAGATGGTCCTGTCAGGACTGGCGACACAGGCATCTCTATGGGCCGGGTGTTTTGCTCTAGCCTCTACCGATGCCGTTGGTCTTGGATGGCAGATTCCAGTCTCCCGCCGGCTCGCCAACGTATCCTATGTTTTGTGGGTCGCAGCAGTCAACAGTGTCTGGCTGTTCCTATACTACCTCATTGATGGGGTCCACACGACCGCAGGTCAAGGGTCGGGCAATCGACACATGCGGAGGGATGACACCGATGTTACGAAATCTGTACGAAGCGATATAATCTCTGCCTTTAACGAAGCTGGTCTGGCGGTCTACCTCATTGCAAACCTCATCACTGGAGGGGTGAATTTGGCAGTGAACACCCTTGATATGTCCCGGTCATCATCAGTGACTCTCCTGGTTAGCTATGCTATGGTTCTCACCGCTGTAGCTTTTCACTTCCGGTCATCGGAGAGGAAGTTGAGAGTGTAGGCTAAGAAAAGATCTCAAAAGAGCGATATCAAGGGTACCCACAGTGACCTCCACCACAGCAAAACCATGGTTCATCTTTGGCAAAGCTGGGCCCTGGGGGATATATTAGAATGAAAACAGAATGCAATACTTGTGATCTCAATTGTCCCCGTGTGGGCTATCAATACAGTAGGCTAAGCGCTTATAGTGCACGTGTGCGAGTGAGATTCTTGGTTGTTTCTGGTGCAGTTGCAGCTGCAGGAGGTGTTGTTGCCTATAGTATGATAGTTAACCCAGTCACATCGGCGCAGAAAGGCCGTGGTCAGGGTCTGCAATAGGAGGTAGTGTTGTGATTGTTTGAATTTTTTCGATTGCGGTTGATGAGTTAGTAACTTTTGTCACAGGGCCTAAGGTGTCGCCTCTGTTCGCTCTATACACACCGTGATCGCCATTATCACCAGAGGCACTGAAGGCTTTCCTATGTGACACAGAGACATTTCCATTTCTTCTTTTCAGGACGTTCAGCACGCTTTTCCAAGTTACTTGACTCTATTCCGCGATATCGTCCCTTGTGTTTACAAAGCTCACCCCCACTCAACCGCCGCAAATTCTTCCCGTTTATACATGACTCAACATCTATATATTTCTAGTCTAGGCAGATACTCCTGTATTCAATGGTTAAGAATAGGTTCAGTGCGAATGTGGGAGATATATCAGGTCTGTACTACGATGGATCACCGGGCATCACTGGATTCAAAAGCATGGGCGCCATCTATCGACCGCGGGATTCCTCCTCGGAGTAAAAGTACGAACATTTCACGCCGCGATTACAAACAGGACTCTGAGGATATAGGCCGTATGGGTATCACAGGGCATTTGGAAACATCGCCTTTCCCGGCGTTCAGCTCACGGGCTTCCTTGCAGAATGTGAGTTCGCACAAGGCCTGCTGCCATATAGCACCTCGATGTACAGGCTTACTCCTGGTTTACAATGATGATACTCGAAGTATTCTCGGTCAATGGTACGAAGGTACGCACACGAAACCAGATATACAAGAAATAAGTTTCCAATCCGGATATGCTTTGTCATTTTACTTAACACAACAGGCGAATCTTGTATCCTAGCCAAGATCGATGCATTACGGAGCGCTACTCCCTTAGAGCCAGGTTGCACCTAGATTGATATAGCATATGGAGTGGGTATTCATGCACTGATTTGCTAGAATAGAGCTGATAGACTTAGGGTGAAATTATCTGGCTATTTTTACATTGTTCTGATGTTATCTTCGGTGGGATGGTAGGGAACTGTGTTTCTTCGCATTCCGCGGTGCAAATCTGGTCAAGCCACCGTGTGATTTTTCCCGGGGTCATTATGCCCCGTAGATGAAGAACATTTCAGGAGTCGTGACCGGACTGGTTGTCTGATGCATTGGGGATCAAGGAAGATACCGAGTAGTTAGTAGTTCCAGGGGGATGAGGCCAACTAGCTTAGTCAGCCAACTGTTTGTTTACAGCCGATAACGATAACGATAACGATAACCACCCAGAATGGCCGTTGGCCACGTGACTGGTCCATGGTAACAAACCACCCGAGATAGGACGATCTTAACGGATACCATTAAACCAACTCTCTGTACATTCGAGCTTGGGTAATCTTCGCTATTTCAACTGGATGAGCTTGTCAACTTTGGCTCGAGCGTCTGCATAGCTAGCGCAGCTATTCAGCCTTGCCAAATCTCTCTCTGTGCTCTTCCCACAAGCGATTCCGGAGTTCCTCATCCTGCAGAACTTCAAGGCCTGTCGCAGCCATGATCGAAGCGAACCGCAAACACGACTCAAACGCCTGCCGTGTTCCGGCTGCCTTCTCAAATCCAGGGTGGTGCGGTCCGATCGTCGGTGATTCCACCCCGATAAGGAACCCAGGATGCAGGCTTGGAAGCTCATAACTCACATTACCTGATTTGACGGTTAGTATCCGTGGCGATTTTGGGCAGAGAGTCCAACCTTGATCTGTTGATGCGCCACTGACTGTAGGCAATGATTTCATGTAATTCTGCTTTTGCTCCTGTGAGTTCTTGTAGAAGTTTTCGATGAGGATATTACTGCATTGTAATTCCTTGTAGCTCTCAAGCCTGGAGGCAATCAGGTTAGCGATCGCTTATGGGGGCTTCCGGTCGGTGCGCTTACGTACCAGGCAAAATCAACGGTGCACCCGGCGGCTATCGCTGCTCCTTCACAGCAGGCAGTCACCCTCTTGACGGTGTCGCGCAACTCTGTATCTGTCTCCGCGCGGACGAAGAACTGGAGCTCTGTGAGATGCGGAATCACATTTGGCTTGTCACCTCCCTTGGAGATAATTGCATGGATGCGCTGATTAGGCGCGACTTGTTGTCGAAGCATGGCCATGTTGCTGTAGGCAGCTACTGCGGCATCCAATGCGTTGTGACCCAGCCAAGGGGCATTGCCAGCATGAGCATTAACACCACGGAAGGTCACCGTGGCTCCTCCACGAGCCATACAGCGAGCAGCCGCCACGCCATCCACTGCCACGCCAGGGCCAGGATGGCCCATGAGGCAAGCATCGACGCCCTTGTATGCGCCGGCCTTGAGAAGTTCAATCTTGCCCCCGCCGCCCTCTTCTGCTGGGGTGCCGAGAAGGCGCACACGGCCCTCAATCCGGTTGGTGTTTAAGGCTTCCGCAGTGGCAAGGAAAGCTGCAAGGGAGGAGGTGGCGATCAAATTATGTCCACAGGCGTGACCAATTTCTGGTAAGGCATCAAACTCCGCATTATAGACAATCAAGCCCCCACCGGTCCCGACCTCGACTTCGAACGATGTCTTGAGTCCATAAGCATGACGCGTGACGGTGTATCCCAGCGACTCGAGGAGGTTGCACAGGGTATCATGGGCGTAGACCTCTTCATAGGCAAGCTCTGGATTGGAATGGATCTAGATGAAGGTAACACATCCATGAGATATGTCCGGTACCATGTGTGAGCACGAAGGCTTGGTCACTCACTTGCTGGTTAACTTGCCAGAGACGCTCCTCGTGTTTGTTTATAGTTTCCGCAATCGACGCCATGTTGAGAGCGACTTGCAACGTTGGATATTTTAATATACAAAAATGGATTTCAGGGATGCCACTGTTCTACTTATACTGCTCCACTTATATTTGTTCTACTTATGCTGGTCTACTTATACTGAACAAGGGCGTGTACGGTGGACCCCCGAGGGTGGATACCTGGGGAACGCATTGTGATATCGGCAACCGGTGTCCAATGAGCGGCAGGGTCTCGCTTATCCCGCAACCAATTGCCGAACGAAGCGGCAGCAGATCCACTTAAAGGCCAACAACGCCCCGTTCATTTCTTCTCCTGCCTTCTGTTCCTGCAACAATATACTAGCAGAACCCCCGTAACAGCTATGTCTGGACGCCATGCATCACGATCGCGGACCGGTGAGCATCTTGATTTTGACCGGCTAGTTTGCGTCCCCCTCGCTAAATGATTACGCAACAGGGTGCGCGACGTGTCGGACCCGGAAGGTTAAGTGTGATGAGACGCATCCCACCTGCATCCGATGTATCAACGCCCAAATGCAATGTGAGTGGTTTCAAAAGTCTCCGAGGAAAGCCGCCAGGTCGAAACCAGCCTCGACGGCGTTGAGGGGTCTAGGCCTACCGCGCACCTATCAGCCACTCCGACCACGAAACATAGGTCCGGGTGTGCATCTTACTTTCCTGCCGTTGCCAAACTACCGCTTGCTATCGTCCAGCGAACGGGAGTACTTCGCGTTCTTTCCCCACACCTCCATGGTGCGATGGCTTGGGAAGCCATGGCAATGGGCCTCCCTTCATTATGTGTATAGCCATATCGCCCCGCATTCATCCGTCGTGACGAAGATGATTCTGGCAATCTCTGCTACGGAGCTGGAAGGGATTCGCCACATGGAGCGACTTAGAAGCGACCAGCGAGCCTCACACGACCAATGGCCAGGTGAAGCTGGTACGGCACACTATCAGAGGGCTCTACGCGATTTTCAGCTCATTCTTAGTAAGAGCCAGGGGTCACTATCTCCTCAGGAAGTTGATGAAATCTCGACAGCATTTTTCCTTATGGTGACCTACGAATATATGTTTGGTCAGGATAGCGCGGCCGTAGAGGTGCATATTCAAGGCATCTACACTTTCCTCAGGGCTCATGATTTAGTTCCGAAGCTTGGCGAGCCTCGCCAATGTGCTAGACTACCGGTACTGACGCAACAGCTATTGCTTTTTGTAATGTAAGTCAATGTTGGCTTGGAGGTACTTGTAGCTTTCTACTCATGACTACAGGTATGCGAACCTGACAATATGCAAGTACGGCCATCTCCGCCAATTATGGGAGGAGGCTGGCCATGAATCTTCCTTTGTCTCTACTATGGATGAGCTCTTTTATAACAGCCGCGCGTTACAGCATGCAATCTGGCCGTTCGAATACCCGACCGAGGCATCGTTGGATGACATTTCGGTCTTTCGTCCGTTGGAGCTGACTAACGAATGCAAGAAACTGAAATATAAACTATTGCGCATGCCTCAAAAGATACAAGTAAAGTCCGAAGGTGATCTCTTGCACTGCCTAGAGCAAGACCTGCATGGCATTGGAAAGGTATACAATGCACTCATTCCACGGGAAGTATCCAGCTAATCAACAATCCACGCATAGCGATACCAAGATCTGATTACCCTCAGCCAGCGGCCGCACTCGGACTTGCGAAATAGGCAATTGCAAACGATATATTTTGCAGTTGCAGAGTATCATGCGACGACAATCTTTTACTGCTACCGGCGGAGCTTGCTTGGCTGTATGAGACCTCCGTCCGTGTCCTCTCACGACGCAGTAAGTGGTGCATTAGCAATCATTAAGGAGCTGTCAGCCGAAAGTCCTTCGTGCTTAGGAAGAGTCCACTGGCCGATAGCTGTTCTGGCCGGATGTATAGAGGATTCAGAAGACCGCCAGTGGATCCGGAAGACCCTCGTAGGATTGCAGCATACGATAGTCTTTCCATCCATGAGGGGGTGGCTTGATGACATGAGTGGCCTCAACCTCTAGTATTGGACTGTCACCAAACCAACATAGTTGTAGACAATATCTTTCAGTATCTATCCTCGGCTATCGGTCCCTATCATCAGGCTTGTCTATTACATGCTAGAATACGAATCCTCTTGGCAGGCCAGCCTCCAAGGGGAACATGTGGGAGTGCATTTGAGGAATGCATTCTGCTAGACCCATTTTTGCCGAGACCACCAATAAATATCCGGCCCCAGATATGACCATCTCAGCCATACTGAGCTCTGAGTGGTTGCAAGTTAAGCGACGGTCAACTTAATGTCCGTCCATGCGACACGATAAGGTTTATTGGTATGCCAGATAACGGAATGAAGAGTGAGGATCGTCCCTTACTAGTCCATATCTCGAGCGGGGGTACCGATATCATGTTATCAATGTTTGAAGCCCAGATGAAGGCCAACCGCATGAGTATTTAGGACCAGGATGCAGACAGTCTGATGGGCTTGCATCGTCACAAGTCTTACTCAAACTCAGGAAACTGTCCTTTCCATGCCGAACAATCAAGAAAAGCCGGCGACTTCCGAAAAGGAAGTGGAGGTCGCCTTGAGCCATGCTGCGGACCTCCATCGTGTTTCCGTCGGATATGGGGAGCAATTGCCGGACCCATCAACATCGACCACAAATAAGTCCTTGCTGAGAAAGATCGATTGGCGGTAAGTGTGCTTGCAACGGGTCTTACTAGCGGCGCACCAATGTTAACTGGAGCTTTTAGTCTGTTGCCAATTATGATGATATCATACATGCTGCAGTTTCTTGACAAGCAAAGTTTGTCCCAATCCGCCATTATGGGTATCGTAGAAGACCTGGTTAGTCCGGCGGTCAAAAGAATAGAAGGTACAGACTGACCGGAGAGCGTAAAGGGATTGAACGGCAATGAATACTCTTGGTCAGGCTCGATATTCTACTTCTCATACCTTGTGTTTTCTTATCCTGCCTCCATGCTCATGGTGCGGCTGCCGATTGCTAAGTTTCTCGCCACGACACTGTGAGCTGAAGTCTACTCGAACAGTCGCCTAGTTGTGAGCAGTATTGACCATGTTCTTAGCGTTCTTTGGGGCGTCGTGCTTGCATGCCACGCTGCTACGCAGGACTTTACAGGACTTATGGTTACGCGCTTCTTTCTGGGTCTCACTGAGGCCGCCATCTCTCCCGGCTTCAGCCTGATCACTGGCATGTGGTATACCAGGTCGGAGCAGCCCTTTCGCCATGGTGTATGGTTCGCTGGTAACTCTATCGCGACGGCATTTGGGGGGCTGGTAGCCTATGGAGTCGCTCATATTGTCGGCTCTATCCCCGCCTGGAAGGTGCGAGTTGTCCGTTGATGCCATTGACGCGTTAGATTAACGCTGGCGCAGTGGCTATTTATTATTTATGGACTGATCACCGTTGTGTGGTCAATTGTTTTCGTGGTATTCATGCCAGACTCGCCGTTATCCGCCCGATTCCTCTCCCAACCCGAACGCACCGAGGCGGAAGAACGAGTTAAAGTCAACCAAACAACTATCAAACACGACAAGATTGAGTGGCACCAGGTATGGGAGGCCTTGACGGACTACAAGATTTATATCTTGTTCTTGTTCCAGCTAGCCAACAATATCCCTAACGGCGGTTTGACCATGGTATTTTCCTCTCCCTCAGGCCCGCTTACAATTATCGGTGGTTAATCTGGCTGCATAGTTCTCCTCATTGGTAGTGAAAGGCTTCGGGTTCTCAACGTTACAAGTCTACCTTTTGTCAATACCCACGGGCGCTGTCCATGCAGCCTTTGCTCTTGGAAGGTATTGCCTCGAAAACCTATCTACCACTTCCACGGTTAACACAGTTCAACAAACAACAGTACCTACCTTGCCGGCCGCTTTCCAAATATCCGTTGCATGCTACTGGCTGGTTGCACAACGATTGCGTAAGTTCCATCATCTCATACTAAGGGAGAACAATCTGTGACGGAAAGGATATAGTCTCGTTGGAAGTATTCTGGTTTACGCCTGTGAAAGCACAGGACTCCGCCTATTCGGTCTCTACCTGTTTGTTGCCTATGCGGCGGGTATTCCGATGACTCTCTCCATGGTCTCATCCAATGTTGCTGGCTTTACTAAAAAGGCGACTGTCAGCGCGATGATGTTCATCGCTTACTGCGCAGGAAACATCATCGGTCCATTCTTATTCTTCGCGCGTGAAGCTCCAGTCTACAAGGTAAAGCTACCCGGTTGGAATAAATATTCACACTGACGTTCCGATAGAGCGGTTTTATCGCCATGATGGTCTGTCTTGGGGTAGCAACTGTTCTGATCCTAGCACTAGGGTTATGTTGGCGGTTGGAAAACTCCCGGAGAGATCAGGTATACGGGCCCGCCGCGTTGGTGCCTACAAATAGACCCAAGGAACTAGGGCAAGGGACATCTGGGACGACGGAGGATCTAACCGATGTTCAGAATACGGCGTTCAGATATGTCTTCTAAACTTGAGGGTGTTTCTGTGCCCAGAGTGCTCCATAATGACCAGAGCTTGATGCTCCTGAGTGCCAGGAGGCCAGTCTAGTGTTACGAAGAACGGCCGTAATTGGCTCCGTATACGGTTGCTATAGCTCATATCAGCATGAAGCTTTGGTAAAGCAGAAAACAAAGGCAAGGAAAGGCAAGGAAAGGCAATGCTTCGTATACAGGGGTCGAATCACTTTGACCAAAACGGCGAACCTGAGAAGCGCAGCCTTGCGATGTTCGTCAGTTCAGAGTCAATATATATATAGTATATATAATCTAATCCACAATAGTCTCTACTGACTTACTGTCTCTTTACTAAACTTAATTTAGGGATCATGGTATATAGATTTTAGGGGCTGCAGAGCCTAGATTTAGAGGCTACTGTATTTAACTTAATTAGTATTATTCTATATCTAGCAATGTTTACCGGTTACGTTATAAGGCAGGTTTCTTTCAATAGCACAACTACTAACTACATACTACGTCCCCAACAGAGAATCCTTGATTCTACCGGTACACTTTACCATCGAGTTGAGCCTGCCCAGAACTGCTGATCCTCTCAGACTACTGGGTCTGAGCAAGACTTGTCCTTTATAAATACCTCGCTGATATCGGCCCTCCAAGCATTATTCCAACTATCGGCTCAGGAGAGTTCAAGAAACGCAGAGATAGATACTAAAAGAATCCTATCAAGAGCACCAGGAAATACGAGTATCTGTCATAGTTTGGCTAGAAGTTGAAGTTGTATACCTCCCTATAGTGACCCATTCTGGCTATTCCGCCCGCCACCTTCAGCACCCCAACAGCTTCTCAGAACAAACACAAGTCCGCACATATAAAATCCAACATTGCCCGCCTAGCAGATCGGAGGTTATAATCACTGACGGGGAGACGAGAAGTCTATATCAGTAATTAGTTTGGCCTTGACGGTGTCATTGAGAAGAATTCATTATGGAAATCTTGGGATCTGTCCGCCACATTGGGAGCAGGTGAATGGCAAAGGCTGAGTGATATAACTCTATCCGCAGCTTGGGCAATTTCATTTTGGAAAGCACCCACCTTGATCCATATGTTGCACTAAGCCCCATTAGTGGGGATTCTTAGCATAATTGCAATATAAGCTAAAGTAGAAGGCATAGTCCTGGCGTCCTTACAGAAAGGAGAGATGATTCCTCCTTCATCCATGGTTGTGCTTTGGTGGTGTTTACTGCCGTTAAAATGAGAATTGGTATTATTATCCACAGACTTTGAACTTACCTTCTATATCATGGTCATTTGTTGTTAGAATCCATCAGGGAAAAACGTGAGCTAAGCTTAATCCGTGACAATGCCTTCGTACCGTCTATTCTCACATAAATAGTTTCATCAGCTACTCCGTACGTTTTGGTGAAGTATGGAGTAGAAGGATATTAAACCTACTTTCTATTTCGGATCGTGGAGTCAGCCTTTGATCAATCATGGGGCTTCATCCTGCTACTTACTGTCTATAATCGATGTTAACAGTTTTGCTCAACATTTCAAGTTATCACTCAGATATAAAGAGTTGGTCAGTAAGCCAGTACGTACACCCTAAATTTGAAATTTATAGTCAGTCACTGGCAAATAGTCTTCCTTGATGATAACTTACACCATTCTGTGCCTATTAAGTCAAAAATAAAACCTTAGCGGCTTTCTTATATATTCCTTTCAAATCAATACTTACTGCAGCAGAAACCTGCAAAGGTATCAATAAACATATAACTCATGTTTCCACTGAGTGATATGCTCTTACCGACTAGTTAAATACGCCGCTGGTGTGAGCACTACTATCTTGCTCTTTCAATTCACATAAGGTAACAAACTGCGATACTTACCACCTATCTTGCATTAGAAGACCTGCCTTTACAAGAAGCCAATTGGAAGTTCTCTTGATTTCGGGTGATAGCTTACTCCCTAGTGGTTCGAGATTATTAGCACCAATCAAGTGACTCTGCTACTGATAACCATATACAAAAGGAAGTGACTGCCCACCATCTGTTGGATGACATTGCATCAATGTGTACCCTTCGCATTTCATAAGGCCAATCTGACGTTGGCGTGTAAACTTACTTTCTAGGTCATGAATCATGATTAGATTTAGCCGGACGATAATAGGGGATTATCTCTATCAGGCCCTGTAAACTTACATACTAGTGCAAGAAGTCCCCATCAGTTATTAGTCTATACCATGTAGTATCGATTGCGGTATTACCCACCCCCTGGGATTGAAGATACAATTAATATTTATCTTGCAGACTAGTAAAAGTGGTCACTTACACACTATTCGGAATCAACCAGTTTGGTCAGTGGAATATTTCTGCTGCATATTCTATGGGGAGAAGACTTACGTTCTATATTTGTCCAGTTAGTCCTTAACAATATACTATAGCAACATTCGACATGGGAGAAGACTTACATTCTGTATTTATTGAATTTACTCAGCTTTAGGCTGTGAAGATCACCCAAGTGTGATGCCTTGGTGTTGGCAACTTACACACTTTCCGTGGGTCAGTGTCCAATAGTCACATAGAAACTACCATGGTGTTGATCGAGTGACGAGGTATCTTACAACCTGTTCAATTATTAGCTTAGGGGTAACTTCCAGGCTGATAACTATATTTGTGTCCATATCCCCGGGGCCATGCTACTGACATGCTTTTTAATCACAGGGTGGAGTGATTAGTCCAAATCCTTTCGAAGGCAGCAAATAACAACGCACATTGACCTATTGATTCACCGGTTAGATTAAGCAAAGTGGATGTTTCTTGGAAATCATGCTTTGCAGCTCACCATCTGTGAGAGAATAATGGCATAGCAGATTAACATAGTTCAAGGATTCCCACAAATCAAGGGGAGTATTCACATCCTGGAGCAACCGGTTATTGTCAACAATTGGAGGTGACTTATGATCTTAACTGGAGGAGAACTCACTCCCTTTTGCTGCATCATTGAAAGAAATAATAAGTATCCAGAATACCATGCTGATCTTTAGGCACATGAACATACACACTGGGATGGAGGTCAGTCTTTCCCACAGTCACAATAGCCATCATGGAGTACTCACATTCTATATGAAGATCGAGGAAGTCGCTTTGTCAGAACATGGTCATTGCAGTGGGGTTGTACTTTCTCACCAAACAATCCGCCATCTAATTTGTTCATTAGTCTTCTCTCGAGACCCGCTAACTATTGGAAAATGTCACTCACGATAAGATGCTTCGAACTTGGTGTTTGGTTGGGAAAGGGCTTGCGGTATATGTGAAATACAAGGGAGCAAAAACAACAACGAAGAATATTTGGAGACTAAATCACGAATGATGGCACTGTAGGGGGACAGGCCCTTTAATGGTAGACTTCGAGCCTCTCTCAACCTTCTCTCTTAGCCTGTAGTCCAATGTAACCCTCCCGATGCAACTGCACCAATACCATGTCTGGGAATGCGTGCTGTGTACTGCTATGAACCGGTGCTCGAGCCTCTCCCCCTCATCGCCAGTTCGTACTCCAACGAGTTACGAACTGTTCAGCCAATCAAGTCGCCAAGCGATAGCGGGCAAGGAGTTGGCGTACGTGGCAAGTGTCCTGCTTCCAGCTCATTCTGGTTGAACAGGAAAATAGCAGCCAGGCTGTCTCTTGGGGTGGCTTCAACTTGACACTGTTTGACCTTCTCCTTAACAAGGCAGAAGTATGCAACAAGAATCCGTACTTCCAGCCAGCAATCAACGGGACCGTGGGTCCCATCCGCAGTCCCAGTATGAACTTTGCTTACTCTCCCTTGGTAAGTACCAGATCCCTTGTATTTTGCAAGCCAAGATCAAAGCGCTGACCTGTCGGGTGAAGATGGGGGAGGTGTGCGCGGCCTTTCGACACTATATATCCTTAAATCCATCATGCAACAGCTCAATCACTCACGGAGGAAAGGCGATCTTCCAGCAGTCAAACCGTGCGAAGTTTTCGATCTGATTGGAGGAACGAGCACCGGCGGGTAAGCACCCCAATACTCAACAAATCTAGTTGTGATTTCCTGTCCTGATTTCCATCCGTAATGAAAATCATGGTTATAGATTGATTGCGATCATGCTTGGCCGGCTGGAGATGGACGTGGACGAATGCATCGAAAAATACACCAGTCTCATGGAGGAAGTCTTCCGGAAACAACGAGTGTGGCTCCCATTTAATTGGAGAGGGAACATTGAAGCACGCTTCGACTCTGATCGGCTGGCCTATGCCGTCAAGCAAGTGGTTCTGGAGAAGGAAGGAGTAGAAACAAGTCCACTTGATGATGGCAAGTCAAATCGCTGTAAAGTGTATGGCGCACGGATTACTCCTGAAGTAGGCCGGCCTTGAGACTGACGTCTGAACTAGGTTTGTGTGCGCGACAGCCAAAGAGACTAGGATGACCACGCGATTGCGCAGCTACAAACTTGCTGATGAACTTTGCATCGATGCGACAGTTCTGGAGGCCGCACTGGCCACATCGGCCGCTACATCATTCTTCAAACCCATTCAAATTGGAGCCCGCACATTTGTTGATGGGGCCCTTGGAGCGAATAACCCCGTCGAAGAGGTCGAGAGAGAGGCGACTAATATATGGTGTTCCACGAGTGCGAACTTGAAGCCATTGGTGAAGTGTTTTATTTCGATTGGCACGGGGAACCCCGGGAAGAAAGCGCTCGAAGATAGTGCCCCCAAATTCGCAAAGGCCTTGGTTGATTTGGCGACAGAAACAGAGCGAACAGCCGAACGGTGTCTTGAGCGCTGGCGGGTTGAATTCGAAGGGAATCGGTATTTCCGGTTCAACATTGATCATGGACTAGAAGGAGTGGGATTGGAAGAGTTTCAGCAGCGGGGTCTACTTGAGGCTTCGGCAGACGAGTATCTCCGGAGCCAGGAACAGAAGATCCGGCTTCGCGAGTGCGTGGCGAACTTGCAAGTGAGATCGTGTATGTATATTGAAGACTTCGCCTGATAGCGGCGTCGGAAAATCCAGAAGGCTCACGTCCATTAGCCCTAACAGGCGATCCACCCCAAGAGATGAGACCAGTATGTTGATGTTTATCCTGATCTTCACCCACAAGAGTAGCGTGTACTGATGGTGGGTAGTTCTTTGAACGAAGTCCTCTCCCATCCCCCCGAAGTAAGTTAGAAGGGCATCAATAGTGTCGTACCGCAGGGGACGGGACCTGGTAGGCTAAGTGATATGCAGCCCAGCAATGCCCGCAACGGCTCTGGCTTGTCCCCTTTTTGAGAAACCCACGATTTGTCGGTCGTACTACGGAGTTGGCCGCCTTGGAGTCAAAGCTCTTTGGCACAAGGCATCCTCCCAAAGTGGCCATCACCGGCCTAGGGGGCATTGGAAAGACGCAGGTGGCAGTGGAGTTTGCTTACCGGATTACCGAGAACCACCCGGACCTCTCTGTCTTCTGGGTAGTTGCAACGAATACGGAGAACTGGGTCAATTCATACCGTGAGATTGCGGAACATTTGAAGATTGGGGCCACGTTCAATGATGATGAGGATATCAAAACGACCGTCAAGAATTACCTGAGCCACGAGTATGAGGGTCAGTGGTTGATGATAGTGGACAATGCCGACGACCTCGATTTAATCGTGTCCAATCCCACAAGCACCAGCCGATCTCTCTTTGATGATCTACCCCAGAGTAGCTGCGGTAGACTGCTAGTCACGACTCGAAACCTCAAGGTCGCGACTAAGTTGGTGAGAAATAACATTATCTACATACCAGACATGACTGAAGACCTTGCCCAGGAGCTGCTGCGCAGTTCCCTAGTTCATCCTGACCTACTGCACAATGCCGAGGCAACGTCGGAGATGTTAAAACGGCTTGCCCTCCTGCCTCTCGCACTTGTCCAAGCAGCTGCATTTATGAATGAAAATAGTGCAACGGTCGAAGACTACCTAGGGCTCCTGGAGGACGCCCGAGAGGTCGACGACTTGTTAGGAGAGGATTTTGAAGACGACACCAGGTATGACTATTGCAGGAACGCGGTTATCACTACATGGTTGATTTCCTTCGAGCAAATACAGCGCCGTAACGAGCTGGCTGCACAGTACTTGTCATTCATAGCCTGTCTTGATCCCAAAAATATCCCCATGGCGCTTCTACCGGTGTCGTCCTCAAAGAAAATACTGTTAGAGGCTATTGGAACGCTAGCAGCATACTCTTTTGTGACTAGACACCGAAATAATGAATTCATGGACGTTCATCGACTTGTCCATCTTGCAACACGAAATTGGCTGAGAAAGGAGGGAAAACTAGAGCACTGGCAAAAGGCCGCCATGAACCGTCTAACCGAAGTCCTGCCGACTCCCAGTTTTGACAATATGCCCCTGTGGATACACTATTTGCCCCATGCAGAACAAGCCATCGAATACGAAGCCACCACAATGGGTGTCGGTGAGGAGAGCTGGCATAAATTCCCTCTATATGAGAAAGTGGGCGCATGTCTGCTCACCAATGGAAGATATGCAGACGCGGAGGTGTTGCTGCGGGAATCTAGAGACTGGAGGGAGAAGACACTGGGGCCTTGCCATATCACCACCTTTGAATGTGCCATTAATCTGGGGCGAGCGTTGAACTGCACAGGGAAGTTCGTGGTGGCTGAGGGACTTGCCACGAAGGTCCTGGAACAAATGTCGGCCAGCCAGGCATCGCATCAGCCGCTTACGCTGGAGTGTCTGTCGATCCTGGCCGAATCCTTTCGAAACCAGGGGAGGTGGGACGAGGCCCATAAGCTTAACAGGGAATTATTCGAAAAGAGAAAAGAGGCACTGGGGCCGGACAACCGCGACACTCTGTGCAGTATGTCGGATCTTGCTGAGACACTCCGCAACCAAGGGTGTTTCAAGGAGGCGGAAGAGCTGAATAAGGAGGTCTTGGCGAGACGCAGACTGGTCCTAGGGCCCCGTCATCAGTCCACACTGGGCAGTATGCTAAATCTTGCTGCGACTTACTGGAACCAAGGCCGACTGCAGCAAGCCGAGGAGTTGGAACTAACAGTGCTCCAGGAGCGAGAAAGGTCACTGGGATCGAACCACCCAGACGTAATCAAGAGTATGGCAAACCTTGCTGTCACCTACTGGGAGCAAGGCAACTTGAAATCTGCTGAAGAGTTGGAGGTACAAGTGATGGAGTCAAATAAAAAGATACTAGGGACTGGCCACCCCAGGACCCTGAAGAGCATGAGTAATCTCGCTGAAACATATCGAACGCAGGGCCGTCTCTCAGAAGCACAGGATCTCCATTGGGAGGTGTGGAACAGACGAGTTGAGCTTCTCGGAGAGGACCATCCCGCAACGCTGAAAAGCAAACACCATTTAGCGGAGGCCAAACGACAGCAGGGAGATTACCGGGAAGCGGAACAGCTGCACGAGTATGTTTGTAAGAAGAGGCAGGCTATTGTTGGTCTGAACCACCCAGAGACACTCAGAAGCATGAACAGCCTAGCTGCAACATACCATATGCAGAACCGCGGGAGTGAAGCCCAGACACTGTACGAGGAGGTGATTAAGCGACGGCAACGGATTCTTGGAGCTGAACATCCTGATACGCTGGCTAGTATTGCGAGTCTTGCCCAGGTTTCTCGGACAGTCACCCAGACGTCATTGATGGAAGTGAAAGCAGACTGTTTGGCACGTAAGTAGGTGGGTCGATATTGGCATGTGTTCAATTCCTGCAACTGCGTTATACGCGTGGGTGAGATGAGAATCATTTCGCTTGGTTGGAAATGTGTGCGGATTAGACAGCGATTGGAGGGATAGATTTGGAGTAGCATAACCAGACTGCTGTATGGCTAGGTTAGCTTAGGTTCACTGGGTCTGTTATACCTAACCGGTAGATTATGATTACAGCAATAGAATTTTTATATCTAACTATAGTTAAGTCAAAAAATAGATAATTAATCTATATTTACTTGTTACACCCGGGGTTTTGTTATCAAGCCACTATAGACAGTAAACGCACCGCGCGTATTTTCTTTTTCTACAGTAGATATAAGACAATCGATATTCATATATCTTAATATTATTATTATTATAGTCAATATATTATCGAATAGCATTATATTAGATTAAAATCTATAATATCACTCACGTTCTTCTCGATTTGGGTTATCCCGTCACTCCTTTGGGTATGCCTCAAATGCAGGGACTTGCAGACGAGGTATAGAGCTGTAGAGCGTCTTGAGGCATAACTCCACCACGACGGGGCTTATGACTCCAATCTCCTGGTCCAAATCGTGAAGAAACATATGGTACTCGAGCAACCAACCCCCGGCGGAGACACAGAAAATGTCCCTTATTACGCACGTATTGATAGCGTGATGAGGGTGAACTCATCGGGAGGAGAATGACACTCTACCCAAGAAGGCTGGTTGATTCGTTTTCTCCTTCCCCTTTTTTTGGGCTGCACATCTGAACACTTGATCGTGGCCCTTACATCAAACGGGAAAGCTTCAAGGCGTCACTAATCCTTCCACTATGGTATCTTCTAATTCCAGGTCAGTGTAACGTTTCTCCGTGGGCAAGTCTCCGCATGTCGGGATCTTCAAGCACCAGGGTACCGCTTCCCATCCTGTTGTCGGCAGTCTTTTAAAACGCTACAAGCGGATTGTGGCATATTTTGCAGTTATCCTCGAGGACTCTATGTAACGGGCCTTTGTTTCCTTAAACGCAACTCGGGCTAGATGTTTGGCTTCTGACCGTAAACCACTGATATCTCGACGTATGCGTGGATACTCGGATTATTTAATGCGTCACGCATTTTTGCAAAAACCACTTCAACCTCCTCCCTGGACCACTAATCTCTCGTGTTAGTTACCTGCTAATGCTCTTGTAAGGCTGCTACTTACTCCAAGAATCTTAGTCCACAGCATCATCGCCCACATCTCCAGACTTTCCTCCATGACGATGCGAAAATACCGACCAAGAGTCTTTAGATGCGGGTCTTTTGGCCACGGGCCGATGGGTAGTTTATACCGGCGTTCAGTAACGTTAACAAAGCCAGCATCCATCATTCGCTGCTTAGACTCGTCGACTATGCGCAAGGTCTTGCCGAATTTGTCGCCGGCCTCGAGACTTTTCTCGCCCCATATCTCATATATCGTGCCTACGGTGCTTCCGTCATCCGAGACCGGGGTCACACTCATCTCGGCCTGCTCCAAATATCCACCCGGAAGGAGGTTCCTAAAATCCAAAATGATGAGAACCAGGGGCCAGCAGTGTAATTCGGAAAAGCATACTTCAGAGCCTGCTGGTAAAACCTCCCCCAATCCGCCACGCACCCGTATAGCCCGCGAACATGTATATAGTCAAATGCACTTTTGTACACCCACTCATCACAGCAGTCGTCAATCTCAAAGAACACATTCGGGGGGACAAAGCTAGGCTGGATGGGTGAGAGATCCGTTCCGATAACAGTTGCCCCGGGGTGAAGATCGGCAAAGTCCGTGGCCCACGACCCAGTTCCAGTTCCGACATCAAGCACTCGCTGTGGATTCTTGATCGGGGCGAGGTACAATCGGCCATGCAACAGTAGCCCATAGAGGTGATGACAGATCTCCATCGCATCAACGGCCTTCTCGTCGTTAGATCCCCAGTACGATCCTGCATGATACGCGTGGTAGCGTCGGCCATTCTCGTAAACATAGTTGACGATACTGCTGCGCATCGATGTCACCTCGGAGTCGGTCGCCACATACTGGGCGTCGTACTCATCACCGGAGTCGACAATTATCGTTTCATTACTCTCTGCCATTTTGCTTGAAACCTACTGTGATGTCGTGTTTGGCCATCAAAACCATTCCGCAACCAGACTGGATTGGTGTGCGCGCAAATTTATATGTCAGCTGGTCACCACAATCATTAGGTTACTTCTCGGATCAGTGTCTTCACCCGAAGGATACAGAGACTCCGCCAGTAATATCAGAACACGAGATATCCATCTGATGACACTAGCCAGGACTGTGGGGCCGGGGAATCGGGCACTGGGGCCGCCTTTTAACGGTCACTGAAGTTACCCCCAATAGAAGCCTCAGAGATGTGGGGGCTACAGACAGGCCATAGTCATTAGTGAAAATAGCTATGTCCAGACCAGGCTAGCATTGACTCTCAACTCTTCTCAAAGTCTGCCCTGGGTAATTCCTTATCTTTCGCCTGCTATCATGTCACCTAGCATTCTAGATTTGGCTTGACAGTTGCCCTGTAAGTCGTGTCGTTCTCCATGAGTCATGTTGGCCTGATGGCTACTTAGAAACTAGAGCCTCTCGAAGCATCGGGTAAACAGACGACAGGAAGGGAAAATAGCTTAGTGAACCCTAGGCACAGGACAAACTCAGAGGATACATGGCGGCCCCTGGATTTGAGGTTTATTTACTCTTACTCTGGCTTTTATTTCTAAGGGCAGTCTGTGGGTTATCCTGGGTATAGAAGGATTTGCCTTTCATTTCACCCCGTGGGCCCTAATAACCCTTCATTTAGAAGTTAGAACTCTCGACTTACTACTGAAATGCCCGCGTTCTACCCTATGCAGATCTCCGAGGCAGAGTGTCTGCCATTCTTGCCACCGCTAATGACACTGAGATATTAGGTCCTTCTCCTGATTATTCGCCTCTCAATACTCTATCCAAACACCCAATCCGTGTGCTAAATCATCCTGTCAACCTGAAGCCCCTGTGCTGTGCCCAATTGTGGCGTTGACCAAGCTCAAAGCTTCCCTGCTGGTGTGTCTCACTCGTCCGTGCTGAAAATATTATCCCTCCAGATACTATGGATTTCGACGTATATACACCACGTACCAGGACGGGTGGTCTTCAATTGGCGCCTTTCCGCATGGGTGATTCACATCTCGTTCTCACGGGACGAATTCTGAATTGTGTGTCGACTTCAACTTCAAGCGCTGCTTGGCCCTGTCATGGGGATAGCACCACGTCACCGATTGGGTTCCTCGCTAACCGTAGACATCTACTACGGGACAGATTTTGTATCGAGGGTTCCACTAACGTGGTTCCTCGTCCCCACCTCTCCTTGATCTAGTTGACGCAAGTGAAACGTTCTCCTTTTACCTCTGGGCCTCTGTTCGGCACAGTCGCGTGAGAAAGGCCCAAAGGCTCTCCCACTGTTAACAAGGAGACTCATGAAGACCATGATTGTATCGTCAAGCGGAACTGAAGTATTAACTTCAGATATTGACTACCCGTTGCTTGAGTTGAATGAAGATGTCGCCGAAGAAGAATGAATGACTGTTAAACGAGTGTCGGGGTATGTCTTGGAGCAGGGACGTTGCCTCAGTCTTACTCGCGCAAAACTTAGGTATGTTCTGCAAGGGGGCAGATCGGCTATTTGTCATCCGGCGCTTTGGCGAGCATACCTACAGCCTCGCTGGGGATGAATTGGTCCATGGGCTTATGCATGCAGAAGCTTGTGGACGTCAATATCCAGCCATGCTGGATTATGATATTAATTGAATGTAGGATGTAAATGCATGGATGATTGCAAGATTGAAGATGCCCACAGCTATTCAACGCGTACGACCTGAGTTCAAAATAGAGCTTTGATTCTGGGTACGCGTTGGAACAGCTTTCTGCGTTGGAGAAGCCCTCACAGTACACGGTATGATATATGATTTGATCTCTGTCAGCCTGGCGAGCGCAGGTAGCAGCACAATTATGCCCGTGTCCATCTTGGGCAGTATCCTGGGCACTTCCATGCCAGGCCCGATCTTCCTATGTTTCCCTAGATAGAAAACGTCGAGATGCAAGCTACTGACGCCAATGTTTGTGAGCCACCAGCAGGTCTCTGGGTGCGACGTCTTTAATTTATCTATCTTTCTATAAAGAAGTGTCGTATTATATTGTAGAGTTCGGCATTCAAACATTCCACAGATGTACGGGGTTTGCCGCGTCCGTTGTCTCCATAGAATCTGACAAATTTAGATATATGATGAAACTTGGGGCAAGGACTAATATCAAAGTTTCTTCGTATTACTTGAGTGCGAACTGAACCACATTTGAGGATAACTTTTCTTTGCGACAAATTCATGTTCATTTGCAGACTATATAGTTTTTTACTTTTATTAGTCCCAAGTACCCAGTATCGCAGCTTCCAAATCTCTCGCCAATCTTGCAAGTGTTATACTACAAACCGTGAACTCCTCTATAGCTTATTGTCTACGGGAAGCTAATTCTTTTGTTTCCCTATTCCTACACGCGGTTTGATTTACTCTCCAGCTCTATATTCTCATTATCTAGTAAGCTTGTACATATACAACGCAACCTAGACTCGGGTCCCTGTCGAAGTCCGTCGAAGAACGGTCGCACCGGGCTAAGAACAGTTGCACTGGGAAAGAGTAGTCGCGCTGGGGGAAAAAAAACAGGCAGTCGCACTGGGGAAGAATGAACGTATAGTCGCATTGGGAACAGGCTTGAGGTCCTTGCCAACTTAAGCTCAGCCCAAACCTAGAATGTTAGAAAGCCTCCCTCCATCTCACGCCAAAAGACCGATACAAGAGAACGATATCGTCTCGTGCATTCAAGCGGATCCTGTCTTTTTCATCAGGAGCAATGTGGCTTTGTCACCCGCTCCCTTGCGATAGTCTATGAGGTCCCGACTGACTACCTTTGCCAGCCCTTCGGCCTCGAGCTTGTCGGCTTCGGCTTTGTAGCCTCCGGATACCCAGATTTCTTCGAGGACTGTGGCGACGATGGTACCGTTCGGCTTAAGAAGACGGATGAATTCTCTCAAGGCAGGGTCGGGCCCGACGTGGCCGCGTGTGAAGGTGCCGCAGCATGTCACGATGTCGTACTTCTGGTCTGGTTGGTCGATCGGCTGGGTCAAGTCGACTTTGAATAGGCTGCGATACACGCCAGTCTGTTCTGCTACCTTGAGCATAGCAGGAGACAGATCCATGCCATCGATGGTCCATGGGCTGCCTTTGGCAAGGGCTTCAGCCACAAGCCCCGTTCCACAGCCAGCGTCCAATACGGTAGCCTCGGGGTCTTTGCTTGATGCAAGGGCGGCTTGGGCGACAAGGAGCGGAGCGATATAGTTCTGGGATGCGTCGGCAAGGTCATCGTTGTAGGAGGCGGCCCATTTCTCATAGAGCTCCATGCAGTCTTCCTTCTTGAGACTGTTGCGGGCTCCCGCCAGGTAGGTGTTTTCCGTTATTACTTGGGTTGCCATGGCTGCCAAATAAAACTTGGTTGGATGGATATCGGTGCGAATAGGTGGAAATTGAACTGGGATCGAAGGGCTTGCTTGGGATTTCAATGGAACATTGAGCAACAACGGTTATTCTTCCGACTACTTATATGCTTTCGGCTCCTCACTCGGCTTGTATACTTCAATAGGATCCCTGAACAGCCCCTCACTTCACATGGGAACGCTGGCGAATCCTATGGGATGGAATCGTTTTGCTGATGCATGGCGCACAGTCCTTCGTCCGTTCTCGATGGCGTGATGGCTGGCACTATTAACTGGCTTGTTCCGAGACGATCGCACTGTATCTGAAGCTACTGCCTGTGGCTTTCCAGGGTAGAATGAGCATATTACATCATGGGGGGAGTGTTGGGATAGGGCATAAGAGAACTACACTTCTAGTGGGGTCAAGGAAACAGCCTCCACCGTGACGACTCTTGGCGCAATACGATGTTTCCCCCACCAAGTACGAGTTTCCCCGCGCGGCCTAGTCTTTGTGGACTCTTGACTCGCTGTAAGGGGTGGTAGGATTGGAGTGTACGATTGGTTCACACAGTCGGTTGACTGTCCTCCAGGCAATGAGGTTAGTACAACCAGAAATTCGCGAATCTTTCGCCTGCATAGCCGGACGTCCGGAGAGGAAGTCGTCGCTGTTAGTGGTGCATTTCTTGATTTGAGCCCTGGATCATCAATCACCCACATAACGCTACTGTATTGGAACTGCTGCTCCTCATTTGCAACCTATGATGTGCATTTGACTGCAGCTTCTGGGCTTTCTTTTACCCCACCAGTGCAACACAACGGACGCTCGACGAACCTTGTTGATTACACCATTGATCTTATGGACACGGATGTCTCCATGCGGTCATCCCGCTCCTGCGTCATGCAGAAAGTATGGTCGTCGAGGGGAGAGGGGTGTGTTACGTCGCGAGACTTACCATATGCATGCCAAACCCTGTTGACCTCATTCGCCCAATGGGATAGCCCCGATTTTGGTCGAATCAAAGGTGGTCAAGCACTGGAGAATATGCACTTACTCAGCATGCAGGATAGAGAGAAACAATGAAGCATGTTGGCCGACCGTCCAGGGTGCAGCTGTGCAATGACCTTCGAGTTAGGGTAGAACCCCTGTCAGCTGAGTACGCGTTCCGAATTCTCCCCTCGATCCAAGCATGATTAGTGTCTGTGTATTTCTCAACTCGATGTGCGTCTGTTCCCTACCCTTAGCGATCATTTTTCTTCAAGTGGTTAATGCTAGTCCTACTGTCGCAGGATTCTAGCCGTAACAACAGACGGTTAGGGCACGCGCTACTAAAAACAGAAACCGATATCTGATCCGTGGAGAAAGCTCCTTTACTACTACCGAAACAGCTTGCACATCACTTTCAAGGCCGGGAAATTACGAATGCGACAATCAGAAAGCTGAGGAAACGATGATTGCCTAGAGAAGTGGTTGAATCCACTCTCGTGCATCGTCTCACTTCGCCAAGGCCGCAGCAACCAGCCCTGATTAGCCTAATGATAAACCGCTTCGATTGCCCCGCATGTCAGAGATTCCAACTTCCCCCACCAAGACAGACACGGCACAGAGTTCAACCGAATGGTGGGCACAGACTAGCGCTGTGATGATCCAGATCGGCCACTGCCAGTACCTTCCTCTCTCTAGCGCATGCCGGCGAGTTCGAAGGGCATATCGTCCCTAACCGGCGGCAAGGGCTCATGACGGCCATGCCTGGGCAGCCCTTTCTTCATTCCTTCCATCCTCTTCTTGTGGTAATGTAGCCCGAGGGGGTACCAATTCTCCGTGGTCAGTCCGCGCGAGAAGCGCGGGAAGCCCATTGGTTATAACGCTGACGTAGGTATCGTGCCACGACCGCGGATGATGCGTCAGAAAAAAGGAGCCGTGTTTAGCGCTGAGCGATCCACTGCACAAGCGCCATGGCAATGGGGAATGCCAGCCTTGCCTCAACGACATACGATGCGGTCCATGGGGCTGGATTCAGCCACTGAACTATGATCGATCCAGATCAGCCAATGTGAAGAACCGCCCTTGCACATAGTCCACAGCATCCCTGGGAGATATTTCCATCTGATACGGGACGGTTTCCGGGATCAGGATAACGGGAGGTGAGTCGACTGGCGGCGGGCTTAGCCAAGTGCAAACGACCGGATAGCCGCGGTGGTTGCGATCTTAACAAGACCGATATGACCCCCCATGCCGCAGCCAAGTCTGACGGTACCTACATCAAGCGCGTTAGACATTACGATTGTGTAATCAGCCGCGTTGATAGTCATAGGCACTAGGGATGCATTAGCCAGACAGTACAATATCTATCCTGAGCGGATATCTTCGCAACTCTCCGTTAAGATCTTATCCAGTCAAGCTGTGGGGTTTGGGACATCACTACACAGTACAAAGCCAATTCGAACAGTGTGGGTAGTATGTGGGCCTCGGCCTGTCGGAATCTGGTTTCTGTGCCGGATATTTCCTAGGCACCTTTGCTTCGCAGCAGCCCAATGGCAACGAGCTGTCTCATGGGCGATCGATAGAAACTGCTATTGGAGAGAGAAGATCAAAAGGAAAGACACCACCTGGCTCTCCTGCCAACCAGACCGGAGCCTCATAGATTTGGCAGCACACTGACTATCAGTATGCCTGTCAAACGACAATCTTCCTCTGACGCTAAAGCTCGGACGAACTTGGCAGACATAGGTGGGGATTTTTGAAAGGACACCTAAGTCACCTCAAAAGCCTCCAATGACATATACTGCGTGCACCTTTTGTGAACCATGCAACGCTATTACGTATACAATATGTATGCAGGAATTCCTTCAAGAAATGGTTTTTTTGCTATCGGCCCGCGCACACCCCGTTCATTTCCTTCCTGATGAGCTTACCACACGGTGCGAGAATTGTTCTCCCGCATATCTGGACAAACAGGAAGTCAAAAAAGGGATACTCGTCCGTCCTACGGGGAACGTAATCTCGCTTTCTATAAGAATCCCAGCAGTTCCATCATCCATGCATCGTCAATACCGTCAAGTCTTAGATCGTCTGGATTGCCTAATGTATTCTGCAGGGTCGGGTTGGCCGCCTCAGTGGCAGGCAGGTACTGCCGGGCCTGCATCAAGGACGGTCCCCATCTTTCCTTGATGGCGGATATCATTTTCACGCCCTTTTCAAATATGTTGTCTTCCGCATCTTGGCCGAGATGGTCGGATGACCTTTTGAAATTGATTTGCAGGTGGTCTAGATAATGGAGTAGGTTTGCGCTGTCTTGAACGCCATTCTTATCCCATGCTGGATCATCTAAGGTGGAAAGCTTGAAAAGATTCACCAGGGCTCGGCAGAACTGGAAGAGTATGGTAAAGGATACTCCCAAATAATGTTCCGGGGGAACACACAACCAGACATCCAACCACGACTTTGCAGCGAGAAGAGACACATGAAGACTTTTGAGGCCTTGGGGGTCTGGGCAGTTGATCGGGATGGGAGCCTTAATAAGCACCTCATGGATCGCAAGTTCTGCGTTCGAGAAGTACATACTGATGACATCTAGGCAGACAAATTAACGAAGCAGGTCTCCGAAGGGAGGGCGTAGGACATACTATTTTTCCTCAGGGGCGAAGGGATCTGGCGCTTGACTGAATCTAGTTGGGATTGCAAGAGATCTGTCACCAAAGGTGATGAATGAGAGCTCTCACCGTCGCGGCGCAGATGATAAGATTTGTCGACCACTAGCTGAATCCTGACGAGCCACACCAGCAGTTCGTCTCCAATGCACTCTTTCGTGCTAGCCAAGATCTCGAGGCTTTCTTCCATGTGGGGCGTCCAACGCAAGGCATCACTCTTAAATAGCGATGACGCGATACTAGAGTGATAGAAATTCATCAGGTTAAATCATATTGAATGCACAGGCTCCCGGTTCACCTTGAAGTGATCAGAAAGCACCCCAGCACTGCCCTTCGCTCCTCCAAAGTTCTTCTCGTAGCCGGTTCTGTCTTTAGACCGGCCGCTCGATTAAATCCATGCAAGATTGTTTGTTCATTGAGTGGAGCTTTGTTGATACCCAGCTCGCAGACCACGCCGGTCAGTATGTGGCTGTAGAAGTTGAGAAATGGCTTCGCGCAGTATGTTTTCCTGGATAGAAAAGTCAGAGAATGCTAGTCTACACGCTTTCTCAGTGGGACTGTTGGACCTCTTCGCCCACTTACCAGGACATGAATGTCATAAGGCCGAGAAGAATGTCCATGTTAGGGGCAATGTCCACGAGCAGCTCCTGGTAAATAGTGTTATGCACTTTGGTGAACAGGGATTCTCTGTGAGTCAGGTTCGGCGTCAGGACTGCAGTAAGACAGTACCAGAAGAATGGCTTCTCTTTCATAAGTTCTTGAGGGGTGACATGGGGCGGTATATGGATGTAGGGGAGATAGCTCAGGTTTTCGGTACGGAACTGCTCAAGAGCTCTAGTTGCCGCATCGGACGAGACATGATCCAAGGGATTCGGATTGTCCGATGCAGGCAGCGCAAAGACCGGAGTCCTTGTTTGAACATCATATGGGCTGGGCGACTCCTCGGCGTGCCCTTCTAGCGAATTGTCACCCTTTCGTACTCCTTCCGAGCCAGAAGAAGACTGCGTAGATATACTAGGGCTTTGCAGCGCGGACAGAAGACTATCGAGTCTAGATTCCACTCGTGCAATCCTCGTATTTGAAGAACCCTTCCGGCGCATTCGAGCCGATAACGAGGGTCGGCATTCCTTGCCCAGACGATCGCATCTATCATAGGTCAGTATCACATACCTCCACACGTCTCAGCCCTGAAGCCACAGCACTACGATTGCAGACCTTTCACACTGGTCCCCAGTCGCCAATAGTAAGCATTTGCATTTGGCACGGGCGCAATTGATGCATGCTTGACCGTATGGGGCGGGTGTTGTCTTTCGGAGTCTCCTCGCCTCCGTCCGACGGGATTCGCTGTTTGGCATTACGATACAATGGTTGTTTGATGGTTGAAGAGAAGGAGAAGACCATGTGTAGGTTAACTTTTCCACGTCCAGGTAGACGGACGGATTTCAGCGAGGATTCCGGACCGGGATTGAAGTTAATTCACCTCCAAGTCCGACCTGCTGACTCATCACATCGTGACCTGGTTGATACATTTATCTCCTCGTCGCTGAGAATAAGCTGGAGATCTTCATTTCTAGCAGTTCACTCTTATTGTTATTGCTATTGTCTTATCCATTTCGCTCCCCTGCGACGAAATTGGCGGTGTTGTTCACCGTGAAGGTCTATATCGCCACTGGAAAGCCGTCGGGTTTCGCAATCCCGATTTCCGATTCAGCCATGGGAAACAGTAGTGTATATAGAGAGCAAGAGATCCACGTTGTCCTTCTCACTGGGTATATAGCAATTAACCCATCCATGCACAGACAGGGCTGAGCTAAGAACAGACCATTCCTAGCCTTCGTACTAGACAGGCAACAAGCGTAGCTACAAGTCAAGCCCTTGGTACACCAACGACTCCATGTCGCTCCACAGCCCCAGTACTTGTGCATCTGCGAATGGTAGTATCTGTGTACAAACCATCCCTGCGATCCCCTTGGTTCTGTCACACCACCACCAAAGATTAGGAAGTCCAGCCCAATGACCAGTCTGCGCCGAACGGCCAGTGCTGCCCCCAGTAAGCATACAGGTTAGTCCCCAGCCTTGAGGAGTGCCGGATGGATACAGATGAGGAATGTGGTTGGTGAGATCCGCTTTGGCTGGTGGAATGCCCTGGGATGCAAAGTTGGGGAACTGGGGAATCTGGTTTTCGAACATTAGGTCAACCGTCGCCTTGCAGAGGATCTGCTTGTTGGTGGTGGGCGATATGCCATCGTTCAAAAGTGTGGCGAGAATTTGGCAATACTCCTGAGGCTTAGCAAAACAGCCTGCCCCGCCACTGTTGAAACAACGGTCTATATCGCGCGCATCCTCCACGATCAGTGGTCGTCGCAGAAGGTGATCGCGTGGCGATAACTGTCCATCTGGCGCCCGGGAGTTCATATGAGCCAGTCTTGACTTCATGGAAGCATTCGGGAACATGGAAATGTTATGCAAATTCAAAGGCTCAAAGATATGACGACAGAAATACTCATTCAATGACAGACCCGTTACGCGCTCCACGAGAAGGCCGGCCCAATCAATGTTTACCTACAGCTGCTTGTTAACTCTGCATCGAACCACGGCTTGTCATCTTACCCCATATTCCCATCTCTCTCCTGGTTGGTTCACCAGCGGTTGTAGCATATCATAAAAACATCCCGAGAATTCGTCATATCCTACCGGCTTGCTATAGTCTCGCAGTTTCTCATTGAAGAATGAGTACCCGAAACCAGCTGCACAAAGTTATATGGTTAGCATATGTACCTAGAGTGCCTGTTCATGCTCTGATGGAAGCTCTCACCGGTGTGGGTTAGAAGCATTCGCAGCGTAATGCCCTGTTTCTTCTCGACCAGACTTCCATCCGCTTGCAAGACCTGAACCCGCTTCAACTCGGGGCAGATCGTTTCGACCTGGGTACAATCGTCCAAGGAGAGAAGGCCTTGCTCCACAAGCTGCATACAGGCAATTCCCGTAATCAATTTGGTACATGAGGCAATCCAGAAGATATTATCGAGTGACATCGGGTCAGGCGAGCCATATCCTCGTTTTCCGCTGGCATGGGCAAAGTATTCCCGACCATCCTTACCCACGACGACCGCCACTGCCCCAGGGATACCCTTCTCCTGGTCCGTACAGGCTTCATCAAGCCGAGCCTGTAGAGAGCTAGTCACGTCGGGGGTCAGTGGAGTCATTTTCGCAGTTGGGAAAATTATGTAGTTCGTCGTATCAGCAAGCGCTTGCATACGAAGCGATCATGATCACCTTCTCCAGATTGAGATGTACCTCAATATATCCTTCCTGACCAGATGCTTCATGTTGGTATTTTTGATTGGGTCGCCCCGTAAACTCCGCACGTCCGTTGAGCCAACAAGGACAGATTGAGTTAAGTTGCGGGGACGCGGTTATGCAGCATCGGATCCGCATACATCCAGCGGCGGGGGTGAGTAATGAAAGGCACAAATCATAATGCTCAAGCTAGCCTTCAAGCTACATCGCAGTCGGACATGTTCCGCGTCACAAGATACCGATGCGGATCCGCATGCACAGACAATCACAGCCGATTCCTTTATAGGACAATCCCTACAGTTCCGCGCAGTTCTGCTATCTTTGCACAGATACACAGTCTAGGCCTTCCCACGCTTGGCCTCGATTGATTGGTCTACAGGTATACCCATGCAGCAACACCCTGGCGAGGGGGGGACCGATTGTCTGCCAGAATCGGACTGATGCATCATTAGCTGGTGCTACGCATACACGGCTCCGTCGGTTATGACCACGGGCAGGCACACTTATGGGCGCTTGATCCTAGCTGCTGACAGTATTTAAGGTATCTGTTCTCTTGGGCCAAGTGTACCCATCCAATCTCGAAGTATCGTCGGTGCAGAGAAATACTAGTACCTCTCAGAGCTCTTTGGCCTCTCTAGGTTCCTCTTCAGACCCTGACGATACCTTTCTTGTCGTTCTCTATCGATCGGAATACCAAACGGTATACCCCCGAAGCCATGCACGTAAGAAGGGAACTCGCGGAGAATGCCAAGCGTGGCACCGCTGACGGGAATTACGCCGACGATCTCGACGTTGACGTCCTGATTGTGGGTGCTGGTTTTGGCGGTATCTACTCCCTGTACGAAATGCGAAAGCTCGGGCTCAAAGCCGTCATCTATGAAGCGGGGAATGACATTGGTGGCACATGGAGATGGAACTGTTATCCCGGCGCGGGTGTGGACTCGGAAGTGCCCGAGTATCAGCTGTCGATCCCGGAAACCTGGAAGGATTGGACGTGGTCGACCAATTATCCCAACTATGAGGAGCTGCGCAAGTACTTTGACCATGTGGACAAAGTCCTCGATATCAAGAAGGACTGCGCATTCAACAGTGTAGTCGTCAGCGCCCACTTTCATACGGTAGAAGGTCGCTGGCATATCCGGACGGCAGATGGAAGAACTGCACGGGCCAAATACTTTATCATCGCCGCCGGTTTTGCGGCTAAGCGCTATATTCCGGAGTGGCCCGGCATTGAGAAGTTCAAGGGTACCGTCCATCACTCGTCATTTTGGCCGGATGAGAAGATTGACGTTCGTGGGAAGCGCTGTGCGATCATTGGTACTGGAGCCTCTGGCGTGCAAGTCACCCAAGCCTGGGGACCTGAGGCCGGGGAGCTCAAAGTCTTCCAACGCACGCCGAACCTGGCAGTGCCCATGCGCAAACGATCTCTCACGGTGAAGGAACAAGAGGACACCAAGGCGTTCTATCCGGAACTTTTCCGGTATCGCGAGAAATGCTTTGCTGGGTTCCTGTACACATTTTGTGAGCGCGGTCTGTTTGAGGACAGTGAAGAAGAGCGGGAGCAGTTTTTAGAAAAGCTGTGGACTGAGGGTGGATTTCGGTACTGGGTTGCTAATTACAAGGATTATCTGTTTGATGCGAAGGCAAATCGTGTCGTTTATGATTTCTGGAGGAAGAAGGTGTGTGAGCGCATTAATGACCCCAAGGACCAAGAGCTCCTGGCGCCTTCAGAGCCACCACACCCCTGGGGAGTGAAGCGGCCTTGTTTGGAATATGACTACTACGAGCAGTTCAACCGGCCCAATGTCGGCGTGGTCAATATCAAAGACAACAACATTGCAGACTTCACTGAAACCGGCATCAAGCTGCAAGATGGAACCGAATATGAATTTGACATTGTGTGTATCGCCACGGGATTCGACATCACCACTGGGGGCATGACCAGTATGGGGCTTCACAGTATCTCTGGCAATAGTCTCAAAGAGGAATGGAAATCGGGTGCCTTCACCCATCTTGGCATGACTGTCAGTGGGTATCCCAATATGTTCCATATTTACGGGCCACATGGCCCGACCTTGCTGAGCAATGGCCCTACAACCGTTGAAATCCAGGGGCGGTGGATTGCCGATGCCATCAAGCAGATGGAGCGGCAAGGCATCAAGTACATCAATCCGACCGCGAAGGCCGCCCAAGAGTGGAAGGTCAAGATCAATGCACTTTCGGACAGGTCACTCTTCCCTACGACCAAGTCCACCTACATGGGTGGTAGCATGCCCGGAAAGGTCTTTGAGCAGGTCAACTATGCCGGGGGGGAGTACGCTTATTCCAAGGAGATCCGAACAGCTCTTCCCGACTTTGTTGGATTTGACGTCGTCAGACGCTGAAGGGGGGGACCCTTTGGAGACGCTGAGTCGTGTTTCACTAGCAATAGCCTTTTGTAGCCATGGGAGTCGCAACACATGACCGAATGATTTTTCTTCGTCCGAGCGGTAGAGAGTCCCGTCCGCAATCATGTAGCCGTAGCCAGTAGAATTCAACAGGCCGAAAATAACCTCAAGCGTAAGCAGATCACGAACTATTATTGTAACCTTAAGCTTGGCCCGAGTGATACCCCGCAAACCCCCGCTTTTCCCCAGCTCAGCTCATGCTTTAGTATCTCTCAGATCCATGTTCGCCTTCCCTATTCTCTCGGGAACAGCACTACCTTGCTGTCGCTCATATCACCTTGCTGCGAATAATGTCTTATCGTCGCCGTCAGCATCGTAGCTGTGATCAATGTCGTAAAGGCAAAAGAGCATGCGACGCCCTCCTAGCTGACGAGCTTGAGGGGATTGCGAATGCTGGTGCTCAACAGGCCTATAATCACTCTTGCTCCAATTGCAGGAAATACAAGAGGAAATGCACATTCGACTGGCTCTTGAGTCACAGTCTCACAGTATCTCGGCATGGTCATCGTAAGAGAGCCAGAAATACTGCCATCGCTCGCTCCCAGCAGGCCAACGACCCTTCCGCCGCTCGATTCTCCCAACAAGCCTCCATTGGGCCCAATCCTACAGAGTCCCTCCAGCGAAATGTCGAGAACTGTGAACAGCCAACGTCCGTTTGGGATCCTCTTTCGCCGTGGCCGCAAGACGAGGGACTAAATGCGGAGTGGTTGACTTGGGGGAACCTGAATGACCCAGCTGTCGTCTCTCCTTGGAGCGACGACATGATCGTCAATAGCAATAGCCACGTCGACGTTGACCATACACCACAAATGGCTGCCCATTGGAACTCTCCCGGAGCCTGCCAAGATTGGCATATTACCGGTCAAACGGCTTTGCTCGATACGATGAGCAATTCAGTCGCTTCGTCGCAATCAAATGGTACACCTGGTCCCCAATCATTTCATGCCTGTGGTGTCAATTCTGAGCTCTCGCTGTATGATGTTCCCCCAACCGAAGTTTATGCTGTGTCCCTGCCAAGGAACACTACACTGTGTGTAGGCTCTAACCAATTATCACACAATTATGCGCACTCCACGATGACGCACAACTTATTCCACATATATAACGACAGTATGGAAAACGCCTTGAGCTGTTGGCTGACGGAACGTAATTGCCCCTACAGTAATTTGGGATATGTTGACGCAGCAGGACCGAAGACAGGCTCTTACACCACGAATAGAATCTACAGACGGGTTTGCCTCTTAGATCAGGCATACTCATCCATCCCAGGTCGACGTCTGACGAGCGTGGAGAATCGGACGGCAACACAGGTGCTTCATGCTGCCATCATGGCATTCGCTTCTCAGTGGCTAGAGGAACGTTCAATAGACAATTCTATTCGATTCCCATCCACCGCAGTTCATCAACGAAGAGGCATGCGGGAGATTTTCTGGAATCAAGCGCGTCATGTGCTAGAGCAGTCGAGAGCAATTCCATCTTTCCGCGTGGCCTTTGCGCATATGTTAATTTCGCTAACTCAGCCTCCCCTATACTTTGGGGAAAGAATGGAGCCCGGCGAACTCATAGACCATGATCCTGCACCGATGTTCCTCGAAACGGCGCTCCGGCAAATGTTTACTTTTCGTTCTACGTTGATCAAGCTTCGGCGGCAAGGTCCCAACAGGGTCCTTGAGCATGGCGAGGAGAGAAAATGTGAGGGATACCATACAGGACAAAGTGCCCATCAGTCAGGCCAGATTGATGTGATGCTGAAGGACTCTGAAGCCCATCACACTTTCGATCTTCTATTCTGGCTGGGCATCATGTTTGATACGTTGACATCGGTCATATATCAACGCCCCCCTGTGATTTCCGATGAGGACAGCCAGATTATACGCACCCGGTCGCCCATAATTTCATTTCCGGATGCCGTTGATTTAGATGGGTGGGATATTAGCTCCTCTTCCATTCGCAAGAGTAAAGAAAGTGTATGGGGCGATCTTTTCCTCCGCAAACGCACCATGCTCCACAGCCTCAACCAGGCCCGCTGGCCCTGTTCTTACGAAGAGGCAGCGGAAGTCCTATCTGACGCCGCGCCAGTAAAGGTCCTTCTATTCCGTCGCATAACTCATATCAACACCCTTGTGTGTCGGGGAGGTGAGGCTGAGGCTATCGAGGAAGCGATCCACAACGCTCTCTTGGTCTACGAGTACTGGAACTCCACGTACAAGCAATTTATGCTGGATTGCCTCTCTCACCATCCAGAGCTCCCGTCTCGCATACAATCGTGGTATTTGGTGCTGGCCGGACATTGGCACCTTGCGGCGATGTTGCTCGCAGATACTCTTGAGGACATTGACGAAGCGCGACTTGGTCTGGGCACCCAAGCCACGTATCGGTACACGACGGGCCTCATCTCCCTCTTGAGACGCGAAAGTGCGTTCGCTGTCGGAGACCTCGCCCAATACTCTTACGACTTGCAGGGATCGTCGCATCCCAAGCTCCGCAACTTTCACGATTCAGTCAATCAAGCAGCGTCCTTAACTGAGCCATGGGCTGCTGTCCTTATCCACTCTTTCAGAAAAGCAGGCACCGTTCTGATTAGGGAGATAGGGACATCACAATATGGCTACCAAATGCAGCAAGAATCTTTCATGCTGGCGTGCCAGCGTTGTGAGCACTGTATAAAGGCACTGCAGTGCCTGGGAAAAAAGTCAGATATGGCTCTGACCGCAGCTCACAGACTATCAGACAGTGTAAGCAGAACACTGTCGCGACCCAGTCCTATTGTTTTATACAATATGTGCGCCGTGTGATATTGCTTTGTTGACCTGGAGCTGGTCCACTCGAGATTGTCCGACATTAGGAAACGGAGTAAGTGTCGGCGAGATGAGCATAGCGCCTCGATTATGTCTAGCGAGTATCATTGCTAAAATACACTGGCAGGCATTAACCACAAGATGAAGGCGCAGAATATGGCAGGACACGAATCCGCTACTTGAGAAAGACCATTTCCACGTCAGTGAGATGCATAAGGGACTTGGAGCATTTATCATCCACGACGAACAACCGGAGTTTCAATATGGAGGATTGTGTACTCCAGAGAGGACCGCTTGCTATGATTCGACGCGCGAAATATTGATTCAGCTCTGTTCCATCCGGACGGTTCGTGTAGAGTGAGCTGCCAAGAACAAGTCGCGTTGTGCCTTCCGAACAGTAAACAAAAGATGGCTCTACACGTGACTCTTGCAAGATAGCCCAGCGTATCTCAAATTCATTTTCAAAAATTCTTCTAAATTCGTGTATAGATACTACAGTAGCTTCTACATATGTTTGTGAATTTTGTACGATATTCCAAGCCTTAACGATGCGTTTTTGCTTCAGCTGTATTTCAGCCGGTAAAGTAGATACTGGATATATATTTGCTTAGGAGCGCTTCGGGACTACATGTACATGTACGCATACATCTAGGATTACTCACGCAAACTAGCTCACAAAGTTCTAAAAAAAATGTATAAAATATACCTTGTAGCAGAATTATCTTTTCTATTTTCCATGGAATTTTGTCATATACTGTGGTAGGCATTCGGGGTTGTCAAGCGAAGAAATGGTGAAATCTATGAACTGGAGATAACTACCAATACGGAGTCAGAGAAAGCCCCGGCCCTAAGCCCTAAGCCCTAGCGATGTCACCCAAGCCAAACTGAAATAAGTATTAGCTGCCGCCGCTTTTATGACGACGTTCAGAACATCTCCTTACATTCGAAGGGTGAAAAGGAGAATTCATTCGGATCAATATACTATTTCAAGAATTCATGTAATAGTCGGGCGTCATGCAATACCGTCAACCACGGATATTACCATACGTGTTTGATGATGCGCTAGACTTGTCAAATGCAGCTCTTTTGGCCATATCTGTCTGACTCTATGCTGTACGCGTGTGTGTCTCCAGCTCGTGTTGTTCGAAAGCATTGGTCTGAACGTCAGTAACATAGTGTTTGAACTTGCGAAGATTGATCTTCTTCTCAAACCTATGAGAAAGACCCCAAGGAGTTAGCACGACTCGAAGATGGAGGCATAAAAGAATACCGTTGGAGCGCGTTTCCACTTACATTTCATCGATCTCGGCAGGTGTCCGACGTGTGACCTCCGGGAGAATAAACCACGCGATGATAACAGCTACCGTACCAGTTCCCGCGAAACTGTTTTATGAAGTGTATGTCAGTGGCCGATCATTTCATTTCTCCAGTGGAGTGGAAACCGAGTACGCACAAGAATCCTGTTTTGACTCCCCATTTTGTAAGGGGTCCGTTGATCATCAGCGGTGTGCAGAAGCTGAACATGAGCGCGATTAAATTGGACGCCGCAAGGGACCAGCCTGCAGTTTGAGCACGCAGGCGTTGCTGGGGGATCTCTGCAGCGTAGGCGTAACCAATTGACGAGGCACCGGTGGTTGTGAACGTAGCGAGACAGGCGAAAAAGACCTGTGGCGCAGTGTTGGTTGGTTAAGGGTCCTGGTGAAAATCATAGATTTGAATAACTTACTAGAAGCGAGCTTGTAGACTTCTGAGTGTAATCAAAGCAGCCGATTATTCCAAGGCATAGCACTGATAGAGTCGTTACCGCATAGGGATAGACGGTGAGTGGTCGACGGCCAATTTGGTCGGTGAGCATGGCTGTGATGATCATGGAGAGGAGCTGAACACAGGACAGGATGACGGTGACCAAGAAAGGGTCTTTATTACCCGCATATTGAACTGCAAGGAGAGGTGAGCAAGAGAGAGGAGGAACAGCTCATTTGAACGCGCAGCTAACTTACAAAAATAGGTAGCGTTGGAGTTAAACACTGCCAGCCCGACAAACTGCTGGGTGACCTTTGGCCATCCAGCAATCACGAACCGGATGAAGTTGCGGCCCTGGAAAACTGCCCACATCCCTTCCTGCGAGTCTCGCTCAGCAATCCGGCGCTCCTCGGCGACTGTGGCGCTCATGATCTCCTGCAATTCGCACTATTGTTAGTAACAAGCGCGCACTAAGGGCGATATTTGGACAGACAATTTGTTCAGACACATCATAACCCTCAACGCGGCCGTTATAGGTCGTAAGGATCTCTGCGGCCCTATCAAGCTTTCCTTTACTGACGAGCCACCACGGGGTTTCGGGCATGATGACGAAGATAATAATTGTTGCTCCGACCATAGCCCACTGGAGAGACTTCTTAGTACGATCACTGAGATCGGCTCAAAGAGACTGGATTTTACCTGTGTATAGATGGGCGTTCGGAAGTCCAAAGGGCTTATAGCATGAAGTCGGTTGAGAGCCACTGAGGCGAATATTTGTCCCACCACGAACCAACTGAGAAATGTTCTGGTTAGGAGTATCCGTGATTCAAATCGGCAGTGAGGCAGCTTACAAGCTGTATGCATTAATGAAGAATCCCCTTAACTGGGTCGGGGCTATCTCCGACAGATAGATAGGCAATGTCGATTGCAGCATGCCGACTCCCATGCCCGAGAAGAGTTTCGCCACGAGCCAGTGATCCCACCGGGTAGCAAATGACTCAATGAATATACTCTGAGAAAAAAGAGTTGCATTAGCACTTTGGTACATACGCCAGTGAGTAGAGGTTTAATGAAGCAGGGGGAGCCTTGAGTTACGGCGTACTACTACGAAGACGACCCATATGATGTAAAATGCCACTTTTCGGCCGAATGCTTCCGTAGCATATTGGAGCAGCTGTATAGAAGCAGGAAAAAATATTTAGCAAGCTTTCCATGAGTCTCGGCGTGGGTATCCGTACAATTTGGCCAACCGCCTGGCCAGAAGACTGAATGCCACTCCAAGCGGAGACATACTGGCCTTCGATGATCGTGGTTCCAGGGCTCGCCATCTGTCGGATGAACCCCTCATTGGAAACGAGCCCACCATTGAGGTTGATCTCTAACACCGTGCATATATTCTATTAGTCTGACTTCCGTAAAACTTTGGATAGAAGTTCAGGATAAAGAAACCGTACGGTAACCATCTAGCGCGGCACTGAACGCCGCAGCCATTGCAACGACCGAGACGACTTTATATCGCCTCACCGTCTGCCATACAGAAAGGTCATCCTCCTTTGAGCGCATGACTGGCGCACCGCCTTTACCTATTGCACAATGCTCATTCTCTTCAGCGGTTGGCTGTTCGGGCCCCTCATGTTTGCTAATGCTTGGCTCGTCTGCGGTGACGGCCTGCAAGCGATCGTGTGAGGCGTGGTTGGTGACCATGGTGATCTGTCGTTGATGTGACTCAGGTCCCTAGTCTCCTAGACGTGCAGGTGTAGGTCAGAGGGTATCCTTTCGGCCAAGATGCTTTTGTATATAGACAAAAGAGTACATTAGGGCTCATAGTGGACCCGTGCGGAGACCCCAGAGATACCCCAGACGGGAGCCCCATTAACCTATGTCAAGCTTTGACACACGATCGGTTATTGACAGGGCAGGCTCGGCTTACGACTGCTGGTTTAGGTTACGGAAGGATTCCAAGCTCCGGTGGAGGTGGAGTGTTTAATTGCGCCAGTGCTTTTGATTTCGGGATATCGCACCCCGAGTGTGTGCTCACATTGGTTGATCGACACCACAAGACCATGCTGTATGAATGAGGGGTTGAACTAGCGCAAGTTACCAACAAAGTGAAAGGATAGTTCCATTGGTTTGGGCAGCTGCCTCGGATAAATACAGGACAAGTAATAACTGGTTGGTTACATCGTAATTTGTCATCGCTTCTAACCCCTGCATTATGCCGTGAAAGCACAGACCGAAGAACACTGCTTCTTAGAGATAGATAAGTAAGGCTTCTGAGGCGCTGAGTGTAAATGTGGCTGAACCGGAAGACACAGTGCTTGTTTCTACGACTTCATCGCCCTGGATCACGCATGTTCCGTTTGCAAATGTCCGGCCTGCAACGGTAGGAACCTGGCCCCGATCGACTCGAGACGTAGAATAGGGCGCTGTTAGTCGTTTTGCGGTGACACTGGAGGAACTTAGTCCGTTCAACGTGAAGGTCTGCGACGGGCGTGTACCAGTGGTGTAGTAATCTGAATTGTACAAAAGTATTCTAGACGGAGCGCCGCCTTGGTAGATGGCGTATGCGGCGTACGGGGTTGTCTGGTCGTCTAGAGGAGCGATCTGGTCTGCATTGGCCAGAGCCATCGTCGCAAAATAGGCGCCGTAATAGGGTGCGCCCATATTGTAGCGACCCCACCAGCAGTATGGGCCTTTCGAGTCAGCATTCTTCCAGGAAGTGGGCAGATCTCGTTACTTACAGTTTCCTATAGTGCCCTGGTGGAAGTAGAGAGCCTGTACAAGCCGGAGTGGAAGTGGTTACTTTCTGTGATACCGACTCGAGTGATCCCTAGTACATACCTGTGTTCCCAAAAGAAGAGTTTGCATCACGTAGTCTAGGATCCAAAGACTAGCACCGTATGTTGGGCTGATCCCACCGCCCCCTTGTGTCGCTATGGAGAACCGTCAGTGACAGCTTTGAGCGTGGGACGGAGTATAAATACCAGAGTTAGTTTCTCCAAAAATATGAGCTTTGCCTTTTGCAGCTGCAGCTGCAGCTTCGGAGGCAAAGGGTTGAATTTGCGACGCAATGCCACTGTGGCTCATTAGACCGGCCAAATCAGCAGTGTTGGGCGACTGGGGATAATTGTGCGAGCAGTAGTCCTTGACAAGGTCATTGGCATCATCCTCAACGGCGGATAAGCCGGCGATACTCATCGGTGAGGTGCCAAAGTAGACACCAGCGGAAATGAGACCTGATGCGGACAGATTCTGGCAAACTGCATCCTGCCAAGCTAACTGGGATTTGTAGTCGGCTGCAGCGTCCCATGACGCGCCGTCTGCAATGGGGTCGCTGTCGGAAAAGACTGAGTGGACTCCATATTAGCAGGCTCCCGAGCGCAGTCATGCATAGGAATAACCTACAGTTTGGTTCATTTCCAAGTTCTATGGCATAGAGGTTATTGATTGTATCTTTGGCCAGGGCCGCTGCAGCAATTGTGTTGGACTGATTGTTCAGACGGCGATTAAGGCCCACGATAACCTGGCCGCCGTAGTTTGCAGCCAGGGACATGAAGGGTGGGCCAAATGTAAGTGATGACGGTGCATCTGCCGGATCGGATACTGTGTAGGTGACTGCGCTACTGGAAGACGCATCATATGTCGCACGATCTCTAAAATGGGATTAGAACTGATCAGATAGTGTCAAAGAAGAAGAAGCGCACTGCGTGGTGCCGCCAATTCGGAGTGGCGGCCATGTCCCGGTCAGGTCCTTGAGGTTCTTAAGGCAGGTTTCGGTTGCATCGACATCGTTCATGTAAGCCGGAAACGTGAAAAACTCGAGACTGCGTAATCAGCGCGGTACTCTCCAGGAACGATTGTGTGATACTAACGAAAGGCCCACTGGTGCCTCAACCAACTGAGCGCTTGCATTTGTCGGTGCTGACCCTGGCACATCAAAGATCAACGCTGATGCCGGAGCAGCAACGGCGAGGAGGCCTGCAGCGAGGTGAATGAGAGTCATTAGGACAAGTGAACCCTGTCGTGACTTCACCTGGAGGATAAGATGGCAATACTAGATACGTCGCCCTTGGGGAGGTTTGCTACATTATATCTACCGGATTGTTATTCACTACCCTACATACTCTGATAGCCTCGGTAGGACATCCCGAGAACAGAATGAACCTTGAACTTCAGGTATTTCCGTACAATATCTGCTAGAGCTCACCTCCACCGGAGAGAAGTCGACGGGATCCCCACTGCCATCCCCAACGCCAGGATGGAGTGCAAGTCTGGAGAAGACGGCGTGCGTCGATCAAATGCGGGGTACGTTTACCATAGATGACATGTCTTAGTCGTCGGGACAAGCTTTCCCGAGGCCTAAGCAGTAGGATGATATGCTAAGACAATAATCCCTCTTGTCTCCGATGCTGAACCGTTTCTGCCGGATTTTTGCCTGATTGAGGGCCAACGACACGCACGTGCACAGGGTGTTTTCCCCCGCCGAAAAGGGTATAGTCCAACTGCATTGCTGCGACTTTTGATCTCTCAGGCGATGCTGACGTCTAGTGATTCTACGGCCAGTAAACCCTGAGGTCTAAGCTAGAGCTTGGTGAGTTCAGTTCATTGACTGCTGGCTATAGTATCCCGGCCAAAAATTGTGCTTCTCCTTTCCCAAAGCTCCAGTCCTCCCTGGAATTTTCGGCACAGCTGATAATAAGATCTTCGCCAGAGAGTCCACATCTCTCAGATAATTGCTCATGAAGTGCTTGATACGTAGCCTGCTTCTGTGTAGCACTACGCCCTTGCTGCAGGATTTGTATGATAACCAAGTTGTTGCTTCTCTTCATTCCCAGGTTCGTATCCTCACAGATCAACTCGTAGGGCTCGTGTTGGGTGATAATCTTTGGGCCAGAATATGGTTAGAATACAATATGGGTGCCACGGGTACATGTAATATAATACTTACTTGATAGCGATCCCGGTACGGTGCGTTGAAGTGCTTTCGCATAACGTCTTGGATAACATTGGCCAGCTGTCTTATCTCATGGGGAGATCTTACCCCTTTGATTAGATCAATTCTCACCAGAGGCATCGTTGTTTCGGGATAAGCAGAGGAACGAAAAACGAGGCGTAGTAGACCCTGAAAAAGAGAAAAGAGGAAGGGAAAGACGAAATCAATCAATCGATAGCGTTGGAACAGCACGAGTAAATACCTGCACAACAATCCCAAACAAGACACTTAGAAGAGGGTCATTCTATCTATCCAGGCTGTCGAGCATATACCCACAAGAAAATTCCCATACGACTAAGGTTTCTGATATTTACGTCTTGTGTGGTGAGGTTCGCTCCGCAATATCCGCGGCGATCTCGGGGTCTTCCATCGTGACATCATACATGCATTGGTCTTTTTCAAAGGTGCACCCAACATTTACGAGGATAAGGGACAAAAGAAAGATTTCTCTCCGCTAGTAGGCTGCGGAGATATACGCTGCTGGTCATCACAAGATTTCGTGATGTTCTGTGAAAATGATTTCATATATCGGGTATGGAACATGAGACGCTCCTGCCGGGAACATAACATGAAAAAGTTCACGTCTGTAGGAACGTCTTAGCTGGCATCTCTTATACTGGTCTATATGAAAAGAGAAAGGGTGAAAAGTGTTTTAATTACGAAGCCCAGTGCCTCGTCGTACCATGCCACCACACCACACCTACTTCCTCGCACACAAACTTTGTACAACCTTTTGCACCAAAGCATCATTATCCCTAAACCTCTGTGGAAACTTGGCCAAATCACTACTCTTTAACAGACCTCTCGCCTTGGAAGCCTCCACCAGCGCCTCCGCCTTGGACAACTTGCCTGACCCGCCGCCAACACCCGCAATCAAGCCCAGCACCGCAAACGGTGCAGACGTCGGATCTTCGATGATTTCCGCCACCGTCAACGCTCCATTTCCTGCTTCGCCGATGAGAAGTGCAATGCGAGCGATTGATGCTGCACTGCCGATCAGGGGGCCGAGGGCCTCGCCGACAAAGGGGATGACCATGAAGACGACGGTGAGGATCTTAAAGATGAGGTCCTTCTTTGCTTGTTCCTTGGCGTCTTCGCCGATTTCTTTAATGTCCTTCATGCTGTTGATGGCTTCCGCGAGTTGCAGCACGGGCATGGAGTAGGCGACTACTGCGTCAGTGGCCGAGGTATCGTTTGGCCCGTCGTCGTAGAAGGACAGGCCCACGCTGAGGTACGAGGAGAGGAGCGAGGTTCTCAGCGCCGTGACATTGTCCATGGACGCTTCGATGAGCTTCTTAGGATTGCCGACGTGAATATCGTCATCGGAGCCCTTCTGAGGGTAGTTCAGCTTTTTGTGGAAGAGTTTCCGACAGGGCAGGCCGTTGGCGGCGCCTGGTCGTATATCGCCAGGATCCGCACATATCCAATCTGAAGTTTCACCGCCAAGCGTCACCCACGACTCGTCGATGCCAGTCTCAGCAGCGAGCGCGTCAAAGAAGCCCTTCTTGTCGACGAGATCGTAGCGGATGCTCCACCCCGCAACTATGTCCCAGATGTGCGGCATGGTGAGGCAGGGATCTTTGGTTTCCTTGCCGCCGGTATATGCCCAGTAGCAGTCAAAGTACTTGAGGCCTTTGCCTTCGCCGAACTTCATGAACTGGTCGATGCGCGGCTGGATTTGCTCCTTGGTCCACTTCTCGTACCAGCCGAACTTGTCGTCGTAGCCTTCTGAGTTGGTTTTGAACAAAGATAAGCTGTCGAGGAGCTGTGAATATAGAATGTCCATTGCAAAGAGGTGGACACAACCTGGGTCTAGAGAGTCGGCTTTATCAGCGAGACCATCCAGGGTGCCAGGGTTCTTGTCGGGTGGGCAGGTGAGTGTGTCATCGCCAGATTCATCATCGGCACCGTCCTCATTCTCGCTATCGTCGCGGTTTTCATCGTTGGAGTAGTGTTGGAGGTCAATGGCCCAGTCGCTGGAACCGCCAAAGTTGAGGCCCTTGATCCAGTTGATCCGGTTGGCCTTGAGATCACCGTCCATATAGGCCGCCCAATCCACCGCTCCGGGATTACCGTACATGAGAATGTTGGAGTCGGAATCCTTGTCAATGTACGACTTGACAATGGAGTAGTTTCCAGGGTTGTCAATGATATCGTTAAGCTCAGCATTGGAAATATAGCCACCAGTTGTGGTACAAGGCGCGGCATAGGCCGCAGACTGATACTTCGCTCCAGCATAGGTGCACAGGGGACCGGAGCAGGACTCGTCAGTCATGCGAAAGCTTCTGGCATAACTGGTGACGCCAATGACGACCTGTCGGGCTTCCACACCAGCTTTGGTGATCATGACCATGGAATTATGTGTCTCGGTCTTGTTGACGTGTGATCGAAGGCAGTTTCCAGCTTCGCAGCCCGGCATGGCCGATTTGCTGTCGACGTCTGCATCCAGAGAGACTCACAATTAGCATATCGTTCTATCCCGTTGTATCCCAGACGCGCGTTACTTACCCCATTGGCCGTGCAAGTCATACGTCATGTAAATAAAGTAATCCACATATTTCGCAATCTCCTTGATTGGGTACTGCTTCAAGTACCAATACGAGGACGGGATGGCAACGGAAATTGATTTCTCGCTGGGCAGCTTGCTTCGCAGCAGCTGCAGGAAACCAAGGTAATTGTTTGCATCTTCAGGACTGCCGGGCGGCACGTCCGGAATATCAGGTGCACCAGGATACTCCCAGTCAAAGTCAAAGCCATCCAGGTTTTGGCTACTCATGAAGTTTACTAGGTTGTTGACAAATGTGTCGCGGTACTCCTTCTTGGTGGCATCCCGGAAGCGCTGGAACGTGCCTGCATCTGTGGAAAATGCCCACCCGCCGAAAGAGAGAACTTTTTTAAAACCAGTCATCTTCATGAATTTGCTGAACTCGTAATAGACATCTGGGATATCTATATCGAAGTTAGATGTGACCGTTCCAAAAGCAAAGTGGATATGCGTGTACTTGTCGGCCGGGATCTCGCTGACACCCATTCGCAGACACGCCCTCAGCTGATCAAATGCCTCGAAGTAGCCGATAGTCCTCACCTGGTCAGGCGCCTTGCCGTTGTTGACAATATCCATCCCACAGTTGGAGATACAACCGTTGGTTTCTGGCTTTGCGGTCCCGGGAGCGCCAGTATCTGCGGGTGACTTAGTACAGAAGTCGACCGTTGTTCCGCAAAAACCCCAGGCATCGCAGCATGCATTCAGTGGACATGGATTAAGATCAGCTAGTGCCGTTCCGTTGGAAGGCTTCTCGGTACCCGGTACCTGTGGACCGCAGGTGGCTCCCTGGACCGGCGAGGGCATAGGAGGTGTTCCCTTACTGAGGCATATGAGTTGGCCAATCTGCAGATGCGCACAGCCAGCCCAGCCCCAGGTGTTTTTGTTGAAGTCTTCAATGTCTTGCTGTTCCAGGTAGTGTGTTTGTGCCACGTCAGAGCATCCATCGTTGTCATTGACTTTGTATGTGTTGCAAGTGCCGTCGGGCTGGGGCTGAGGGCGAAAGTCCGGCAGGGTGCCTGCGTTGCAGCAAACGTGCTGTTTGGGCTTCAGGGTCGAGCACAGGTTCTTTTTCGGGTTGTACTTGGACAGGTCAGTTCCGGAGATGCCGCAGCGGCTGGCCAACGAGGCGCAGCTGTCACCTCCATGGACCTCTTCTGTTCTGCACTCTTCCCTTGGGAGAAGGGCTCGCAGTTTTCCTCTAGCTGTTCTGTTGCCATAGGAGACTTTAGTGATATTGCTAGTAATAGCATTGAAGCTTTTATCCACTGTAGACACGAGAACATCCATGCTGATGGCGGTAGCGGAAATGGCCCCGTCAAGGCAGAGACCATTGCTCCAGGCCTTGATAGCATCTTGAGCTACTGCTAGATCAACAAAGCCAGTAGAAACCACCCCAACAGTCAGGGCCGCGCCGGCAGGCTGGCAGATCTGCAGGGTAGAGGTTTGCCGTTCCGGGAAAGAGTCGAGGAAATCTCGAGCGGCATGTTTAGTGATTTGTGCACCAGAATATAAGCCCACGACAGCAGACCTGTGTTTGGCAAACAGGATGGTGGTGCCACATTCAGCGCTCTTGTCCACGAACAGAGCAAGTTGACGAATAGCCTCGGCTACATGAGCAAACTGCGGAGCAGTGCCGGACGCTTGGTAAGCGTCGAAGGGCCAGTCTGGGGAGTGAAAGTGGTCTTCACTGCCTTGGCACCGCAGCTTTCAGCGACGATGAGGTTTTGTTGACTTGGCTGCTGAGGCACATCGGGGGAGGCAGCAGCCTCGTACGTCTGGCCTTGACTAGCCACACAGGCGCGGATAGTAAGGATGGTGCTTGGATCGGCGACAGAGTTATAGATATTCAAACCAAAGAGGACAGTTTCATCACAGCTCTCAAGATTGTGGAGATGGTGGATGTTGGTCCAGTTGGCCGGACTGGGACCAGCATCAGCACACAGACTGGGACAGTTGTCAGCATACTGGCCATTGTAGCTCTCTGTGACAGCAAAGGCGAAGTCGAGCAGAGAGGCAAGGAGGACAAAAGAGAGCCTCGTCCTGTTGTCTGAGCCAGTGCTAGCAGTGGGTGAGGGAGATTGCGAGGAAGATACCGAGTACTTGGGCGGATTTGTCGTTCATATAATGTACTACTGGTGCTCACCGTGTAAGTCGGCGATATCGACCCAACCCATTCTACTACCCTCAGCCCATTTCTTTCGGGTTGTTAAATTACTTGCAAGCCTCGTCGAGGGTTCCCATTCTGCCCCTGAGAGATGCATGGCACTAAGGAGAGAAAACCCCATGTCTGGTCTGGTTGGGGATTGCAATCTATACGATGGCCCTCACATGCAAGTAAACCCTGGCGAATTATGATTACTATTATTACTATTCTCCTTTCCCCTGGTCGGTCTAGAGTTTCAAGAGCTTTTAGTCCTCAATAAAACCAGTCTAGGGAGCAATGCTATCAACATATCCCTGCATGTAACCTTGTGGCTGACTCGCGGTACACCCTAGAGACTTACTAGTGTTAGTTAGCAACGGACTTCCGAACATCTCCGTGGCCTGGACTACGCTGTCAACCAAAATCAGATAGAGACCTCCTAGAAAGGTGCATGCGGTCATCTTTACATACTACGAGGGAAATCATTTAATTCGACTCCTCCTTTTGTAAAAGGGAAAGAGGAAAGGTATTGGGTCTCAAAGTCTGAATCAAGTTGCCACGCTTGATTCTCGTTGCCGACACCCTTCCTTTTCTTCTACAGAGTACGTATCGTGAACAGCCTTGTCTTTATTGTCAAAAACACGTCCCATTTACTCTTCTGTTATTTTCCGGGTGATTGACTTATCCGCCTCACAGTTCCCCTTTTACTGAGTTATTATGGTCCTTGCTACAATGGCCGCCGCGCTCACTGCACCGGTCTATATAGACTATAATGAGTTCTTTATAAATAAAAGCAACATCCTGACGGTCCCCTATGAAGATGTTACTGCCGCTTTCAAGACACCTGTCTCTATCTACTCCACAGCTGTAGATGGCTTCGACTGGACACAGCCGTATCCGGGCTCCCGCAAAGACGGACACACGGCATACCTGGAGGTCGCCCAGGAAATGCCCTTGTCTGAGTCTATCGTGCAAAATGCAACCACGGTGTTGTCATCATTGACGTTTGGTATCCCCGACAGCATGAGCTCTGGCGGCCAGCCACTGGCCATGGATCCTTCATGGTACATCTGTCGCCACGTCTTCATCTCGACCAGTCCCGAGGCGAAGCTGGCCGTCGACAGTGGCAGCAAATGCGATTTCTTATCTCGGATATGTCAGGATGATCTTAGGACTAGCCTGACTCAGGATTGGGGGAAAGCTGCTAATGGCACCATGTGCTCGGCGCTTGGCTTCGACCCCATACCGCGGAGTTGTAAGGACTCGTTTGGCTTCGCGCGCCAGGATGTCATGGACTTTGACGCCGCCTTCCTCGCAAATACTACCCTGGCCCCGGCACAGACGAGCAAGGAGCAGCAGCAGTACAGCTGGCGTATTGGCACCGGGTATCACGACCCTGGCGATGCTCGCGCCTACGCCTTGGCCGCCAATCGTACTTACCTCGTCGCTACCGTTTGGGGCTACAGCGAGAGTTCAATGACCATACAGGTCCCCGAGGTATCATTTGATTGCCTCTCGTCTGGCGCAAGCGACACCCCGCCACCTTCACCCACTCCATCAGCCAGCACGACCGCGACTACGGCATCGGCGTCTTCATCTGCCGCGAGCCCAACGCTAAGACCGGCCTGGATAGCTACAACAGGTGCTATGCTGGTAGCAGCAACGGACTTGCCATACTCGGCCGCACTGTCAACAATTGAAATGGGCTCGAGGCTATTCAGGCTGCGGACATCAAGGAAGGACAAAAACATCCCTTGATGATTCAGGCAAGCGGGGATTCTATTTTTGTCTACGTGGATGACTTGTGACATTAGGGCTTATATGCCGACAATGTCTATAAGCAATGCAAGAACATGCACGGTTTGAGTTGGATATACAGTGAATAGTAATAGTGTATCTCAGTTTGAAGGTTCATAGCTTTTTCAATTAAAGGTTTTCATGCTATATGAGATTCATTTTTCTTTGACTTGGACAACATCCTTGTGTACACGGGACTAATGGTACCGCTAGACCTGTGCTAGGTATGCGATACTATCTCCCTCATCTATGTCACCCATGTAGCAAACCGCCGAGATCACAATCACGTACTTTGGCATATTATTGACACCGGAGCATGAGGAAGCTTAAGGACAACATGTAAAAGCAGGCGAGTATTGACCACTCAATTGGCAATTGACTTGTTTAGTGCAAATAACTAGGACGGAATGTAACTCAACCTTCCCACCACACATTAGCTTGACCCCAAAAACTGGTTATGATCAGCGATTGGTTAAATACGGAACCATGAGCCGATATCTACTATATTAATATATGCGCGTTGGAAGCGGGCTAATCTCCTAGGTAGTAGCCGAGGTATCGAAAGGTAAGACACCAGGGATTATACCCTTGTTACTATTAGCCTCGTTAGGACTGCTATAGAACTGCATCCGGTATACCCCTGCTAGATGCATGAATCTTGAGGCGAAACAAACAAGCCCCCGAACAATTGCTTCGCCTCGCCTTGTTCGGATATTGCGAACCCACACGCAGGGATCCTGTTGTCCAATCGGTAAGTGCTCATAGATCACGAGACCATGTTGTATAGGTCCATCTCTCCGAGGTCGCCAAGTCTCGCACCTTGTTGAATCTAGCCCTTGGAATTAGTAGGGAGAGTGAGTAGTGAGTGTTAAAGACTATCAGAGCATGACAGAATTCCCGCCCCCTTTTCCTGTGCATTTCTTCTGCCGGCGCATGACTCGCAGCCCGTAAATCACTTGCACTCGTTGTCATAGAAGGGCTCTTATATTGGTCAGAAGCCCTTATTCACTCTAGGCTGTCGTTTCGTATACCGCATTCTTTTACACATTGCCTCTTTTTGCATCTTGTTCTTTCTCGGATAGAAACCAGAAATCATGCTTCTACTGCTGTGTATCACCGTCTTTCTCGCGGCGGGTGCTACGGCCAACAAGGTCGCCGGCAAATTCCAAGTTCTCTTTTTCTATCAGCTCTACAGACTCGAAGTAGACGCCCACGGCCTCGACGACTCGCGTATGGCACCTGGCTGCGCCAAGAACGGTGTCGTCTGCGACATGGAGGCCTTCGCTAAGGCAGTCTGCAGGGTCGACACCACCGCTGAGATGGGCCCCGACAAAAAGCCTATCAGGGACCCTAACACCGGCAAAGTCATCCTCAAAAAGGTGCCTGATTTGGGCAAAATCGACTGGGCACGTATCGGTGAGGGTGCAGATCTCGATGTCTTCAGCACTGAGTTCGACAAGTCTGGCTACCAAGGGAATCTTCAGAATGCTAAGCTCTTCAAGGATTGGAAAGGGAAGGACAATTTTGACGACGTTATGAGCGAGGCAGAGGATATTGGTCTCAAGGCCATTAACAAACTCAAGGCCGATGGCAGGGAGCCTGTTGATGACCGTATCAACAAGATGACAGCTGCACTCCAGACCCATGCTGACGCCCGGCGCTACGACCAGGCAATCACGATCGCTAAAGATTTTGAAAAAGAGATAGGAAGAAAGGGATTCACCGTAGTGTACACAGATCCGATAGAGCGACCACCGGTACCGGGTTACAGGAAAATCGACGCGGAGCAGACTATTGATGTTAACAAGGGCAGAAGCGGCTTTGATAAGGTTGAGGAGACGGTGAAAACGTTTATTAAGGACAAGAACAGCGCGGGATTTTCAGGGCGTCATGCCGAGCTTATCTACAAGACGCGGGATATCCATAAACATCTTGCAGAGGCGTGTCGAACAGGATGAGATTCTATTGGACTATATAAAAGACAATTCTCCACCGATATAGGCATAGCATCGATTCCTTTACCAGTAGGTCGGAGGTGGCGGGTATCTATAACACTCACCGGTACAATATCGCACCATAATCCGCGGTCGCAGCTTGGGCAGACTCTGTCGAGCTTCTTTGACCCACGGATGGTCCTCATTAGGCGAATACCGATATAAGTCGATACGATCTGGCCGCGCCAGGCAAGGCACCCAAGCGGAGGCCGGGTTCGTCCCAAGAATGTCGAGGTTTTCCCTTTGTGCGTAGTACCACCTGGACGCGAGAAGGACCCATTCAGCGCGTCTTTTCCATTTTTCCACAGCCGCTCGGAATCGAGTGGTTTTAAGTAATTCAAAGAGTGTTTGCACCACCGGTTCCTTGTCCAATGCGTGCTCTCGGAATAATGCTTGAAATTCCCCCAACCGAGCTCCGTCGTCAACATCAACCATTTGAACGGGCGCATCGCCCAACAGTCCAAACAGGCCAGATCTCAAAGCCACTTCCCTGGTGATATGCAGAGAAATTGCCACCATGGCCACGTCGAGCCTTGGTGCAAATTCGGCGAAACCTGCAATCTCGTCCGCTTCTTCATTGCCTAGAGGGTGACACATGCCCGTACGACGACAACCCTGGAAGGAGTGGTTGACACACTCATGATGGTCATCATCGTCAGCAGTGCCATCCAACAGCCCTTTCAAATCAAAATAGTGAATGACTTCTGCCACGATAGAAGGTTGCATCCTGAGCTCTGCTGCGTAGTACAGGAAGTAGGCCATCGGGCTGCTCAGTTCAATAAGCGGTCCCAAGACATCGTAGCTCATTCGCGTCCAGTTGATATGCCAACCATCCCGACGCGGCTGCACCCATATCGACTCGAGGCTAGTTGTTCCCTGTCCTTGATCCCAGCGGCCATGTTCAAACGCGACTAACCGAGACTCACTGTTGACAAATGCGATGACCGGCAGCCGAGTGTTTAGGTGTGTTGTTCGCATGGGGAAACAGGCTTGACGGGATTCGTCGCCATCGAGAAGGAAGGCGGGGATGTCTTGTTCTGCTATACGATACGGTAGGCAGTGCTCCCAAATAAGACGGCGCAGTTCGAGAGGCAGCTGCATGAAGTAGTGGAATGAGTTGCTGGACATCTTGTAGGCTTAGTAGATAGTGACTGTCACGTAGGGCGCGTGTACGGAGGAATAAATCAATAAAAGACAACGAGGCGGTTGCAGATTAAATACTAGTCAAAGCCCGTTCGGCCCTAACGGTCGGGCCGGTGCTCCCCTGTCCCCAGTTCATTTGGCGCCCCCCTTTAAGGGCGATAGTACTCAGTATCTTAACCCTTCTTAACTTACCCTAGTTATAGTCCGGTATGAGTCACTCAGCAAAAAGTGGCGCTGATCTAGCGCCCTTCCACAAAGAGAAACTCGTAACTTGCTTGCTACTGCTCATAGCTTGACAGGAAGGATTGGCCTCTGGAGACTTTCCATCGCATCCCGCCGGGTCGTCGTAACGATCTGTGCTGCTGGCATGGCCGCTCGTATCAGTCCTACCCCGGTTCCTGCATAGGTGGTCATCCGGCCTTGCGGTCCCCAACCATCATCCCCCTTGAGCTTCTCCACCTCATACAAACGTCGATTCTCCTCCTCGGTGACCTCCTGGTTCACAATGTCCTCGTACGATCGATTGATCAGCCCGCGTCCATCATACTTTATTGGCCAAGCATAGATCCCACGGACTTTATCATACACCGTTGACCGGACCGTATTCACTCCACCGTCCGAGGCCCGAAGAATCTCATTCTGATAGCCTTTCGCAATTTGTGCCTCGGGAGAGGCCAGAAATCGAGTCCCCATAGCACATCCATCTGCACCCAGAACCATCGCGGCTGCCAATCCTCTCCCGTCAGTGATACCACCTGCTGCAACGACAAACGGTTTCCCGGTGTTTGGAGTTGGCCTCGGGTTTCTGGACTTCAATTGATCCAGGACTTCGGGAAGTAGAGTGACAATACTAGCAGACCGAGCCAATCCATGGCCACCGGCATCACACCCTTGGACTACCAGGACATCCGGCAGCAGTTTCTCTGTAGACTCCATGGCATCTCCCAAGCAACAAAGTTGCACCCAGATCTTGACGTCGTAAAGGACGTCGGATCGAATGGCTCGGACCCAAGGTACGAGGTCGTCCACACCGGTCTTCGGTGCAAACAGCCAAACTGCGCAAGGGCGGTACTTCTTGATCAAGGGCAGTGCTGTTTCCAGAGATGCGCCCCAATTTAAGAAGCCCACCCCGACGGGGAGAACGCCAGACTCGCCCGGGGTCCGTTCAAGCTGGGACTTTTGGAGGTTGGACTCGGCGATGAGACCTTGTGCTTGAATGAGCTGTTGTTCCAGACTCGAGAGATCATATCCGCCAGCAATGAAGCCAATCCCCTTCGCGGAGGAGACCGCGACTGCGAGCTTTGCAGTCGCGATGTTGAGCATGGGCGCCGACGCAATGATCGGGCCTGCGATCCACGGATAATCTTTTTGTAGACGAGAGAACTGGGCAACTGTCATTATGGTCGAATTTTGCCTTCTGGTATTCCTTCTAGAACGACTTTATCTACCTCGTCAGAAAGAGGTATATATACTCGTCGTATGCGCTAGGCGAGTGGAAGAATACCCGAGGTCCAAGCGAGGGAAGCGTTTATAACAAACCAGTAGGCAATGAGATACGAACAAGGACCCCAGAAAGCACTATCATGGAACAAAGGGGACGTGGCGCGGTCACGCGGCTGGCGAGGGCCCAAAGCGTCAAGCATGCCCTATCTCGATGCTCAGTCGTCCTGCCGGCAGGGATCATCGCCGCAGTGAGGCGGGGATCATGAGTAACAAACAAATCCATTGAGCGTTCCTAGTACTACCCGGACCGCGCTGGTATGTAACCTATCGCATATCTTATCTTCCATCCCTTTGTTATCTTGTTTTAGTCCATGTCGCGAAAGGTACTGATGACTGGCGGGGTATCTGGAGATACGATCAAGATAAGTCGATTATCAATTGCGGTTTCCTGGTAGGATATCGTGCAGTGTGGACCCCCGAGGCAGGCTTATACTCGGACGCTCTTTCGAACGCTGCTTAAAGTTTGCTTTCTCCACGTTTCTCTAGCATGGCGTCCTCGAGGAAGCCCTAGGCAAAGGCTATATTTTTGAGTTCAATATAACCCTATCTGAAGCTCCGCAATACCCGTATGAGCCTTTGGTTTACAAGTTATTGGATTGACCACGTCATTACACAAGCACGTAGCCATCCCGGATTGTTAGTCGATAATTCAATCGCAGTATTCCTTCGATGTACAGGGGAATTAAACAGGAATCCAGTTATACATTGACGTAATGGTGGTTTCCTAGTCCATGGTGCTGCACCTCTAGCGCCAGTTGTCCAGGCAGGCGAACTGGGGCCCATGTCTGTATCATATGCCGTTTACGCCAGCATCGCAGGCCATTGAAGTGCCTGGAATAGGGCAATGAAAACGAATGCTCCTTCGACCTTCTTGTCAAGACAGCCTGTGGATTTATTTCTTTGGATCTGGTCCCAACCACGTTGTACCGCACGTCAAGGCACACCTCGCGTGTTACTACTAGTAGTAGGGTAAAGTTCGATTGGTATCGAGTAGGATTTCGCCAACAGAACATACAATTTCGACTCCCAAGAAACCATAGATTTGGAGGACGATGATAAATGGCTTGGAGCGTCTATGGCAGATTCCCGGCCCGCAAAACGTAGCGACACACGCCGCATTCATGGAGGAACCATGTCCCTTCTATGAACATTATCCTTTTTTTCGGCTTATCCTACCTGACGAGGAATTGAACTATTAAGCCTGCCTCATTTTTTACAGCCTATGAATATTTACCCCAATGCGACCGTGTGGACAATCGCTATTGGGGCGCAACGAATCGGATGCAGCTGTTGAGGGAGATGATATATTTCAGATGACCACTGTCCTCTGTACTCAAATTACTTCTCTAACTTCATTATCTGTTCGGTATATGGTGTGCATGTTGACGCCTTTCCGTTATGAAGCGAGAATGATAAGCACTTAAATATAGCGAGTGTTACAGATATCCTTCGTTTCAGTGATCGAGCATAATGAAAGTTCAAGTAGTAGACGGAGATAGTACTTTCTGGAAGGACCCATAAGGATCCTTGGAATGCTCTGATCTAATACTATTGCTTTGAAAAGCAAGCCTGGTGTGTTTTCTCATACCAGCCCCTCGAATGTGGAGAGAACGCCATGTCGCTAGTTCTAGACAAAGCACCGAAATCATTTTGAGGGCTTCTGGATCAAGATGGCCTCGGCTTGAGAGAGCTCACATCGAACAATACCACCACTATTCACAATACCCTGCTCGATCTTTTGCTGACCTACCAAGTCACCCGTCACTGAATCAATGCCGACTCCCGACACGCTCACCCCACTCTTCGCATTGGTTCCTGGACCCTGCAATCTGAGAATCTCTATCTTTGTTCCTGGGCTCCACGAGGTATGCACTTCCACGGTTCGTCGTGGTCGGTCCCCTGGGGAAGCAAACGTGGAGTCTGTCGCAGTTAAGGTGGAGGGGTTATGGGCCCCGACTGTCGAGTTCCACACGCCCAGATCGATGAAAACAAGCTTTGCAAGGTTGGACTGCGCAGTATCGCTGAAGATTGCATATCCGCTAAAGTCCGACGCATTTGCGGCGGGTAACGCAGCGATCTTCCACGAGTCCGCCTTCCTACCGGAGATGACATGCGCGAGGAAGATGTGCGAGAAGAAGTTGGCTCGGACACCCGCAGTGAGGTTCTCGCCCTTATACTCATACGGCAGGGGCGTGAAGGCAGAATATTCGCTCTGGTGACCGAGGTGGAAGTATGTTTGCTCGAGGCCAATAGTCGCTGCAGTTAACACATAATCGGTGGCCCAGAGAGCGGCTCCAAATGTGTCACTGATCCCGCTTTTCCCACTGCAAGAGGCCGAGTTGGTTTCACCCAGAACCAGTCGGCTTCCTGCCGCTCTGGCAGCTGCGTCCTGTGGAATATACTGCGACAAATTCCTCCAGATAACATTGTGATCTGAGAGCAAGTTCAAGGAAAGACGTGCGTAACGTACGGCATCACAAGTCGATTGGGGGTAGAGATGCACCGCGTAGCTCTCAATGATCTTAGGGTCGACCAATCCGGCGCGGGTTACGTTGACGATGTCAAAATCGTCTATCTCATCATGTTGATCGGGGACCATGGGAGGGTCGGCAAAGACGGCCGCTTGGAAGAGTGGCTTGTGAGTAGCATTCTTGTAGAACTTGGAGGACAGAATTTGGCCTGTCAGCTGGCGCCACTGCTTCGTATATTCCTTGGTGTCCCAGTCGGCTCCCCGCCAGCCCTTGTTGATATAGTGATCTATCTCATTCCCCAGCTCAAAGTGTGATAGGGAGTCTCCCAGCGCCCCCATCGCGGCCTTGGCTTCCTCCATGGCGTTAATCCACGAACCCGTCTCATTGCGGAGATTCAGCGTGTATAGAATGTCCGTTCCTTGTGGGAAATATTCTTTCCAACCATTAAACCAATCTCGTCGGATGCGCAGCACCTCCACAGTGGTATCATTCGGCAGCGCTTCCGATGGCACTCCTAACGTCGGATCGAACAATGTCTGGTCGGCGATATTGCCTCCGACTCGAATTGGTGCGGGTACGCCAGCTATCTCTGCGACGTGTCTCAATAAATTTGACGCCAGTTCAGTTTGGAGGTACGGAGCAAGCGACACAGGTTCAATTGAATAACCATACAAGTCACGCCTGAGGACCCTAGACGAACTGTTCAAGGGTATATGAACAGTGGACACAGAAGACGCAATCGCGAGATTGCTAAAGAGAAGGAGAGAGGGTAGCCAGGATGACATTTTGTGCATACTGAACAGGGTCACCGACTTGCAGGGCTCATGTTCGGACAGGAGCTGAGGCACAGCAAGATTTATTTACATCACTAGAGTGGGGCAGAGTCAATGGGGTGATCTCATAGAATGTGCTCAATCAAGCAACTTAATCTAATTACCAGAGAGATCGGCGCAGGATGTCAGCACGGCGATATTCCGGTGGGGGAGTGTTGTCACCGACTGCACTCCATGGTCCCTCGTCAAGACAAACTAGAATCAACATGACTCGGAAAATTCCAGTTGTCTGTCGAAGTCTGAAATCCGACACCATTTGGAAGACCACATTAAATACTATAGAAGGAAGCCGGGACGGTATCTCATGGAGGCCGGTGGTTACTCCACCGGACTCGGTCTGGTTTGTTTCCCCACGTTTTAGCTCCGGAGGGGTGTTTAGAGCTGCCACTCATGCTGTCGGGCAAGTCCGTCCCTTTCTGTCGAGCTAAGAATGTTACGATGCGGGGAAATGCCCGCCTTGAGGACGGCTGGCGCTGCAGCTGGGCCGATTAAGCTATCTCAGTGTCCTTTCCTTGTGCCGTGTGTCGGAATCAGAGTGCCGGAAAGTTTATCATCGCTTCCCTCCCTTATACGTGACCTTCTGATACGGCCTAAAATAGTAGTAGAATTTGAGAATGGATCAGGAAAAGTGAGCTCTAAATTAATCGCATAGCAGGTTGTCATATAGAAGTATTCTCAATACTGAGCCTATTTGTTGGAAGGACTGCATATCATACGCTCGCTCGGGCAGTAGTATTTCAATGCACAATCCAATCTTTCCATTACTGTGCTTTGTCCTGGTTATCCCTCGGCAAACCTGGAGAAGCCATGCGATACCTTGCCGGGCTATCCCAGCGTTGCCTGCACCATGGGTATCAAGCCGTTTGTGACGGCGTCGGTTGACCGCCAATCCGACCAAGAATGGTCAAGAAGTCCTACATGCTTGGTTAGAGACCAGTTTGCTTTCAGCTTGGTTTGTTAAATGGCTTACCCCATTGCTCGTCATCATCCTGAATCCCTTTCCGGATATAATAGCTTCCCGCAATCACCCAAACCATCCATCCGGCCTGTAAACTGGGCAACCATTCCCTCAGACAGGAGGCATACACATCCGTATATGTGGTGTTGTCCTGTGGGAAACCGAATTCCGTCATCTGAACCGGCATGATATTCACAATGCTCGAGTTCTGGGCGTCCAGGGCATTGAAACCGGCATTCCATAAACTAGACTTGAGGTTCTCACAGCTCGTCGCTGTGCGTTCATAGTTATGCAGCTCGAGCACAATCTTATTAGCGTATTTGAAGTCATGCTTACGAAATGCAGTGCCGTTTCCCAGGTCCATACCGGTAGGTATCGGGCTGAGCTTTGTGTCATAGTCGAGGCCCGAAAAGTAAATCAAGACATTAGGATTGGCCGCATGTATCTGGTTGGCATTATCCACCATATGGCGGTACCAGTACTGCCAATTGTAGGTCCTATTGATCAAGGTCGGATTATCTTCGGCTTTACGTAGTTCATTTCGCATCCCGACGCTTTTCACGGCGGGCAGAGATTTGACCTGAATGACCGTGTCAGTACGTGGATGGGGACCAGTGCTCCGGGGGCTTCAATACATGTTCAGCCATATACTGCCACCCGCGATGCCATTTCGCCACATCGAAATACTTGTCTCCAAACCAGGTGTTTCCGTCGGTCCCTGAACAGCACCACATGGCTTTCGAGATGTGGTTGTCCAAGTGCACATAGACCCCTTGTCGGTGTGATTCGTTTGCGACTGCGTCAAACACCTGTGAAACATTCGATTAGTCGTGAAACAGGCGCTGCCTTAGGCGATACCTACTTGTAACCTCGTGGTATTGACACCAAACTGTGGATTATGCTGCACAATATCGCTAAAGACTTTCGTTCCATTCTTCTCCCCAAGCGCCTTCACAAGTGAGTCTTTGATAGAGACATCCTGCCCCGTCTCCAAGATATCGTCGATCATCTCGATGGCAAAGGTGAGGCGGATGACGTTCATCCCCAGTGTTTTGATCTTGCCGATAATATGGTCAATGGACTGATACTGCAAGCCTTCTGGTAACATGGCTTCTGAAGCACCTGGCCAGTTGACACCTGCGAAAGTCACATTCTGTCCGTTAGCGTCGACTACCCAACGCCCAGAAGTTGAAAGGGGGCCTGGGGTAATTGCAGAGGCAATTTGGGGAACCGCGATCCCGACCAATATGGGTAGGATGTTGAAGTGCATTTTGGTGAGCTTGTACTGTGGAGAAGAAAAAGACCCTCATGATGGGTTGAGCGCCTCTTATATCATTCTTTACTTGAAAGCCTCTCTGCAGCATGTATTGGTTTGCATGTACTATGTAGGAGCTACGGAGTATTCACAATCATGCATGCTTTGGTCACATACGCGGAGTACCAGTGGTTGAACCAGTTCATTGGATCAAGGCCGTAGACGCGGAGGGAAATAACCGGCAGCCTCCCAGACGGAAATTATCCGATCATTTAAACGGAGCGTGTTAACGATCACCTCCCAGAAGAGTAATAATAATGGCGAGGTGCAACACACGCCATCAATGCCTGCAGCCGTTAATGTCCAACGTTCTTGGAACTAGATCTACATGAATACCCACTTCCAGTCGCTGAAAACCGTCAGGTATGAGAATCATCCTCGCATGTCCGCTGAGGAGCCCGGATAAAAAACAGCACGCGAATGAACGGGGTAGTGTTGGCTAATGCAAGATGATGTAAAACGAAACATTGTCCACTGCGGGGCCATCGCATGATCCATCCTCAGGCATAAACAACATCGAGGGATTGTGCTAGTACCTGTATCGCATCAGACAGGGCCTGGGTCCAGTGGATACCACCGCATAAGCGATCTTTGCTGCATCCGGTGTTGAAGAAGTGAATCAGTCATAAGAAATCACATGTAACCTTCATGCGATCATGACTAATTATGCATCACATGACATATACCGTCTGGGGAGTTCTTTCCTCAGGCACCCAGCTCTTATCATGATTATCTTATCGTAATTGCAGAATCCAACCTCATCGTAGGCAGAATCATAATGCCTCTTCAGCCGCTGTCATGCATTCATTGCCGGGAGAAAAAGGTATATGACGCCGAACGTTCTTCCTTTCCTTGGGATATATGCTAACAGACACAAAGCGCAAATGCTCGCGAGAGTCTCCGACCTGTAGTCGGTGTCACCAGTTGAAGCTCAACTGTGCCTATCCTACCAGGTGGCGCGGACGACAAATAGAACGACTTGTTCCAGGAAGTCCAGGCAACTCAAATGCGTTATCGATCACGGCAAACGGGTATCTTACCTCCAAGGCGAATGGACTGCAACTATTGGATGCCTACTTTGCGCTCTTTATCCCATCGACCTTCGTCTGTCACCCGTCACGGCTGAAGGCTCGGTATAATGACGATTGTCTTCCGAGCTGTGTCCGTGACTCTGTTTTCTCCATGGCAACTCTATTGCGATCTGCAACTACGACAGGTCTAGCTAGCGATACCCGATCCACATCAGAAGCAACACCCCCAGGAGAGATCTGGGCGCAACAAGCTAGCACGAATGTTGTTAACCAGATCAGCCGGCCGTCATCGGATGTTCTTCATACCCTCTTTAACCTAATGGTTTACTGGTGTGCAGTGGGTAAAACACAGAAATTCAAGGAACATGCCAGTGAGCTGAGCGTCTAGAACTATCTACCTAATCGAGCGGTGTCGACTGACCGGCTCAACAGAAATGGCATTGATGGTCATTCGGCAACTGAAGATGCAAGAGCTGGCCTCCTCAGTCACTAGATCTGGTCAACTTGAGCGGGCTTCCTTTTTCGTGGGTATTATTAGTCAATGCATCACGGACGACAGCGAATGGGTAGCTCCGAGCACTCCATTCTCCTTAACCGGCCCACTTCCGTCCTCCGAAATGGATCTTCATAGTCCTATCAGGGGACAGTTATTGAAATTCATTCAGCACTGGTATTTTTGCGTTCATTCAAATGGAGACCGAATCACTGACCTCATATGCCGCTAGGATTAAAATACGTTACTTTGTTCGCGGTATGCATGCGGATACGGACGCAGGTATGCAATGGGCGACGCTGTTCAACTTAGACGTCGAAACTAGAGCATTGTACGAGTCCCTCTCGCCACATTTGCGTGATTTCAATGGTCAGCGAAGTCTTGACGCAGACTTTCGTGAGAGTCTGGGATTACAGACTCTGTACCATATGTGCCGGTTCGTTCCCCATATAGCCATGGTTCGATTGTTCCAAAAGCAGAAATCGCCGGCAGAGGATTATGTGCAACTATGCGCACAGATTGCAATACGGCATATAAACCAGGTTTCAGATGTTATCATGAACTCCGTTACATCAGGACCGGCCTCATTACTAACTCTACCACCATTTGTTGCATACTGCTCCTTCACCTCCGTTTCAGTATATCTGAGCTATCTCAATTACTGCGGTAAATTTTGGAATGATGCCAATGATCCCACCATTTACCTCTTAAGAGACAGACTCCTGTCTAATTTATACTTACTCAATCGGCTCCGACGCGTTTGGAATCCGGTAAGGGTAATGGTATGTGTTCTAGCCCACATGCGGTCCTACATGTGAACATCGGCTAACGTAACGATTGTATATAGTGGGAAGCAATACAGATGGATGTAGCTGCCCTGGGCATCTCAAACACCGATGTTGAGGCCTATGGTAGATCTCCAAGAAATATGTCCCCCCCCTCCAACAGACTGAACCCGAGATCACACGTCTCTCACCTTGCACCTGCTTTTGAGCCTCAGGTGGAAACTGAAATAATGTTTAGTTTTCCACATATTGTTGACCGTGTTAAACTCGCTGATCCTGTATATATTATACTCGGTATCTTCCGCTTATTTCAAGTCGGCAGCCAATACAGCGTGATGCCAGCTTCCAGCAGCAATAGCCCAGGGACCAGACAGGCACAAGGGCTCGCTGGTAATGCTCAGCATACCGCACAAGTGTTTCCCAGTAACGCATCCTATCTAGCCTCCTCTCGTCCTCATCGGCCTTTGCCTCTCAATGCGAACGAACGGCGGATCCCAAAACGCCCGCCTGTATTTTGCAATCCGCAATGAACAAACACGAGACCGCGGACCAAGTATATCCTAGCACGCAATTGGGTGGCGCAGAGGAGAATCCAGCCATACCTTTGGGAATGTTACAGATGATGTGGCTTGCCGAGCAAGATCTTCCGTGCCTGTGAACCCAAGCTCTTCACATGCCCTACTGCTCTACGCAGTACGCATCTGAGTGTAATGCACGGCATATTGTACCCAGGAAAGCTGGCTGCGGCGCTCTTCGGCATCCTCAGGCTAGACTTCAATCTGCATACTTTCTTGAAAGTTAACCCACATTGCATTTCACGATATAATAGCAATTGCAAAGGCCCGGCGAGAGGAATGGTCCTCTGACTTTACGTGTGGCTATACACTATTTTTTCAACTCAAGCACGACCTCGTGGAGTGACGGCTGGCCCTCGGAGGAATGATTTCTACGGATCAGGATTCGATTAGCTGATTCACAACCAGCATCCAGGGAAGCACTTAGCAATAGCTCTCCCTGCGGTAATGCCACCGTCTTCAGGAGAGTCGCTCATTTACTATTATGGCTTCTCCGTTGCACATAATGCAGCGTGTCACCAATTTGGGCTTGTTCAACGGGCATGAAAACAAATACGGAGTCAGTTATCCAGCATGCATGGATTGGAATCGAACGGTCATTTTGCTCAATCAAATCTAGCTTTCATTGAGTGAAAGGATTTATCTACTTGAGAATAACCAATGGCCGCGCAGGACTGAGGGATCGCAGTGTTTCCATGTACATACTGTGTGTAGACGACATTATATCTGGCGCTGTAAAGCTTGACGGCGCCATTGCGGCGATGGCGATTCAGTCTCCCCAAAAACGCGGGCGCAAGCCCACAACTGTGGCCGCCTGGGTCGCGCAAACCCGTGGGTATGGCCTTGATCACAGCACATTGTCAACTCTCTCCTGTCAGGTAGTGGACTCGAATCATAATTCGTCGAAACGACTAGAGAATGAGGTCAACATAGGGGGCTGTGATCAAACCGCTATTATCTCGCTCTTCTAACGGTTTGGTTAGTGTGATAACAGCACATCGTTGGATAACCTTTATATCCTGTCTGTCACTAATGTACTATCAATTAATTGATTAATCGATCAAGATCCCATTTCCTGTTAGAACCTAGCAATTTAACGTTTAGCTATACAGGTGCACGAGGCTACCAGCATACTCCAGGAGTACCCAAATATATCTATATAGGATATACTAGTAACACATTGCACGTTACTATAATATCTAGATTTGTAGCCTTCTCTAAATTTATCGTCTATATTCCTACCTGCGGGTAACACTTGCGCTGAAAGCATTGACTTTGTCAATCAACTTATTGAGGGCTAGCCTGTCCACCCCTGCAATGATCGAGACGCAGTGAGGCTTTGGGTGGGGGTTAGTAGTCCATGCGCTGATGATCATGCTCCCATCTTCGAATTCGTTTCGGAAAAATCCCGGAACTCATCCCTCGAGCATCCAAGGTAAAGTGGATAGAGCATAGTTGCTTCTGAAAGGCCCCGTTGCATGAAGTGGCCTCGAAGACATCCTAGGTGATAGGTTCCCGTGACGCGGATGTTCATGTCGAGAATGAGGAAACGTCCATCTGGCCCAATCATGAAGTCTACGCCTGCTGTGCCGTAGTAGCCCTTGCTGAACAGGAACTGGGCCAAATGGTCTGTGAATTCTGTTTATTCTTCCTGACGCTGTGGCTGTTCGGGATATGAAACGCAACCCCCAACCCAAAGACCACTGTCGTTGAAAAGCTGTTTGGTATAGCCGATGAAGATCTCGCGACCTTTACACGTCACAAACAATAAGGCCATTGTCTCCCCTTCCAGAAAGTCCTGGATAATCAGGCTACACGGGGAAACATGTTGATTTGTTGGGTGCACTTCTTGGATCATCTCGCGTAGCTCCTTCCGGAGTACTGCTATGGCATCCTGTCGATCGGGTTCGGTACGCAGAATAAAAGTTCCCTGGGCAGAGATTGATTGTGGGACCTTCACAATGAAGGGGAGATCCTTTTCGTGGACTGTACGCAGCATACGTTGAATTTCGGTCTCGACGAGACATGAATCGTGCACTTGAGAAGGGAGTAGATGGCTGTCGATCACAACAGACACCGGGGTTGGCAGACCAGAGTACGCTAGGCCTCTTTTTGATAGCAAGTTATAGTGAGCCTCAGGATGGACGGCATGCGGCAGATGTGCCAGACAGTCTACGGGACTCAGAACGGCTAACCGCGCGTTCGGCGGTAGTACCACATCTGCTGGGCTGCGAGCAAAGCTGACTTTGGGTTGTTGGTCCGGGTACAGTTGTTTATAGACCTCCATAGGATCGACATGATGCGCACGCAACTTTGCCGGTGGATCTTGTCCGTTCTTCTCGTGGTCGTCAAGATCAAGCTCGAATAGCACCAAAGGCATCTTCCCCGCAATGAATCTATATCGCTAAGGTATGCCCTGCAGGAGCTTTTTGGCCAAATCTTGCTTGCAAGGGGTTTCCGCCAGTGGGCTCTGGTACGTGAACCTCTTCGATAAAGGTAGGGAGGACGCGGCTTGAACCCGAGGGATGGGAAAAGCAAAGGCCAGAACAATATCTGAGGCTTTCCCGCCGTCTAATGAGCACAGATCTTCCAATGTATAGTTGAGGGCAACTGGACGTGTGTGAGCGTGCATTGTTGCGAAATGTGCTTTCTAGCTTTGAGGTTGGTTTGGAATCCGTAAGATCAAGATAAAACCATCGCTGGTAAGGGTGATAGCCACGAGCTTTTAGATTGTGCATGGTGCTGTAGCCAGATCATACAGTGGAGTACAATATACATCGATCTTGCCCTTGGGATCTTGATGAACGCCGAACCCCTCCATGTTTCTTGAGGTCTTTTCTTCAACGATGCCCGAGACTGTATGACTACTCGCATAAATGGCTCAAGTACAACTAGAGACGTGATATGCATGCCCCGCCCACGAGCGGAGACATCAAACAATCCCTGCAGCCGCAGTCGACGTAGTATCCAACATATTCATGTCACGTGTGTTTGGATGAGCTCATTCTACATGTTGAGGCATAGGCAGCCTGCATGCTGATAATGAGATGTCACAGTGGAGTCAGCTCGTCGGGCTTCTCTGCATATCACACCAATGCAGTGGGCTTCAAAGGAGTCTGTATGAATCATACCGCGAAGACCACTATTGTTGAGACTTCCAAGTGACAGTTCATCTATCTGCTAGGGGCAAGGCTGGTCCTAGCATTTTGTGTCATATTCATATGCTCAGGTGTAGTGCGTCATCTTATGCAAGGTGTCGCAGGAAAGGGTTGTGAGAACCTGGAGTTGGGCATACAAGGAGCAAGCCTTGCAGTGATCTATACCTGAAAACAGAAACGAGCGCTCACATGATAACTCTGCGATGACATGGGGCTTGCATTGAACCTGTGTTTTCGATGAGATCGAAAGCGATGGGGATTTTCAGGATGATACGACATCCTATCGTGGATTGTATCGGGTCTTGTAGGGTTATATCAGGTTTCGTACGACTTGGACTGTATGTGCATGAGAGGACGACACGTTGTCCACCAATCATTTCTTCCTCCCGCTCTCCTAAACAGACTGCGTTGAAGCTAACAGAGTAGCTAGTCCTGCCACTACGGAATTTCCAGGCTGGCACAGTGGAGTTCTCGTTCTGCTTGGGCGGGTGCTGTTAGGAAAGAAAACGGGGAGGAACGGACATCATTAGAGAAATTCAGATTGTATTCTCTAGGAAAATACAACAATCTCTATCGATCTGAGATTGTTGCCTCGTGTCTATACCAACCGAAGCGGTCATCTGACCATCAAGCGTCCCAGTTGAGAAACACCTAAGCTTGAGGTCAGCGATAAAGCAATAGCACTCCAAAGGCTCGCCATCGGGCCCCAGTTCTCCTGTTGGAACCAGCATGCCCACCAGCGAACTGTCTGAACCGGTTGCGCCATCTTGGCAATTTCGTCTCGCTTACGGATGGCTAGCCTGTGTCTCTTAGAAGGCTGCTCAGGCTCCTGTTGAATTGGCCATCGCAATTGCGGGAGGCCATCTTTGGTGACCTTTGCTGTAGGGACCGCAGCGCAGGAAAACAAATAGAATTGATACAAAGAATACTAGAGTACGCGTGAGAGAATGAATTTACCATGTGCATGAAAGGAAGCGAAGCCCAACCAGCACATATCGCAGCGCTAAACTCTAAGTACCTTCCAGGGCATTGACAAGTGCCCATAGCAATATCCCGCCTAGCAGGTCTTGCCCCCTATCAGCCATGGTGGCTCTTGTGGAGAGAAACGGACCACAGTACAGCAACATCACTACAAACGCAATTTTGATTAGACTAGCAAGATGAACAAAAGAAAATGAAAGAAAAAATAGAAGAAAAGAAAAGGGAAGAAAAGAAAGAAGGAAGGAAGGAAAAGGAAGAGGAAACGCATTCATGGAGCACAATAGACCATGTCCACTCCCGCCTCACTCCAAGCCTGTATCAGAGTCAAGCAACAGTATATCCAGACCCATCATACAAAAGCAATAATGGAGCCAGCCAGTTGCAAGCGATCGAACGAGTATCCTGATTCGACAAGGTGATCAGTGGAGGCTCGACAAACAAGAACGCGCAACTTGGGGCATTCACTACCTCACTGTTATGACATTCTGAATTCCTCTTAGCCGGGCGGTTGCAGGTGGGACGTTTGGGCGATCGGAGCAGGTTTTTGTATGGAGTCCTGGTTTGGAACCCATTGCACGATGGGCGGGGGCTGAAACCCACTCTCGAGTTGTCTTTCTTTGGCCTTCCGGCTTCGGTGCCTTTTGATGAGGAAGAACACGGCGACCGAGATGACCAGAAGGAGAACGATGGGAATGAGGATGGCTTTCAACAGAACCTTTAGGACACCCATACCGACGGAGGCTTGTGGGGGACAATGGAAGAAGGTGGGCGGCTTATGGGAGGAAAGGGTAACTCGATGTTCTCAGATGGTTGCGAGTTAGGAAGCCTGTGAACGAATCCCCCCTCCATGGCTTTATATCTGGGACAGCGCTGGGAGACAGTTGAGGGCTTGCACGCTCCGGACGACATGGCCACGCCAGGGGGGGTTGATTTGGAGATTCCTCTGAATGTGTCGATGACCAAAGGCGCTTAGTACCAGTGTTGGATTGGGTGACCCATTGGGTTCCTGCAGGCGATAGCCCGTTCCCTGAGCAGAAGCACCAATGGGCTGTCGCAAGGTTACACACAGATTGAACGCTGTCGAGGAGACATGGGATAGGCAGCCATTATGTTTCTCTCTCCGGCGACTGCGCATCCAGTACCACCACCTCCATTCAACGAGACAATCTTGACACACATCGCCTTGGTTTCTGGCCACCGTGTGTTATCGTCCCGCGGAGTAACAAGCCAGTCGGAGTATCTCACTGATAGCACTTTTGGGACGGGTGTGATGTGCTATGCAGAAGCTTCATTCTCGACTCGCATTTGATGGTTGAGGGACGAGCCTGATTGGTCGGCAATCAGCTACGGGCCGTGGGTAGTGGAGACGATCCGTTTTAATCGTCTACTAGGCAGCCATGAAAACGAGGGCAGACGGAGATGGACGAGGGCTGCTGGAGGGTGTCACCCATGATTAAAATTAGCACCGTGTGATGCGGAATGGCCCTCGCGCCATGTAGGTCAATAATTTGCTCAATTGAGGCATGTAGCCAACGTGATGTTGTCCGACTCGGGGGGAGGGTGAAGGCACCTTAAAAGGAGGACAAGAATATCCAAAAGTGGCTTGCTTGTGCCCACGGTTGTGGCAGTGCCGAGAGCCCTGTAAGGCACAGCCACCCCACCTTTGTTTGGGTCACGGGCGTATAAATATCAGAACCTCGACTTCCACTTCTTCAAGCAAAGGACACTGATCTTTGACTCTCTCTGCCTTTGCGTCCGTGTTGGATTTCACTCGTAGCGATTTTACCACTCTCACTACTACCTCCATCCTTTGGCCATGACGATGCGAGATTATCCTAGTGGGGACCAGCAGACCCCCACCGGCTATGGCTATGGGGCAAACAACTATCCTCCGAACCGACAAGGAAACCCATCTCCTCAGTCCTTTAACCATCCGAACAACAGTGGCTATTATTCGTATCCTCCATCTGGTGCCAACCCGTCGGAGGCAAATTATAACTACAACGCTGGGAATCAGTCCTACCCCACGCAGTCGGAATATCCTCAGCCGCAGCCATGGGCGGGGCCCTCCCCTTCACCTGGGAACTACTACCAGCAGCCGGAGAACCGATCATATCAGAACCCCCCATATGGAGGACAGCCACCATATCCCCAGTCTGAATCCCCCCGGCCGAACCAGACGGATGCCTACCCGAAACCATATCCTCCTTCCTCCCCACAACAGGCGGGTTACGGGCAATACCCGTCGGCACCACCACCATATTCCCCCCAGCCCACAGGGAGCACAGATAGCCCGAATGCTGAACCAGAGGAGAAGGATAGAGGATTTCTCGGTGCGGTCGCAGGCGGAGCGGCAGGTGCCTACGGTGGTCATAAGGTCAACCACGGCTTCCTAGGCGCCATCGGTGGGGCGATCACCGGCTCAGTCGCGCAGGACGCGATGAAGAAACATAAAGAAAAGAAGGAGGAGGAGGAAAAGAAAAAGCAATGGGCCGCTCAGCAAGCAGCCCAGCAAGCGGCTCAGCAACACGCTCAGCAGCACGCTCAGCAGCACGCCCCCCCTCCCATGTTCTCCCCGCCCCCACACCATGGACCTCCCAGGCATGATCCAACCCCACTGCGTGGGAACTTCTCTGCCTCATCTCGCGACATCCGTTTGGAGAGGGGCCATGAGCTCGTCGCCCACTGTGGCGCAATCTCGGGCCAAATGCGTCCATCATCCATTCCACTCAATAACGTGCTGTCTAACCAGTACGGCAAGCTCGTGTGGGCACGGAATGGCAACTTTGCAGCGTCGGCGCGGAATATTCGTCTGATCGAAGGGGGCAAAGTGCTGGAGGCCGAACTCTCGAACGGCCGAGGGGGATGGGAGCGATCATGGATGAGGTTGGATGAGCGTATCTCCAATCAAGATGGCAATCTTGTCTTTCTAGACTAGATCCGGCACTCTTTATCTTCTATTCACTCTGGTTTCTTTGTTCTTTTCCGTCCTCCTGTTTGTCCATCGTAACGAGATCGCCTCCAGATAGCTAGAATGAATTTTCATGTTCCGATTCGGGATTCACTATACTGTAGCCTGTTTTCTTTGTGTATTTGATCGGAACAGATCCAGTTGTCAAAGTGGGCGTCAGAGACCCCCGAGCATGCTATGCCAGATCGCAAGATATATATATCTTGCTTGCTTGTTGCCGACCAGCACGTGACCGGATCCGGAAGTAGAATTCGGTCCGCCGGGGTGTCCTGCCGTGTGTCTGATATTCTCCTGGGCTGGAGAACAACCCTAATGTGTACTGAGTACGGCACGACGACGACAGCAAGGTCAGCATCCATTCATTCTCTTTTGCCAACAGACCCGATACTCCGTACGTACGGCTGAATTGCGAGGACAGGCATGACGTCAACTTCCGCAAACAACCGGAAGTATGCCGAGGACGCTTTTGGTGGATGCTCGGCTAATTCTTAGTCCACCACCAAGTGGGCGTCGAGCGGCCGAAGCCGATGCCAATTTCCGACCGCACGCTCACTTTCCTTTCCTATTTCGCCGACATTAGGGTCCTTGGCACCGACAATACGACGCCAGGACGCGAATGAGCGCTAGGAGGGAAATTATCGACTCACATTCTGACCCACCGGCCGATTTTGTTAAGAACCGCGAAGTCTACCCCAACGACATCGAATCATACAATCTTAAAAATTTTTTTTTCCTGTTCCTTCCTGGTTTCCCCTTCTCTTTGGCCTTTCTCGGGTCCTTCCCCATTCTCCACTGTCACCCACATAACCCGCACGCACACACACAGCCAGTGTCGACCTGAGTAGGAAGAGGCGAAATGCCTCAGCCCCAAAGCGCCATGAGGAGAGCAACCCTGCGTCCTCAAGTACCATAAGACTAGATGAGCCGATAGCAATGATTGTGGCCCGCGCAACGACAAGATGCCCTGTCAGTCACACCGAAAATGGGGCGCTATGTATTCGTACCGGGAAGGAGCAGATTTCAATTTCACGCGGACATCATCAGCTCTACCTTAGTTCTGGCGTTGAGCCTAGTGCGGTGGGCCTGTTCGTTATGCATTGATGTTATGTCAAATTTTCACCATTAGTCCTATAACGGAGATATAGTGTTGCATGGATCGGGGGTTATATAGGGCGCAAAAGTTCCCCCCCGTCCGTTGTCCGCTGCTTTCGGATTCCTATCCTACCCTACCCTCGTCTTCCCCATTCTTTCCTCTCCCCACCTGCCCCATCTTTTGGAGGAGGTATTCCGTTACCTCCCTCAGTTCACTGGAGTCCCGTTCTTACTACGACGGAATCGTTTGGCCTCCCTCGTTCCTGTGTGTCATCTTTGGGCTGTGAAGGACTGTGGTTACCGGGCTATTCAGCGAGATAATATACGAACCAAAAATTGTTACGGGCTTTTTCTCTGTGGTATCGGACAGCACTAGATATAACAATTCTAGGACCGAGACACCCAAACCGGATACTCCACCACGCGCCCAAGCGAAAACCCAGAGAGCGACCTGTGTTGATAGAATTCCATTGCGCCAACTCCCATTGTGACAACCCTCTGCAGCTTCGGTGCCCAATCCTGGACTCACGACAGCCATTGCGCCACCTAGCATCTGCCCTGAATAGCGCCCTGCAACGACTTGCCCACTCACGATCCAGGTTGTAAGAGTTACCCAGTTGCAACAATTCCGACGGAGAGACCCCGGAATCATCCCCGACGCAAGGTAGCCAGTGCTATACCAGAACCCTGCAAGACAACAACCCCAGCAACCTTTAGGTCGTCCGTTTCTTCTTGCCACGCGCCTCATCCCGATCGTGATCCCCCTTGCGACCCTCCCCCCCGGAACGCCTGATCAAGATGGGTAATTGGATGAAGTCCTGGCAACGGGAGCGCCTGCAAATCCCCGAGGTCGTGATCCCACTCGCCGATGCCCCAAATTCGATCCCCCATGCGGAAAAGGATGGCGAATCAAACGTCAATAGCTTGGATTCTCAAGAAAAGGGCGCCGGTTCTGCGCCCGAGTGCAGCACGCTAACCATGGAGGCCCTTCGTGCAGAGGTGGAAGGCGCCGTTGCCGCCTCAGGCCACAACTCAGTCTATGATCGTATGTTCCTTTTGCCCTGTCCTGAAGTAATCATTGAACCCCAATGAGCCGGCTATTGCTCCGATGCCTTTGTTGCCGATGCTATCCCTTTGCCATATCCCGTTCCACCTTCCCAGCCATGGCTCTCGACCCGACCTAGACCGAGGGCTCCGTATTTCTGACTGAGAGATCCTCACAGGCAAAGCCAAAATTATCAATAGAGCCATCCAGGATATCGGCATGGGCCGTTATCAATGGGAGCTCTTCATCCTGTGTGGATTTGGCTGGACTGCCGATAAGTGAGCAGACCCCTCATGCCCTATCTAACCTACATGATGTCGCTCTAACCACCCCACGCGTACAGCCTTTGGCTACAGGTATGATTGCTCGATCCTCGTCCGATTTGCGTCGAACGAAGTGGGCAGCGAGACTAACTTGATCGCGCGCAGGGAGTTGCCCTGACCCTCACCCCGTTGTCAATGGAATTTGGTATCTCTGAATCCTATGTTCGTTTCACCACCTGTGCCTTGTTTGTGGGCCTGATCGTTGGCGCTACCTTCTGGGGTCTTGCATCTGATCTCATTGGACGTCGATTGGCTTTCAACACGACACTCTTCATGTGTGGCGCGTTTGGTCTCGCGTCCGGCGGTGGTTCAACCTGGGTCGGGTGGGTTTATGACCAGCCCCAGTTTGCGTTCTCGTGAGGCTAATGGGAATTCCAGTACTTGTGCCCTGTACGCTTGCTTGGGACTAGGAGTAGGTGGTAACCTGCCGGTGGATGCTGCAATCTTCCTCGAATTTTTACCCACGTCTTCCGGCCACATTCTGAGCTCGCTGGCCGTATTTTGGTCGGTGGGTACTTTCATTGCCAGGTTTGCCTATCCACCTTGCAGTACAATGTCTTCGAGTGTACTAACCCACGAGTAGTATGCTGGCCTGGGCCTTCATCCCCAACTATTCCTGCACCGATGCCAGCACCTGTACCAAGGAAAACAACATGGGCTGGAGGTACCTCGTTCTTACTCTGGGTGCCATCACCATGGTCTTCTGGATCTGTCGATTCTGCTTTTTCAAGCTGTACGAATCGCCTAAGTTCCTGGTCGCCAAAGGACGGGACGACGAGGCTGTTGCAGCGATCCACGGTGTCGCCCAGCGCAACAAGAAGAAGACGTGGCTCACGACGGAAATCCTGAACGAGATTGGCGGATCTACAGAGCAGACTGAGAAGGAGCAGAATCTTTCCTCTAAGGAGATCCTTGCGCGGTCTCTCTCCAAGTTCTCCGTGCAGCAGATCGGTCCGTTGTTTTCCTCCAAGCGTCTCGGCATCACCAGTAAGTCTTCTTTCTCCGGGTAGTAGTGTGACCGGGCGATAACTGACAAACCAAACCTAGCTGTTCTCATCTGGCTCTGCTGGACCACCATCGGCATGGGATACACGCTGTTCAACGCGTTCCTGCCCCAATATCTCGGCTCGACCGCCTCGACATACGAGACCTACCGGAACTACGCGATCACATCCGTCACGGGTCTGTTCGGACCCATTCTGGCTCGCTACGTCGTCGACATCAAATACATCGGTCGGAAGGGTACCATGGCCATTTCCACTTGTATCACGGCCGTCCTGCTCTTCTGCTTCACCGCGGCCAAGACGGCCGACACCCAGCTGGTCTGCTCCGCTCTCGAATCGTTCACCCAGATGATCATGTATGGTGTGTTGTACGCTTATACCCCGGAAGTCTTCCCGGCTCCCAACCGAGGCACTGGAACCGGTATCGCGAGTTGTCTGAACCGGATTGCTGGTCTCTGTGCACCGATTATTGGTATTTATGCTTCGGGGAATCCCAGTGCTCCTATTTATGCTTCCGGTGCGCTCCTGTTGGTTTCGTTTGTGGCCATGGTATTGCTGCCGATTGAAACTGCCGGAAAGCAGAGCCTATAGAGTGCGTTGTGTGGAGGTTTTATGTGGACTATAAAAAGATCAGAATATCTCACAGATGATACCATACTATTGTGTATATGTTGACTCCAGCCAACTCATTGTTCATGATTGTACTTTGGTTGAATATATAGAAATAGCTTCACAAGGACTGAATAATATATATTGGCTTATTAACATACATAATACTCATGTCACTGCTAGAAAAAGAAACACAACCTAGCACAGACCAAAAACATGAAAAAAAAGCCTTAGTTGTCGTTGGCGACTGAGCTCATCCAGGCCGCTCCCCCAAACCCTACCCCTTGCCTATGACTCTCCCAACGACCCACCCTGGTCCGCGTACCCCCCGCAGGAGCGGTACCCCCCCAAATAAGGGGACCCTCCTGACCAAAGGCAACCCTCGGAGCATAACACCAACCACGCCCATGAATACAGCGCCAGCGGTGCGACCTCCTCCCCCAGGCCCCCCCCGAGGCGACGGTACGGCCCCAAGACCACCGCCACCAAGAGCACCGCCCCCAGCAGGATCTCCCCCGGTGCCGCCTCCGCCCCCAAGAGCACCGCCGTGTTTCTGATTTCTACAAAGACAGCAGCAAAAGTTCTGGTGAATGACCACCCACCACTTCCTACATGCTATATGACCTTCCCATTAGTATAGCTTCCACTCAAGATCTAGGATCATCTTACGTGGGGGCCTTGTAAGCTTGTACACTCGTTCAAATTCTTCAATTGTTTGTGGGACATACCCCCCCATGGGGAGCCTATATTATAGTAGATATTATTAGCCCTTTTTCAAAGTTAACCAAAGTTAGATAGAGACAATATATACCGATGTTTAGCGCGTAAAAGCACTATGGCGAGCCATGTCGCCACTGCCCCAATTATTATAAGGCCTAACAGATCCAAGCTCGAGTAGCCCATATGCCACTCGGGGCTATTTATTTCGTTCTTTGATTATGAATCTCCTTGCTAGTTAGATAGTATGTAAATCGAATCAAACTAAGAATTGTTAAATCCCCCCGCTTTCCATGTGCCAAAGGACCAAGGAAGATAAGACAAGACAGCACCTTAGGCCAGGAAGGAGAGGGCTGGTGGAAGGATTCGTACTGAGTGAGATTGGATGATGGAATGGAGAAGGAGAGGATGGGGCAGACGACAGAGAGAAGAAATATAGACATGAAGGAATATACGGAGGCGAGAGAATGAATGACAGAGTTAAATCACTGCGCTATTCATCGCGCATGGCAAGTGGGCATGTGAATAGTCATCGTTTTCTCGAGAGGGAATGCTCCTTCCTGAAATCACTCAGCGGGAATCTTTAGCAGCATCAATACCAATGCCAATATCAATACCAAAGAGAGACGCTAAAGAAAGGAGAGAAACACGAGACCGACGGAAAGACACCCGGTGATATCCGAACCCCTTGGAGTTACATGAAGGGGATCTTGCATATATTTATAGTTTGGAAGAGCCCCTAACAGGGTGACCCATGTACAGTGGTTGACTTTCGCAAGGCGTGGAGGGAAATAGGGGATTGATCTCCATACAACTGATCCCTCGGCCTTCAGTCCGGCGTTTTAATACTACTCTTTGGCCATTTTTGGCATACTGCAAATATTTCCTTCCAAACCAGTCGCGTGCATGACGGCAGTACTACTCTTAAGATAGAGCAACAAAAGCATTGATATTCTTCCTCAAAAGTGAGAACAAGAGCACGAAAGATTAACGATCAAAGTCCCCAGACATAAGCATTAATCAGAGATTTTCCATAGGAAGAACCCAACCCTTTGATATCTGCCTTCCTAATTTCCCACTCCACTAAGGTCGGGTCCCCCTCAACACGGAAATTAATACTGAATCCTCTCAGCTCCTCGCAACACTTGCACGCCGCTGTGCAATGTCCAAGGTGATCTGGACGTTTAGAGCCTCGAGGCCTCATGCAACAACTACACCCTCGGCCACAACATCCACCCAAGTCTGCACATTCGGTCTGTAGCCATTTTGAATGATACCAATCGCGTGTTCGGCGACGAGCATACAGAGCACGCTTGAAGGGCCCATCTGGAAAGTTTCTGAGTATGTTCTGTATCTCTAGTTCCGCATTCCAAATAGCACGATTGAAATCTTGCAGGTCTTTTTGAATACTCTCCATCTCTGTCACCAACGTATCTGCTACAGGCCGGCCCTCGTTCAGCTGCTGGAAGAGAGTATTATGCTGAATTTGTAAATAGGCCTCGCGCTGTATGAGGCAACGGTAGGCATGCTGGGCTATGTAGTAGGAATCGAAATGCTCCGGAAGTTGAGGCTGATAGGTGCGCCATTCGTGCTGTTTACGGCGAAGCTGCTGGGCTTTTCGGAAGTGACCGCCCTGCTCAAGCTTATCCTCGAGACACCGGAGAAGCGGTTCAAATCTCTTTGCAAGGTAGTCTTTCAGAGGCATTATTTTCGAGTTACGCGTAGGAGCTTGTTAGATTCAGTAATATATTGTGAATGAAAGGACCCAGTACAAACTCTTCGTCGAATATGTCATCCGGCATCATTGTTCCATCACCCCCGGTTCAAATGGGTAACCAGGGAGGAGGGTTCATGCCCACAATCATTGGTTGAGTTCTGCATGCTTTTGCTTGCTGGAGGAAACCGCAGCAGGGTCTCTCGAACGACCACGTGAACCAACGCCTTCCAAGATCGTCCACGTTTTTACGACCCTTTGTTTGGATTTCCAGCTGCGTTGTACATCGAATAATCAAACCATCTTTTCAACCCACTTTGCGAATGATTTTCGAATAAGTGTACAATTTCACTGGCTAATTAAATCAAAGACTCTCTCGAAAAGTTCAAAGAGAAAAAGGACGACTACTACGGGGGCATCTAACGGTTAACCCCCTATCTACGGGCATGCCGGCAAATATCCACCGCGGATGGTATATAGGCTCGTCCGCCCTGAGGCTGCTTGCCATCATAATAAGCGGTGCATTCTACACATGGTATCGCATCTGCCTACTCCGGGCAAGGAACAAGTACGTTAAAGTCAATATTAAGTACTATGTCATAGTGAAAAAAAGGCTAATACATCTACCATTATATAGGTATCCGCAATACACACCCAAGACCTTGAGTGAATTTTTAAAAATTCACAATGTTGCCCGGTCTCGCCGTAGGATGACCCCTGATTTTGAGTGGAACTTATACTAATGGGAAGCTCTTGTAGCCCTGGGATAGTAGTGGCGATGCATCGTTGAGAACTTTTGTTGTTGGTGCTCCTGCCCTTGTGCAAAGGAGGAACCCCACCTGCGCCTGCTGGAAAGCGACGCCTGATGAGGTATAACTACTCGCTACGATACCTATGTCTGTTTGGTTCAGCACACACTCACATCTGTGTGCTGCAATCTCGATAATGCCATCTATCCCATTGCCTCCCTCCCTATCGGCTAGTGCGGCCCCACCAGGGGCGAGCCCCTGATGGCATATTGGCTATTCGGGATTGGGGTGCTGGGCCTCATCATCATAGGGGCCACGGCCATATGGCTCGTGATAGTTCTTTTACGCGCTAAGCATTGGTATATATTATCTATATTTATCTTTGGTTAACTTTGAAAAGGGGCTAATAATATCTACTATAATATAGACTTCCCATAGGGGAGTATATCCCGCAGATATTCGAAGATTTTGAACAAGCTTACGAGCTCACAAGACCCCTACTTAAGATAATCTTAGATCTTGAGTGGAAGCTATACTAATAGGAAGGTCATATAGCACGCAGGAAGTGGTGGATAGTTATCCACCAGAATTTCTGCTGCTGTCTTTGTCGGAAGAGAAATCAAAAACGCGACGAAGATATCGCCCTCGAGGAAAGGAACAGACGTAATGTCAGGAAAGGAAGGAGGGAAGGGGGGGAGTAGTATTATCAGACAGCTCAATTAGTTAGGACTGAACTAAGATTATCAATCTACCAGTTCGCACCGCACCGATCAGTTCTGGTGGGATACTTATCTACTTGCAGATCTATATCGGTCCAATCTGGTCGATTCCTTACAGTAACAACCCGGCTGGGGAGGGGGACAATGATGCCACTGGGGGGGATAGGGCTAGAGGGGGAGTGGTCGGCTGGGTGACAAAGACCTGGCTGAGATACCTTAAGAAGGGCGACTAAGACTTTTTTGCATGTTTTTGCCTGTTTTGTTTTGTGTTGGTTTTCTGCAAATCGCATAATTACTATGGATTTCAATACACCAATATAACTTATTGATTCCTTGTGGAACTATTTCTATCTACCCAACTCAACCAAATTAGAATCATTAAAATAAGGAGACAATCTCAGCAATCGCTCTGCTGACATCGTGACGGCGATATCCAAGTCTCTCGGCATCAGCTGGGTCTGGTTCATATGACACCATATTTCCTCGACCCGAGTAAATGACCGTATCAGGTAACAGTGGGTGTTCTTGATCGAGCGATGGAAGTGACGTGCTATTACCAACGGCGTCGAAGAATTTCTGGAAATAACTTGCGAAGCTGAGATTCTCGTCACCTAGTAGGTAGGCCTTCCCCGGCTCACCGTGTACCAAGGCACCTGCAATTGCTTCCGACAAGGACTGGGTTGACATGAAGTTCGATCCACCAAGTGGGCCGAAAAATGGGATCCCCAACTCCCCTTTAGCGTAGCGTACGTAGGCTTCAAATACCGGCGTACTCATTCCGGGCACGATCCCTACGACGAATGGCGCCTCGAGAACGCATGCGTTGAACGCTTCTCCTGCAAGCTCAAGGATACCGTCGGTAGCCAGCTTCCGCGAGCGAACGTATGCGTTGGAATCAATCGACGCTTTCGCAATACGCGGGTAGAAGCTTCCGATATAGACAAAGCGCTTTACGCCAGCATCACGCGCTAAGCGAGCGAACTGTGGGATGGCTTCGCCATTCACGCGGAGAACATGCTCGTCAAAGTCCTCTCCCGGTGGTGTATGACGGATATCGTGGCCAGCAGCGAAGACAACCGCATCAAAGCCGGCTAAGTGGTCCCTGGTGAACGTGTCTTGGACGAAGTCTCCCTGGATATATGGAAGCCGGATAAGAGCGGTTGTCTCTGGTGGAGGGCGCCGACCTGCGATTGAAACTTCATGGCCAAGTGATTGGAGGTGGAGAGCTGCGTGTCCACCGATGGTCCCAGTACCGCCAAGAACAAGGACTCTCATTGTCTCAGTAGGTCGGATATCGTGGGGAAGGTGAAACAAAAGTGATTTATGCAGTGAGACTGCCCACGAGGGATAGCCATGCACAAGGCCTCGCAAGGTCACAGCATTTATAATTAGATATGAAGCTTCACTTCCTTCTTGATTTATCAGCGGACAAGAGATTGTGCTCCACAATGTTCAGTATGCAGAACTTGGCAAGTATATCGTCTCGTATGCCTCAAAAGGCTGCCGGGATCGGATCTTACCGAGATCCGGCTTGGCGATGGACTAGTCCTCTTTAGACAAGGAGATGAAGCGACGAGGTATTCAGGTTGTTATCATCTCGAGAATGTGGAAAAGAACATACAAATGGTATGATGTCCTAGGTACTGTTTGAAGAGAGAGATCTATTAATCCCGATTTGTGGGTTCTAGCTTCCGGTTGTTTCTCTGGTGGACATGTATCTTTACTCCAAAACATGTATGTATATATATATATACAGTTAGAGGTATCGTCATGACTCAAAGAGACGACAAACACATACATCAACGAGGGGAAATAAAGAAGACAAAAGAAAAATGACCATGCTGCAAATAGATGAGTGCCGCATACTAGCCACAGGAGCTACTTCAAGCGCATCCCTGAGCCATCTACCTGATGTCGGTCTAGAAGCGTCGGCGTTGCGCCTCGTGCGCCATATACATTGAATTGAGTATAAAATCGTTATCAAGATCCAGCATGCCACAGGATATGAATAGCCGTTCAAGAGTCTAGACAACAACAGATTCCATAGCACGCTACTCTGCCATGCTAACTTCGATATTCCAAGTTTTTTAGCACTAAGTAAGAAGCTAAACTCTAAATTGTTGGTTTTTGATACAACTGACTAGGAAGCCCATATGCTTTAGTGTGTAATAAGAGCTAGCAGTGTGTGGCTTCCAAAGCTGCTATCAACAGGTAACTCAATGGGTTTGAGGTTGAATGATTGAACATCCCCCTCAATATATTTTAGGTTTCTCTGCCATAAATCGTACACTCCATTAGAAATTCACATGGGATGTTAAGGACTTCTGCTAATGTTACCGGAAGGTTGAGCACTAAGAATGGTTGCTAATTATGATCTACAAAGGAGGCTCTCTACACTGAGGCATTTCGATAAGGCATTCCGAGGAGGCACCCTTTGAACACAGTGTCTATATCCCTCGCCTTATCATGCACAGACCGCCCAAGTGGTGTTCGCACATCGTACTTTTAAAAAGGCAAAAGGTTGCATTTATTAGCGGCCATTGCCGCTTTCCCCGGCCTGCACTAACGTTGGCAGAGCTTGCCTGTGAGATGATCGACAACACATCGGCCATTATACGAATGGTTAGTTAAGTTCGGCAGTACTTGTATATTCGTGCGTCCAGCTGAAACAGGAACCAGACATGAAGGCTATTTGACGTGAGCGTTCACTGCTGTTTTGACAACTCACTCCGTGCAAGGTCCCACATCGCGAGGGGCCTCTGCTCTGCTGTGTAGTGAATTGTGCATAGTGAGTACTCCACCGAAGTCTTCTTAGGATTCAAGAGATATGGCACTTCCCTGTGGCTCAGCTGTTCGTAGGGCCTCCAAAACACCTGCAGAAACTGGCTGGGTCCATCACCTGAGAATGATGTGGGCCAGGTGGAGACTTTTATGGGAGAGCATCATTGGGCGGGCCAGAGGACAAGATAATGGGTCATTTAAACTTCAGAAGATCGATACTCTGCACTCCACCGGATGGCATATGGCTCGAGGTTGGCAATTGCTATTCGTTAAAGATGTTGGAAACCCAGGCGGCTGAATAATCCGATCCACGATAGTTCACGATGGAAATGTAACCTTGTCCTCACCTAGTTCTGAGTTAATTCTCGAAACCCATGGAAAGCAGGTGAAAAACGTAGAAAGTTATCGAGGTTCGGGGTTTGGAAAGGAAAAAATGGAGAAATTGTGACTAAAGGTTCACCTTAGACATGGGTAGCAAAAGACGAAGTCTGAAACAGGGATAAACACCAGGATGCGATCGTCCGCCAATCGTCGACGCAGAGATATCAGGGTTAGAATTAGATAAGAGTGTTGGGTTCTTGTCCTGGTGCTCCTTTCTGTTATGGTGCGAGATTTAGTGAGACATTTGGCCAGGGCTTGAAAGCGACGATCACACGCATGAAGCGCAATTTGAGGTTTAGGGCTTACCGCTAGCTATGAGTCTAGTTTCAGCGGTTCCAAAGGTTCAGACCACTAGCCGCCACTGACCTTCTCCCCCTCCGACATTACCAAGAGATTGGGTTTCTTGGTGGAACGGAAAAGGGAAATACCAGTGGAAGAGATATAAACCGATAACACAGAACAAAGAAGTGACTATTGCTTGGTAAAATATCGAACACCTGAGGTGGAAATCTGAGCAAAATAAGGAGGGTTAGACTAAGCATGATGATGCACCGAGGGCATGCTGCTTGGCACCACATCGCCGGAGACAAAGTCTGGTTCTCTCTAGGCTCCAGGCTCCACCCGCGCAGCATCAACGGCTTTGTCCCTTCATGCACGAGGCGCCCCAGTAGCCAATCTTTCGCAACTATGACCAATTTGGTGCGCTGCGCGGACGAGACTTTCCGAATGTACCCAAACTTCTTCGACAAGGGCAGTCTCGAACAAGTGCCAAGAAACCTAAACTCTGTTCGCCAAACTTTCCCCTTGGCATCGCGTCAAATTCTCGCGCCTTCTATCCCAGGTTCCCAGACGCTGACGGGATGGAGCCCACTCGGCTTAGAAAATTCTGACCCTGCGGAGGAGCTGACACTTCTTTTCCGCAAGGTAACAGGGAAGAGTCGTGATCATGATCCGCTAAACGGTCAATTGGAAATCATGGATATTATGCGGTGTAGTGCAGTATGCAGAAAATACGCCGTCGCATCATAACCAACGTCGATCGGCTCGCTGTCGCGGGGTCAGACTTTGAGTTTTGCCCAGTTTGGCGAAGTAGATTACGTGCAAAATATTCGGCTGTACGTAGTACGTCTCCGATGGGTCTCTAGAGTCCCAAGATCTTGGTTAGCTCCAGGCACAGGATCATCATGGCTAAGGGGAATGCCCACCAAGAACCCCAATTGTTTGACTAGCACATGGTGCCTTGCGACGGATTCTTGCGTGGCCCACTTTCCTAGCGGAGCAACTGGTAGTATCCAATGAGACTAATGGACGAAGGCAATCGCATTTTGGGTGAGTGTTAGTTGTAAATCGTTGGCTGGTCGCGGTTCTAACAGGTATCGCGTGCGCTGGCGGGCCTGGTTGCCCCAAGTTTTCCTTAAACCCCGACGTCGTACCTTCCACGAAGAAAAAGGAATAAAACAACCAACTGAAACTGACAACAAAACATAAAGAAACACGAATCCCCACTTGAGATATACGAAACACTCCTCACATCCCGCAGTGTCATGGCTCCTACCCCGGAGGATGCCGTCTTTGCAATTTCCGCCCAGGCAACTCAGCTGGGCAATCGCATCTCCGTGCGGATGCTTGACTACCTAAGTACGGTGCACGACATCCCTGATGGCTTTGGAGATCTCTCAAAGGTCTTTCTCGATACCTGTCGCTCCTTGTGGACAATCGAAGCCGGCCTCAGCGAGTCGACAACGGCGAACCGGCCGCTGCCCCGGATAATTGTTCAGGAGGTGGAAAAGAAGTTTACAGAGGCATACCGAGAATTCCAGCACCTGGACCGGGTCGTGACCAGGTTGATCCAGTACGAACACCGTGGGGCACTGGGAAAGCTACAAAGGGGATGGAACCGACCGAGCCACGAGCTGGGCAAGATCCGGGAGTCGCTCAAGAACACGATGGAGGCTCTACAGATCAGTGTCCTGGCTTTCCACTGGTCCCTTGGCGATGCAAAGCCAGAGGAATCGGTCGGAGTGGGATATGCAGGGCTCGCTGCGGCACTTGATCGGATGGCGAAAGGGAGATCGGTGGCTGGAATAAACAAGGCGAAGACACTAGAACGCGGGATCGCCGAGATCAAGCAACCATCACAGGCTGTAAAGGCAGCGCCCGCTGGGCCCCCTCCCTCGGTACCCGTTCCACCAGTACCACCGAAACCATCATCCGGCAAGGACGATGTCAGCAGAGATCCCGGTCTGGGCAGTTCGGGCGGAACATTGGTTGAGTCAATGCCGGAAACCATGTCGTCTGTCCTGTCACTGGATTCCCTCTCATTATCGAGCTCTCACCATGGGAGAGATCTAGAGTTATCACAGACCCGGACTCGTACTACAAACAGTCACCGAGATGATCATCCCCACCTCCAGAGCTCCTCGGCATCCACTCTAGCTCAGGAGATGGATACTAATCCTAGCTCTGTTCTACCGAGCAAGGCATCATACCGGAAACACGATCTACCTCGCATGCCGCAACGGTCCCCGAGTAATACCAGCGCTGCGAATGTCGGTCATCTGAAGAATGCTTTAGCCTCTGCCGTGCGAGCGAGAAACCATCAATTAATGGAACAGCTCCTGGATAGTGGCGTATCACCGGACATGGGAGAGAACACGCATCCACTGAATGAGGCGATTTTGCACCGTGACATCGAAGGGATGCGTCTGCTTCTGCTCTTTGGAGCCAACCCGAATGGACCAGACAAAGACGGAAAGTCACCACTATTCTCTGCGGTTGAAGGGTCATTCATAGATGGTACGACCTTGCTGTTAAAGTACCGTGCAGACCCATGTCTCATGACCGGATCTGAGCTTGAGTCTCCCCTTGGTTTGTGCATCACGAGCCTTAAGACGGGTCTTGTTCATGTCCTACTCGCGCATGGAGCAGATCCCAATCACGAGATGAGAAATGGCAGCACAGTGCTCATCGAAGCTATCCGGAAGAAGGCTCCTCAACGACTGGTCGATCTGCTCCTGGATGCTGGTGCAGAGGCAAATTTGAAAAACAGGGAAGGGAAGTCGGCGTTGTTTGAAGCGTCCAAACCGACCAGGTGACGGTAGTGACAACACTCTTGGACCATGGAGCGAATGCAAACCTCCCTGGACCGGAACATGTGCTCTGGTCAGCCATCTATCGGCCGGCTTCTTTGCGAATCCTGATGGCTCGTGGGGCCGATGTCCGAAAAACCCCGGGTATTATGGAACAAGCAACAAGCATCAACAACATTGATTCCGTGCGAATCCTACTACAAACTGGCGTTGACCCCAACTCTAAAAAGGATGGAATTTATACACCATTGTGCTCTGCGATCCGTGACAATCGTGGGGATATATTTGCGCTTTTGCTGGCCAACGGCGCAAACCCCAATGTCATGGCATCGGAGTATCCGGCGTGGAAATGTGTTACTCATTTCCGGACACATTTACTGCCCGATCTAGTTGACGCCGGCGCAGACCTCCACCAGCACCGGGTATTGTCGAAATGGCAGTGCAAGTCAACAACGGAGAGGCCGCACAGTGGCTCTTGGAACACGGAGGCGCGAATCCGAACGATCGCAATGCACAGGGACATACAGCACTCACAACAGCGATTCGTGATGACCGCGTCGATCTACTGACTCTCCTGCTGGCGCATGGAGCGGATCCCAACCAACGTGGCCAAGACTGGCCCGTGTGTATGGCCGTCCGGTCTCCGACACTTTTGCAACAGCTCCTCCCCGCCGTGACAGACCTGTCGGCACACAAAGGGGTCATGGAGATGGCCGTGTTGGCGAACCAGTTGGATAGTATCAAGTTGCTACTCGCTGCGGGTGCCAGCGTCGAGTACAAGAATGGCGGGGTTTTCTCCCCGTTAACGACAGCGCTTCGCGAGGGTCACGAAGATATTGTGCGATTCCTGCTGAATGAAGCTGGTGCAGACCCCAATGCGCCCGGTGAGCATCTTCCCATTGTCAAGGCTGTCCGTAGATGCCACGATAGAGACTTCAAGATGATCGAATTGTTGCTCGAGAAGGGCGCAGACCCGAATGAAACCTATCGGGAATGGAACGCGGTAATGGAGGCCATCGAGAACCGAGACCTGGGTCTCCTTCAACTTCTGGTAGAAAAGGGCGGAGGCGTCGATCTTGAAAAGCGAGACGAGACTGGCAAGAGTGTGATGCAGATGGTGGATGCCTCTGGTTGGAGTGAAGCAACACAGCTTCTACTCGACAATGCGCGCCGATGAGGAAGTTTTAATGGCCGAGACTATATACCCACTTTTCCTTTGTTTACACCGAAAGATAATCCGTCAGAGAGGGCATTTGAAGTAGTTGACCTGTACCAAGTCAATGTCCGAGGAACCATTTCTTTAAACCTGCGAGACCAGAAGCCGATGCTTTTGCTCTTAAACGAAAGTCGCAGCGAATCACTTGGGCCCGAAGGTGGGCTATTGGCCATGGCAGTGCCTTTTAATATGTTGTTGAAATATGAAGTACTATATGGTTGGATTCCTCCTGCAACGTAAATAGAATAATCATAGATCAAAGAGTTAAGTTAAAAGGGAAGCCATTTGCGGGGACCTCGCGCTAGACCAAATCTGGGTAGGGCCCACCGCTTCAAGGTTGCTAACACGAGTTCAAAGTCACTTTCATATTGTTTATTGCGCAGTGCAGCGTTAGCGTAGCAGGTAATATCTCAGACTACGTGAAAGGATTTATGTTTTGATTGGCCCTTGTATGGGGATTTTAATTGGCCCCTCGAATGAAATGCTATATACTAGTACTAGTAGTACGGAGTAACGTAACTTCTAGTACTATATTCCCAAATATATAGTGGTTATTGTAAACGGATCCCGATTCCATAGCCTAAAGTGCTTAAACCACTTGAAGTACTTGAATTGCTTGAGTTGCTCTTAGATCATATGATTCCTTCGCTGCGTATATCTTTCCAGCCCATCACAAGAGGGACTAGAAGTCCCTCGTACCTATCTAACAGTAACTTCATGCCTTAAAGAATACGGCGTTTTGAAGGAAGCAATCGGTGTTGAAGTCAAATCATCATAACCTGCATCATGCATGATACCAAGTCCATCCCAAACACCCTTGTACGACCGGGTGTCCGGGCACGCTCGTTCCCAAGTTCCCGCCTAGGTGAAAGGTGCCTAGATCGCACATTATATAGCTACTACTAAGGGTCCGGTGGCGTACACCCAGGATGGTACATTGGATACTCAGTGTTGGGGTTGGTATCTTTCAGTATCCTGTGTGCCTTGATGGACATGTTTCCGAATTTGTCTGAAGAAGGCAAATACCAGGTATGTATTGTCTATATTAGGCTTGACGTAATTTGGAAGACGGCTAAGTATGTCTACTATTGGATAGATATCCCGTAGGGAAATTCAACCCTAGCAACATAGAGGAGTGCGAGGGGGAGTTACGCCTCCGAAGGTATCCACGTAAGATAACTTCTGATCTTAGGTGTTTCTACACTAATATGAAGATCTTATAAGACCGAGAAAACGGTAGCGAGTAATTGGGGAGAAGTTCTTTTGTTGTTGTGTTAAATCGCAACAAAATATAGCACTACCGGACCTCAAAAAGCCTTAATAGGTTGGAACAAACTGTTGAAGATTTCGAGAGGGCATACGAACTGATAAGACCTCCACGTATGATGATCTCGGATCTTGAGTAGGAGCTATATTAATGGGAAGATCCTATAGCACTGCGAAAGTGGTGAAGGGTGTTAGGAGAAGAAATAGCATTCAAAGAGTTGTTGATTGGCTTTTGGAAAAGCGGGCTTAATAGGGCTTTTTGTTTTACTAGCCCCAAAGTCTTTCGTCTCGTCGTCACATTGTCGTGAGGTGACCCTAAGACACGCTTGTAATAGAAAGCCGATATCCATAGGATAGTTGAATCAGGAAAGATCTTCATGCTCTTCATGGGCCGCACCAGCCGGTATGTGTAGGAATGCGTGTGAAATTGCCCACGAATCAATTCTTCCAAGGGATCTCAGTATTTCGCAGCATATACGACTTCCCTAGCCATTCTTTCACTTCTCCAAACCATCGGTTCTGATCAGGCGAAATTGCATTGTATCTCGCTCAGGTGGTGTCATCCAAGGAAGGACGTAATCCTTTCTTGTCACTTCGACAAGTTCAAACCCACATTTGCGCAAGACCTTAACAGACGCCTCGTTCTCCGTGTCGCAATATGCCTCCAACACAGTGAATTGAGGTTTGCATGACCAAAAAAGTTCCACAAATGCTCTCAATGCTTCCGTTGCAAATCCCAGCCCCCAAGTCGATCGGTGAAAAATGAAACCCACCTCTGGGAGAGGATCCGTTCTCCATGTGCCAACCCACCCGATAAATCCTCCATGAGCCAAAATATCATACGGGTGAATATCCTCGGCGCCCTCTTGACTCCCCTGGAGCTGGTCCATATCTGGCCGGAGGAGTACCGCATAGTTCTCACCAATGGGGTTTTCCTTGAGTAACAAGCTGGACATCCACTGTCGGGAATCGTCCAGTGTCTTGCATGGGCCATGGGCGCTCCATCGGGTGGCCACCGGATCGGACCAAATGGCGTGGTAGCCAGCCACATGGTCCTCGGTTAAACGGACGAGCTGTAGTCGTTCTGTCTGCATATTGGGGAGAGATAAGTGAGGACAACAAAGACCGCGATATAGGATTATAAGACACGAAGACTGAGAAAACCCAGGCGCCGCCAACTTCGGAAAGAAGTACACAAAACGGAAAGTAAGGAGAAGAAGACGAAGCAAATAGACGCATGGCTTGTGTCGTTATAAAGCATATGGACTTCGTATTTTCGGACTGACTCAAAGGACTGCGGGCACCGCATGCAGTTAGACAGGCTGAGTAATCCATAGGAGTTAACTAAAATAATAGTTAAATAGAGTAAGAGAGTATATACCGTTAATGCTGCTATATTATGCCACAGCATTGTGGTGTCCACCATCACTCAGAAAGAGACTGATATGTGGAGCATTACTATAAAATGATCGCCATTTGATCTACCTTATTTGAAGAAAAATCTACAACTGATAATACAGGGAAAGAGGATATGAGTCCCCGTAACTCTATCACACACCCTGATCGTTCTTTCTGCTTCTAATTGATAACCCCCTCCCTCGCTTTTCTCGATACATGTTACGGAGCTTCGTGAATGAGTCTTACATAGTCGATGAGGCCGTGCTCCTCTTCAAGGCCACCTGGCAGTTGACTGACCACTTCGACTGGCTTCTCAAGTCGGAGCTCGACGTTCTTCTTGCCATCACTTCCAATGGTCCACGAGACGGTCACAAGATTGTCCTTACCCAGCGCAACCTTGGCCTGTATTGTGTCACTGAGCCCAAGCCGCGGTTTGAAGAGAAGCTTAGTCGACCCCGGTGCGATAGGCCGAATGCCAGCCAATTCCGTGCAGTACTCATAGACGGGCACACTAGACCACGCATGACAATCTGACCGCTGCCGAACATCGTCCTCCTCCCAGGTTGACAGATTGTTGGCTAGCATGTTCCGCCACGGGTCCCACAGCTGGGGCCAGAAATTGTCGTAGACCTGATCGCCAGCTAGAGACAACGCACGCAGGGCATAAAATCGCATCATGTAGGAGCATTTTGCGAAGCGAGAGTCCGCGAACGATTCGGTTAGAATGCGGGTCCGATCTTCCGGTCGCGCTGTCCCAGACAAAACCGCAAAAACCTGGCAATGTTGTGAATAGGACGATTCATCAGCGATGTTGGCCGTGGAATCGGTGAAGAAGCGTCCGTCGTAACAGTGAGCTCGAACGGCTTGTTGCAGTGCGGTCGCCCGTGCTTCGTACTCCTCTGCATAGCCCGGTCGGCCAACGTCGCGCACAAGCCGCGCAGCTTGTTGCAGGACATATGCGTATAGCATGCTGAAGTATGTATGTCGGTTTGATTTGCGACCCGAGGTGGGCACCCCTTTGTCGGGATAATCCTCCGTTGCACCCCAGGTCGTGACCCAGTCGACATACTGCCACACATCCTCCGGAAGTCCACTTACAAGGCCAAAAGGATCGATGTGTGAGTCGAAGAAGTCGAGAACGCCGTCGATGCGAGGGAGGAATGAACGAGCAAAGCGAGTATCGCCGAAATAGAGATGGTGATCGCAGACCTGCAGGACCCAATACAACGAAAAGCCAGCAATAAGCTGAGGGACGTGGGAGGGGAAGCGAGACTGAGTGAGACCCTCAGAGGTGACTGAAGCTGCAAAATTTGTAATTGCTTGTCGCATCAACCGGTCGTCACCCGAGAGTAGATAGTGAAACAGGCCGACGGCGCGACTGTCCCCAGAATATCTACCAGGAATGTTAGTCCTCCCAAATGCGATGGGAATGATATGTCTGGCAGTGGACTTACTGAAGTTGCTCATAAAACGGACAGTCCGAGTACCCGTCGAACATGCAGTTTCGCATGGTGCGGATCGACACGTCCCATATTCGTTCGCTGTATTCATCGCCAGACTCGGCCCAACTGGCCTTGACGGCGAGGGGATAATTGACTTGTGTCGCTTCCAAAGGCAGAATACGGACCGACTCCTCTCCCACCGTGATCTCGACTCGAAGAAGGCGAAATGTTCGGAACCAAAATGGCTCGTAGACCACGGTCTGCGTGTCCGGGATATCCAAGGTCGCCGCGTCATACGGACCCAGGATATGACCAGCCTTTGCATCTAGCCGATCTGTCTTCTTGCGAAAGAATGGATAGGAACGGGGCTCCAGCTCGTACCCTTCCGAGTATGTCACTTTCATTGTGATCTGCGACGCGCCCGTGATGCTTTGAAAGGCCCATCGGAGGAAGGCAGTTGAGTGTGTTTCGGCCTGCAATTCAAGCATATGCGAAGAGCGTCCCTGAAGGGTCAATTGCCCATTCCCCGACAAGCAAGATGCCCACTCGTCCGCACTGATAGAACTCTCGCAGGCGCGTATCACGTTCACAACGATGGGGTTCTGGTCAGGCATTGGGATCCCCCGCGGACGTAAACGCCAGGGTGGGAGATCGCCATTCAGTGTTTTGATCCCATACATCTTTGGGGTCACTGCTGAGCTATAGATCGTCGGAGTGACTCGTTCGTATATCTGTCAAAACGTGGTAATGGGTGGAGTGTTCAGGACTGCAGGATGGACCCAGCTTACGTGTAGAAATCCGTCATCTATCAGGCCCATGGGAAATTGGATACTCTCATCCACCTGTGCCTGCCATCCCACCTGGGAATCAATGTCCACAACATTACTGCCCGTCTCTACACGGCCAACTACAGTCAACCCCGGCAGCGTCGTCCTCTCAAATGGCATTGCGCCGCGCGAGGACGCAAAGTATCGCACCACAACGAACCGAATCACATTCTGTCCACGGGTGAGATATGGTGCGATATCAAGAGTGTCATAATACCAGATCCACGGACTGCTGCGAGCTGGCCCGACGGCGACACGGGTCCCATTGACATAGAGTTTATATCGGGTATCCGCAGAGAAATGCAACTGCGCGCGAGTTGGACGCTCCGGAAGGTCGAGCTCACGGCTGAAATGGACAATTCGCCCTGTCGTATTGACTCGCGACGAATCGACCCAGTCTGGTGTCCAGATCCAGTTGGCCTGGAGGGCATTGATGACCTAGTGAGACTTGTTAGTAGGCTCTAGATGTGTCAATGGGCTTTTGTCTCGGACGCGCATACTTTCTGTTCCTCGGGTGTCACCATAGTGTGTCGACCAGAGAAGAGGCTGGTTTCACCTGTGAGTGTGAGTCGAAAGATTCGGACCTGAGGGTATTTGTCTGCCCATGTTGCGCGTGAGGGGTTTCCCTGGTCTCGGGCTATTCTCCCCCGAGTTTTCGGTTAATTAATCGCAGATCATCTACATCGTAAAACCCGATCTATGCGCCAGGTAAACACGAAGATATGTACCTGAATACCGAGAGAATCAAGAAGTGGAAGATGAAGAAGAAAAGGAAGAAGAAGAAAAGAGAGCGTAAGGTATTGAAAGCAAAATATAGCAAGTTCTAATGCCTCGGCTAAAAGGAATAGCTGAATGGATTCATCCAACACAGGAATCGTCGGCCCGGGGCACTCAATGAACACCAGATACATGAGTGATGACATGAAAATAGAATCAACAGAAGTGGTGCCAAGCAAAGCCTCTTGTCAGCTTGACTAGGCAACCACAGCCACAGCCCTGTTCAAGAACCTAGTCACGAAGCTTTTCTCCCGCGCAAACCGTTGACGCCCTTCATCTTACATCTGCCTGCTCCTGGTATATCATCCACCATGGCAACCTCAACGACAGCAGCACCGAACTCCTTTCCCTTCACGCGTCTTCCTGGGGAGCTTCGCAACCAGATCTGGCAATTGGCTCTCTCCGACCCTGCCCACTCACTGCCACAACTCTGCTTCTACAATCAGGGCTGCTGGGATCCGCAACAACCTCCCGACGAGGATGCGGAATTTCATCCCCACAATGACGAGATGAAGGTGACACTCGCATTTTTCCATGATCGCCTGGACCCGATCCTCGTGGAGGTGCCACTATTTTTTGTCAACCGTGAAGCGCGGAGTTTCGCGCTAGCTTGGATCCACGAACATGGCATACAAATCCGCTTTGATAAGCACACCCAATCCCTGTATTTTGTCCCCCTTGTGGACCCAAGACGGGATGTATTATATATCCCCAAGGAGCAGTTTGATGACTTTCTGTTTGATCCTTCGTGTCGACTGGTTGAACTTGAACTAGGTGATTGGGATTATAGTTTTGCTGCGCCTGAAATTACGCGGCTAGCTCTCCCTGCTACGGTATTATGGGAACCAGAGATAGATACCCTACGCAGAGCTCTAGAATATTTCCCTCGAGTGAAAGATGTTTTTGTAATTTTTCAGGCGCGGTCTGAGGGGTTTTGGAGTGAGGGACATGAGGCTAGGTTGCGGCAGCGTTGGGTATTGGAGGACGTGCCAGGTCTAAAGGGGCCGATATTCATTCGGGATGAGGCTGCTGACGAGGAATATTGTATGGATCCGCCAAAAGCCTTGGGTAATTACGGTTTCAATTATCTCTTCGGTAATGCTTACCTTGCTATCGGCACCTTTCAAGTTGAGCGCTTCGAGATGCAGCATGCCGTTGCCGTGAGGAGGCTCTAGGCACACCTTTGACATTTCTTGACATTCTTCTCTTTGAAGCAAAGCCCACCTGCCCTTGAGATATTCTATATCTTATTTTGTCTCCTGTGGCAACAGGATTAGCTTCCCTACACCTAGATAAAAGAATTATTTGACAGTAGAAGTGGTATATTTGGCCTCCACCTTGGTACAGTGTCAGTGGCCCCAATGGCCAAGCTTGACTGCCTACGTCTCCAACCTTTACATAGGACAACAGAGAGGCTCCAGCCTCCTCGCCCCGTCACGCCGTTTGTGACGGTCTGACAGCAGTACTCTCTCTGTGTTATACGAAAAGGGTCAACAGCAAAATGCATCGTAGTGTATTCAACTAATGAATGAAGAAAAAAGGTACGACCCATAGCGTACTATGTGCTACGTTTGATTTTACCCCGTAAGTTGCTATCTGTTGAACATGCTGTGTCATTGCCTGAATTGTTCACATAACCGTCCGGCGAATTGCTTTATGTGCTCCTGTTTATATCGTTAGCTATAATTAGGGATGTTCATTTCAAACATCCGCAAAGCCCGTCCATATTTCATCTACAAGACCTGCAACCAGCAAGGCCTCTCTTGCCTAGCCAACAGGGACTGAAAAGAGCACGATATGAGAGTAAGATAAGTGGAAGCCATAAGAAATATGTTCAATTATGCTATCTGGCCAATTGATTAAAATACAGCTCGACACCCTATGTCGAGAAATGTCTAACAAGACACTGCTGGAAGGCCTGGCACAAACACTGACCATCGTGGCCGTGTGGAGAAGCCAGGATAAGTAACTCAGGTTCATCAGGCGAGCATATAGGTCCTCTCTCCAAGCATGCGGCGAGCTTCCAACGCCAGTCTAGGCGGCAGCAGCCTTTTCAGTGACGGTCGTTGTCGTGGTCACGGTAGCGGTAACCGTTGTTTGCGGACCGCATGCATTACCGGTAGTGATGCCGTTCGCCTGAGCCGTTACTGTTGTCGTTTCGGTCACAGTCACGTAAATCGGTTCAAGGTTGCAGGAAGTTGGGGAGATAAGAGGACTGCTGGCCGGGAGGCTGGGCACGGGCGTCGAAGATGTGATCGGTTTTGCAACAGCTACTGCTGCGGGTGTTGTGGAAGAAAAGACTGAGCTATACGAGACGGGGTCCACTGCAGCAGATTCAGATGCAGTGGCAGTTACAGCCGATGCAGACCAGGAACCTGACGGGGCGACAGCAACCCCAGCAGCCTTGACCACGTTGGAGCCACCGTCCGGCCATACGCGAGGCCCGGGCATGGTGTAGTTAGTCCAATAGGGGCGATACATGTAGAAGAGAATGCCAGGTTCATAGCCATTGTAGACCCCCGGGATCTGGACAACGGGGTGCGGAACGGCGGTGCTATCGCTCTCCACCTCGATCTGTGCGCAGTTGAAGTAGAGCTCCGCACCACCCCATTCACCAGCACCGTGTAGGGCAATGTGTTCAATGCGAACCAGGTATTGGCCGGCAGGAGTCTCCTTGGGTAGGGTGAAGGTGAAGTTTGTTTTGCCTGTAACGCCCCATTCGATCCCATCGCTGCCGAACGATGTCGGGCCTAACTCGTATATCTTGAACCAGTCGCCAGACCCGTCATAGTCGCGCACATCACCAGGCGCCTTGGACAGGTACACCTGCATCGGTCCGGGGTGCTCAATCAGCGCGCCGAAGTCGGTGCCGAAGCCAATGGTGTCGCCGGCCTTGACCTTGTAGACGTCGGTCTTGCTGGCAAAGTCCAGTGAACCAACATTGCAGCGGAAGTCAGTGCTGTCGTAACCGCCCTTGTAAGGCATATAGCCCTGGGTATCCTCGCGTACGTATTCGAAATACTCGGTGAAGTTGCCATTGGCAATGAAATTAGGGAAGAAATAATGAGTGGATACTATAGGCGCGGCCGCCAGGGTAAGCGCAAGCTGGATCTTCATAGTGATGCAAAGAGCGAAAGTCAATCAAAGAATGTGGTTCAATCGCCAGGGCTGATGGTTGAAAGAAAGAAAAAGAAAAAAAAAAAAAAAAAAAGGAGAAGATGAAAGATTTTTATCGATTGTCCATCTTGTAAACTAGTACATACGTTGAACTCGGGTACAGCAAAATTAACCACATGGAGAGCCGGGGAAATTGAGGACTGGAACAGCCAGCTCGGCTGCTAATCTGACACGACTAGGCGGAGCTATGCAGGCACCGTTGTTTCAGCCCTAGGCCTGTAGGAGCACAAATACTACTCACAACGTTCAACATTCCAATAGGAACTCGAAGTGGGCCGATTATACTAGACACTGCCAAGGACCCTGTCGACTCCAACTGTCCAAGGATGGTCAGCCCTACTTCAGAGTGGAGCAGCCGCTGGTCACCGTTCAAGAAATATACGTAACTGCCGGACCCATCAGGGACTTTAGCCGATGCCATTCAGCCTGATCATCTCGTTTCGCGTGGATTAAGTGGCTCTTACTACGGAGTACGTAGCTCCCTATAATGTATTTGGTAAGCGAGTCAACCACTTAACCTGTGATTTGACGCGCCTCGGAATATTGATTTAATTCAACAACCGAAGCACCAAAACTTCCGAAAAGTTCAAATGATTTAGTATACAACCCGAATGCTAGTTTCTATTAGCTATACCGTGATTAAAAAAAAAAGAAAAAAAAGAGATTCAATGTATTCGAGAGGTAGCGCGTATATACATATAATGTACCTCGTTCCACTGGATCTGATTTTGAACGGATGGTGACAGTGTTCGGCCTGGACCACGCGCACATAGTCATAAATTGACTATTTCTGAAGAGAAATCCCTACCAATCCATACTGTGGATTCTATCACTAGATCGACATGGGATACCTCCCCGGCCTTGGCCATAGACAAGAGTTTATAGACCGAAGTTGTATGGACGGTGCAATTGCGCTAGTGAACAGCCACCATATACTAGTAACCAAGGTTAATTTAGAGCTAGATCATCAATCTGCTACTATTTCACTTTGGAGGATTGAGTAGGTAATTATTTCACTTGGATTCGACGATCAGGTCACTCGATTTCCGCCAATTAACTCTATTATTTTAGGTTCCACTGGATCCTGGACTAGTGGGCTGCTAAAGATCCCTACCACTTTGAATATCCTGGTCCTGCAGTATTATACCGCTTCGAAGAATGATAGATTATACGAACTGATTCTTTCCCCAAGCCTACTAATTATAAGTGCGTGGCAGCTGTAGCTGAACTGCAGAACGCCAAGCGGCCAAGATTTCGGCAGAAAAAATTAAATCGTAGGGTGACCATCAGTCAGGCTGCGAGATTTAGTGGCCGCTTGCGTCGATGACCAAAGTAAAAAAAACCTTATAACTACACCCCAACCAGACAATTCCTCCTTCAGAATTGTTCCATAAAATCATGAAATCTCCTATCCCCGACTATCTTCACCAGGTATTGGAAAATGCCCGCCCGGAGGAGTCCGGAGAGCTTGCCAGCTACATCGATGTCTTGGCTAAAGCGGACCCCTCCAAAATGGCCATTGCGCTGTCGACTGTAGATGGGAATCTCTACTCGGCCGGGGACGACGAGGTTGAATTCTCCATCCAGTCCATTTCCAAAGCCTTCGTGTATGCTCTGGCTATTGAGGATGCTGGGCTGCCACGAGTCTTGGAAAAAATCGGGGTGGAACCATCCGGCGACGCATTTAACAAGCTGTCGTTGCAACCTGGTACCAACCGACCAATGAACCCCATGATCAATGCCGGTGCTATCGCCTCGCACACAATGGTGGTGGGCGAAAATGCCACAGCAGAGCAACGCGTTGATCGCATATTGAAGGCATTGTCGAAACTGGCAGGCCGGGACTTGGAAGTGGATGAGGAAGTCTACGAGGCCGAGCTCAAGGACGCGAACCGAAATATCGCCATTTGCTACATGCTCAAGGCGGCAGGCATCATTTCGTGTGATCCACAGGAGGCTGCACGCGGTTATATCCGCCAATGCTCTATCAAAACCAACGTGCGCGACCTGGCCATGATGGCAGCAACTCTGGGCAATGCCGGCATACATCCCATCACCGGGGAGGAAATTATGCCACACCAAAGCGCCCGCCAGGTCCTGTCCGTCATGACCACCTGTGGCATGTACGATGCTGCTGGTGACTGGGTGTCCCGGGTTGGCATGCCCGCAAAGAGTGGCGTGGCCGGCGGTATCATCGGCACCCTTCCCGGCCAAGTGGGCATCGCCGTCTTCTCTCCGAAACTGGACGGGCGTGGCAACAGTGTCCGAGGCGTCAAGATGTTTGAGCAGCTCTCGTCCGAAATGGGCCTACACATGATGGACATCAGCCAGGTCGGCAGGGCTACCGTGCGTATATGGACTGTGACCATTGTTGGCGGCGCCGATCAACCCCACGAGTGTCCGCAGGAGGTGCCTGTCTTTGGTCTGCGAGGCGCCGTCCGTTTCGCGGGCTCTGAACGCCTTACTCGTGCTATTGTGCGCGAGTTCACCCCTCCGACCGCTGCCAACCCCGAGTATGGGCGACACAGAAATGCTTGTGCCGTCATATTCTCATTCAAAGACACTTATTCCCTAAACTACGTTGCGCAGCGCATCATTGGTGAGGATATCCGTCGCCTTCTTGACGCAGGTAGGAATGTGGTGGTGATAGACCCTTCCAAGGTCCTCAGGATTGACGGAAACCCTGCTTTTATGGCTATATCCCCTCGAGTGGTCAACGACGAAGCTGAGGCGCGTCATTATATCGGTGGTCGAGGCTGCAGGGCCGTCTCCATTAGTGAAGATTGGTGATAGAGACTGGGCACTACGTTATATAGAGGAGAGCGTTCGGCGTGCTTTTTGATTGTACTGTAACAGCTCGTTAATATCAGTATCTCCTCGTTGCGTAGAAACCCATGAACTCAATCGCAACCAGACGGATAAAGCTTATGGGGTCACAATGCTTGATATTAGAAACGATGCGGATTCCTGTCGGAGATAGATACTGGTTACAGAATGTCGGATCTCGGAGATAAGGATCGGCCTCGGTGGAGACTAGTCCTCACTAGGCAGTCAAAGGCGGGCCTCTTTATCAAATATGCGGAGAACGATTTAGAGAATCCTGGAGCCCACTTCCGCTCGAAGCATATCTGTGGTACGGTCCGCCAATTGACCCCAGTGGCACGGATGTTACGCAGATCCCGGACATGCTAGCGCGGCTCGGCTTCTACTTGGAGTGTGATCCCCAGTATAAGAACCAAGAAAGGAGTATAGCGCCGCCCCGTGCCGCCTGGCAGACACAGTCCCACGACTGCGTTCGGACCGCGTGCTCTAAAGTGCGTTGGAGAGTTAGTCCTTTGGTTAGGCACATGGGTAATTGATGCGGCCATCCGGAGAAGAGTCATACCCATGCCATCTGGATCCGCTAGTTGGTATGGAAAAACCAATACATACTCTCAAGTCCTCAGGATGCTACCGGAAGAGATCTACTACTTGGACTTATTTTTCAGTCCACAACAGCAGGAGCTTTCGCCGTTATATATGATGCGGCATTAGGCATCTGCGGAAGTGTCCAGGATTATATCAATAGTACGGATTCCTCAAGCAAGGTTGTCAACTTGCTGATCTTTTTCAGGAGCTGCTAATATAGCACTCCATTCGCTTAGATTCAACATTTGCCATAAGCGGCATAAACTCATTAAACTGATCCACTTGATCTGCGGTCTGGTGTCGTTCCTGCGTCTAATAGTAGCAACGCGCGTCACTCCGGATAATGTCGCAAGCGGACGGTGGTCTAGCTCGACTATCAATTACCCCAGCATGCATAATAAATACCCCGAAGGTGCCCCTGGGAATCTAAACACAGAGCCCATGGAGTAAATCTAGCATTTCCCTTGTGTTCATTCCATTCGAGCATTTCCTCTACTTAGCACAGAATGGTTTTCTCCAAGGGAGCAGCTCTTGCTGCTCTGTGCGCTCTTGCGATTTTTGCCAAACCCGCATTTTCCGGTTCCAATGAGCAATTGCCACTTTTGAAAGACTTCGATGAGTCTGGTGTACTTGGCGCTCTCTATCGGCCCAACTCTACAAGCGAAAGATCACGCATCGCGGTCTACGTGATGCATGCGGAGCAAGACTACACTACTTTTGTGGCCTGTACAGAGCTACCTAAGCGCGGCTTCACTACTTTCTGTGCCAACAATGAAGCTAGCAAGTATGGATACATGTCAGACCTGAACTTTGAGGACATGATGACAGAGATCAACACCGGTATGGCTTGGCTACGCAACCTGACCGACATCGACAAGGTTGTGATCCTAGGCCATAGTGGTGGTGGCGCAATGATGGCAGCATACCAAAACGTCGCAGAGAACGGTGTTTCGGCATGCAATGGTGCTGAGAAAATCTACCCGTGCTCTGACGCGATGGCTGGCCTTGAACCTGCTGATGGCCTAATGTTGTTAGATGCCAATTACGGTCTTTCCACCATGGCGTTACTGAGCCTGAACCCTGCCATTGAAGATGAGACCGACACGTCCAGGTTAAACCAATCTTTGAGCGTCTACAATCCTGCCAACGGATTCAACAATAATACCCAGTCCAAGTACACCGCCGATTTCAAGAGTCGATTCCAGCAGGGCGTCGTGGCACGCAACAACCGCATCCTACAGTATGCCCAGACGCGCCTCAAGGCACTTGAGGCCGGCAAGGGAATGTTTGGTGACGATGAGCCACTGACTATCCCAGCTTCACTTTATATTGGATTCAACAATCTATTCTTTGCCCAGGACACCCGGTACCTGCACCATACCACATATGCCTGGCCTCTGCTCCGTAAGAACGGCACCACCACGCAAATCGTCCCATCTGTACGCGTCCCCGGTAACTTTAAGGACTACTCCAATAAATGGCAGAGTGGGGCGCTGAAGACTACCATCCGTCGATTCTTGTCTACCTTTGCCATCCGAGTCACCGACAAATTCAACATCAAGGCAGACAACATCGAGGGCATTGACTATGCCTCGAGCCAGACGGCACCCCATGCATCCGTTCAGGGTATTCGCGTCCCTCTCCTAACCATGGGCATGACGGGTCATTACGAGTACTTGAACGCGGAGAAGCTCCACCTCAACGCCGTCAGCAACGACACTGCGATTGCTTTTGTGGAGGGAGCTCAGCACACTATCAACACTTGCACCGAGTGCGAGTCCTATCCCGGTGAATTTGGGGACACTGTTGTGACATGTTTCGATTATGTTGCGGAGTGGTTGGCCAAGCCAGGTCGCTTCCTTTAGGCTTTAGAAATTCTTGATCTGTGCCCAGTAGACTTAGTACGCTTATTTAGCGGGGGATACTCTACGGGATACGATAGCGGCTCCAGGTAGACTCTTTAATTGGAGGCTCTGGGATTACTTTCCTGTCTCTTGAAATACTAGTAGGTAGCAATGGTTCTGCCCACCCACATTATATTATCCATCACTACTATCTGCTAGTCCTGTGAAAACGCCATTAAAATAGATATATAATGGATGTTGTCAGGAAGAACAGACATGCATAAGATAAGCAATAACTCTGGCTGACGTTGTGTAGACTTTCCCAAGCGCAAGTTCAGTGCCTTTGTCATACCGTCAAGAGCGACGTTAGATCCCGACCTGGATTTCTTCTTGCCGCATTCCCCGTACATTCCCCCACTGGAGAATAGTACGGTCTTATTCTGTCGGCACTTGGAGCATCATTCTGCGGTATCCCAGAGGCTAGCGATCAGAGAATCCCCGTCATCGAGGAGGATAAATACTTGTGGAACATGGAAAGGCATCGATCAGAGCAACGTCACTGAGAAACAACGAGGGCACCAATTTGGGTATCGCTGGCAATATTATCTACGTGTTATATCATGAATGGTGTTTATCAATGGCAAAAGCAGAACACTATGTGCTCCCGCTTAGACGGTGGTGAGTTTCACAAAGTCGCTTCTCTCACGTTTTCGTATCCTAAGTATTGGACAGAACACCCACAGATTGCCTGCATATAGCTTAGGTGCTGAATATGAGGCTTTTGACGATTTTCCTGAAGACTTGTTCTCCAAGTATCTTCTCGTCTCTCATGGCGTGCGTTACAAACGAAGCAAGCATTGCGAGCACATATAAATGAAACCACTCCTATCCAATCATGAAATTGCGTATCCGAAGACAAACAACATTTATGTGCCCTTTTTCTCGCCCGGCATGAAAACGTCTGGCTTTGAGCATATGCGACCTTCTCAAGCGACGAAGGATCTAACAGACCACAAGTTGCAGATTTGTTTCCGTTGGAACCGCATCGAGAAAACCGCCTACATCAATGCCAAACATCTTCGTGTACTCAAAGATATGGTAGAACCAGTTGCGCTCAGGGAGATTGTAATAGTCGAAGTACCCGAATGCAATTGACGCCGGAAAGGAGATCACACAAGCACCCAAGGCAATTGTCTTTGGTTGCAAGAAGTATTCAGCGCATTTGCCAATATTGACGGCCATATCATGCATCTCTTGTGCATCGCAAGGGAACGGGAGGAACGGCGGCCGACTCCCCTCGGGAGCATTCCTTAGACAGCTCAGATATAGCATGTAGAGATTGCTGCAGAGAAGGACATGAGAGGTCCAGTACAGCAGGTGAATATGACCCGTCTCAAAGTCAGAAAAATAGATACTCGTCGGAGGGAACTTCTCCTGTGGCATGGCGTGGCTTGAATGAAAGCTCGCCGGTTGCTCCCAGTATAGCTTGGCAGGGTAGTCCCTTTTGTATGCCTCATACCAGGCCCGGAGCCGTCTAGAGAGACTCAAATATTCCTTGTAGATTGTAGATAGCCTTTGTAAATTCTGGGGAATATCTGACGTGTTATACGCCGAGTCAATCATCTGCAATAAAGCCGGAATCTCCACCATCAGGTCTAGTAAGTACTGTTTTGGTTCCTTCTTATACCCCTTCCAGGGAACAGACGTCCATTCTGGCGTTGCAAGGTAGGTGGGTTTCCTTGTTCCAATGCAATGGATCATCTGACGTGAAGCAAATTAGTCCTGTGGTCGTACATCAACATCGCAGAACGTACAGCGGAAAGCCGTAATCCGTCAAACAGTCTATGTCTTGCCGGAGACCATTCACTGTCCAGACCTTGTGAGTGAACCAATGAAAGGGCTCCGTGGGTATGGCTCGCCCAACCCAGGCCTCTGCTAGACGATCCTTCTAGAATCTGTAATAACGGCTTGCTGTTAGCACGGACACAACTACTAGTAGGACGGAAGCCCTGCCTCATAAATTGCCAAGAACATCATACTTGCTAGGGTCTCGTCTCGGAGGCCCCGGGTTCCATTTTGAATGGTTCTGTGAAGATGTCTCAGGGATTGGGAATATGATTCTGAGCTTATCCGAGTCAAACGGGGATCCTGGGAAATGCGACCCATTCGAGCCGCACCGAGTGCCAGCAAAGCCGACTTCAAACTCGGCTCGTCTACATCGAGGTCAGGGGTAAAGGCCATCCAGTCGATATAGCTCGACTTTCCAAAAACGTCTAGCCCCGTTTGGATGACGTTGTTATGGAAGTATGCGCCACAGTAATACGCAACAGCAGAGCGCTGCAGGGTAAGGGCATGGGAGGATAGCCCACGGCTGCACACGCGATGTGTGACCGCAAGGTCTGACTGGGCATCAACCTCTCGACCGTCGGAGCTGACTTCAGTGGTCGAGCTAGACTCTGATACCGCTTGACTGGAACGACCTTTCCTCTGATAGGACACATTGATGAACTTCATTTCGCGCGAATAGCCCGGACAGGAAGTGTTTCGCGACAGGCATTGACCACACGATGGTCGCTGTTCGTCGCACTATCGATATGATTCAGTGGGACAGCTCAGAATTAGCCAAATAATGCCACTCACACGCTTCTTGCGCCTCCGGCATGCATGACACCCTTTCGAGCCTCCTGCGATTCGTGCCATTGTATCAAGAGCAATGATATCAAGTGCTTTGTTCCACACTATTACGCACCGAACATAGATTGAGATCCAGATTTATTTCCTTCAGAAGATCATTTGTGACCCTTACATAGACCATATCGTGGGGCTGTGAAGGTTCTCCACGGGAATACGAGGCGCCAATAGATGCGGTGCCAAGGTTGAAGCACAGTCCAGAAACATTTAACCATTTGGCCGGGCGCAATACATTTCCTGACTAGGCATGGTTCATCATGACTAAAGCCTTGGCAGCTTCGTGGTTGGCGGCTATATATAGCGGTATATCATAGGCAGGCTGCAAGATATCATTTACATAGAAGTCACAGAACTTCATCATCAGTAAGCGCAAAACCTTTCTCGATCCAGTAGTTAGTAATTACGATGGTGCCTAAAGCTCAGTCATTCTACAATCTTGTTAACTCAACAATTGAACATGGCAAAAACGTTGTTACCTTAATAGATACGTAGTTTAAAACATACAAATGATGCAATCTCCAGTGCCTAACACCCCTTCACCAGCCCTCTGTAAATCACTTCATCTTTGATTCTCAACTATGGACCGTGTTGCTTCAGGTACTCCTAATGCCAGGCCCGGCTGGCTCCAAAAGCTATACAATGCCTTGGGATTCAAAAAAGGGTATAACCTCATTCTATGTATGTTCCATTCCGCGACCTGTGTTTGTGTGTGTGTGTAGCAACAAGAAACTTACCATGGGTCAGTTTTCATCTTCGGTGGTGCTTGGATGGGATTCACCCTCGCTCGTCTGGAATTCTTAGACTTCTCAACGTTCTGCGACAACGCAGCGCCTGGGGAATGCTTTTACTATAAGGGGAGCGGATACGTAGGACTATACCTGCACCTGGGTTGTATACTTCGTGTGTCTCTTTGCCCGGAATATCTTCAATCGAGTCGCTAATAGCATGTCAGCTGCTGCCTTCCTCGCCTTCTTCCAGTTTATCCCAGCCATCCGATACAAGGTTATACTATTCCACCGCATCAATGGATACATCATCATCCTACTCGTCCTGCTCTCCCATGTTGGGACATTCATGATTGCAAGACATGCCTTCGGAGGGCTCATTCCCACCCAAGCCGCCATAGGCCTCCTGGTAATCATATCGACCTGTGCCATCGGCATGGCCTACTACAATGTGAAGCGACTACAGCTAGAACAGCATCGAGCCTGGATGCTACGGGCATTCTTCTACGTAAGACCACTTTTCCCCAAACAGACAAACCTTCTCTGCGAACCTACTAAACATAGCCTTCTCACAGATGGGATGTATCATCACTGTGCGCATAATCCTCATCATATCGACGACCATCATCTCAATCTCACCGAGCTACTACATGGCCCAGCCATGCGAAAAAATTGACTTCATGATCGGAAAAGAACAAACACTCGAGAGCTACCCCGACTGTGTCAGCTTTTACAACGGGTCGCAGCCGGCCCAGAATGTCCTCGTCCTGGGCGACTTCAATGGCGATGCGGACAGAATAGGAACCGCCCTTAACATGAACTTCGGGATGGCGTTTTGGCTCGCCTTGTTTCTTCATGTTATCGGTGTAGAGATCTATGTAAGTTCAGCAGAGTCGATGTTCCCTCACCCAGAGAAACTGACTTGAATCGCTAGCTGCAACTAACTCCGAGAGAATCTCAACGGCTGCGTGAAATTTCCTATACTCGACAGTTGGAAGCTGGGTTCGAAAACCCTGGGAGGGCGGGTCTCACTGTCGACAAATTTGGTGATAGTGAGCCTTGGGTTTCTGGAAAGTGATGTCGATGATTATTGCCCGATAACTTGATCCATCTGCTGGGTTATCTAACCCCGGTGAATTGGGTATAGCCCTTTATTGAGTGAGCCGCACTTGGTGAAGTTGATGCTCTTGGCTTTCTGCGACTTTATATATGAAATTGTCTAGTTCCCTGGTATACAATAGTGTCTTGCTGTTAAACTATCTAGTCGCTATATATGTAGTGTTTGAAAACATAAGGGAGTATCAAATACCAACAATTGACGCACAAAGAGACATGCATGTGTAGAGGCTGGTACAAGCTGCGCACTGAAGAGCCCGAGGATGTTTTGGACTGTGCTTCACCATTGTGGGTCAATGGGACTCAAGTAATGGGATAAAGTCACTATAATTGGTGATACTCTAACCGTCTTTCTCGTAGTCGGCCGATAGCATTCAGACTCGAATTTCTTCAGGAGCCCATGAAAATGTGAAATCTGGACAGGTAATAACACTTTTCTCCTTTGACTGTCTTCCCTGCAGGTTGAGCAATTCATTAACAGAATGAAATAATTTGATATGAGCCTGAAGACCACAAAATACTTAATGAAACATCCGGCCTTCTACCTTCACAACAGGGCCTTCGTAAACCTTCCTCGCAACCAGCCAGTATAACACCGCCGATAATCCCATGACCCCGACAAACAGAACCGGTGCCCAGTTCAGAGTTTCCGTAGTGACTTCGCGGTTCACAGGCCAAAAGCTCCAGAAGAATGCCCATGAAGCATACACTAGCGCCAGTATGTTTATTGGCATTCCGAATCGACCAAGCGACCAACGGGAAGGGGGTAGTGGTGGGGACTTTGTTATGCGGCGCACAATAACACAAGCAATGGAGATCGTATATGTAGCCATGAGAGGGCTGGTAGAGAGTGATAGCAAGGCGTTCATTGCGACACCGGAACCAATGTTGATCAGAAACATAATGAGTGAGAAGGCGCATGTCATGATGACTGAGTTGACGGGGATATGGAGTGTCGGGTGGACCTATTCACAATATCAGCCATAAATCCAGCAACTACCGCAACTAATGAAGGACTTACAACTCCAAGCCAGCTAGAGAAAGGTAGGCCATTATCACGAGCGAAGGCGAAGGTCTGTCGCGAGGCTGACGCTATGCAGCTAATAGTGATCATGAAGAATAAGAGGAGGATGACCACCACTAGGATACTTGCACCAGTTACATTCTTCGTAGCCTCCGAGAACACATGGATAAATGGTAGAACAGTAGGAGAGTCCAGGGCTTCTTGCACGTCGAGCATTGTAAATAGATATGCCAGAACTAAACCAATGGCAAATGGCATATTCAGGAAAAATGACAGTATCATTGATTGAGGAACTGTAATACCAGCGTTTTCAATCTCTTCCGCTGTAATATGATTAGCTGCCCATAGGCCACCTTGCTAACAAGAAGAACTTACACATATGTGCAACCGAGTCAGAGCCTGGTGCAGGACAGAATCAGCAAAAGCCTCTTAAACCCCCATAGTTAGGACTCTCACCCATAACAGTAAACATTTGGGACACCTGTCCTATCATCACTGCCAACGATGGACTCGCCCATCCAGCTCCGTAATCCTTAAACCCGAAAAATACGTCCTGTGTCTTTGCCTTGGGTGCGAGGACGAGTAGCGTGACTATAATTGGAGCAAATGCAAAGAAGTGGAAGGTGACAAAGATGCCCTCTGCAAGTGGAAGATGTTTTGCAGCAAATATATTAAAAAGACTCATTCCAATTGATGCTGCAGAGACAATCAAGGTTCCTTGCCAACGAGCCGGGACATACGTCTCATTGTTCAAGAAGATCATGGCCTGTATCATTGTTCCGGTTAAATAGGTGTCAAATGCCACCACGCTCTGCCAGGCGAGTGCCGAAAGCCATCCTATGATAAGCACGTGTGTTAGTATACATGGTCAGTTTGATTATATCCACAGCTTTAGAACACGTACCGGAGGCATAGCTAAGAAACTTTTGATATTTCCTGGGAGCGAACTCAGACACCCACTAATAAGGAGTTTTAGCTTCACGCTTTCTATCGTCCGGGATGGACTACCTACATGGTACTGGCCACCTGCGGTAGGCGCCCTATGTGCGCAACATTAGTCCTTCTGTCGAAACCCACACTGCCGTACTCACATGGAGGACATTTCAGCCAAAGAAAGGACTATAAAAGCTGTCCGCAGTATGCCCAAACCAGCGACCAAAACAGACATGGTCGCCCACCTGTCCTCAGGCCCTGGGAGGTTGATCTGGCACCAGATTAGCTAGTTCCTGGCAAATATAGGTGTACCTACGTTAGCACATTCTCCCACGTTCCCATGATGCATGTTGTGAAGCCAACGGTACTGATAAGCCGGAAGTTTCTCTTTCATGCATTAGTACCGTACCTTCAAAGGTGCCGGTAGGCTGGATGCAAACCCTCATTTCCTGCTTTTTACCCATCCGATGCATGTCTCTCTGGTCGTTCACCGTGAATCCATTTCTGACGCCCTTCGATACACCTTCAAGACATTCCCTCGCATCAGGTATTGCCTCCACATGTGGGGTGCGGTCCGAGCCGACTTCTTTCAGTTCCAATTGCTCGTTAGCCATAATGACGATGAATGATACAAATTCACAGATCTGAGAAGGTTGACAGATTGTGATGGGAATTGTGCTGGGAAATTGAAGAATGGGGGACTCCTACGTGGCGTCGATTTGGCCCCCTGCGGAGGGTACGTAAACAAGAGCACAGTGTCACATCTCCATTGCATCCCCGGAGGTTGTACACGGACTGTAGTGGGTTTACTCTGCGTCCAGGGTGTGGAAGTCTCGACATCAATTGGAACATCTCCCAAGCTACCCAATGGCCTCTCCGGTGGCGCATAGCCTGCATAACGTCACAGTTAGGTTTCAGGGATCACGCACAAAGAATTCCCCCCGTGGAACCTTTCGCCGTGCGAGGCCTCTTTAAGCGTTCTAAGTAATTTGAGTCCCGATCTGATAGATCATACGCTTTCGAGGTCTGCCTGCCTCTTGAGGTTATTTCTTGCTTTATTCCTGAAGGTACGGCTTGAGGCCGTCATCCCTATTTCCCGAAAGAGCCCAGGAGGCATAAAACCTCGAGGTTGCACACATCGACATGTTAGCCTTCTAATATAGCCCTTCGACTGGGACCATTTAATTCTGCGCCTCCTATATGCGCTAGGGGCACGTTACTACCTTGCTCAGACCAGTTCCAGCCCCGCCCCGATCAGTTCTCTTAAACCACTTTGAGGATAATGTCCGACCCTTTGTGAAACCGGATAATCGGAAATCAAGAATACGCGATTTTGTCCAAGGGAACCGCCGCCGTCGGGTACAGCATTCATACACCATTGCGAGAGTCCAGGATCCCTTGTCCGCATACCGAACCATTGGAAGTGCCTCCCTTAGGGCTCTCTTGATAGTCAACATGCCTCTCCTCCAGTATCATAATTACACTTGGTTGCTTTTGTTCCAACTCGAATGACTTTTTCCGGCTATGAGGACCACTCCTCTATGGAGATTACGTCCAATAATCATGTCGCAATCATTGTTATTGCCGCAGTAGTTGGGTTGGTATGGTCGATATTGATGATTGTAATGAGAATATACTTACGATTGCGTCTCATTCCTCCCCTTGGCTTTGACGACGCCGTTGCTGTTTTTGGAACGGTACATACACACTCTTATCTCATCTCATCCGTTTCTAATATATAGACTAACCTATACAACCAAAGATTGTGGGCATAGTGCAGACCTCAATAACACTTCACGCTGTGCACAACGGCATCGGCAAACAGGAAGACTTACTCTCGCCCAATGACGCTGACACCGTGATAAAGGTATGCCGTCCTTTCCGTGCCTTACAGGATATGATAATCCAGCCACTAACTGTGGGGTGACCGGGTAGGGTATATACATTGCCTGGTTGCTTTACCCCATCGCTGTCTGTTCCTCTAAAGTATCTTTGGCATTACTTATCGCGCGCCTTACAGTGGTCAAGGTGGAGCTTCGTGCAAGTTATGCCCTCGCCGGAATGGGCGTTGTCTGGGGGATTGTTTCTGTCATTGTGGCAGCGACGCAGTGTAAACTGCCGCAGCCATGGAACATTGGGGTCTCTCATCAATGCGATACCATGGTATAGTCCACATCCAGTACTTTCATACAAAGTGCAGTATAGTGTTTCTAACCTGTCTCATGGTCATGAAGTTTGTGCGCTGGACCGTGATCGAGACGGGAAATATGTTGATTGAGCTGCTAATTCCCGGCCTCATCATTATGTTGCTTTGGAATCTTCAGGCGCGATTCAAGACAAAGCTTATAGTCCTGTTAGCCTTTTCAGTTCAACTTCTGTGGGTGGTTCAACCCTAATTCCGCTTCTCTTCGTCAAAGATGTTCATATCACAACCTCTACTAACACGATCCGACACCATGACTCCAATAGTGTCGCAATCCCAACAATATTCCGATTAACACTCCTCTACGAAATGACGACAAGAGACATTCGTAACGACCGCACTTTCGCATTGACTAATGCGGTAGTGCTCACTGAAATCACGATGCACTTCTCCCTTATGGCTGCGACCTTTCCATGCCTTCGCAAATTCCTGCAGGCATTTGATACCAATCTAGGCGCAACCACGCATATGACTACTAGGCTTGACGTCACAGGCGACACTGGTTCAAAGGGAAGTTACGCGCTTAAGTCCTTAGAACGGCCCTCCCAGGGAACCGGTGGCAGCATCGAGCAGTGGCCTCGAATTAACCGCCGACCCGGTCGCAAATATCAACCACACACTGTGGCAGCGATTTCGGCGGGGAAGGACTCGAGTCCTCAGGCACATGGGGCTGGGGGAGGGGAAAGGGAGCGCACGGGCAACCATGATATAGAAAGTGGGAGTGTAGAAAGCGACAATAGCCAACTTGCCATAATCAGGCGGACGCAATATTGGGAGGTAACGATAGAGTCGGGAGGAAAATGATACAGACATATACTACTGGCATCTGACGACTCTGACCTGCGTTAAAACCTACAGTGTTTCGAGCGTTGTGTTACAGTAGCTTGGCTTGCATAACTCGTGAATACCCATCTCTATTCGTATATTTCAATCACGTACATAGTGTCCCTTAACCAAGCCATACGTCCGGAGCAGTGTTTTAGTGCCCAAACGAGGTGACTGTAGCAGCCTTGGCCTCATCACGATGCTCCTTCTGCCATTTCTTGGAGTAGCCCACACCAAAGCCATCGCTGAAGACTTCACGAATGGCTTCCAGAGGCATGCCCTTGCATTCCGGGAAGAAGAACAAGACAAACACCCAGCCAGTGAAGCAGATGCCAGTGTAGAATCCAAACGCGCCGCTCGGCGTGATGCCCTTCATCATGGATAAGAAGGTGGAGGAGATGATAATGTTGGTGCTCCAGCAAGTAACCGTGTTCTGTTGCGCAACTGTTAGTCATCATTTCGAATATGAATTCATGTTGGGGCAGGGTGTCAAGAGGAAAGGGGATCAGTGGGAAATAGAGAAGGGAGGACAAACCATCATTGTCCCGATAGCTCGGACTTCAAGTGGAATCAACTCGGTTCCAATCCACGCAATGGTCGCAACGCCAGACGAATAGCAGGCAACATAACAAATGATAGTCACCAGGACTACAATTCCCGGCCAGCCAACGTTATCGGTTTCCACTTCCAACGTTTGCAGGTTCACTGGAATATAGTGGAACGCGACCGAGGTGATGAGCATACATATAGCCATGCCAAGCACGGTAGTGGTCAGGATAATTCGTCGTCCAAATCGATCCACAACCAAGAGGTTGACGACCGAGAAGACAAAGTTGGTTCCTGAGACAGTGATACCGACGGCTGTGGGGTTGTTGAATCCAACGATCGAGAAGAGCTTGGCCGCGTAATACATAAGCGTGTTGAACCCTCCTAATTGACTGATGGCCATGACGACGCATGCAGTTAGGACGGCACGACCCGTTGATGGCGTCGTGAAGACCCGTTTAATCGTCGCCCAAATTGTGTCTTCGGACATCGCATGCGTTACTTCCTGAAGCGACAGCTCGATCGATCGGATCTTGGCTTCGCGCTGTTCCACGGTAGACCGTGGGTAGATGCGCCTGAGGACAGCATCTGCGCTTGCATTGTCACCACGTGAGACCAGCTGACGAGGCGACTCCGGACAGAGGAAGAGGAGCGCAGCAAGTGCCAGGGGCGGTGCAGCTCCTATCCCGACGGTTGCGCGCCACGCTTCTCCCTCCACCTGTGCGAAGCCGGCTCCAATCGCGCTCGCGAGTAGCTGACCAAAGGTAACGCTCATGTTGTTGAATGCCACCATACGGCCACGGTATTTGGCCGGGGCTATTTCACCGACTATCGATCGATTAGTATGCCAGTCAGTGTAGGTGAATAACGAGAAGGGACGTACTATACAGGGGGACCACCATGCAGCGCTGCCGACGCCGAGGCCCACAACAAATCGACCGACCGCAAACTGAGGCACAGAATAAGAAGCTGTCTGAAGCACGGTTCCGAGCACAAAAAGAATACAGGCCCCCCAGATGGGCCAGCGGCGACCAAAGCGATCGGCCGACAGACCAGCTCCGACTGCGCCGATCAAAGCACCACCGCTCGTCAGTGAAGTGACGAGTTCCTCTTCACTGGAGCTCAAGGTATGACCGAGGGACGTTCCAATGGTCACCAGTACCGAGGAAATATAGCCGGTGTCGTACCCTGAGAAGGAGATTGTCAGTTCTGCCTTTGCGGTGCTATGCGACAGACATACCGAAGAGAAGACCACCAATTGAGACGGTTATGGAGATCAACCACGCGGCCTTCGAGGCCGCTGTGTCTTCAATGCCACTCAGCTCAGAGACATCCTGGAGACGTCCCTTTTCAGCATCTATTGTGTCAATGTGCTCCACTTGCTCTGCCTTTTCTTTCTCGTACGAATCGTCCTCGCCACCGTACTGGTTCGGGGACATGATGCAGAGCTCGGTGTGGTTTGATCCAAAAATTTCCAAATATGAACAATTTCACTAAAAGAAAAGAGTAACTGATCGATTGAGGTGGGTAGTGGAGAGACTCAGAGATAGCGCTCCCATGTCAGAAATGCCAGATGGAGTCTGGGGATGCATGAAGCCTTATAATTGTTTGGTTGATAGACATCTAGCCCCAGACTAGTTGCGCTCCATTCTTCCCCACTCCCCCAGGCCCGTTTTACCTTTCCCCGTGGGGTACATATCAAAGGCCAATCATGTTCCTCCGATCGAGCAATGTCGAAGAGCCCAGCCAAGAATGTCTCTCTAGGCTGTGGCACTGCTGGAGATTCAATAACCGATGGGATGCATAACCGACAGAACCGGGGGCAGATCGTTTAGCCACGCGGAATAAATTACTCTCCTGGTGGCGCCCAGGCCTCAACTGACTTTTAAAGCGAATCCAAGACGCCGTAAATCCCCCAGATTGACTGTTTCTCCGCATTGATAGGCGTCTGGGGTCAACCTTAAATCCCTGGCAGCCCCACTCAGCCCCTTCGGGAGGCAATTCTTTCCAGCGGGATTTATTCCCTCTTTCACCCATTCTTTAGGTACAATCCTTTGAAAACCAGTGGACGCCAAGCCTGTATCCGTGTGGGATTGTCATGTTGCAAGTTTCCCCGAGCAGTTCGCCGCATCCCAGGGTTGCCGACTGGCTTCGGGACGTTCCAGACAAGCCAAGACGGCTTTCTCCTCACGTTTGTCCACTTGCGGCCAGTCAGACCCGATGCAGATACGATTGGGAACTTATACAAGACAGCATGACATCATTGGATTATCTCTTCTATTGACGTATCTCTGCTAAAAGTGGGTATCGAGTGGACCTTGCCGGGTACAAGTGGGTATGTGAGCAGGAATCCAATCACAATTCCCTCGTGAGTGATAACACACTCTCATTGCCCTTGGTTAAACCACATACTCGGGCGCGGTGTGGCCATTTCAATCATATACTCCTTTCAAAGAGCACTCGACTTCTGTCCTGGACGTCTAGGCACCTTGGCGACAGATCACTGGCAAATCAGGTTTCCAGCAGGGTAAGTTCCTCCGCGTGGCTCTTTTCCCATGGGAAGCTCTTCTCAACCGCCCGAATAAGACGCTCGTGTTCGGGGCTACGGACGCAAATGCTCAGCTCGAATGGCACCGGGTGACTGATAACTCCTGTCGAAAACTCGGGAGTAACGGGGACTTCTTTTCCATCTCGAACCGCATTGGTAATGTTGAACACGGCCAAGCACCGCGCCACGGCAAGATAAAGATTGGCATCAGCGAGATGCTGTCCGGGGCAAATCCGGCGCCCGAATCCGAATGCGAGTAAATGCGGATCATATTCTGGTGTTCGCCCATTATCGCTCAGGAAGCGCTCCGGCTTGAACTCGAGCGGGTCGTGGTAAAGGTCTGGATCATGAGCAATGGCCCTGTATATGTGAGGTATGTCAGCGGACAGCAATGGAGATGCAAAGATGGCTAACGCACCAGATGTTCGGGACCAGGATCGCGCCCTTAGGAATGAGGTAGCCCTCGTATGTATCGTCCTCGCTTGACGCATGAGAGACCCCCAGTGGAGTCACCGGATGCCATCGAAGGACCTCCTTCACCACGGCATTGATATATGGCAGGCTTTCACAGTCAGACATTTCCGGTAGACGGCTCGTTCCCACCACACGGTCAATTTCCTCCTGGGCCTTCTTCTGCACCTCCGGGTTCAGCACCATAGCCTGGAAAAAGCATGCTAATGACGAGACACTCTAGAGTAAGGGTTAGCTGCGAACACACATGAATCGATTAGCCGGCGGATGTACTGTTTCAGCTCCTCCACCGTAGAGCGACTGTGCAGACCACTTCGCCACGATTTCTTCCTCGGAGCCTGGTTCGACATGGCCTTGCTCCAGAAGACTCGACACATACGAAGGCACATACTTCTGCTGTTTAAGCTGTCGTCGAACAAACTCGTAGGGCACGTCTCTCATTGCCGTCACCCTTTTCTTGTATGCCTTGGCCGTCTCTTGCCACCCGCTACCGGGAAACCAGCTGGGTAGGTATTTTACTGCATCTGGTCAGTACACATTCTGACAAATAGCGTCGGCTTCATACATATGGGAATGAAGTTGACCAGCCAAGCCCCAGGAAGGACAAGTTGCGAAAAGTCCTCCATCCCCTTATCGACCAAGTCAACCAGGGGGTCACGCGCATGTGACTCAGTGATATAACCGTATCCGACTCTCAGGATAATCGAACCAGCTTCCCTAGACGCAGGCGATGCTTTAGTGGGTCGATTCAAGTCTGAATGCCGAACAACTCACTTCCTGATGTGCTGGATAAGATCATCCGGGTTGTCCAGTATACGGAACACCAGACGATGTGTTTCCATGTCGATGATATTGTGGTATTTTGAAATCGAAGCGATAGTGCCCATCTCTTGGTGCAACGCTTTCCGATAGGCGCGGAACCAACTGTTGTACGGCAGCAACCCCAATGTGTCCTTCCAATCCGTTCTAGCAAGCCAGTTAGCCATATATAGCTTTGGCTTTCCAGAGTCTTTGGCTACCGCACATTTCTGCGATGGGCAGGTGAGGCCTGGAGGAGTGCAGCCCCGAGCGCTTCTCCATGAGATCCACCACGACCTGATGGTCGTTTATGATGACGAGTGTTTGTCCAAAAATCGTTACCGAGCTGATTGGCCCTATTCAGAGGTTCCGGGATTAGTACTTTGAATTCCAGTATTTCCGACTTGGATCATCGTGTTACCATAAAGCGCCTTATGCTTGAGCCAGTGCAACCAGTCTGGCGTGCCCGGTGACGGCAAGTCCAGCAAGTTGCCGATGATGGGCTTTGAAGGAGGGCCTGGTGGGAGCCTCTTTAGTGTCTTCCACGCCCCCAGACTCCATCGGACTATGTAGAGGCCAGCGAGGCCCAAAAGAAGGCTGACTACCAGCAACATGGTGACTACAGCCTGCTCCAGTGAAGTTGAGTGGCACAGCCCGGGCTCATCCCATTCTTATGGGACTCCCTTGAGATGAAACAGGGCTGCAGATATCCCCCTTCATTCAGCTGAATATGCGGCGGTAACCATGACCAGGGGGGGTTACATCGCCTCTACAATAATCATCTCTCGCAACACAGTGATTGGTTCGATCTAGTGCTTAGTGGAGCCAGTGCTCTGCAAGATATTTGAAAAATGCGCATGTATTCAACCAGGGCCTGAGTCTTGTTTCGCTTATCTACCGTGCTTTACGCCACGTCGTGTATTAGCGTCTCTATGATTCTTGGTTCATCTTTTTCTTTGTTTCCGTCCCTTATTTTACCTAGTTTTTGGTGGTATAAATCATGACCAATCCATTCCTGTCAAGAGTCCCAACACACGTCTGTGGTATGAAAGGTCGAAGTACAAGAGACTGAGCTGCAACAGTGCATTGACGAGCGTTATGTGAAAACTTTCATGGTTTATACACATTCCTCATCTGCCAGAAAAACCTTCAAGATGCTAGTATGAACCTAATGTGGCCCCTGTCTATGCGGCCGCAATTGATACGGGATGGTCAAGCCGGTGTTATTCGGCCTTGATCGTCTGACACAACCTAAAATGTCACTGACGAAACGGGCAACGAGCAGCCCTGTATCCGCCGTAGTAACCTCATTTCGTCTGGGGTGTAAGGATTGTGGTCGTACGAAAAGCCCGGCAATACCGCAAGGCATTTCAAGCCTCCCAGTGCATCATAGACGGGCCGACAGACATGAAAAAGCCCTAAGCCGCTGATATCAGAGGCTACAATTGAGGTTCTATTACCCGGTACAATACCCACGAATCGCGAATCTCCAAAGAATAACAAGAACAGGAGAACCATGACCTGTATTTGGGGGGCAACAGACTGCGGTACTGGTACTGTTGACAAGAGCCGACCCATCCCTTTCTTCGCCAGTACCGCCGACGTAATCTGGATTGCGTTGTACCACTCACCGTGAGTGCAGACTCGGCGCTGTCGTACAAGGGGCGTCCTCTGTCTTGATTCCCTTTGATTACTTGTTCTTTTTTGTTTATGGTTTCTTTTTTTTCTGCACGGGGAGAAAAAGGCAACGCTGCAAAACGCCCTGCATAACCTCCAGCTCCACCCTCTCGCGAATCTACCAATCAAAAGCTCCCTCCCTTCTTCGACCGCGTTTCCCCGATGGTGCATTTCTCCGTCGCACAGGCCTGCTAGGGGGGATCCACTGTCCACCGTAGCCTGTATAGAGTGCCAGGTCGTTGCCCTAGTGCCACTATTGCCACGTATGGGCGCATTAGGCCACATACGGGTTAGTGCGGGAACGGCCCGAGGCTGAACTCTCCACAGTCTGGATGGAGTGTTGCAAGACATGAGCAGATACCTTGGACATTTTCACATCCCAAATCCCTTAATATATATACAGTTGAATATCTTTTTTATAGTTGAGTGTAGTATGTCAGTGTACACATCACTCATCTGCCATCCCTTGGATCACAAGCCTCGTGCTCTATATGTAACCTGTATCGCGATATATATATTTCGCCATTAAATCACTTTACTGACTAATATAAAATCACGTCTAATTGATAGTAGAATGTTCGGTCAAGACACAGTCTCCCCCGAATGTTGAACATAAGACTTAGATACAAGCACTCACCTATTCAAAATATCCATACGTGAACAACTGCTATGATCATGGTGCTCACAATCTATGCAATCTACAGACTTGAACTACAGTGACGTGATACATGCCAATAACTTATACAAGGCCACGCCCACAAAACCACATACTTTTGGGAACTGAGTGAATATCAGCATAGCTTAAATATGAATAGAGGAGTCTTGCTACAGGGGTGTTGCTTTTTTTCAGCAGATCGCTTTTAGAGCTTTTGTGAGGACATGCATTCCAGGTGAAAGTTTATCTTGATAGGTTATTCGTACGGATCAGTAAAGTGTTGATGGCACTGCATATCAAACTTTAATGGCTCTGTGCTGTGCAAGTCATCGAGCTGCAATATAGCACAAAAGCTAATGGGAACCGGGGTACAGAGTCGGAACGATACAATCTAGCATAGGGGCATTGCTGGTTTACACAAATGGAATGAAATCTATGGCACCGAATGCTGCGAAACAAGGCATGACTTGGATGACACATACACCCGACATACTTACCGGATTGCTGTCCTCGTTAATTGTTATACGATAACAGAGCTGCGTCGACAAAGATTGCACTTTACCACGGCTCGCGAATCAGAACTTGTACTCGTCAAAGGCGTCAATGACACTTTGGATGACCCCCGACCGCCAGGTATCACGCTCCACCGTTGTACTCTCAAGACGGAAAACCAAATTTGCGGCCGAGTCTCTCTGATATACTGGCCATTGTATCTTTAGATCTGGCACTACATGCAGTAAGTAACCTGACTGGGAGAAGCAGCAGCAAAGTAACTTACACTGGTGATTGTTCGGCGATAGCGTGCCTACAAAGCTTAACCACATACGGGCCACCCTGTGACTAACATTTTGTAGTTGGCTCTGAGCTTGGCTATCGGATGAAAGGAGAGGAGGAACCGTAAACCCGACTCCTTCGGAGTTGCTGAACACAAATGCGATATCCTGGAAGTGTGCGGCACCGAGAACCTGAGGGGACACACCATTAGGAATAACCGCAAAGAGATAGCTATAAACGGGTGTCCCGGATTCAGCCCACATTTGAGCACAATAGCGCTTGGGGGCATTGATGAGGTAGTCTCCAATGTAGAATGTGCTATAGCCATACAGTGAGCCATACTTCGAACTAGGGGAGATGAGAACTGTTCCCAAGTCAGCTCTGACTTCCCGGATGGGTAGCTGAAGATATCCATCCACTATTCTATCAATGGTGTCATTGGCAAGATACTTCCCGGCCCCGAACCCGGTGATCACAGCTCTGAGCTCAGCCCCCGTGTTAACAGAACCGAACATGCCGGAAGCGATATATCCTGTCCCCTCGTTCAAGTTGGACCCGATCAACAATGGTACTTTCACAAACCTTCCCTGCTTGAGCGCGTTTGAGGGAAAGTCAGTGATGAGTTTCCCGTCCACAACGGGGAAAAAGAACTTTTGCTGGAATGCAGCCTTGAGTGATTCCACTGGTGCTTGTCGTAGGCACTCAATGGTCCCTGTTGCGGCAGTACACCCAGTAGCGTTGAGGACATCTTGATACATGCGCTCCTGTTCATCCAGCGGGATGAGCGCAGCTGAACTGAGGGGAGCACCGCTCTGAGTGATAGCAGCGCGAAAAAGTCCATCGTCACGTCCACCATACGCTAGAAGATGGTATCCGACGGACAAAGCTCCACTGGACTCTCCTTGAATCGTGACGCGAGTAGGGTCTCCGCCGAACGCGGCAATGTTCTCTTGGATCCAATGTAGCGCCATGCGTTGGTCGTATAGGCCAAGATTCGCGAGGCCCGAATCATTGAACGTGCGACCGGACAAAAATCCAAAGCCAGAGACTCGATAGTTAAAACTAACTCCGATCGTTGGAGTGCCCATTGCGACGGATTCCTGGACGAGAAAGGACATATTGTAGCGCTGGTCTGCGCTACCCCCTTCCTGTAAGCCACCGCCATAGATGTACACCAGCACAGGGAAGCGAGAGGAAGAGGTCGCTCCAGCAGGACGGACAACATTTAGAGTCAAGCAGTCTTCATCTTCTTCGTGGTGGAACCCATCCTGCGTGTAGCCTGGGAGAGAGAGAGGCGCGGAGTGGCACCAAAGTCCGTAAGAATCTACCTGCTTCGGGACTTTCCACGACTCATTCAGCGGCTGTGGTTGTTTGTATCGTAAATCCTGGACCGGGGGTTGAGCGTAAGGGATCCCAAGGAAGAAGTCCTGATGGTATCGGGCATTGTGGACACCAATCAGGGTTCCATTTCTGACCGCGGCGATGGGTTTCACGCTGCGACCATTTCCGTGCCACGAGGGGAGTAGCAATTCTATAAGCCAGAAAAAGGTGATGGTCGGAGACCACGACCACATGTTGAACGGTTATCGTGTCGCTTGAAGTTCTGAGTCGACTGACGTTCGATCCAACGGACGCATACATTCCTGCCAAGCAAAGTATGTCACATGTTTTCCCTGTATGTTTTCAATAGTTCATGCAGGAATATCAGCCGGCATCAGCACTCCGTACTTCCGGATAGAGACAGAAGAGTTGTGGAGACGGAGTACAGGCGTTGCATGGGTCAGCCTTTGAGATCGTACTACGGAGTAATGATCAGGTTATTAAATTGGGCCAAAGGCGAATGTTATAGTACGCAATGAGGGAAAATTCCGGTATCAAATATTCAAGTGGATTATCACGCCTAAATGAAATACCTCGATTACACCCTCATTATTCCCTCCGTCTGTTCTTGCCCCGTCCGTGTGATGTCGCTGGGAAGTAATGGATTTCACTAAAGAAATTAGGCAGACAACCCCAATGCCATGGATGCCTAAATCATGTGTAGACGGTAGGCACTAGATTAATTCTCAGGACTGAAGGAATCTTGGTCGATCGACGAGCTTGACCTTGTTGGGAGATAGTCACAACATAAAAGCTGTTGTTTATTGGTTGGTATACGCCACAAGCACGCAATAAACCTTGCGCATGTCGTGCAGAACACCGCATATAGGTGTGATCATCCTTCACGTGTACCTAGTATCATGTTATAATGACTGAATGGCCTCATCCCAAGGGCACTGGTAAATGTTCGGCTTCGAGGTGTGCAGCTAGAGCAATGTTGTCGAGGCGAGGAGCGCAATGGGCAACAATTGATTTTGCTCATGGGGAGCAAAACAGCTATAACGCTGCCACTAACTCAAACGGTATTGTTAGCTTTGCTAATGCGGAAAATGTAAGGCCAGAGGCCACAAGGATCCGTGACTCTTTCCCGGAAGCCTATACAAGGAATGACATTGACGCGCAATAGTGGCTAATGCATGATGACCTTGCGGGTTTCATAAATGAACATGTAAGGCACCTTCCCGAACGAGGATCACCAGAAATACTGATATTTAGGTGTTAAGAACGACTTTGATAAACGATGCTGCGCTTACGGGGAAGGGTATACCGGCACATTGCGTCTCAGACGAGCGATGGCTGCGCACTTAAATGCTCATTTCCACCCTGCCAACAATATCAGTCCCGACGAAATCACCTTCGCGGCTGGAGTGACCTACCTTAATGAGGCATCCGCACTGATTCTTTGCGATCCGGATCAAAATGATGCTATCATGCTCGGACGGCCGGTATACGGGGCTTTCGCTAGGGATCTTGCCATGAGAACCAAGTTCGCAGCCCAAGAGCAGATGATGATCTCTGGCTAATGGTTTCCAGCATACACTTGGAATATGTATCAGTGGGTGATATGGATCAGTTCTCCCCATCTTGCATCACCAGTTTTGATGCCGGGTTCGAAGCTGCAAAAGCACGAGGAATCAATATAAAGGCTCTCATGATATGTAACCCGCATAATCCCCTAGGTCAGTCACACCCGCAACGATACTTTTGCCTGTATAACTGTTAAATATGTTACACCTGAGTAGGGCGGTGCTATTCTCATGAGACACTTGTTGGGTTGCTGCGTCTCTGTGCCTCGAAGGGAATTCATCTCATTAGCGATGAGATATACGCACTGTCTGTTTACGAGCGCCATGACCGCGAGTCAGAGACTTTTACATCGGTCCGAGCAATAGACCCTACCGGGATCATTGACTCGAGTCAGGTTCATGTTTTATACGGCATGTCAAAGGTAAGTGACGAGTTTGACCATAACTCTGGAGAAGGAATCTGTAAACATTCTCTTGCAGGACTTTGGAGCTGGCGGAATGAGACTGGGATGCGTCATATCCCAGAATGAAGAGTTTACGAGAGCAGCACGTGCTACCTGGCTAGTCACTCACTGTCATTAACGCGTTTCAGGGTAACTCATAATTTCACAGTCGCTTTTCGTCGCCATCCCAATTTTCCATGGATTTAGCCGCCAAATTCCTCGAAGACCAAGAGTTTGTTGCGAAGTTCCTGCAAAGGTCGCATCACCGTCTGCTCCAAAGTAGATTACTAGCGGAGGATCTCCTCTCCCGGGAAGGCATTGGTTATTCTCAGAAAGGGTATGATGTGACAAAGCTTGCGCTATCTGTTGTCTATAAGCCAATCTCTGATAATCGTCTAGGAACGCAGGCTTCTTTCTATGGCTAGATTTGAGCGCTTTCCTCCCTCTCCATGAAACTCATGGGGATGGCTGGGCTGCACAACGGCTGCTCACGGACCGCTTCAGCAAGGCTGGTGTCATAATGTCTACCGGTGCGGAATATCGAGCGCCAAGTCCGGGGAGATTCCGCTTAGTGTTTTGCGTCGACCCGGACACTCTGAGGGAAGGCATTAAAAGGTAAGACTCTCTCATTTCTAGAGTGCGATATTGCTGACGGAAGGCATAGAATTTCACGCGTTCTGGCACGGTGAGGACCTGCAGAGGTAGTAATCAGTCGAACTTTATGACCATAACTGGGAGAACAACTATTCTTTCAAGTTTTGATTAAACCTGGGTAATGGAATTGACGGTTTGTGGAAGATCCACAAACTCACAATTCCTTCTATAAAATATTTGCGCCAGAATGTTGACCGACAAGAACTTGGCCAGTAGCTTGGGATCAGTCTTTCATGGAACGAGAAATAACGACTAGTAAAAAGTGAACTTGGAAGGAATCCAAATCATCTCAAAAGCTTGAAAGTTGAGCAGTTCCGTTGTTTGGTTCTTTTGTGCTGTTTACGATGTTTGTTTCTCTGCACCCATGAGGGAGGAGACAGAAGCCCAATCTTAACTCCATCCTCATTGATTGACTTGTTCGCGGCTACTGTCTCGCTACACGTCACGACATTGATAATTCCACTGGACTAGATGGGCTAAACGGACCGTGCAGCACCGCTTATCCGTAATCGGCAAGGATATACTCGGTTGATCTTCAGACAAGCCGAACAGAGCCGATTCATGGTGGGCTGTCAGGCTGCCAGCACAATAATACTCGTCGCTATTTTCCAAGGGAGATACCATGTAATGTAACCTCTGAATCAATGGGCGATAATCCTGATATAAATCTCCACCGATTTGACTGCCGAGTTGCGAAAGCCAAAATATAAATAGGCACCGGACAACCCCGCCTCCCACCACCCAAACGCGACGAATAGACAAATCAAAATGTCTACCATAACAAGGCGGCCAACCTTCCTAATTATTCATGGATCATGGCATTATCCCGAGCTGTACGGTACCTTCTGCAAGGCGATCGAAAATCGCGGCGCGGAAGTTGTGTGTCCCCGCTTACCGAGCTGTAGCGGAGAGCTCCCCCGGACAACAAGCATCGAGGACGATGTCGCTCTGATCCGAGAGACCGCTCGGTCCCTGATTCAGGAGGGAAAGGACGTTTATGCTGTCATGCATTCATATGGCGGTATGGTCGGCACGGACGCTCTGGAAGGGTTGGGGGTCCAGCGTTTGATTTACCTGGCAGCATTTGTGCCGTTCGGTGGGAACAGTCTTGCTGATATGTTTGGTGGCTCTCTGCCCCCATTCATAGTCTGTGTAGGTTAATGATGTTTGCTGATCGAACGGTTGGCAGTCCTGGTTAGATGTAGTTTGCTGATGTACACTCTGTGCCAAATAGGATGAACAAGGTATGTCGCGGGTTCCCGAGGCAGCTTCGGTATTCTACCAGGATCTTCCCGACGACGAAGCCGCTTTCTGGGCGGAAAGACTCGTCCCCCAACCAATATCCGCACACCTCAACCCCATCTCCCACGAAGCCTATCGCGGCATCCCCGCCACATATATCTTATGTGAGGACGACCGGGCGATTCCCGTGAGCGCACAAGAGAGGATGATCGCAAATGTGCAGAGTGCGGGTGTGAGGATGGATGTGATACGGATACCTGCGAGCCATAGTCCCTTCCTGAGCATGCCTGAATCGACTGCCGAACTGGTGGTCAATTTGGCAGCGGAGTAATGTCTGGAAGTTCGCACAGTATGGGCGAAAATAGGGGAGAAAAATGTATGAAAAGAAGAAGAGTAAGGATTGAAAATAAAACCGACGACTTTTGAGACGGGAAGCTACACCAAGCCAAGAACTTGTTGCTTGGCCCTTTGGGAGACATCGCAAGCGCAGGGTTTGAGAAGCGGCAGCGTTGATAGCGCCTGTGCATGTAGGCTTAATAATCCTGAAGCGACGATTAACTCGCTAACTAGCGACCGGTTGTTCATGTAAGGAATCAGTGGCGGTATAACGCATTCTTCCTGTCCTTCCAGTTAATTCAATTCAATTCAATTCAATGATTGGGTTGGCGGCGATCGCGAAGTGTTGGGATCTTGGTTCCAACATTTTCATCTGACGCAGCTAACGCGCACATTTCCAACGCTCTGGCCCTGCTGCCCAATAACCACCAGAAGAGAGCATGCGAAAAGGCGGCTCTGGAGTAATCCGTTACCGACACAAAGGAAAGTAAACGATCGGAGATTTCGAGAGCGATCCACGACATGTCTTGGCAAGGTTACCGCTGTTTTGTCGGTCTAGAATATGCTTGCTCCCGGATGCGAGTTCTTGGAACCCAACGGTTTGATTTTCCTTAAATGGCGCCCATGTCAAAATGGAAGCACCTTAGTAGGCTGGTTTATGACGTGTCGCGTCTCTGATCACTCAGGAAGTGCTGATACACCGTGCTGGATTCTAGAGCAGGAACGGTACGGAGTACAGTGCCACGCCTGTTTTTTTTTTTTTTTTTTTCATTTTCCCTTCCCGCGGCAAAACAAGATAGTCAAACAATTTATCTGAACCCTACCGCTAGAGACAAAAATATCGCTGCGGCTCCGGCGCCTTTTCGAATGTTAGGCTAAAACTATAGCACTAATATATAAAAACTGTAGAAAGCCCCCGCGGACCGGACCAGACGAGGAACATCAGTTCTAACGATGGATTATCCAATTCTGGAATTCTTTACTTCGCTCGTTCTTTCTACCACTGCCATAGACAGTCATTCCACCACGCCCCACGCAAGCGGCGAATTAACCGAGAGCGACATTATATTTGGCATGAACGACGGCCTCTTAGAGATCATAAAACGGATATCTTCCCTTCACTGTCGCTCAAGAACCGGGAAAGTGAACAACTCCACCACGATTACGGAAGCTGTGGGCATATGGCAAGACCTAGCGACCTGGCAACCGCCAGAAGCCCTGCCCGGGGAACAATACCAAGAACTATACGATTCTTACACATCTGCACTTTTTACCTGGCTCTACCTCATTCTCCATCCCGACAGTATGTGCGACGCGAAGGTCCAGTCCATGGTGGAACAAGGTGTTGTGGCCATGTCGGCGATCACGGTTCTCGAACTGTCACCCTTTCTGCTCATTCCTCTGTTCATTCTCGGATTGGCCAGTATGCAGGACGAGCACAAAGACTTGATCAGCGGGTTGTTTGACCACATCGAAGAGCATACCGCGTGTGAAGAGGTGGACGTATATCGCACGATGGTCGAACGCAGTTGGGAAAACCAAGATCAGGGAATGCCGAGATGCTGGGAGTGGATCCAATGGCAGGACGCGGGCTCTGTAGGATGACAGTGTTTCTGATCAGACATTGCACTTGATGAAGCTGGATGGGATGTCGCTGTATCGTCCTTACAACCGCGGCTAGCGATGGATCCATCGGAAAAGTCGGCGGGAGGGCCCGACGAAAGAATCAAATTGAAACAAGTCCGACAAGAAGAAAAGGAAATGAAAACATGGAGTCGGTATAACGAGCGTATCATAAGTTGGCATGCTGTTACATACAAACACGATAATATGCAAATGATAGAAGGGTTCAATGTCTACCTTGACTGCGCATGAAGAAATGGCCCCCTCAAGGAACGTAGTGTATGAAGGAGCGCAGGAGTTGTAGCTCAGCTCACGGAGCTGCCATATCGGAAGGATGCACCGGTGACATGTGGGGAAAGGAATAGCCTATCTTGACTGCAACATAGCCCTCATGTGGGATAGAATCTGTCTTGGCAGCGTAAGGATCTGGATGTCAGAGACCCAATTGTATATAATGTTCGTTGTAACCTGGCTCTGTGAGAGATAGACCTACCCACAAGTAGACGATCCTGGCGAGAGAATGGGGATTCAAATTCTCAAAGACTGGCGCAAAGCGCGCTGACGGTGTTAAGTACCAAGAAACTGGCAGCAAGGCATGTCTCAGAACCCCTTGCGCAGATGACTTACGGAATACACACCCATCACATGGCTAATAAGGACAGGTGCGGTGCTTTTATTTGCCATGAGAGACACCTCTTCTTTCTGTGTCACAATGTGTAGCAGCCTCGCCTTTGTTGAGATGGTGTTCATGAGCAATAGCGACAGGAAGAACCCGTGGGTTGTAACACGGAAAACCAAATAAATCCGAGGTTTCATTTCACAGCAGCGAAGGAGCCAGTTGTCTATTAGAGGTGCCGCTGTCATGTAGCACCTATTACTAGTATTCAGGCTTGCTCAACTGGGTGGCATGTCTGTCTAACGACCATGCCGGCTAAGATGGCCATGGCTGAGAATCATCCATGGATCAGGCCACGTATAAGGTCGCATGCCCCAGATTGTAGACACTAAAATGACAGACCCACTGGAACAACTCATTACCATGTTCTTGACACTGGTGTGTTGGGGATCTGTGCTTCATCGGCGGGCGTAGATCCGCATGCCTAGCTTGCGACCAAAAATGTTTGAAGCGCGCTTTCCGCAAAAGACCTCCAACAATAATAGCTTATAGCGTGAGGTCTTGTGTCTATGCACGGGCATCTCGCTCCCCAGTCCCTCCACTGTGGAGGTGGGCTCGGTGGAGACGAGAACGGTGGTCTGAGACGCTAAAATGGGCTCATTTGTAGATTAGCAATCGTCCAGCCTTAATAGGCTGGAACCGGTCAACACTTTGAGTGACAAGCAGAAATAGCCTTGTATAAGTGTATAAGGACTGGATCTTGTACTCAAGAACGGTTTTGCTCTTTTCTGCCAGTGCCCCAGCCTGCAGTTAACGTGTGTCATCCGTGTATGTGGGCCAGCTGAATCCACCGATAAGCGCGGCTATTAAGAGACCAAATTTGGCCAATTAGTGGAATGTTAAACCTGCAGTAAACGGTTCATGGTTACTCCATACAGCGAAAATAGCTAATTAAGCTCAACCCTTCTAGGGTTCTGGAACGTACTTTTTGTCCAAGATCGTCATGTGCAATTTTCTACGTCTCTAGTGACTTTCATAGTGCAGCGCTATTAGGAACCGGTTCCACTGTCCTGGCCATGCAGGCCTTGACAGCTTTCCATCAACTGGAACATATTGCGAACTTTATGAGTTACATGATAAAATGTGTTCTATGAAGGTTTCACAGAGTCTTGTCGGCATCCAAATCATGTGGATAGTACTGAAGTTTCCTGAATATATGACTTGCGGATTATGCGTGTCATGCGCGATTTATGGGACGCTGACAGATGCATGGCATGGATGGGACCTACTGCAGAACCTAGCTGACAAAATCAGTTGCCTCCTAGTCCTATATTCGAGAAGCGAGACCTTCTGGCGCGCGCTATCACCTCCGTATAAACACTCGAGCCGTGATTACTGTTTCACGTCTTCGGGAAGCCATTCCTCACCATGTCTATTCTATGGCCCGTTATAGTCGTATGTCTCTCGCGCATCCCGCGTTTATGCAACTGCCCAGATCCACTATTAAAACTGTGCCTTCTTTATCAGCATCATTTATTCATGGACGATAGGACTTAAAGTACGAACAACGCCATAGTCTACATATCTACCTCCATCGCAAGATAGAGAAACATCGACTTATCATATATGCGCAGTAGCTGGCAACCCAGCGTACGCCCTAGTAGTTCAACACGGAGAGCCGCCCACCCACTACGATATATTGATCTCAAGTACAGCTGTCCTCTGGAGGTAACATCAATACTCAATCTCTAGCTTATGCATATACGCGGAGGACGAGTAGAAATAAGGGTCCTCAGCATTAGGAACCGCTGTTCACTAAACGATCTAGAGGGAATAAAAGTCCCTCCGCAGATACATAGAGAATAACAGTGCTCATTAGCCACCAATAGTATCCACCGGAGTAACGCGGAGAGAATTCCACCGTGGTTCGGCTCTGGGGAGTAGGGTTACGGTAACTAAGACAGTTGTCTGTGGGGACTAGATGTTGTTATGTCATACGAGCTCTCTGAGCACAGACCACTGATGAGGAAGTTGCAGCAGTGCGGAGACGGCTTGTTGCCCAAAGGTCTTGGGTCTGGAGCTAGTCTAAGGGACTAATGGGCGGCCGAGAGTAATGCAAATGAGTTATTCGGGTCATCCAGCACAGGTATTGATCTGCTTTGTTGGGCTCCTCCATAGCTGCCCTTATCACCCACCATTGGGGAAGGGCGACAGATCCATAATAAATTTCATTCGCCGATGGCCCTGTATGGATTTTGAAGGGGTTCGCACTTATGCGCTCTTGTTTTGGGGGTACTAATTTACGAAGATTGGGAGGTCCTAGCCTTTGGCTTACCTGGTGATATATTACCGAATCAAAACACGGGACAATGGCGAAATGGCGCATTATAGGCTTTTTTCGGGGCTGCCAACGAAGCATTCTATTTACATATGCAGATCACTACTCCAAGAAAGACACGTCCTGAAAATCAGACCCAAGACACAGTAACCCCAGTCTTGCCATCTACACACATTCAAGAACGGCTACTCAACCGGGACCTACGAGATTCCCATGCCCTGAAATCTGTGAACCATCCAACTCGGAAACAGTGTGGTGTTCTGGCAACTCGGATTTCGGTCTATTAGCCGGTGGCACTTGCGACATGCCATTGTTCGTGACTGGAATAGGTGGGATCTGAGAATCACCGATCTCTGACTTGGCCGAAGCAGCGTTGTTTCTCCGTGACCCACACCTGAACCATAGCCATGCAATCAACCCCAATAATACAATTGCGCCTAAGCATGCAGCGACGATGATTCCGGCCTTCGCACCAGGCGACAAATGCGCCGATATGGAGGCGCTGACCTGTATTCCCGAAGACGAGTCGGATGGGGTGGGAGGGGGTTGCGTCGATGTCGGCAAGTCAGTTGCCATGTGGTTGATCTGGATCATGGGAGCTCTAACAGTGTACGCAGAGATTGTGTGCGTCACCGTCACGGATTCGGATGTGGTGGCCGTGACAGTCGCCGGGACTGTTTGATACGTATAGCCATTGCTCGAGCCGGACTTGCATTGCACAACTGGGAAAGAGCCAGTAACGTAAACGGACTGGCATGTTTGATATTGATCCTGACCATCATGTCCACAGGAATAGCCGCTGTCAGGATTATTTTAGTTAAACTCAACATATGAATGTGTCTCCGAGAGTTACTACGATCGCATTGGGCAAGCTTACCTTGGACAACAGCCTACAGCAGTCTCACCGTCGTTCAACGAGTATTGAAACTTGAATCCATCATTTGACCCGCCCGTTGCCGAGCAAGCAGTCACCATCCCAGCAGGGCAATGTATACCGGGTGAATAAAAGCCCCAGCCGTTGAGGGCTACTCCTGTTGCGAGGCTATGATTGGTCCGGGGTGGCCAACACTCGACATCATCCTGCACCCCTTGGCGGTTAAAGGCATTATTACTGCATGTTTGAGCCTGCCAGCCTTGTGTGCAGGTTGGACACGCTCCTACAGCAACAGTACATGATTCCGGATAAGTAAATATTGTGGTTAGTGGTCCGAGGTTAGTGCGGAGGGATGTCATCGGCGTGTTTTGTGTCGGTAAGATCTTTGGAAGAGCGCGTTATCTAGGACAAGCATTCACTGTCTTATTTGGAATGCAGGAAGGAATAAGGGAGAGGACCACAGCTAAGCAAGACAAATTGACCTAATGATCAGGTTTGGTTCTGAAAACACGTATCTCAGACACTATGATCAATCTTGGTATCTGCACGGTTTGAACAAGAATGGCTTACTCGGCACACATGTAGCGAAGGCAAAAACAAGTTCCAGATTAAGGCGGGATTTAAACATCACCCCCTGTTGATCTCGCAAGACTCAGCCCTCCATAACACCGTAGAAACCCGAAGCAAGGGGGTAAACTATACGCAACTCATCATCCCTGCCAAGACTCAGCTCGGTTGATCGGCCTCATTCGCAGGGCTGGGGGGTACCTTAATGTAATACCGACTAGCAAGTAGGATGTGTGAGTGCAAGAGAAGCCAATTAGCCTTGCATGTCATACGCATGTACTGGAGTATTTTCGGATATTTCTGGCTTCCTTTTAGCTTTTCAATGCTTATTATGCTTAGCGTATCCTCCCTGGCCCCACTATTCCTCACCCTGTGAGTAGGTAGGTTTGGACATATCTCACATAGTCAAGGAGAGGTATTTTAGTTGATCTGCACTCTATTAAATCGAGATCCACGACCTACAATGTCGGTTGCATGTATCTGAACCCTATACGGACGACTAGTGTCAAGCTTCCCTTTCACCTAGCTATGTTTGTAGCTATTTTCGAGGTTTTTCGTCTTGCCTCTTTCGTATGAGCATAGTCTGCATAGGCCATAACTTTGCCTCTGATTGGTCTACCGTGGATTCCATGTCTGCTGTATATAGTATTTCTTTGACCAGAGATGAGACTTTCTCAAATGGCAGGTTTCTGGGACACGGGTTACTATTATATCTGTCAATTTGTCGTCCAAGTTTCTCTGACAATTATTTCCTTTCATTTCTATTCTACCTTTGTATTTTGATTGCTAAATGACAAAATGTTTGTATTTTGCTTGGATTTTTCTCCCTCTCTGTCGCCCTTAAGAGGATAAACTTCGTTAAGCTACAAGTGCATCGCTTTTTGTTCACCTTCAAAAGAGTCTCGAAAAGCGATCAATGCCGAATGACCACAAGACATCACTGAATACGTTGAGTATTTGCGAGCAACCAGAAGGTACAAGACAGTTGCGCCAGAAATATTATTTGATCTACAGTTGAAAGGGTTACCACTTATACTAGTATGAGCCGATAATAGCCGAGGGCGAGCTCGTTCTGTGGGACGATATGGACTAAGGGCTGCATAGCGTATCCAGTCAGTAGCTGTAGTGGGTCTAATGATTCAGTTATGCTTAAGTGGACTTTCTTCGGTTTTAACTTCTGAATTTCCAACCTAACCGAAGCTTTCGAACACCATATTGCCTGCAGATTAAGCGGTTGCCTTGTGCATACATCGAATACATAGGATTGTCTGCCACGGCGCGAACTTCTTAATACAGATAGTCCAAATCGATAGCTAGGAAGCAGAAAAAAGAGGTGAAACATTTTATTACTCATTTTTATGTACAGCTCCGCCTCTAGCCGCGCCATTTGTAAAGGATACAGGCTTTTACTTATTCTCGCCCGATATCGGTGTTCATACTCTATGCGAAGAAATCTGCCATGACTACAGTTGTTTTAGGGCTGTCTGTGCCTCAGAAGCTAATGGAATAGTTTTTTTTTCTCTTGGTGTTTGCTTGGTTGTAGACCAGCTAGTATACTAGACGTTCACTTCGAAAACGGAACCGGATCAGACCCAGAACCTCGATTTGGATAAGCTGCAGTAAACTGCCCAAGTCGGAAGATGACACAGAATGAGAACAAAACCCTTTCTGGGACGGATTTGGAAAGTGATCTCAATACCAGCTTCAGATCCCAGACATCTTTAGAAGCGAAGGCCGAGGACCAAGCAACCTTTGGATTGACTCAGGATGCCTTTGGCGACGAATCGAACGCTGAGGTGAAATACAAGGTCCTATCATGGTGGTAAGCATCAAAGCGCGAGGACTGGCATGTCTTTTGTTGGGATATGGCTGATAGTGGCCAATAGGCAATGTGGATTACGTCCGTCTCCCAACCCAAATTGCTTTATGCAAGTCAAACTGACCTATTGCTAGTCATGATCGCAGAATCGATATCCCTCGGCGTCTTATCCTTACCAGCAGCTGTTGCTACGCTCGGCCTAGTCCCGTTAGTGATCCTCTGTCCCCTACCTACAACAGCGACTTTGACTGATAATCTGGCGACACGATAAGGGCTGTTATTCTTATCATCGGCCTTGGGCTTTTGGCCACATACACCGGCTATGTCCTTGGTCAATTCAAGTGGAAGCATCCCCAGATTTCCAATATGGCGGACGCCGGTGAGGTCCTGATGGGGTCTTTTGGTCGAGAGCTATTGTGTGCCGGGCAAACACTGTTTCTCATCTTTCTCATGGCAGGCCATCTTGTAACCTTCACGGTCGCAATGAACTCTATTAGCGACCATGCCACCTGTTCAATGGCCTTTGGTGTGGTTGGGCTTGTGGTCTCGTTCATTTGTTCTCTGCCGCGGACGATGAAGAATATCTCCTGGCTTTCCATAATATGTCAGTGCGATTAACACGGGCACTCTTCATCTTGCATTCGATGCTAACCAAACGCTGGCAGCCTTTATAAGTATCTTAGCCGGCGTGTTCGTTACGATGATCAGTGTGGGTATCACAAAACCTGGCACTGGTGAAGCAGCAACGACCAAAACCAACCTATACCATGGATTCTCAGCAGTATCTAACATTGTATTCTCTTACGGTGAGCACCGCCTTCAGAACTACTCTGAGTCAAGTACTAACGCTAACATGTTCTCAAGCCGGACATATCGGGTACTATAGTTTTATGGGAGAGTTAAAGAACCCCCGTGACTTCCCCAAGTCTCTCTATCTCCTTCAGAGTGCTGAGATTGGCATTTACCTTTTGGCATCTCTCGTGATCTACCGGTATGCCGGTGCAGACGTCGCCTCACCCGCGCTAGGGTCTGCCCCTTCAGTCGTCAGCAAAATAGCCTACGGGCTTGCGTTACCAGCTGTATGTATCTATTCTGCCAAGTCTAGATTTGCAAGAACAAACTAACACATCACCCAGATCCTAATTTCAGGCGTCGTTGCAGGCCACGTCGCCTCGAAGCTTATCTACATGCGCATATCGTCTGGCACAGACCGCATGCACAAGCGGGACTTCGCCGCCATCGGATCTTGGATTGGCGTCATTTTAACACTTTGGGTCCTTGCATGGATAATTGCCGAAGCTATTCCTGGATTCAACAGTATTCTGACTTTGATCAGTGCGTTATTTGCGAGCTGGTTCTCTTACGGTCTTCCCGGGTTCTGTTGGCTGCATATGAACGCCGGCGCATACTTTGCCTCGGGCAAAAAGGTCTTGCTCACCTTGATCAATGTATTGACAATTGGTATGGCGTTTTGTATATGTGGCCTGGGTGTTTATGTGGCAGGGAAGGATATTCATACCAACCATTCTGGGGCTAGCTTTTCTTGTGCGAATAACGCATAGGTGGTTTTCAATCGAATATTATTTTGAGTACTTCATGTTGTCGAGGATTTATTTTGAAAGTATACAAATCTCCGACTTTTCCGTAGGCTCATCTACAATTTCTGGAGTAGTTTTCGTAGCTGGCTGCCAGCGCGCCGAGAGGAATATAGAGATGATATCGCTGACATCTGTATCGTACGCTACCCACTCCCTGCCTACCCCTTGCGTTAGCCTCTTGGTACGTCCTCTTCCTTCCTTCCTCCGCCTGTGTTCAAATAAAGCTCCCCCTGCTCATACTACGTGGGTACTGCTCCGTACCTACTATGTCGGACCAACTTCTAGTACTATGTCCTGTACGGAGTACATCCATTGTCCTAATTTATCAATTAGGGTACCGGAGCTTCCTGCGGAGGCTACATTGGTCATCGCAATCCACATTCGCTGCAACTCCAGTGTAACATAGCGCAAGCTCATCGAATCTCGACTGACTGGACTTGCTTGAAAACAGCAAAGTTGGGTTGACTCTTGTGCCGCGCACCCGGTGGGCCTGATTTTCATTCTATATCTTGATCCAAGTGCTACGAGGCGTGTAATAGGAAGAAGTGCGGCACAGCAGTAAACTAACCACAGCCACTAAATTAAAGCTACATTTATACTAAATGTAAAAGTAATCAATCGGGTATTAACCAAAAAATACATACAACAGGAGGGATTCGCTGGTGGTCACCCACCCAACTACTAACCTCCCGGCGTGTGGCTTAAGTACGGCTGAGCGGACGGGAAGCCCTGTTCTCCACACCCTATGGTCGTATGTATCCTTAAACCGTTAATTAACGAACGTATGCTACACTACTTATTTCTGTTCCGAGAGGTCTAGATTTCATACTGCCAATATCTTCGCTAGGGTATAATGTAGTAGATATATGATGGGTGTACATGCACAAAAGAGCTGCCTAGGCAGAAAAGGTCTCCTTCCCCTGTTTCCAACCCTGGCGTTGGTATTTCTCCGAGAGCATTGGTGCCCGATGGGGCCAAAGTTTCATGATAATAGTCCTTCACGCGAACCTCACGCTGGGAGTATATTCCGGTGGTGGGTGATCATCCATAACCGTGGAATCTGACTGGTATGTGTCCTCATAGCCTAAGCCGTCAGAGCGATCATGGGGTGCGTACTGCAACATAAAGGGTATCTTGATTGTAGCACTGGCATTCTTTAGAGCTGTTCCAGGTGTATGGAAAGAAAGGCGAAGGTTAATGCTGTAAGTGCGCGAGATTAAACAAGAGTGGAAGGTCGGTGTCGGAATCCCGCGTGGTGGGAAGACGATAGGCAAAACAATAGACGCAGTGTAGTAGCTAGACAATGCTGGTTCATCCAGCCCTCGAGTTCGGTGCTCGCTAGCCACCTCGTGATGCTTCGCCCACTGGAGAAACCCCATCGAAAACGTCATTAGGGGAAAGGTTTCAGTTAACGCTCCCCGGTCCCATCCATTAGCGAGTCCGCGGTCGTCCCACGATGGGTAATCCTCCCATGGAGTAAGGCTGTAGAATGTGGAAACTTGAAGTTTGGCTGTTGCCTTTCTTAACTGTGGAGGTGCTCTGTCTATGAGAGGATTGAAGCGCAAAGTGAGACGCACGGCAGTATGCAAGCCAGTTTTTTCGAGGGGATGTTGCACCGAAAGTGGAGAGGAGGCTTCCGTTATTAGCTCCCCCAACCCAGGCTGCGTAAACCCCTGGCTAAGACTTTGTTTTATCCGTGTACGGATGTCTGGGATGGCAATTGGTAGACTCAAATGTGGTGCAGGTATAGCGGTGGGAAGAACCCGCACACTCTTAGCACAGTCCACAAGCCGACTGGGTCTTCTACTCCCAGGTATAAACGCCTTTGAAATAACCACGCGCACACGGTATGATATGCAGCACTTTCCTGAGGAAACATAATCCAGGGTTGGTTTTTTTTCACGTCCAAGTCTGGGATCGTCGAGCGTCGGGGGTAACTGAAGATGGGCTCGTTTGAAGTCAGAGCAGCTGATATTGTGATTGCATGATTGACAAGGTAGATATTGAGGAACGACAAAGGTGAAGGGAAGTTTGTAAGAGCATCCTGGCTGGAGTACTTTCGGCACTGCATCTATGCCTCGTGCAACAGGTTGTTTGAGTTGCAGAAATGTCTGCATAGCTTCAGAGTTGCTAAGGGTACAGGTCGCTCGCCCGATGGATACCTTGGCGGTGCCTTCGCAATAAGATCAGAATCTTGTGCCAAACAAAGAACGTATGGTTCGGGGAAGCAATCAATAGGCCATTACCATACCTTCAAAAGTTATGCTGATATTCTCGAGTGGGGTCTCAGAGTCCACAGTAATGATTACCGTTCCTTGGATCCGGTCAAATGTGGTATAGGTAATTTCCAGGCCATGCTGATGGTTATCAATCTCGATGGAGACTGTTGGGGATGGCCTGCTCATGGATTTGAGCAGGTCGAGGGCGCGGTGTAGTCTTGATTGCAGTGCCATCGTATATGTTTTGTGTCGAAGGTGTGCTTAATGCAGAGTGGACGCAGTAGAACTCAAGGCAGGGATTCACAGCTCCTTTCTTTCACCCATGCCCAGGCCTTCGCAATAACATACATCTGCTGTGTACAATACCCTGATAGACCGAAGGATGGCATTTATGCTACCTAGACAATGTTGGTTTGCCTTTGCAATGGTAGCTCTGACCATCTGTTGTATGTCTCGATAGAAGGCTATAAAAACAGGAGGTCTCGAGCAGATGAAGACCATGAAGAACTACGAGAGGCCATGCACGGTGACAATCATTCTTTTGTTTTATTTTTCTACTTTCCCTAAAGTCCCCTTTTCTCTCACTCTCGCTTTCTGTTTTCTAATGTAAATGTAGTTCGGAGACAAAACGGAGCGGCAATCGGAGCAAGGCCCGAGGCTAACCGAGAGGTCATCTCGAGTGTGATCCAAGCTTGTTTCAATGCCCTACTTACCGTTAAGTCTGTTTAAATTATGCGTTGAAAAAAATAATCGAATTCCCCACAGACCCTTTGAATTAACTTTTTCGCCATTCAGGGTCATCCATACCGAGCGATGTTCGGCATACCGCTTCGCCCACCAATGGGACGGACGGCATATCTCTTGACTATCCCGGGCACAAAATCTACTCCCCTATCCACCTCTTCGCCACCTATTCGTATTCTCTCTACCCGCGGGCACTGTAATAAAAAGCGAGCAATCCATAGTATAACACTTGCACACGGCTCGCCCCCCGGGAACAAGATCCAGAAGACCCGCTCCGGAAGAATCTGATGACGTCCATAGTAAGCAATCTCAAGTGACATGTATGGTAGGCCACTCAGTTATTCATCGTCCTATCGCTATATTTACGTGAGTAGAACGGAAATTTTCAACATCCGTGTAGAGTTAACCGCACGTCCTCGGTGCTCACACCGCTTGGGCATGGTCATTGTATTTCAGTTATAACAGTTTATTCGGCCTTGTATTCAACGTGTTCGGAATCCTTGTCCATTTTACAGAATATACACCGCACATAACAAACCCACGCATTGTTATCGTGGCATTTTACTCCCCAGAATACATAAGAATATCTTCAATCGAAGGGTCGTCAAGAGAAAACTCCGATAAAGGCAGTCTCTATTCGAGTTTTTTCCAGGTTAGCGCCAGAACACTAGCATCCGGAGTGCTACTCACAGCATTGAGAAAGAAATCAGACCCATCATCAACATGGTCGTTAATATCCGCCTCAGTTGTATCTTTTCTCGGTTTGGCGGCCGTCATAGTGCGCTTTATCTCAGCGACTTGATCGAGGATGTGGCTGACTTCGTCTGCCTTTCCAGCCAGCTTGGCACCTTCAAACATATCCCTTGCTTGTGCGAGTATACGCATCACCCCTTCGAGATCGATGCAGTCATATGCAACACAGGTAGCACGAGATAGGAAGTTGATTGCCAGGCCTAGAGCGGAGCCGGAGTAGTCCTGTTCAATTTAAGTATGGGATATTTAGAATGTAGTATGTAGCCTAGGAACTACGTACGATCGAATAGTTCAGGTTGGCCTGGTAGTCAATTGAACGAAGAGCGCATTTGAGCAACGCTTTCCCAGCATCAACAGCCGCCCGTATGAATTGAACTCGAAGCGTGTCGTTTCGAGCACTATCTGGTTTAAGACCGTGGAGGACGAGCCCATTCAGGTGCCTGTACTGTTGCTCAGTATATAATCATTCCGCAATCACAACTTATGTTGCTCACTTACATCCGCGCAAAGTTGTAGGGAATCTCCATTCGATTGCGGTCCTGGGGCTTGGAAAATGTCTGGTAAATGGGATCCATCTCTTCATCATTTCGTCGAAACCATGCCTCCAGCTGTTTGTCATAGAGTTGGAGCTGCCTGCAGACATCCGATGCAATTGGCTGCTGCTGGATATTGTCTGAGATTATCAGGTCTTTTTTTGCCTGATCTGATACAATCAAATAGATGATGAGTTCATAATGTTAGCCAAGTCCAGATTAAAATGGATATTACATACTGAGGATGCCGTAGATCTCCAAATATGCCCCTATACGATAGTCCACGTTACGCCGATACGGCATCGACATCAAATGGCTTCCTAATCTCGTGTAGCGATCGCTCTCACTGACAAAGTACGTTTTGCTGGTATTGTGCCTGGAGTCCGAGCTGTCAGCTTCGCTACAGGTAAAACGAAGAAAAGAATCGAAAGGAGTACACAAGGTCAACACAGCAGAAGGACAGCCATGTCCTTGCTCTGTCAATAGAGTCTTCATCATGATCACTAGTCTTGTCTGCAAGACTCAAAGCCGTCTCGGGAAGTTGCATCTGGTAGCCAATTGATAGCACTAGTCCCAACAACCGGTAATTCTTGTGCCACACTGCCATTAACAATATACCCTTTAGTGTCTCGAGAGAAGGGACAGGTCCAAGCAATGTTTGCTGGATTAACGAGTAGGTTTCATTTAGGCATTGACGATACAGCCGAGGCGCAGATGCACGGGCACCGATCGTACACATGGCCGCCAAGAGGAGCGGATATCTCCGGGTGTCCTCGAATGAAGCCATTGTGTTATCGAAAAAGGCAATAATTTCACTGCAGTTGGCCCCGTAGCTATAGAATATCGCCGTCAGCCAATGATAAGATTGTGGTATACACGGGTATGAGCACATACAAGTCGAAGAGCATTCGACAATCCTCCAACGTCAAAACTCCTTTGTCGATGAGATCCTTTTTTTCATACTCTGGTTCGAATAGTCCGGGAGTTGATTCGGCTCGCATATCGGGACGGATGGCCTGATCCTCGCCCGAACGTGCAGTGAATCCAACTAACGTTCCAGTCACATCTTGCAAGCCAACATGACTAGATAACTGCTGCAGAGCCCCTCGGAATGATTGGAACGAGGAGCTTACCGCATCCTCCAGCTCTCTAATGCGCTCTTCCAGCGCTGCTGTACGATCATATTGCTGTGTGCTATTCGGAGTGTAAGCGTTCCGTAAAGTAGCCAGATTTGGGTACTAACCTGCTGGATGTGGCTTCTATCACTCCAGTGGCAGCTCGGGGACTCGGCTTAGAAGGGGCAAATTTACAATCCGAGCGACTGGATTTGCATCTACCTTCGTTTAGAGATCAACCTAGCCCAGGCTCATTGTCCACGCAGGTTTACCTTATACAAGACCCATCATTGAAACCGGTACACCGAACTCTGCGTGGTTGTGAGAAAGCTACCAAATGGCTCCTGTATATGGGATCCTCACTTCAGCTTCCTGCAGCGCGTACAAGCGACTAATGACCTGAGATTTACGGTGAGTATGGGGATCATTAAGATACCGAAGCACAGGCATACCGTGGGGGTATCGATGCTGAGGACATGGTTTCAAGAGGGGATAGCCTCGCCGCCGTTCGCTTGGGGATAAAGATCAAAGGCCGACGTCTTTGGGGGCTCATGAAACCGTGACCTTGTCCATCCAGGAGGTGGAGTGTCACTTGTAAGATCTTGGCTGAATAACTGCGGAGATCAATTTGTTTATCGCTCTCCCGTGCTTGGCATTTCAATCTGCCCGCTTGACTTCACCAAACTCCCATACATTAGTACATAGATGGACAGGTGGACACTGGCTATAGGTAGTAATGGGTGGTTATTAATAATTATGCATGGTTTAAGAAAATAAAGTCCACTCCTTGAGTTATATAATAGTTACTATATTTGTTTTCGCGATTAACTATCGGGTCAAACGGGGGGGACGACGCCCAGAAGGTATCGCGTTCTGGGGAGCGGATTTCATTGTTGAGATTGAAACTACAAAGCACCGAAACGAATGGGCCAACACATATGAAACCCTCCAAAGACCCATTGACTCGCAAAGACGTGACCGAACCCTGAAAACACCATAACTCAGGCACCCTCCATCCATGATTGACCCATTAAGTCCGTACCGCGCTTCTGGACGTATCACCAATGGGATTGCCCAGGAGCCACTGTGCAAAGGTTTTGAACCCAGCTGCATTCAAGAACGTAAAATCATAGGGGGTAGTGTGGCGCATTAACAGCTCCTGGCCATCAAAGTATGCCTCAATGACACGTGGGTGCTGTCGATTGAGTGAAAAGAGTAGAACCTGACATCATATCATAATCAGCTTTGTGTTAAAGTATGCCCAGAAGAAAGGCAGGGTTACCGGCGCAACCATATCATTGACAACCCCCCTCTGCTTCAGTTGGCCCAACATGATCCGGATGACGGTCAATATTTCCCCGCGAAGTAGATGACCATCATCGACATCAGTGTCGTGGTGCATGACGCATTTAATATGCGGCTTGGTGAACTTAGCAAGATGAAATATCAACAGTGTGCCAAATTCAGGCTCATACGAGCTGTATAGATTCCCAAAATTGTAATCGCCGATCCTGGAGACGCGATGAGTAAAGGAATCTTTGAAGAAAGGGTAGTACCGGGGGCTTACTGATGGCTTGACCACGTTTGTCGGATCTCTGGGAACTTGAGCATCAACCTGCGAACGTATGACTCAAGATAAATGTCGATTTGTCGCGCGTAATCTGTGGACAGAGTTAGTGTGCTAGTGACGTATTCTCTGTCGACATATTCTTGTGTCGGCTCTGGCATGTCTTGGGGGGTAAAAGAGGTGAAAAACTTTGGTGCGAGCGAGTCATCGGCGTCAAGGCTCAGACGTTGGGCTCGAATTCTGCACTGTTTCAGGATGTTTTGGTCCAAGGTATGGGTGCCCGTCTCTGCGAGGCCTTTGATGTCCCTTTCCATGAGGGTGGGTGCTTTACGGAGGTTGTACCGATCGCGAGGCTCAACGACGGGCTCCATGACCACGATTTATGTATGAATTGACAATCAGAAGGAAGAAAAGAAATACCGTAACAATGACCTTCCACTCAGGAAGAGATCAGGAGGAGACCTGCCGTCTTAAATGTTCGCAGCCAGCCCGAGCATACAGCATGGAGGGGTTGGCTACAGGTCGTTTTCGTGAGGGAACTTCGGAAATCTGCTGCAGTTGCCCCCGCGACCCGACATTATCAACTGGAAGTTTTGAAGACAGACCAGGATCATTTTGACAACGGAATTGTTTTCACTCCTAAAGTTCACATGACTCGTGCAAGAACGCAAGATATGGCTTTGGAATAGGCCGATACAAATAGGATTAAATGCCTGTTGAGCTACCACATACTTGCAATACGAAACCTGGAATGGCAAAGGTAAGCATCAAAAGACATCATCGCTTGACATGATAAATAATGAAAGCAGCAAATACTATGCAGAGGTACTAATTCCTAAACAACATAGCGGAAGGAAGAGTTCTCCATCTACATCAGATCTGTGTTAGCAATTGCTAATGGTTCATATAGAAACAGTCTTACATCGGTCAGATCAGTCAAGCCGGAGATACCATCAAGGTCGACTTCTATCGAGGACTGTGCTGCGTCTCGCTACATATTGTATCAGAAGTTAGCCACCCGCCGTGGACCTGATGGTTGGTCAGCTTACCCTTTTGTTCTTTAGCACGTACAACCTATGCAGTAGCATAAGAAGAACGAAATCCAGGGCCAGGCAAATAATCATGGCAATGAACCCGGACCGATAATGTGGTTCCTCTCTTTCAAAGAATAGCTGGGGCCCGATCAGATTGCCAATGCAGTACCTATACCATATTAGAAAACACGATAGTGATGGGGTTGTCCATGACCAATCATACGCAATGAAAAGAGCGGCGGTGACGACAGTCTTCTTCGTTCGTCCGGCGATGTTTGCTTGGATCAGGCCTAAGGAAAGGACATAGGTTGCACTAAACCCAATGGCAAGATAGTATCCGCTGGGTTGCCAGTCAGCAGTAACCCTTTGTGAGGGAATCCCGAAGATCTCGTGGGTAAACGCACAGAAGGCGACCAATCTTATTTTCCTCTGGAAGAGCGTACATAAGGCTCATTCCCAGGATAGCGACGACAAGACCACCGCACATAAGGATGATTCTGCAGTTTTTAATCGTTCCTGCAAGGAAGCCGGTAATGAGAAGGGCAAGAACCTGTGCTCCTCCGAAAGGCATTCCCAGGAGTGTAGTTCCAAGCTTTGAGTAACCGAACCCCTCGATAATGAGCGGTCCGAATGCACTGAGGCCTCCCTGTATAGATAGTTAGCTGCGTCTGGACAGCATGTCAATTGAAGATCCTTCGCATACATTAGGAATGTTGTTTGCAATGACAAAAAGTATCAAGATCCACACTTGAGGATCTATAAAAGCCTCGCGTGCTTGATAGAACTTGAACTCCTTATTGTCCAGACCGGTCTTGTTCTCTGCTACTCGCTTGATGGCAACATCCTTCTCTGCTGGAGATAACCACTTCGCTGCGGTAGGGCTTGGAGCAGCAAAGAGGAAGAAGGGCACGGCCCAGACAACTGTGACAGAGCCGAAAATCAAGAAGGGGAACTATATGTTTTGGAAGATCAGGTTTAGCGATCTGATATAAATGCAGAGGGCCTCTTGGCCTACCCTGTAAACCGGTATATCGCTCTTGATGTGCCCAATCCCGTACTGTAGGGTCATCAGTCATCTATTCCTTTTATATTTGTCTGGGAATACGGACAGCCACAATGCCCCCAACCACTTGAGCAATCCCGTTCATTGAGAACCAAATGCCGGTCCGAAGAGGTTGCTCGTTTCTATCACGATCAGTATCTACATATATCCAATCCAGGATGGACCACACCTTTTGTAGAACATTGATGTTAACTGTACAAAGCAGGGACTAACCCCACTTTCCAAGACACCTAGAAAGAAACGAACAGGCATCAAACTGGAGAAATTATCTGCAGCTGCCATGCAAAGAAGAATGGCCCCCCAAAGAAACCTAGCATCCGTCAGCGATGTCATGAATGATATTCAAATGTATCCAAGTGGCAATAACTCACATCAAAACCCCACAGGACCTTGTGATATGCATCTTTTGAAAGAGGACATTTATGGGAAATTCACCCACAAGATAACCCAAGTAGAATATTGTCGTTAGCCCTGTAGACTATTATTAGCCCGTCTTATCAAAAAGACAATGCTTAAGGAACATGAATACATGAATACTGGTCGCCCACTAGATGGGCCTCCTCTTTCATCCCCCACAGGGCAGCATATGAAATACATGTCTTATCCACGAATTGGATGAGGTACGTGCCCATAAGCTAAGTGAAATAACATCAGCACGGTCGCACCTGGCAGACATGATCCAATGATTACCCAGGGAAGAAGAAACCAGTCAATCTTGCGCAGCACAGTTCGGTTCTCTGCTTCAGTGTACGGGGCATCATCCGTTGTCCTATGCACCGTGCCCAGTGAAATGTCCGGCTGCTGTGGAGCAAGGTCGCATGCTTTAGTGTCAAGCGTGCCTGACTTCTCGGTGCCGATGTGCAACATCGTATCTCGCGTCGTATATTTCCGAACGAGGACCTTGGAAAGATTTGGTAGATTGATATAATATACAGTATTTATATCCCAGCAGTACCATCTGCCCGGGAGATAAGTCTATTCCCAAGGGGAGTTCCATGTTATATACACAACGACTACATTACGACTTGGCCAAGACGACGATAAACGAAAGGATATCATCTGCCCCCGCCACTGGTCAAGACAACCGTACGGTTAGACTGACAGGTTCTTGGCTGAAGTTAAAGAGACCAGAATGAGGAGATGGGGGTTATGATTATCTGCGTCGGCCGGGCCGATCTATACTGTCGGTCGGCCCGCCCGATCCGATCCGTCACTGGCTATCAAAGGGTGAATGATGCGTTCGAATAAGCATATAAAGAGCGATAAATATATCGATCTTTCCTTAGCACGGATCTTTGCTATTCCCGTGAACACCATATCATTCATTGCAATCATGGCAACCAATTCTATCAACCAACACTGTAGCGAGGACACTGGCATTCCGAAGCATGTTATCCAACTGGTCTCGGAGGCTATCGACTCGGCCTCGTCAGAGTTGCGTCGGCTAAATTTGGAGGTAAATTTCGTCAATCTCTCATATATTGTAAGCACCTATGGAATAACGGTCACAGATCTGGAATAATCCCGAGGTGCGGTTCAAAGAAGAGAAAGCCTGTCGGTTGCTAGCCAAATGGTTTGAGAGCCAAGGCTGGACTGTACAAACTGGAGTATACGGTATCTCCACGGCGTTTGAGGCACGCTTTTCCGTCACAGCCGGGGAAAGATCGGTCTGCTACAATGCCGAATACGGTGAGTCTGTCAATAGCTCATACACTCGTTCTCTGCTAACGAGGGAGCGTATTCGTAGATGCCCTTCCTCAACTTGGCCATGCCTGCGGTCACAACCTCATTGCCACATCAACGCTGGCATCAGCGGTCGGGGCTTCTACCGCCATGAAGGCATTGAAGATACCAGGAACATTGATCGTGATGGGTACGCCCGCTGAAGAGACCGGCGGAGGTAAATACATCATGGCAAACCATGGCGCGTGGAAGGACTGTAGCGTCGTCCTGATGACACATGCAATGCCGGACTTCTCGACTGCGAGGACTGTGACAAAGGCGTCATGGAAATTCAGAGCCAAGTTTTACGGAAAGGCGGCACACGCGGCAGCTGCGCCGTGGAATGGAAATAATGCCTGCGATGCCATTGTGATGGCATATAACGGTCTAGGGCTACTTCGTCAACAAATCCAGAAGACGGAAAGCATCCAATCAGTCATCCTTGAAGCTGGAAGGGCACCCAATATCATCCCTGACTACGCTGAAGGCAGCTTTTCTCTGCGTGCGTTTGACTCGAAGGCGTTGGAGCGTCTCCGAAGCCGCGTCATACCCATTTTCGATGGAGCTGCAGCGGCGACAGGCTGTACTGTTGAATTATTTTGGTGCGTCGATATGCATATTATACAGGCTATGTAATGCCTATATACTAATATATGCACTCAGGGATGCACTGTATGAAGACGTCGTGACCAACATGGTTCTAGCGAACCGCTATACCCACTACATGATCAATGATCTAGGCCTCACACCGGCAGATATTCTTCCTCCCTCAGACCTATCAGCCAAAGTGGACCAGAATGGTAGCTCGTATGTTGCAAGGCGGAACACAACTCCGAACTCGTTGCAAAAGGGGCTAACGTTGCAAATCTCTAGCGATTTCGGAAATTGTTCTTATATTCAGCCCGGTATCCAGACATTGTTCAGCATCAACGCGACGGATATGCCTCATACTCCGTCCTTCCAGAAAGCGGCAGGCACAGACTTCGCACATACAGAGTCACTGAGAGCTGGAAAGGCCAATGCTTTGGTAGGACTTGAGGTCCTGCTTGACGAGGGGTTCTACAAGGAAGTAAAAAGTGATTGGATAAGTGATATGAGGGAGCGAGGTCGTCTTCCCGAGTAAGAACGTTTGAAACTTCAATTTGCGGTCATCTCTCTCTTCAGATCTTCAAGGTATCGGTCTGATGTCCAGTTAGCCATACTTGAATTATACCTAGGACTATAATACATACTCCCAGTCATCCATCGCGTGCTCATGCATTGGAGCACTCTTTCTAAAGCACATACTGCTCTCCTAAAATCGAACTTCGGGCTACCTCTTAGTACACCCAGCAATATCCGAGCTGCCTTGTAGATAGAATGCACTACAAATACGGGCAACGCCTCTAAGTCAATCGGTGTGATTTGTGCCGCGAAGCTCTCGGATGCATTAACAAGTTCCTCAATTATGTCTTGCATAAGTCTGTACGACCCAGCGGTACAGGACGCCAAGCCTGGGGCCTTAAAGCTGCAGCCAAACTCTAGGATAGTCATCAAGGCGCTGGATTAACTCCATGTTAGTCTCCCCCGGATGCTGTAGGCGATGGGGTAGGCGATGGGGTTCGACAGTACCTGCGGGATATGGCAACTGGGCTGTAGCACAGACTATGTGGGATGGTGTATTCATCTTGTACAGTCCCTCTGAATGAGCTGAGTGTCTTTAAAATCTGTATAGCTTCATCATTGAAGAATTCCATGTGCTGAACTGGGTCGTGGACATGCGTGAGCACTTGTTCGAGTATGCGTGAAGCTTGAGCTAGTTTATTGAAATGGTACAGAGGTTTCGATGGTGTTAAAGCCAGGTCGAACGAGTCAGAGTCCTATCACAACGTTAGAAATCCGAATTGCACTTCCCAGTCGCAGTACTTGCGTCGTTCCCGCCGACGGCTCCCGACAGTAGAGGTTTCGGGATAATAGTTCCTTTATTACTCTCTAAGGAGACATATCTAATCACAGTTTCATGATCCAATCGTTAGCGTTCATTCAAAGGAATAGTAAAGCATGTGGAAGAGAGCGGGCTTCGGCAGGCCACAATGGAGGTACAGATCTGTGAGTAGTGCTTAACATGAGAACGGAGATGGGGCGGGGCCAACCTGTCTGTTATGACAATACCACGCCATGTAAATCGAGCCTCGTCCACTCTCTCTGAGGATTTGAACGTTTTTTCTAGCTGGGATTTCGATGCTTCATTCACCCCGAGGGCCACTGCTGCCCGAACATTTGCACCCATGGAAATATATGCTGCAGGGTACAAGCCGTGGCCCACTTCGAATATAGTGAGTAGTAGCCTGCACTGCAGCAGCTCCAATGAATTGATGTCAATCGCCTCTAATGATGCAATGTAGCCCTTCACTAGTATGTATAGGGAGCGCGTGCGGGGTGATATCTCATCATTGACTGGGCTCGCACCCAAAAGGGTCATGCAGAGCGTGAGCAAGCTGAGATCCGGACTCATATGAGTAAGGATGTGAGACAGACGGTCGTAAAATGGCGCTTCAGCTAGTATGGGAAACCATGGATGGATTGTCCGGAAGTATACCGCGGCTACCGATCGAATCCTACTTTCATCCCCAATGATGGTCAAGACTTGCGTTCTGATAGTATGAGATATGTTGATCGACGTAAGCTGAGCTATATCAGGCACTGGTAGCGAAATTGAGGATACATCCTCGGGAGAGTCTCCGGTTCCAACTATTCCATTTGGTTCCGTATAGCAGCAGACACGGTTGAGTCTTATTGGTGTTCAATTTAGTACAGATAGTAGTATATGTAAGCGGAACGGGCCATTTCCGCGAGGTGGGCTTACCTTTTACACAAAGAGCACACTGGAAGTAGCTTGTCACATTTACGCTTCTGCGTCCTGCAGCGTAGACAGACGCGATTCGCATGGCTGCTCATCGCGTATCGTGACGGTGCGGATGCAGGTGCGGATGAGTAGGGGCTCCGTCTCGGTATGGATTTAAGTACCCACTAGATTCTTGGTCATCAGCTCATAAAGGTCTCAGATGACCTACATTGTCGCCCCACTTGATGACTGCTAAGTACTATACTCCATTGTACTCCGTACGCGGTTATAAAATCAAAGTGGGTTACTAATTGCTCTCCGTTTGAGATCTATTGCACTAGTCCCATTCAAGTTTAGCGGTCCGCACCTGCATCCGCACCCATTTCATACTACTACTAGTACTAGTAGTATCGGAATCCTAGGGTTGAGAGAATTATGTACAGGGTCCTTTCTCTACGCACGGTAGAATCTTCGAGCGATGTATAGCGTAAGCAGTAGTAATACTAATAATCAGGTAGTGGCAGCTAGGAAATGGCATTATATAAAGTCTGTCGCCCACCACACTCTGCACTTCCCAAGAATCACATCTAACACCATCCCGAGTGCACTGCATAACCTCATCATCTCCCAATCAAGCTCTTGATATTTTAGTCAGATCTTCCAACCATGTCTGCGATTCGAAGCGTTGCAATTGCCGGTGTAAGTTCCCACCCCTTCGAACCAGTATCACACCTAAGTTCTAACAAGCAAAGGCCTCCGGTGACCTCGGCACCCCAGTCCTAAACGCGCTCATCGAATCCAACAAGTTCAACATCACCGTTCTGACCAGACACTCCTCCAAAGCACGATTCCCCGATACTGTCCGGGTGATCCCCGTCGACTACAACTCCATCCCGGAGCTCACCGCCGCTCTGAACGGCCAAGACGCCGTCATCTCCACCTAACAACCGCCGCCATGGACGTCCAGCACGTCCTAATTGACGCTTCGATCGCCGCGGGCGTTAAAAGATTCATCCCCTCCGAATTCAGCGCCGATGTGGGCAATCCCAAGGCTCCACATTGCCCATCTACCAGTCCAAGATCGCCGTCCACAAGGCTCTCCAAGCGAAAGCGGCAGAGAACCCTGCGTTCACGTACACTTTGGTCCGCCATGGACCCTTCCTTGACTGGGGCCTTAGGGCCGGGTTCTTTGTTGATTTCAGGACTGACATACCTCCCTTCTATGATGGTGGTGACCGGCCATTTAGTACAACTACTCTAGCCACGATCGCGAAGGCGGTGGTCGGAGTCCTGACGCATTTCGACGAGACGAAGAATCGACCCGTCTATGTGCATGATCTAGTCACCACTCAGCGCCAGGTCTATACTATCATCCAGAAACTAGCTCCCGAGCGGAAGTGGAATCCAGTGGACGTTAGTACGGCCGAGCTGGAGGCTAAGGCGCGGGAGGAGTGGGCGAAGGGGAACACGGATTTACCGTCTATTGTCGGTCTTTTGTGTCGGGCAGTGTTTGCGGAGGGATATGGTGGGGAGTTTAAGAAGGTCGATAATGAGCTTCTTGGGCTGGGGTTCAAGACGGAGGCTGATCTTGAGGAGGTGGTGAAGGCGGTTTTGGGTGATTCGCTGTGATGGAAGCATAGAGTAATCTAATTTCCTCTGGTTAGGGGTAGTGGGTTGGGGTCTGCTTCGTAGTGAGTTTGGTGGCTGAGATTTGCAATTTGACCAAGCTTTAATGGAACAGATAAGGCTTTGAATCCAGAGGCTGGCTTTGTATGAGTGTAGCTCCCTAGTAAGCTATCTGAGCGCAGTCATGGTAAACCTAGGGCTCTTCTATGCGTTAAACATGCGACAGATCATTTTCTTTTTAGATATCATTTCAATATCAACGTCTTTCATTAATGAATATACAATATAGAAATAACCCAGCTATATCTTATCATCATCGTGATCGCTCTAGGCGTAGCTATAAGCAAACAATGTTCTATAACATCTAATCGTTCACTGGAGTCCGAACGTTCATCATCACTTTTAATTCCATCTCACTTCAGGCATGGAGACTTATATCGAAAAGGTATGGGGAGTCTTGAGAGCAATAGGAGCATCCTCACGCAAAGTCTTGCCGATCAGGTGATCAAAAGAGGGAGAGTGGGCGACACGAGGGGTGAAGTCCTCGATATCCCAGAGATATCCGAGAGTCTTGAGGACGGAGGTAGCACTGTAAGGAGCGGGCTTGCCTGTGACGGGGTCCGTTCCGTACTGTTCAATATATCCCTTCTTACTGTAAGGGGAGATAACCCAGGTCGGCATGCGGCCGCCCAGACGGTCGAAGTGAAGAGTGTACCTCTGGCCGTTCTTTGCAGTCTCCGTGTAGGTCAGGTTATCCGGGCGGACGGCGAGCGGGGGAGCGACGTGGTCGTAGAAGCCACCAGTCTCGTCGTAGGTAATGAAGAGCAGGGTCTTGTCCCATTGGGGGCCCTGGCGGATGGCGTCGTAGATCTGCTTGACGAAGACCTCACCGTAGGAGACGTTGCCGGTGGGGTGCATGGAGTTCGTGTTGGTGCCGCAGCAGGAGGGGTTAATGTAAGAGAATTTGGGCAGGACACCCAAGTAGGCGTCTTGGAAGAAGTTTTCGACAGGCACCACGTTGGACCGGGAGGTCTGGTTGACGTAGGTGAAGAAGAGGGAATCCGGCTCGAATTCTCCGTTGGTGCCATCGTAGTTGAGCCAGGACACGCCCTTCTCGTTAGCGGCCTCAAAGATGGACTTAGAAGCGATGCCATAGTTCAGGAAGTCATCATCATTCTTGCCATGTCCAGCAGAGGTTCCTGCCAGAGCGCACAGGCGGTTCGGGTTGGTGGGCTTTTGAATGGGTTAGTGAAATTCAAAAAATTATATAAATTCATCATACTTACTCCTGGAACACACGAGAACCAGCTGTTGAAAGTCGTGAACTCATCCACAAGGTCTACAAGCGTCGGAACCTCCTCCTCCGTGTAGTATCCCATTACTTGGCGTGTCGCCTCTTCTGGGGCCAGCTTGGGGTAGTCGTTGAGCTGTGCGTTGAGGAAGCCGGACTGGTCGGCGACGACCTTGCCACTAGCAATTGCACCATTGTTTGGGGTGTAAGTCCCGTAGAACTCCAAGTTATTACCCGTCACGGAGTGGTCGGGGTCATTGAACACGGAATCGTAGTCCTTGGCATGAGTACAGTACTTTCCAGAGGATGGGTCGCTCGCATTCTTGTAGTTGCAGAAAGGTCCGTTGTTGATCGGGTTATCGAGTCCTTGGCGGCGCACGCCTCCTAGGATGTTGTCGAAGGATCTGAGCCAGATGTTAGTGCTTGTCTTCACATGCAACTGGCTGGAAATGAGGAGGGAATTGTTCGTTCAACATATGACCATCACAAGGGCACACAAACCTGTTCTCGAGAATAAGCCAGACAATGTTCTCGACCTTGTCCTTCAGGTTCTCAATAGATTCCTTAGAACCAGGCTTGTATCCGAAAGGAGCCTCTCGCACGCTCGTATACTCGGACGTGACAGGACTAGCAAGACCCAGAGAGGCCAAGAGGCCGAGACCAGTAAGCAGGGCGGCGGACTTCATGATTGCTCTCCGATTTCTCCGATTGAGGTCGTGTGCTTGAACAAATGCTACTTGCTAAGGAATTTTAGCCCGGCCAGGGCGAGGCTTATATATCCCACCGGAGGAGCTATATTTTTATCCCATTCGGATGCCACGTGCGCTGTGCGTCGGGTTGAAGCGCATATCTGTCGAGGCACGAGTGACTTCGGCTTCATACCGACCAAGGGCAGCCTATCACCATCCATCTTTACAAAGCGTCATTTGTGGAAGCCACCGGAGACGGGATGACAGCCCTATCGACAAAGAAAACGATATGAAGTGGAGGCCACATGGGTGGGGTTTTCACTTGACAGCCTTGGTCACGAATAGAGCGTGATGCGGGATGGGAATGGGATTGGACAAGCAATGGCTAAGCTACTAGAGTGGAGAGAAGCACTAAACTAAGACATGGGGCAGCCTACGCTAAGGCGAGGAACGTGAGCTTAGCATCCCAGTTCAATCCCTTATTATCGGTCCCCAAGGGGTCATTATCCTGCAAGGGATTGCCTTAACGCGCACCTGGGAAGATTGAGAACTCTCCGGCGACAGACAACTCTTCTCAAGTTAGATAGTTTGCTCTGTGAACAAAGTAAGGTACGTTGAGGAAAAGGGGGGCAAAAGTAAAGCAAAATAAAATAACATAAACTGGCAAAAAGGTACGATGCCCTGCACTTACGGATGATTGCCGCTGGCTCAAAAGCCTGCACATCTCGTGCATGCAGAGCGGCATACGACTCGTTATCAGGATATGCATTGTCCAGGAACCACGACCGTCCGTCTGCCAGTGAGGTTCAAGAACGACAACACGGGCCGTGGGAAGGCGATCGGGTGTCTTTGGGACTATCCACGCGAGAGATTTCGTGCTTCTCCACCCGCCCCACAGCGTCTCGAATACCGAGAGACATAAAGAAAGACATCAAGGATACACCTCTGTATCCATCCGGATCTGTCGGTCTCTGAATGTCCCCCGTCCAATAGCCAGAGTCATGAGTGAACTTCAATTTTGCCAGTGGAGATAGATGAAGCAATCCGACTCCACTATCTGCTGATATTTGAGGTGGATGGGATGGAAGAATTTCTCGCTTCGCGATTCTAGCTATAACAGCAGGACACGGGTGTGGACTGGCTTTTCTGATTCGTCCGATACATAGTGCTCCCACTGTACCTGAGTTTGCGCAATCTTGAGGTGCAGTAAGGGACAGGGGAAGTATATGTTTGTTGCTTAGACGGAAACCCGGTTGACCCGCCATGGTAAGGAAAGAAAACATTGAGGCTCCGAAGGTCACGGGTCTACAGGGCAAGTATTCGATGCTTTCTAATCTTTACCTACTAACCTCTCGGCTGCCATTCTCCCTGCAACTGCATTTTCCTTGCTCCGAAATCGACTACAACACATATCTGATTCGTGAACTTTGATCCCGTCACTCGACAAATGCGTATGCCCAAATACATAAGATAGGTCAGACTGAAGAAGAGACCAGGATTCCTGCAGGCCCCTGAAGATCTTCTGCAAGTATGAGATAGGTCACATCAATTACTTCGGGAACTGTTTCTACCGGATCATCGGTGATCGCTAAAGTCATCATGAGTCTATTATCATCGGCTATATACAATCCCCGTCCTCATATGCGTTAATACATGAAAGATTTTCCAATTATGACACCACGATGCCCAGCAGGACATCGGGTGTGAAGTACTATACAAGCCCAGCATTTCAATTAACGGCGGCTTACGCAGCACATAATACCCGACTTGGCCAAGAAATACATGGACCCAATGAATCGGAAGAATGACAGTCCAGCCGTGGCCCACAGGATGACTCGGAAATACCACGAGGTTCTCGTGGTGGAGGTGTTCTGTACGACTCGTTAGTATCAGTAGGGGTGCGATCGATGGAAAGGCATACCGTCAAACACAGAGAATTGACACCGGTGGCCGTAATCAACAGAGCCACAATCAGGTTACTAAACACCCAGAGCAGCACAAGCATCGTACGGAAGTTCTTGTATGAATCGTCCAGACTGGTGGATTCCTCTTCTTCTGGTTCCACCCACGGCGTCAGGGCACGCTTGACTGTCGCCTCGAATTGGCTGTCAATATCCGCTTGCGGCTTATCCACTTCCTCAATGAACTGCTGCTTGCTGCCGTCTTCCTTCTTCGTCTGCGCCGATGGCAAGGCTTCGGCCTTATCGGACCCTTTGGTACCCCAGGAGACATCATGCCAGTTGCAGAAGGCATACACCATCAGAATGTTGATCGAGGTCGTCATACCGAAGAAGTAGGCCCACGAACTGGTGAGAATGTGCCATGGGTCACCGTAGAGCAGACTAGCAATGACATAGATGCCGTAGGTCGAAACTAAGGCGATCAGGACAATACCACCGCTATCGGAAGCGAAGAACGACGAGAAGAACCCGCTCGCGCCGTGGTCAAAATCAAAGTCCATCATGCCACCCGTGAAAGCATTAGCGACCAGGTAGAACGACAGGACCAAAATATATATCTGAACGATGGAGAAGTAAAGGAAAGAGAGGGTGTAAGGCAGTCGTGTTCTAGTCAGGAAGAGGTTAGCAGGCTTCCCACGACTTATCACAATCGGCAGCAAGACTTACCCTTTCGGTCGGTTTCCCAACGCCAGGATGAACTGCAGCATCAAACAGAAGATATAGCCGTATTTGAGGAAGGTGTTGATGATGGGGGAAGCATCATTGCCGAACGGCCATCCCTTGTTCTGGTTAGCGGCAGCAGGCGTACCGACGAGATCCATAATCACCGAACTGGTGAGCCAGTAGGATGCTGAACGACCATCAAAGTCAGCGGACGAGATTGTTCGTGCAGGGCAAGGGGTGTGGGTGGGGACATACAGAGAGAGAACCAGGTCATGATCAGTTGACAGAAGTTATAGATCATTTGAATATGCAAGAAAAACATGCGAATAAAGCTGTGTCCACTGCGATAGATTCGTCCGAAGTGCATCATGGCGTACAAACCGGCGGCGAAGGAGCCGTTCAACCAACGTCGTCGCTGACCGATAAATTCGGCCGAACCCTCCGGCACGTCTGTTTCACCTTTAGATGCCTTGACGTACGATAAATGCCATTTATAACCGGCCTTAGCCACCAGCTCAAAACACAAGATTCGATCTTCGGCTAAGAACATGTTCTTTTTGAAAATATTCATACCCTCGATACCTTTCTTTCCGAGACGCTTCGAGAGCGTGTGATCTCCGTGGAAATACTGCTCCAAGGGGCGGCCCATAATGGCGCGATAGCGGTACGCTGAGAAAGCACCGGGTAACACACTGACATAGCCGAAGGCACTTTCTAGCGGTTTGTCCAGAATATTGGAGATCTTATACTCGAAGTTCTGCGAGGCGACTAGCGGATTCAGGACCTTCCGCCAGCCCTTTCCTAACATAGCATGAATCTCACCACACGAGCCACCGAGGTTTTTATCGTTATAGAAAGATTCCCAGAGGGCCAGTAGCGATTTCTTGCCGGGTTTGGTTCCCGCGTCGATCAGAATGCAGACTTCCGGGTTCAGAATTCGACTAAAGGCGTTGAAGAGCCAGCGGTGAGAGTTGATCTTCTTGCTGTTCTTCTGTTTGAGACAGAAAATCATCTGGACCGGGGGGAGATTGGAGGGGTCGTTGCCTTGCGGGCGAACCAACTGTTGGTTTGCGGTGACGGACAACTGCGTGGTATATTCGAACTATTCCGGTCAGTCCCATTGATTCATCGTGCCCATCGACTTATTGGGACGGTGCCAGCCTTTGGCGGGGACGTGCAAAACTTACAACATGAGCGACCGTTTCCCGGCCGTCGACGTCCTTTTTCATCACGCCATCTTGGTAAATTCCGACCGTGGCCAACACATCCAGTGTGTTCTTGTCGCACGGCTCGATTCCATCAAAGACAAGACATACGACGATTTTCTGCCAGGCGGGACCTCCCTTGTTCCAGAATTCAGACTTTTTCAAGTTGACGATATCGCGCACATTCTGCATCACGCCGTGCAGGGTTCGGGCGGTCAGAACTTTGTCTTCATTGTAGTAAGTGATGGCGATCAGCAGCTCGGTGTGACGGTTGTAAATGGCCGGGCGCAGGTTATATCCGTTTCGCAGGGTAAATTCGTCTGGGTCACAAGTGGCCGCCGTATCTGTGACGGGAGGGATTAGTCCGACCAGTCTCTTGATGCTGCTGTACGAAAGGACCTACACCGCATATGCGTAAATTCTTCCGAGAACGCCTCCTCCGCTTCACGATATTCGGGTTGAATAGCATTTTGAATGGCACTAGGCACCGGATAGTCGACGCTCAGGACGGAGCCCTGCACGAGGTTGATCTTACGGGTTCCATAACGGCGCAGACCCGATCGGTTACTGATGCTCTGTGGCTGATGAAAGGTATCGAGTTTTATCCCGCTCGTCTCCGACATGCCCGTGGCATCGTAGACTTCGGCCGCCTCGGACTCTTGGTAGGGGGGCGCAGCGAAAACGGTGACGCCGGGATCATGGAGGGTATAGCGGCGTAGTGAATCGGACGACAGACTGGGGTCCTCAACGCCGTAGATACTGGGGTGGTTATGGCGCAGAAGCGACGATTGCTCCTGTTCGTCTCGGTCTGACAAACCGGGCGTTTGCTGTTCCGGTTGAGGAGGCATTAGAACGGGCGAAAATGGAGCTCTGCCAAAACAGAAATTCATCGGATGGCAAGGAGGGGGATCCGAAGACAAGAAGAAAAGTAGAAGAGAGCAAAAAGAAAAGAGGCAAAGAAAGGAAAGGAATACGAGCAGAGCAAACAAGCGTCCAGTTTATTGCAGGTGGTGGTAGCGCGGATCACACTTACAGTTCGAGAGGGATTGGTATGCGAGTAAAAACTGCTCCGGCTTGGCTGAGGAGAGTGTGTGGAGTTGGGCCGTACGGGTCCCATCTCGACGGTGTGGGCGAAAGTTGCACCGTCAACAGTCGACAAGAAAGGTTATCTATCCGATCCCCAATTATAACGAGCGTTTTCCTTTCCGTATCCTATAAGCGAAGCTGCATAGGAGACCGCGAGCGAGGGACCAAAGCGAGAGGTAGGGGACCCGGCAAGGATCGGCGTAGGGTCAGTTCGTTCGATCCGTTGGGTGAGGAAGGACGAAGAAGAAGAAAGGACGGAAGAAGAACAAGGGCTTCAATTGTTAAACAGGGGGGAAAAGAAGAAAAAAAGAAAATTCAAAATCTCCAAGGGTCCAGAAAAGAGATCGAAATCCCCCCCCATACAAGAATAAATGGGAAGGTACGAAGGCTGGTCAGTCAGCAGCCGTGCGTGTGGAACCATGGATGCATTCTATATATAAATTCCAATTTCATTATTCCTACGTGGATTAATTCTAATTTAATTCTTTCAAGGGGACGACAAGTACCCAACTGCCCGGAACGGCGAGATCCTGCTATGATCATTGGATCCGTGCAGGGACATGGCAAGGGAAAAAAAAAATAAAAGGGAAAAAAGGGAAAAAGAAAATTAAAAAAAGGTTGATCAATGAGCTGGAGTATTATTTTTGGTATTTTAGAGAAATATTTGATTAATCTCATAGTATTGTTCCTGTTCAGGCGTGCACAAACACTACTGCCTAGGTAGCCTGCAAGGGGGCGCAGTGATGGGTGTGGCTTGGAAGGACCTTCTCCCTCTCGAGATCAAGAACAACAAATACATGAGACCCCATGGCATCAGAACCAAATTAGAGAGAGAAAACTAAACTATAGACTAGAATGAAATTGAGCAGGAAAATAGATAGAATAGAACAACCAAACCAAAACAAACCAAAACAAAGTAAAAGTAAAAGAAAAGAAAGAATAGAGACAGTGTCATTCGACTAATACAATACCTCTCTATAGTGATGCCTTCTCGGTTGCTCCGTCATCAGCTTACTCTACGTGGCCCACAACCTGAAAAAAAGAAAAAGAAAAAGAAAACTGTCGATCGATAACCCCTTCAGGAATATCCTCGAGTCATCCCTTGGGTGCCTGAGGTACACGACAAAGCCTATCAATATTATCCATCGGTCAGTTGCCACTCCTACCGGGAGGGAAAAACCCTAAAGCTCTCATCCCAGGCACGACATCGTACACTCAATCCGAACGCAGCAACGCAATTTCATCCCGGCAATAACCAATCCTGAACATGATTCTTTGCGGTGGCTGACACCGACGGTCCATCACCATTGGCCTTCCCCAGGGAGCAGTGCCTCCCTTCATGATCGCGCGACGCGCATCCGGGTGGAGTCGCCCCAGTGCCTCTCCCGATCTCTCAGTGGCCGTTCTCCAGACGTTGCGGGTTGTGCCATGTCTTCTGATTTGTGTTGCTTGAGGAATGCCTACCCCACTGTGGGCCACAACATGCGCATAGCCGAGGGGGGCTTCAACATTCGATCAGTGAATGAATCCTTATGACGGCACATTCATGGACAACGGGTGCAGTCATCCGGTATGGACCGTGGCGGGAAACTGACATTTTCTTGCCTTGGAGATGACATTTCAATCAGCATCTCCGGGCAGGAGGTTGGTCGGCTGGGGTTGAGAAGCAGCCGTGAAACGCTTGTCACACTGCCAAGAAAAAAGGGAAAAAAAAATTAAAAAGTGGAGATCACAGTGAGAGAGAAGGGTCCCTTTCCTTTTCGACCAGTCCAGGGCACTTCGTTGTGCTGATCACAAGATGGCGGTTGAACACGTTGGACAACGATTGACAAGGCTAAGGGACGGTGTAGATAGTCTTTTTATTCTAGAATTTCCGGTGGGATCCGTCTCCATAATGCAGCGTTAGTTTAAGATACTACTCCGTAGATTCCGTGGTATTTTTAGATTTTAGTCTTCCTGTGAACTTTTTGGCATAATTAAGACCAGATCGTATAGATGTGGATGAGCATTGTCTCAGAGTGCTTGGTGCTTTGGTAGTACTCCGTAGATTGGTTCCTATCACGCATGACGTGCCTATTGATCAAGCATCAAGGGACCAAGGAGATACGCCGTGTAACTCAAGATACCAGACGGTTCAGATCATCAATGACCCTTTAGCCTTCCGGGTGGTGAAATGGGCATCCATGCGTTACTATATATGTCGCCGATTGGCCACCCCCGATGCAACCCTGCGGAGTACATCTCTTCAGCAACAGCACAACCACAAGAATGCAATGTAGGAAAGGGTGGAAAGATCGAGAAAGGGGGGAGTGAATAATAATAAAAAAAAAAGGGTAAATAAATAAAGATAAGAACATCACATACACAGGGATGTTGGCTTTGAGTTATGTGGTTTGAAAGCTACAATTCGTAGACTAAGAATCAGCATCATTCGCGATCAACCCCTCCTTTTCCTCTGGCATCAAATTTCACCATCTACCGCCCCAGGGGTTACGGATTGCAATTCCACCTTGATTTGACAGGGTGCTGGCCCACTTCCCGAGAGTGTCTGGGGATACGGTTTCAGACCATCACCGGTGCATTGTTACTAGGTCTAAGAACCCCTCAGGAGGCGTTGCGACCAAGGGTCCGTCCGTCCAAGACGGAACACGCCGAAAATCATTACACCTCGGCTTTCACCAGAAATACGATTTCATTGTACAGTACCAGAGGAACAAGTGAGAGTGCCCTGCCTTGGCTGATTGTATCTCATAATCCTTCGGCGGCCCCTACGGTCCATGTGCTGCCTGAGGCATTCTCGCGGCTTTCAGTGCAACCCAGCTCACTGCAGATCGTATAGGATAAAGAACAAATCGCAGAAAAAGAGACAGTACAGCGTATAGTTATATCCGTGGGTGCAATGAATATGACAAACCATTCTCTGATCACCAGCCTTCAACTGTCTGATGGCGCTGACCGGCATTTTCAGCTTGGCGCTGTTCTTTTCCTGCCCTTATCTTTTCGGCCTTGGTCCACGACCGTCCAATACAACCTCAGGCATTAAACGTATAAACAAACATTCCAGGTTAGTCACATTGTATCCAGTGGATCCCTCCAGCTTCCAACTTCTCATCATACTTTGTTATGGAAGAATCTAGCCCCTCCTACCAACCAGGCATATTAAGTTATACATAGGGTGCTTTGGTATCTGCCCAGTATTCTGCGTACCAGCCGCCAAACTCCCAATCGACAGGAGTGACCGGCGTGGGTAAAGCAGCCTCGATAAGGACAGGAATGACAATTGGTTATCTCTTAGAATACTTTGGCGGCGTCCTCAATAGGGATATCATTCTCTAGGAAACAATGGAGCTTGTTAGAACGGGCCCAAAGGAAATAATAATCCAATGCAATGATCACGGTCTCCTTCAAAGCTGATCAGTATAGCTTGTAATCTCACTAGCAATCTGCTTCTTCGCGCTACTGTAACGGCGGTTGCAATGGCAGTATACTATGTAGGTGACTCCAGGGCACTCAGGATCGTTGATCCCGAATTATATGTTTGGTCTTGTGGAATACAGAGCCCCGGCTGTATCTCTTACAGCTACTGGTAGATATCAACCTAACCCGGCTCTTTGGAGATCCATACCATAATATATTTCAGTTCAATATAGAACTCATCCGAGCATTAATAGATACCATAGACTTTTGGGGACATGTCTATTTGTATGCCTGGTAGGAATCTCTCGGATTATTCTGACAGCCCTCAAATCAATGGCCCGCCACCCATGGTGAGGGAGTCCAATCTGACTCAACTAGAGAAGATATCAAAAACAATTATCTAGATTATATTTGTCAAGAATGTATGACGTCTAGTAAGTCCTCTGAGGCTATGTATCTGGAAGTATTACAGTGGATGGTAAGTGTGGAGGTGGAAATAACAATAGCGATTAACCCTTTTCATTTCGGGTCATATGTAATCATATCGCAAGTGGAAGGAAATAAAGAGAAACAAAACAAACAACAATAACATCTGCAGTGCGTGTAAAAACATCAGGTGATGCATGTGTTGATGTGTTGAGAATTTAGCCAGAAGGCCTGGACCCGGCCGATGCCCACCTCAGGCAGGCACACCCTTCCAGTCGACTTGGCCATGTTCTTGATCCTTTCCCGATTTTTAGTTTTTAGTTTATTTTATTTTATCTACTTTCAGTGTGTTTCCTGCTTGAAAATCTTCGGGGGCTTGAGTGTTCCTTGGAGTGGTAAACATGGGACCCTATCATGGCACTGGGATAGTAGATGTCTCTATCTATATATAGAGGAAGGATCGAGTGCCATTGCATTTAAAGCTGCAATGCACAGAAAGCATTTGGGGCGCGTTTTGGCTCAATCAATGTCTTTTATATAAATATAAAGAATCTTTTGTCACAAGAGGAATAGTATAATGTTGAAAAAGAAAGAAGTTATGAAAATTGGTGGAAAGACCATGTCCTTGTAAAATGTGGTGATATACGCTAACTCGGGCGAGTGGAGTCGTGAGATTGATAAGATGATTTCATGCTTGATGTAAAGTCCTTGTATTCCTTGTTTTTGAGGCGGTGAAATCCAACCTCCTCCCAAAGAGGAAGACCGTTCCAGAAGGTACCACCGGGCCCCATCGCTCAGTGTCTAGACATATATTCCTTGCATCATTCACACTCGCTTTCTCTTTGCTTGACAGAATATGTAAATCCATCCAATTACTGCCTCTCATTTACTTGAATGCGCCTCAGTTGCGCAGCCTCACACCATAGTATCATGTCCCTAGTGCAACGGGTGTCTGCCATTGACGGGGTGGATAATGTGGACGTCGTCGAGACGGCGAGTATCCTCTCCACCCCCATCCGGCGCGAAATCAGCTACGATGTCTTACCGCCGCCTCCTGTGGAAGAGCGCTTAGATACGAAAGCGGCGACTCCGGCTTACAGAGTGTCAACCGCAAAGCGACTCGGTGGGTAAGAGAGACCATGGTGGGCGCATCAAGACACTGACCCGTTGTTAAGCTCAGGTGATTGTGACGTTGTTGGCTTGTTGGTGCGCCTCTGGAATCGTGTTCGGCTTCGCGGCGCTGAAGCCGGTGATGATCAATGAAGGCGTGTACCGGAACCTGTGCACTGAGGCGGTGTTGCCCAAGGAGGGCAACGTATGTAGGGCGCAAGATCTTCGGTACGTTCTCCCCATTCCAGCTTACAATTCGTCCGTCTCACACGCGTTCTCAGCCTAAACTTATTCTTCATGGTCGGCTCTATCACGGCGAATGTGTCCGCTCTTCCGGTCGGAACGATCCTCGATCGCTATGGCTCTCGATGGTGTGGTTTTATCGGCTGCATAGTTTTGGCCGCTGGTAGTCTGCTTATGGCCTTTTCTTTCTCGGGTGGCGTGGACGGTTATATCGCGGCAAACTTGATGTTGGCGTTGGGAGGCACGTTCATTTTTGTCCCATCTTTTCGAATCGCCAATGCGTTCCCCAAGTACACCGGAACTATTGTCGCGCTTGTCACGGGCGCATTCGATGCATCCGCAGCGGTCTACCTCTTCTATCGTCTGGCGTATGAGAAAAATCCAGGGACCTATTCCCCGGAGCGGTTCTTCCTGGCTTACCTAGCAGTACCCGGTTGTATTCTCGTCGCATTGCTTACGATTATGCCGACTCACGACTACCAAACCACACAACAGTTGCAAGTCAAGATTGAGCAAGCCGAGGACATTACGCAGGATGTCCATGACTCGGATACCGAGATTGAAAGCAATTCAGAGCTGTGGCAGGTCCGGACGGACCGCGCGAAGCATCGGAAGGATCAACTACGCAAGATCGACAAAGTCTTCGGAGACAAGAGGGAGCGTAAACAACGCCAGGAATGGGAGGAAGAGCGGCATGAAACGAGCCGGGTATGGGGGGTCTTGCATGGTTTACCGGCCCACGCACAGATGAAGACACCATGGTTCATCCTGATCCTTCTCATGACAGTCCTACAGATGTTGCGCATGAATTATTTCATTGCAACCGTGCGATCGCAGTACGAATTTATGCTCCGCTCAGAGCGGCAGGCCGGAACGATCAATGACTTCTTCGATGTTGCGTTGCCTGTTGGGGGGGTGCTTTCCACGCCCTTTATTGGGCTCCTGCTTGATAATCTCAGTGTGCCCGCTACGCTGGCAGTGATCGTGCTCCTGACCACAACTACCGGCGTGTTGAATTCTGTGCCCGCTGTATGGACGGGCTATCTGACTGTCATCCTCTTTGTTCTCCTAAGACCATACTACTACTCGGCAATGTCGTAAGTGCACCCGCTTGTGTCACATATCTACGCAACAGCAATACTAACTACTTAAACCTCAACAGTGACTACGCGACTAAAGTCTTTGGCTTCGGAACGTTCGGCAGAGTTTATGGAACGATCATTTGCTTTTCCGGCCTCGTCAACTTCGCTCAATACTTGTTGGACTACCTAACGCACGGTCCGTTCCACGGCAACCCAATCCCAATTAATATCTTCCTTGCCACAGCTGGCCTCGTTGTGGGTACAACCCTGGTGACCTTTGTATATATCGCGGAGGAACGATGGAGGGAAGAGAGGCGAGCGGAATGCGACGAAGAACGGCAGAGACTGATCCCAGAAGAGGAGGAGGAAGAGCAAGCTTGAGACAATGAAGGACACTCGCTTAGCTGTTATAGCGGTACAAATCTTTGCAGGTATGTTGCCGACTCGTCTAAAGGTTCCAGGGAAAAAGGCATGATTTACGCGGCGAACGTATTGTTAATGACCCAGCATACTTTAGAAGAATCGTATTGAGTTCCTGGCCATAACTGTTGAATATTGGTCTTGCAAGGATCTGTTTTCTCGTAGAGCCTAACCGCTATTCTGAGCATCTAGCTATGCAAGCGAGCGCTTCGTTGGTGAGGTGGATTCCATGTCATATACGCCTGCATTCCCTGGAAGCCTACATTAAACAGGTATAGATAGAAAAGTGGTGCATGTCTAATCAGAAAGCCATATACGAATATGCAAGTAACATATAGCATCTGCACTATCGTGCGGTCGATTTCGGAGTGGGCACAGTCTGATAAACCGTACAAAATCGCAGTGACAATTCAAGAGGAATACCCAAGCTAAACTTGGGATCTCTGACTTCCATTAGGAAATATAAGTATCTGTTATACCTATCTAGTTCGAAGTATGTGGCTTTGCGCTAGTCACGGCCGATCCTCGGTATTGGATCACTGCAAACGCTTGTCTTGTACCTTTAGGGAGAGTTCAATATCACATTAACTGTTGAAGCTCTTATGCCGGGAATTCCCAGTTTTATTCGCATTATAATGATTGGTTATGTTCGATACATGATTGAACATATCTTTACTTTGTTGGATGCTGAGATATAGGATATTTTTGTTTTTATTATACAGATCAGCTATTATTTATAGGTTCTAGGATTAAGTTGAAGTCATCATATATTATGAAGACAGAAGCAATGCCCTGTTTTCCAAACGCGAAGCCACCTACTCACTGAGCGCCTGCCCAGCCTTCCACAGCAGTGTCAGACAACTCAGATTGCCAACCCACCAAAAGAGGCCTCGCCACATAGCGGGGCGTCGCCGTTCCGCGGTAATGTAATTGATTGCATAGAGTATCCGCGCCACAGTGTACGTCAAGCCTGCCGCATTGATCGTAGTTCGTGGTACGCCCGCATAAGTGGCAAGGGTGATGCCGGCGACGAGGAGAGTGTAGTTCTCCACGGAGTTGGCATGCGCCGCTTCGTTGCGCTGGAGCATTTCAAGCTGCTTCCGGGTAATTTTGCCGTCCCGGACGGCCGCCTCGCCGTACTTGTTCAGGTCCTGACGGGGAGATTCTTGGTGGTCAATGCCGTAGAATTGTTTGAGGGTGCGCGAGGAGAGGACGCCATAGGCGAAGGCGAAGTGGAAGATGAGGAAGCCCGGGCCATAATTAGGAATGGGCGCCGACAAAGGGGCTTGAGTGAGACCGACAGCGGTCAACAAGGACGCCATTGTCGCTAGATGGTGATATGATTCGCCACTTGCTGTAGGAATTAGTGTGGTTGTAAAAGAACTTGGAAAATGTGGCTGTCCATTGCAACATATAACATCAGAATGGCCCCCACTCCCACCTCTCGGAGCTGCTCGGCGTTAAGGCGAGTGAGATTTTGGTCTGGCATGCCAGACGGAATGTCGGGGCGGCGACATGCCGACGGATCGACTCGCCTCTAAAATCGGGTTCTAGATGTCCATAGAACCCCGCACACGATCAAAATCGAAATCGTGGAGTCGCTGGCTGTGATCGGATATGTGCAACGTCAACTAACCGTCCCAAAATAATATATTCCAGCTTCAACTTGATGCTATAGACCAGCACCTTCGTGGTGACCTGTAAGGTGAAATAGCCCGCGAACTGAACCGCCACCACCGCTAAATCGAGCACCATGATAGCCACATTGACGATGATTAGTTGCGTGAGAATGGTGCGCGACGGCCCTCCGTGGTCCAGCCGCAGTAATTTAGCGGTCTCCATAATGTATACGGAGGAGATTAGAAGCTCTTGCACACAGAACCACACTACCTGAATTCGTTCCATGATACCGAACGCCACCGTCACGTTGTGAATGTGGGAGAGACCATTGTTCATGAACTCGAGCGTGGTCGCCGCGGTATGGAGGAGGACACCATCAATGATAATGAGGTAGAGAATGCCTTTGAGCACCTTGCGATTGTGAACGACGAGGTGCAAACGTGACCAGAGGACGAGGGATTGGCCGGTGACCATACCTACCCAGCCGATGTCGGTGATAGCTAACTCGAGATATCCGTTGGTGAAGGTGATATGAAACATCTTCAGGAGATATCCCAGGCCAAAGGGGATGATGGAGATGGAGGCCACGAAGAGACTCCAAAAGTAGGTGCCGGCATAGCGCTTGAACGTATTGAGACAGAGGACCACCAGCTCGAGGGCATTACACCAGGCGAGAGCGATAAAGACGGAGTAGACATATTGAGCGACGAGCGGATCGGTCAGTTGCCGCGCTAAACCCGTGCCGTCATTCTCGGGGGTGAAGCGTGGCATAGATTCTTAGGGCGAACATGGGATGGTGTTTCGTTTCTCCTGATCGATTGTATCGATCGCGCTATCTATCCATGTATGTAGGATCTAGCCGGGGTTGGGATTGGCAGACAGGCTCATTTAGTGTTAAAAGGAGAACGAAGGAAAGGGAAGGGGAAAGGAAGGGGAAAAAGAACCGGAGGCTAAAACGCACAGCGTCAGGTGAATAAGCTTTCGGCGAGAATATCTTAGTTCCTCAGGCTTGGAATGGAAGCCTCAGTCCGACGTCAACCTTGGAAGCTCAGGACTCCATCCAGTACCTAAAGTACCGTGAGAGGTGATGAAAAACTTCTTGGGTCAGCCAATTGTGTCATGAAGAACCCCCTTTTGCAATATGCCCGTATCTCCAATTGGCTGGAGATACATACCCCGGATAGCCGGAACCCAATCAGACGCCCGTCATTCTGCTTATCGCATGGACGCCACCAATCGGTGGTCTGGGCTTCCGTCATTGGTCAATGGGGGAGGAGAAACACAACTCCGGTTAGTACCTCGTGTCGTTCCATCACGTGGCGACCATCTGACTGGTAGCCTTCCATTACTCTTCTGACAACTACAACTACTTCAACTACTCCGTACTTGGGTGTATTACGTGACCACGGCTATGTGACAATTCCCTCATGCAAATCGTGTATGACATTATACCTCTTCGAACTCATGGGACAGCGATTATATATCCCCCGCTAGTAACCATGTCTGAGAAATGGCCAGGCCACTAGGTAATTACATCCAACTTAAACCTCTCGTCCTAGCTTCATGAAACCTCCTGGGACCTCCCACTCTGGTGCTTGTTTGCAGAGGATTCAATATCGGGCTCACTGGCCTTGCGCAGCTGGTTCTGATGTGTAGCGCCCTTACCAGCCATGAGGAATCCATAATCGTGTGGAGCCTCCCACACACCCAGTTTGTCAACTTCTTTGGCCGTCCAGTGCTGCGGGTTCCGTCTCGTCCATTTCCTTTCTTTGGCAAATTTCTCATTTAGTCCGGTGAACATATTCTCATACCTCTCCGATCCCTTGCTCCAGCCGCCATTGCGCTGGTAGCACCTCTGGAGCAAGGCCGTTTGCTTGGAAGCAATCTCAGCCGCCTCCGACAGCGTGATATCTGCGCTGTCCTCGAGAAGCTGGCGCAGGACGGATTCGTGTACCCCCATTGCGCGAACGTGATCACCTTCTGTGGTGTAGAGAGCCGACAGTAGATTCGTCAACTCTAGAGCACTCCGATCAAATTGACCCCAGACTCGCTTAACATTATAGCATAGACCCCCACAAAGCTGAGTCGCTTGTATCGTCCGACCATTTGAGAAGCGGGCCTCGACCAACCGACGTCCCACCAGAATGATAGTATCCGAAGACCATGTCTTTTGAACAACCCGAGAGGACCACAACTCGCTCAGGAGAAACTGTGCATGTGTCAGCGGTAGAGAAATACAAACAGACAAGAAAAAAAAAAAGACTGCGAGGAGGCCGGGTGAGCATGGATATTTACCTCTAGATCTTCAAAGTTCCTCTGGCCACCTAACAAGATTGCAAGTTGATTGAGATCCGTGGTCTCAAAGTCCGTGAGATTCACCCCTTTCTCATGATAAGAGGAGATAATCTCATGCAAAATGGTCTTGGAGAGTACTAGCATTTTTCCACTCAGTTCACGATCGGAACATCTCCGGGAGCCTTGGACAAGAAGATGCTCGGAGAGCTTCACTCCATCTCGGGTACTGTCCTGATCCTGAAACCCGCCGGAATCTTTGACGAACTCGTGAAGCATGGCGGTATGGCTATACGCTTGTCGAAAACGGCCGGTAGCCAGCTTTTGATAAACATTATCGACAATCACGCGAGTCAATCTCCTCACTAGACTTCCCTGAGGTGCCTGCGAGATACAGACGTCGTAGAACTCTCGCAGGATGGTCTTGCTAGTTTCAATGCCAGTGAACCGCTCGGTAAACAACTGGAACAACTCTGTATCGGTGGCGTTGGCGTTCTCAGTCCAACCATTGAGGCTTTGGAAATTCATCAAGTGGATTCCAGCAATGAACATGTGGATGAAGCCCTTCTGTTTTCTGGCGTGATGGAACGCCGAGTACAGCTGAATCTCTGCGATCAGGTCGGCCATCATGGATGCATAGTTGCGACTATTCCTCAGAGACATCTCAAATGCGACAACGAAGCTGGCGGCCCTATGAGACCCCTCCGTTTCCATCGCCTCTTGCATGAGTCGGTGGCGGAGCTCTCTCGAAAGCCGAACCCCCTTTTCTTTCAATCCAAAGTTCACGTACATTAGCGCAAGCTCGACAGCTGCGGTGTGCAAATGCTGACTGTCGGCTTTCTCTTCGAAGGCTGCCACAGTACTTGTCTCGAGTGTCTCCTGAAGCTCCTGACGAGCAACTTTATTGTTCTGTCGATGCAGTAGTTGTAGCAATTCCCGCAACTGCGGGAGACTATATTCCTGAGAAGCATATCCATGATCATGAATAGAAGAAGTATATCTTTCTCTGTATAGTGCAGCAGCCTTGTGAGTGGTCCGAGATTGGCGGGCGTAGAGATCTGCCAAACAGTGTTTCATGGCCATTGTGGTTATTTCCTGTCGCCCAGCGACAGTTTCGCTCTGCTCAAGAGCTGTTTCATACAGCTCCACTGCTTCGTCATGATATCTCTCATCTCTGCGAGAGATTTCTGCCAAAGAAAGTGTTGCCTCGTAGGCTTGTCTACTTGAGCTTCCATGCCGTCGTTGGCAGATCTTGCGATAACTGGCCGCCAGGTCATGGATTTCCACGACATTTGCACCCAGCTTTGTCTCTAACAACGTCTTATAATGCTGATAGACTTCTTCGATAAGCTCACTGTCTACTAGATGGTCTTTGTCGCCACTGGAAATTGTCTGCCACATCACCTCATAAACGCCCCTTGCCTTCGTCCACTTTTCAGTTTCTTCGTAAATGGTAACTAGAGCCCGAGCAGCGGCAATGGCTCGATGGTCTAACTGACTGTTGTGGCGAAGGTTGTTGTATATTTCTTGATATGCTTGTTCAGCTTCCGTTTTGTGGTGACACCTCTTTGCCAAGTCTCCCCATTCGTACAGTATCTCAATGCTCTGCTTGTGGGCCTTGCCTAAGCGCGACGAAATATTACTATACAAGTCTCCGTATGTCTTTATTGCCTCATGGAAGCGATATATGGTTCGGTAAAAAGTAATTACTTTGTCCGCAGTGGATCGAATCATCTGCGTGTCAGTGGCATCAGAAGAGAGCACGGTCTTCAGGACGTTTTGATAAACCAGTGCCGCCTTGTCGACTTGCAGATCCTTGAAGTAACAATCCGCAAGGCTTGTTGCTAGCTCGACCGTTTCATCAACGTTCTCGCTGAGTCGGATCGTCGTCGACTTGCTGTCAATTTCGGCCCAGAGATGATACAGAGCTCGACGATATACATCAGCAGCCTCCGCGTATCGTTCTCTTTCCATCAATGAAGATGCCACCTGCTTGGCGGCCTTCATTGATGCCAGTGCAGTATCGGATGAATCCATCCCTACTGATCTGGCAGACTCCAAAATCTCATGGATTATCTGGATTTGCTCCTCAGACATAGACGCCTCGCCTGATGAAGCGGTAGAGTTAGATTGCTGCACAATCTGGGCTAACGATGCGGTGACTTGGACAAACCGCTGTGAGACTTGCTTCTGGGACTTGTGATATTCCCACAATGTTCCCATGGCCGACTGGGCTAGAGCGTCCCATTTCATCTTTCGAATATGACCGATTACTAATTCAAAAGTTGAGCTTAACTGGTCAAAGCGAGAGACCCGAGATTCCAAGCAGAACCATGCAGCACTGGTAACCGATTCTGCCTCTTTCTTACGAGAATGCCGCTCTAAATACTCAGCATATCTTATAGTGAACTCTGCCTGTTGCTTGGTGACAGTATCCGAGGTATCCTCAACGGCTAAAAGCTTTCTCCAGGTATCCATGAAAAGCGCATCGGCTTTGGAGGTTTCCCCTCCTTCATCGTAGACCTTGATCATTTGTAACGTCGAATCGATCATACGTTGGTCGGTGACCGCTAAACTCTGCTTCGAAAATTCATGTTCGGTCTGCAATATTTCTGCAGTAACGTCAGACATAGACAGCCTTTCGAGTTGCCTGTATATGTGCTGAGTTATCTTTTCCATCTCATGAGAGTGTTGGCCATATCGAGCGATGCTCATCTCAAAGAGCTCTTTGGATAATCTTCTCACGGACTCCTTGCGTTTCAGAGTGGCATGGTGATCGAGCAGCATTTGTGTGTATTTGATTGCTACGTCATTTGAAAACCCGATTTCTTCCTTGGTTGCTCGCAACAGATACTCTAGTACTTCCTCCTTGTGGTCCAAGAAGGCCTCATGCCTAGAGTCTCTTTGTGCTGCAACGTCAATGAAGACCTCTGCGCTAAATCTTGTAACGATATTGCGTGATCCCAAGAGGGAGCTGCTCTTTCTCCAGGCCTCGTAGGAATAGTCAACAGTGTCAACGGACTCAAGCCGCTGTGAAACTTGTGCTGCGCTGATTAAGCTTTGCAAAAGTGGCAAGGAAAGGTCTGGGAGGAGCTGCCGACGAAGTTGGACGGCAAAGGCCTGCAGCTCCTGCACCTGGTACGGCAGATATTGCAGTTGATGGCAGCCGCCTTCGAGCAGTGCGAGTAAAACGGAGTCCGGGAAACACCGCTTGAATAGATTGGTTACCTTGAAGTTGTCTCTTTCCTTCTCGTTCATCTGAGAAGACCTGAAGTGCAGCGTCCAGTACCTTGCTGCATACTCGAGAAGGTGATATTGATCGAAATATCTGCGTTGGGCAGACTCGCTCAAAGGTGTCGTTGAGACCTCTACCTCATCAGTCACATTGAGCTTCACATAGGCTAATAACCGCGTAAGAAGGTCGGAATGCGCTTCCTTCATGGTTAGCGGCAGTTTTCCTTTGTCGCTGTCACCAGCGGCTGACTTCGCCTGATTGATAAGATACTGTCGTAGGGCAGAAGATCTAAGGGAAATTACTTCGTCTTCAATTTTAATAAAGGAGCCGAACATCCGACGGATGTCGCCTTCCGTGTTTCCTACACGAGGTACAACCTCCGTCCTTTTCGTGTCGACCTCCAAAAGAGAACGAATCTCTTCCATTCGTAGAGGGCGGTGGGAAACGATCGTCCAAGCCAAAACTGATCGTGCTGTCCAATCACTCAGGTCAATCGAATCGAGTGTCTGTTTTAATACATCTTGAAGCGAAGAAGGGATTTTTTGCACCAGAGATATCATGTCTGACGAAGTCCTCAGGGCATTCAACTGACCGACTGCCAATTGTGCAATAGGAAAACATCCGTTTGCTTTCTTTACAATGCCACTCTCGATTGCCTCTCGGTCTTCTAATGCTAGCCCGATGCACACTTCGGAGCACTCAATCTCGTTGCGAACTACGGTTCGAACATCGCCTGCTGTCTGGTTTGGCTCCATCTTGATCCGATAAGCGTCACTAGGCACGCCATTCAAGGGCCTGGAGAGGGCAATCACTTTGATTGAAGGGCTTTGTGAAACCAGCGTTCTCAAGTGACCAAAGAGACGCGGAATAACCTCGAGATCCCCGTTGAGACTGTCGATACCATCGAGGATAACCATCATTTTGCCTGTTTCTTTCACAGCTATATTGATAGCCCGCCATAAAGAGTCCTCCACACTCTTACTGGAAGCCCCAGACGAGTGTAGGTGCATTGAGTGTTCCAGAGCCCTTAGTAAATATCCATCCTTTGCTTGACGTCCAAGTATCTCCAATAGTAGACCTTTCGCTAAACCTATAGGACCTGTTGTAGCGCTAATATCGTCATCTGCACGAGAATTAGCTCACTGTCGCTTGAATTTCCCGTTTCTTAGAATTTATATCTCACAAACTCTGAAGGTGACTACATCATAATCATGTGGATCCGTTGATGTTTGAAGTTGCTGGATGATCCACTCAGATAAAACAGTCTTCCCTGTGCCTGTGTCACCGGTTACAGTAAATAACTGACTCTCGCTCGATCGTATCTGGGAAAGTCTATTGGAAAACCACTCGCAGGTGTACTCTGCCGGCTGAGGTGAGCGTGCAGAAAGGATCCTCGAGGCCACCCGATCCTTGACAGACAAGTACTCCCATATCTCTTGCACCTTCTCTGATGGATCTACACTGACATCGCTCATGATAAGCCTACTCCAAAGCCTTTCTTTAACCGCGATCCGATGGCAATGGAATGCTTGAATCTGTGGATTGAATCGGGACTGTAAATCGGATGTATCGAGAGCCTTGGAGGCGCCATGAGCTTTTCGAAAATAGTGCACACTGGCTGAACAAATGAGCCCACTTAGCTCAGCATACGCAGCAACAAGCTCTTGTTGTGCAACGTTGTCGGACATTAAGAGCTCCCGATTGTTCCTAAAATGCGACAATTCAACCGCAAGTCTATGGAGTATCTGAACAAACGAGGCTAGGAGACTTGCTTGTTCTGAACCACACTGATCTCAAGTTAGTGGGATTCACTTGGCGTAGAGCCTCTGCCCTTATCCGGATACGCACCTGCAGAAGCAATAAAAGACTCCCACCCATTAGTCGGATTGCGCGCTCGGTTCCGGATGTGAAACTCGCAATTAGTCGGGCGAGCTGCTCCAACCGGCCCACTAGGACCACAGCTTGCTTGAAAGCTCGATCAAGCTGACTACCATTTTCGGGCATAAACCGTAATCGTTCATCTGCGATGCCGTCGAAGATATCTGTCGTCGCTCGGACACTATCGAGCACTTCTTTTGCCGATGCATCAAGCTGAGGTCGTACTCGGGAGGCGATTTGATCACTAGCCTGGTGGAGGGTGCCCAGCTTTCGAGCGTCATCCGTGCTCCCATTCTCTTCTGTTCCGGAGATCACATCGTGGAATACGTCCTGCCGGAAGGACGGATACCCGGCGGTGGGAGGAGCGACCTCAGCCGACATTTGCAACTCAACGCAGCCCTTCTTTCAGAATACCGTGTTGGCGCATGTGCATAAGTCTGTATTTGCTTAATTGACAAAGACGCGGGCCAGAATGGCTTTTAATTGACATCAAAGTCTGGCCAGGCGGCTGTCAGAATATGTAGTGATCTCATTGACATCATCACTTCTGAGAGTTTCGTAGACTGCTGCACGCACACGGTAGTCGTCTGTATGACAGCATCTGTACCTGACTGTCTTTCCCACAAAGGGAGATTTCCGATGGATACCTCGCTGGTCAGTGAACCATTCACAGCTTTATTTGGAATTGCGAAGACATCATGCCTTCCATCGTATGGGAGTGTCTGGTCCATGTTTCTATTTACATCATGGACCCGGTTGAACCCGTGACGACCTTCCGCAACGGTCCACAGCGTAACCCTAAACGCTGACTTATACACTTTGATATTCAACTGTTTCCATTGTTTCCGACTAGAATCCTGTTTTTGAACGACAGTGCATGGATTGGCTTTCTGGTACAATCGCTCATATAAGGTTTCTTCTCCACACCCCGCACCACACCTTTTATCCGCGCACATCCGGTGCTTCATTACGTATTTGCCATGGCCTGTGGACAGGGAATACTTGCCTCTGTTCATACCGAGTAATCCTGTGACTCGATCGTCTCTTGGAAAAGTGTGAGATAGACGACTTGGACTAGCGGACGAAACCCAGGTCCGCCCATCCTGGTGCCTGTTCGGACGGTCTAATCAATTTATTAATGCTTCAGCCTATGCTTCCTTACAAATTGTTGCCTTAAGGGCCCTTCCAATATCGTGTTTAGCTCAGGTGGAAGTCTAAGGGACGTATCTATTCCTGAAAGCAATCGCGTCTCCTTTCGTGGATAATCGCCAGTATCAGCTTCCAACGATGGCCATGAACCCCATCGATCATGAACACATGCCATGCCAAGTCCATTAGACCAATAAGCTTATACCATGTTTCCGTTAATATCCTCGTAATACCCACCTCATCCGACCCGTTGGTACTAAAAGTAATCTGCAAGACTCGGAAGATCACCGAAGAGCATGTTTCCACTCCCTAACGCTACCTTTTCAGTATTAGAGTCTAAAATAGATCGTATAAATCGGTAAGCCAGAGGCTGAGAGATTCTGTAGTACATTATGGAACCATACATGGTTTCGGGCCAAGACCGAGGTTGGATGGGAATCCTTCAAATAGTGTATTCACAACGGGCATTCTGCGTGTGTTTAGGACTAGAACAATCGGCTTACCGAGGAAATAGTTGCAATAGAAAGGGACTTGTGGAGTAGCATAATAAAGATATCATACTATCGGATTTGATATCGCATGGTCAGGGGAGTGTGGCTTAGCTACGGGTACTCTTGTAGATTGCGGAGGGAAGCTCCTATGAGGCAATAACAAAACAAAGAGAAAGGAGAAAAGTAAGTATGTATTCCGCAAAGTTATGCATCAAAGGAGAGCAGTGCCCTGGTGCCCCGTTGCCCCGTGGCTGTATAACTCTGTGCAGTCTTCTGGTCCGGCCGATGTATCTGTCCTGCAACGCCCAGCTATTCTCCTGTAGAAACCTCCAGATACATTAGAATGTAGCTCTAGGCACCGAGGTCCTAAACTGTAGCCGAGCCAATAGCAGTGGATATCAAGGAGGAGAAAGGATGGATAACGCGTCGTGCTAACAGATTTAATCTATTGCGGGCAAGCACGTGGTCCTCCTGTTGGTGGAGATCAGCTGCCGATTTGCCCTAATTGTCAAATTATGATCGTCCCCTTCGGCAGCCACGGAGTACTAACTCGAAATGTGCTCCTTCTCTCTCTCGCAAGATGAAAGAAGCAAAAGGAAGAAAGCCCTATATAAAGGACGCCTGTTTCGCGATGGGACATATTCAATAGTTGACTTTCCTACTCAAACCGTCGCCATGCATCTTCCGCTCACTCTCGCTGTGCTGCCTCTTGCAGCCCAGGCTGTAAACATCATATCCGCCAACGATGACGGGTGGGCCGAGAAGAACATCCGCACTCTCTACGACACGTTGACCGCGGCTGGTCACTCGGTGGTGATTTCGGCGCCAGCGGAAAATAAGAGCGGAACAGGTATGCTCTCCTTGTTGCTCTCCTTGCCACACACTGGGATCTAACCGTTTACACATTTTAGGCTCCTTGGATGCAGAGCCTAAGCAATTGACCGAAGCCTGCGAGTTTGACAGCTGCCCGGAAGGCAGCCCCGCAGTGGGAAACAACGCTACCCAGCCGCGGTGGAACTACGTGAACTCGTACCCAGTCACGTCAATCAAGCATGGTATCCAGAACCTCTCGACCACCTACTTCAACGGCAACCCGGACCTGGCCGTCACCGGTCCAAACGTCGGCGCCAACCTAGGAGTGGCGAACGCGATTTCCGGCACGGTGGGCGCTGCCTGCTACGCTGCCCACGACGCAGGTATCCCAGCAATTGCCTTCTCCGGCTCCAGCGGTTCTGCGACCGCATGGGATGATCCCACGCCCGAATACGCTACTATCTACGCCCAGCTGGCGGCCAAGGTCGTCGACAAGGTCGTAGCTGCCGGCACGCCCTATCTCCCCGAGGACGTCTACCTCAACGTCAACTTCCCTAAGGTGGACGACTGCGCCAGCGTGGACGACTTCAAGTTCGTGCTCTCGCGTATTTACACCGCCGTCCCCCTTATTTCGGGCGACGATGTAGAAACCTGCAGCAACGATCAGCGCCTTCCGACTGAGACCAAGGTCACGGGTGCGGGCTGCTACGTGAGTATCTCGGTGGGTAACGCGTCTAACAAGAGAGATGCGAATGCGACGCTGCAGGGACAGGTGCTGGACAAGTTGGGCGACTTCCTGACCTGTCTGCCCTAACTAGCTTGAGTGATTGCGCCACCATCAACTGGGTCGGACGTGCATGACTAGGGCGATTTATATTAAAACCGTTGCGTGGTCGGTAGGCTGCATGCGATTGGCGATATTGTTCAGTGTACATAGCCGACGTAATTAATATTAGTGTCATCACTCAATTCTTCCTGATCCTGCAGACTATTAATTTTTCTTGTTTCTGAATTATGATATTACTGCCTAGGTCGGCAGCTTCTTGCGTGCCTACTCGATCTAAACACTGTAGCTCGAATCCTTCATCATGCAGAGAATAAGCTAGCAAGGGTGGCTGCATAACATGATACGCATTAAGCGCTTTATCTACTCGATTAGTTAAAATCCCCGAAAGGTAAGGCCTACCAGAATAGGTACAAAAAGCGCACAGCGCGGTAGACATGTCTTCAAACATGATGCGACTTGGCATAGGTTGCATCCATCGTGCGCAGTAGCACTCTCACAAGCAAACTATCTAGCACTAGCAAGCAGTAGTTCTACACAAGCCGCCTCCGATTGGCAACTATTGAGGATGCGGCCACCACCTGAGACAAGAAATGCGTTAAATGTCAGTCAATCGAAAGGTGCCTGGCACGTTACAACCCACACCCCGCCAAGCCAGGATCAGTCTGATAGACCCTGGCTTATCCACTGACGATCCTTTCAGGAACCACGTTCCTGATATCGCTCGGCTGGTCGGATATCGCGCTGTTCCGCAGGGGGTCCGCAGGTGATCGGCATAACGTCGGAGAATTGTTTGCGCGATGGAATAGGGATCGACGAACTATGCGGAATGGTTCGGTCGCCCGTATAAAGAGTAACGGACATCTGTAGGTACAATGTCGGTCAATTGACTGATCGTCGTGCTCATCCAGGTCTCCAATATGGTCTCCAAACTCCTTCTCCTTACTGCTGCGCTGTCGCAACTCGTCCAGGGTGGGCTCATTCGCCGAGAGTCCATCGACCATGACAAAGTGGTGGGATTCCCTGAGACAGTACCCTCCGGAGCCACTGGCGAGGTGTACAAGGCGTATCAGCCGTTGCTGAAAGTCGTCAATGGATGCGTCCCCTTCCCTGCCGTGGATGCCCACGGAAACACCAAGTAAGCAGGACACCCCCTCGCCATAACCCCGTAGATTTTAGCATACTAAGTGCAACCAGCGGCGGCCTCGACATCTCGGGCTCCAGCAACGGCGACTGCTCCAAGAGCGATGGCCAAGTCTACGTTCGGGGCGGGAAGTCCGGCGACAAGTACGCCCTCATGTACTCCTGGTATTTCCCCAAGGATCAGGCCGCACCGGGCATGGGACACCGCCATGATTGGGAGGGTGTGATCGTCTGGATCTCTGACCCGGCCAAGACATCCGCGGACAACATTCTTGCCGTGTGTCCCTCCGGCCATGGCAAATGGGATTGCTCGACGGACGGCTACACGCTCCAGGAGACACACCCGTTGATCAGGTATTACAGTGTCTGGCCTGTGAACCACCAGTGCGGGCTCACGAATGAGGCTGGCGGATCTCAGCCTTTGGTGGCTTATGAGAGCTTGCCGGAGCCTGCGAAGAATGCGTTGGAGTCTACGGACTTCGTCAAGGCGAATGTGCCATTTAAGGAGGAGAACTGGGCTGAGAATCTGGGAAAGGCTATTTTCTAAATATTGCCAAGGCTTCGTGTGAGTGATGCATATGAACAGGGTAGAGTACACTTTGTATACATAATGTTTAAATTGGGAGCAAACCATGTATATAGCTTGACGGAACGACATTCTTGAAGTACCATTTTCCAGATTTCAGCATGTTAGCTGACATTGTGATAGCTATCGCAGTAGCTCTATCATGGCTGTCTTTGTCATTGTTGAACTGTTTCTTTCCATGTGTTGTACCAAAAATGCTAAATGCAATGACTATGAACTAGTATAAACGGAGCCCTAATTACTGGCACCAGCCTCACACCGGATCCCAAGCAGAGAATCCGCTCCACATACTTAGCAAAGTTAATGTTAGAATAATCATGTTGTGGAGTTCAGACGATGTAAATATCTTCGTAAAGACCACCATTTCATCTTCCTGCCATTAACGATTTTAAATGGCGATGTAACTCGCCTCCACTGCTATCAACTCCCATGAACTAAAGGCCAATGATACCACTGCTTGATATTATGTTAAGTTGAGCGCAGTGGCATACGAATCTTGTCCTGTCTAGTGCATAGAACGTCAGAGGAAGAGTACTTAGTGATTGAAAATTAGCGGTATTCTTCACTAATGTGGAATACTACTACAGTTTTGAGAGAGCAAGCACTACGCGGATAGGATAGGCTGGACCGGAAAAACAACTGTGGTCAATTGAGTTTGTGGCTCATGAGTTCACAGAAAGAATCTATAATACAGTTTTCCAAAGCATTCCGATTTCTCTTCAGCGCAAACAGTATCTTGAACCCTAATGATGTCATCTCCTTGGAGTCAACGCTTAGCGGGAGGCAGCAGCAGAAGAGGTGGGAGCAGCCGAAGAAGATGGAACAGCCGAGGAAGAGGGAGAGCGAGTAGGGGCAGCGGAAGAGGAGGCGGCGCCCGAGGAGGAGGCACCAGAGCCCGAGGCAGGAGTGGTAGCAGCGGCGCCAACGGTGAGGGCGGTGCCGGTCGAGGTAACGGCAGAGGTGGCTTGGGTCACACCAGTAGCGGCGCCGGTGTAGAGGCTGGGCCAGGAACTGGGTAGCTGGAGACGACCTCATAGATGTTGAAGATGATGCCATCGCTGGTTGGGGTGTAGAGCTCGGTTCCAACGACACCGGCGGGCTTGTCGGCACCATCACCGTTGACCTTAAGGTTGAAGCAAGAGGGGTAGTTCTGAGCACCACCCTCCGTGCCGGCGGAGTGGAGGGCAATCAGCTCGTGGCGGAGGACATAGTAGCCCGGAGCGATCGACTTGGGGATCTCGACGAGCCAGCTGTTGTTGTTCTTGATCAACTGGTCGTCGCCCCAGACACCGGGGACACTGGAGCCATCCACAATACCGACACCATCGATCTTGAAGAACTCGAGAGAGGTCTTGTCAACCGAGGCGCAGTTGGGCTCACAGCGGGCGAGGTAGTCAATGACAGGGCCGTGGTGGGATTCAGGCCATGGAGTCCATTGAAGGCTGATGCGGTCTCCGGCGTTGACCTCGACGTAACCATTGCCAGCGGTAGCGTTCTGGTGGCAGATGATGTCGGGCGAAGTGTAGTCATCAGGGGCGAGAGGGCCGTTGCCAGTGTTGGGAGTGGTCCAGGCGGCTACGGTGGGCGCGCTTTCACCCATGTAAGGGAAGGAGTTGATATCGAATCCCTCGTAGTAGACGCCGTTGACCACGATGTTGGTGACATGGCCGTGGGCAGCAACCTTGGTGGCCGAGAGGAGGGCCGTCAGAAGAGAAGCAGACTGAACGTGACGCATTTTGTCAGGGCAAAGAAAGAAGTTCAGATAATGAATGGGGTTAGGTAGCGAAAGAGTGATATATGCGGTCCAGCGCAACGAATGTAAAGATTTAGCCTGGTAGGCAAATACAGAATAAAGATATTGAAAGAAAGACCGGTGATTGAATAGAGGAAAAGAATGAACGAGCCCATCGTCCTTTTTAAATCACAAAGATGAATCTGACCGCCACCCTATACCTCACACCTCAAACGTCCGTTCCTCTCTTCTGCATGCACGATGGCCCATCGCTTGCGTGCCCTGGAAGGATAGCCCGAAGAAAAGCCACCAGACGCTGCGGTTCCACAAGCGCCGAAGTAATCAATGTGAGAATACACGGTGATCGATCAACTAGTGAGTGTAAGCGACGACAGGATAGGGTATTTTTTTCGGGTCTTCCTCCAAAGATACCAACCCTGCCAGGAGTTTAAACGTAGCAGATTGATTTAAATTGGCGCCGATCCCCGTTAGTTGGTTTGGAGGTGAAATTATCCGTAGCATGGATCCACCACTCACGCCCTTGAAAACCTTTAGCCGCGACAAGAGTGGAGATAGTCTAACTAATAATAGTCGTTATTATCCCTACTGCATCCCTAGTCTACTATAGAGCTAGAATGTAAGCCATGATTGCTGGGATTACCTCACTCCATAAGGTTGTTTCATGTCCATGTTGACTGTCACACCATCATGAAGACAAGTCTACGGATACTCGCGAATCAGCTGGAGTGTAGGCATGGCAAAGACCCCAACAAGTTGCCGAGGGATTATAACAGCTCCATTTCTTCCGCCTCTAATGAGTAGCCAAGCCGGGAAATTATTGCAATGCGATATTAATCTTCACCTGATTGTCTTGAGACCATCCTTCGGCCCGAGCCCGGACCAATAGAACACTCTGAGAATTCCTGATATCTTTCCATTGGTCCTCTAGAGCTGGTGGTTCCACTATTGGGTGCCAAAGCTCATATTATATGTGAAGCCAGAGGAAAGGGCGAGGCTTTATCTTTCTAACGGGGAAGAAGTGGAGTGACTATTGGCTCCACAGCCCAGGTTCACATCTACAATACACACCAGCAGGTTGTCGAACACAACTAATTCGTATACTCCAATCCAGTCCAACTTTATAGTAGACTGTCTGGGTCTTCCAAAGGCTCTAATCTCCCATATTCATCTACTGCACGTATTATCGACCGGTCTAGAATATCTCTAGGGTTCAATGAGCTCAATAACATCTTACATAGTCTTCACAGTTGGGTCTTAATAAATGCCTGATGCAGGCGTCAACCCAATAGTTTATATTCTTTGCTAAACATGCTTCTAGGGTCAAGGTGGATACTCTATAGTTCCTGGTGCCACTATTCAAATGTTGCTGCATTCAGATAGGCATGGAAGTTCACCCCCTTCCATGTCTATCGTACTCCTAAAGGAGGCGCAGGTACGGTACCTCAGCCACAGGAGATAAATTTACTTCCTTCCCCTTTCATTGGCCCCATGGATCGTCAGCCTTTCTATAATAGTAGCGCAACTATGATCATCCTACTCGTACGAACCCCTGGTCTGAAAAAGGAAGTTACTGCTAGTAGTGATGATCCACTTCTAGAAGGAATATATGAGAAAGAGTTATATGCGAAGAGTGAAATCTCCGTGAAGATCTCACATCATATCCGTCAAACATACTCGTAATGAACCAGGAGTCAGCATACTTGTCCGTTGTTCTGGCCTTCGGCGAAGGTTTGTCCAATATATTGACAATGACAACCCCAAATGCTAGATGCCTTTAGCATTTCTGGTCGATTACTGAAAGGGATATATTGTCAACTGATGCGTGATCGATGATGGACAATGATATATTATTGAACGACTGCAGTATTTCAACTAGTGATCGTGATGTAGTGTCATGCAATCTGCAAAAGAAACGCCATGGGGATCCTGCGCCTGCCTTCCTGAAGCTATGGAGGGTTTCTTTACAAAACAATTTGAGGTGTATGTCATAGTCTTCGAAGTGCAGTGATAAAGAGGAGCAGACCCTTCGAGAGACAGGGTGAAAGTTCACGTGGGAAAGCCATACAACTACACACGTAAAAACCAATATAAAAGGAATAAGAAAAATGGTACACAGCGCGGGAAAAAGATGTGGGGAGAAAAACAGCAAAAAGAATGACCGACGCAGGGATCGAACCTGCAATCTCTTGATTCGTAGTCAAGCGCCTTGCCATTGGGCCAGCCGGCCAATTGTTGAAGTAACAATTGATTATTTGATATTATGAAACCAAGGATATACAAGTTTTACTTTTCATTTTTGCATCACTCTTGCCACTCAGAGCGCGCGTCTAGGAGATGTGACGTGCCAAAAGTTTTCAAAGCCTACCACTAATAGTTTTCTTAGTCTTTTCTCATTTCCGGTAGAGCGTTCCAGATGCAACCTGTTGATCTTAGCTTTTACAGAATTTAATGCTATCTGGGGAATAGTTCGCTTTATGGTCGCTACTATATATGGTCATGGACTTATATATATATTGTCGGGTGGATAACTATATACCCACGTACCCAGACAGGAATTGTACCTTGAAAACGCTTTCAAGTATATTTTCAATTCAGCAGTGAACTACAGTGCTTTCTGTCTAATTCAGAAACAATATACCAATTGCGTGTGGAAAATTTGAGGGCTATATAAAATACAAATGCACAGCTCAACTTGTTACTGTCTGTTTTGCACATATTCTCCCACAAGGTGAGAGTAAGTCCTAATTTGGGTAGTTGATTGAGTGAAAGACATTGGAAGGTGTCTAAAAATACCGAGATTTCTGGTAACAATATCGGACACTTGGAAACCCCCAGTTGAGGGGTTTCAACTCATGGTCAGAGCTACCAATACCAGCTACCGCGATCTCAACCATTGTGTAATTTAATAGAATGCGGCAGTTCTGTATCACATTTCTTTGGCAATGTCTACCCCAAGCCAACGATAAAAGACATCTATGCAGAGCTAAGTATACATACAAAATAGTCGACATGTGTGAATGTGCTGCATGCCCAGCAGTAAATAGTAGGAAGGCAGCCGAAGTCACTATTCCAGGATTCCTCCCCTAAGTATCGACCCCCTCCTACGGAAACCATAACTAGCTACTCGAGCGAGTCATCTATTTCAGCTCACCCTCACCATTGCACATCTTCAGAGGGTACCCGTCACCCAGGCAGCTGGTGATCACACCCTGCACCCAGTCCAGCTTGGCCTGCTGGTAGGAGACGCTCTTGCGGTCGAACGAATCGGCCTGGAAGTACTCGTACTGAGCCTTGCCAGGAGCACCGCTGAAAACATAGCCTCTGCGGCGGTGGGTCAAGGGGTTGCTAACAATGGCACCCCACTTGTCCTTGGGGATCGTCATGGTGGCCGTGCCGGTAAGAGTGTTGGTAACAGTATCTTGGTAGTTGATACTGGCGCCAATCTGGAGCCACTTCTCAACAGTAGCAGTGAAAGAGGTACCGACGCTGATGCTGTTGGCAACGCTCTGACCGGCGGCAATGGCGACAGTGGCGGCGGCTCCGTTGGCGTGAGTGATGGGGGACATGGCGATATCCCAGCCCAGGAATTCCTGGTCGGGGAGAGGGATGATGAACTGAGCATCACCGCGCTTCTGAAGACCGGTGAAGCCGTCGGACTTGAAGGACCGGGGGAGGTTGTCGGTCGGGGGCTCAAGGGAGATGCCGTTCAGGTGAGATTCAAGGTCCTTTTTCTCAACAGCCTTGGTAGTACCGTCACCGAGGACGAGGATGGCCTTGTCGGCGGAGATTTGATCGGCAGGGAGAGCCGTAGTGAGGGCACTATTGGCGCAAAGGGAGGCCAGCAAGACGAAGGGGACCTTCATGATGTCGAGATGAGCAATTTAATTGCTAAGGAAGTATTAAAAAAGATTGCGAAGGTTGCTTGGAGAGAGAGAACAAGTCGGGGGAAGAGGTCAATTGACGGGAAGGAGGCTTCTATATAGAATCTGGCCACGGGGAGTATGTAGCTGCCATTGGGAATCCAACGGGACCAAAGACCAAGATGAATACCTCTGAATCAGGAGCCACTCTCGGCATAGCTGACGTGCCATTCACCATGGGGTGTCGGAGGATTGGCAGGCGATCCCTCTATCCTATTTGGAAGGAATTCTCCGAGGATTGCCCGGAAACAGATGAGCGTCTTAGAAATAGTCTAAGACTAAAGGATCTGGTGATAGTTGAATGTCACCCCCATATTTGGAAGGCAGCAGTAGATAGCCGGCATGTGGGAGACAATAATTCCCGCAGGTTAATCTAATTAGCTTTACGCTGAAGAATGTACGTACTCAGACATAGGGCCCATGTTCCTGTCGATCATCAGTCGTGGACCCAAGGCACCGGGTCATTGGCCATGATTTAACGTTAACTCAGGCCACTGGGGATATTATTGCTTGGACAGGCATTCAGGAACCTGGTGAAGTGGAGCAAAACCGACGAGCTTTCCCCAGGGATCAGTAGCATGGGGGATAGTCATACACTACCACACATTTGATTGCATCCAGCCCCACAAGCGTCGACGAACCACCAGTAGAATGAAGTCCGATGGTCTCACTATCTCACTATGGAGCACAGCCACGGATATCAAGGTTCCAATCTACAGTTTTGCCACCCGCTATTCCTTCGCCTTACTATCTTGTGCACCGAGGGCATCCCCATCGCCCAACCGTGTTGATCGCTTCCGAAATGATCGACCCGGGTATCCCCACGCGGCTCCGATTGGATCTACAGGTGAGACAATGAGGTGCAGCTACTGCTACGAAGGATTAAACGCAGTCCTGCATATGCATTTAATGTCCAGAAGTGAAACATCTCCCGCGCTGAAAGACGTTGGCTAGCCGGAAATAGAGTCCCAGATCACTGCCGGTACCTGCATTATCAACGGCCAAGCACATCATTCTGATTCAGGTCATGTCATGAGGAGTCTTGTCGGTTCGCAGATTATGATCGTGGGATCTACATGGGGTATCTTCGGATATTTCGCCTTGGACCGAGACATGCCATTACCATGACAGGAGCCCCGGGATCGGCTCTGTACACATATACTCCGCCAGGGATACCCTCTCGTGACCGTTCGTCATCTTTCTTAAGTACTACCGTTGCTCGCGAACGTCAGGAGTTCCAATCTAGGATTCCCAAACCCCAACACACCACCTATCATCTCTCACTTCTTCGTCGGGACACAAGCAAACATGAAGGCATCTCTCTCTTTGATCGTTGCAGCTCTGGCCGCTGGGTACGGGAATTCATTTACTACCTAACCAACTTCAACCACTGGCAGTATTAACGATTCATTAGTGTCGTTGCGGATCTTCACTATACCGGTGTTTGCGTTGATACCAATGGCGGTGTTGTACGTGCTATCCCCATTCACTTTCCCCCGCAACAGTCAATCTAACAATCTACTTAGGATGCCTATAACCGGGCTGCCACCGAGAAGGCTTGCGCCGCGTACAAGAAGCGCAACACCGGCAACAAGCAATGGGATCAGTGCCCCGACTGCACAGTGAAGAACGAGAAGGACCTCCTCTATTACTGCGACTCCGCAGCCCAGCACATTGGAGGTGATGAGCTGCACTACTATTGCACACAGAATGGCGCCGGTGGCAGTGTGGCCTGGTAGATTGAGTATCGCGGACTTGATTAGGACAACGCAACTATAGTGGGTGATGGGCTTGAGTTAGTCGCAAGGCAGTCAGCGAGTATTGTACCTCTTTTTACAACATGTATATCACAGAATATTCTCCTGGTTAATGGGCCTGGGCCCTCGAATGGGTTTGCAAACAAGGGCGACATGCGCTTCTCACCGTTAGTTTGAAGTATTCTGTACTTGAAACACTAGTCCGAGGGACGAACCATGGCGCGAATCTAATAGGATGATCATATCTCCATACTCATAAAGATGACTTATAGGTTTCATCTAGAGAATGATTTGGCGTGGTTATAGAGCATGGTATCCGTCAAAATATAGTAGCTTCAGGTACGGTGGTGGAGCTGGGAGTAACTTATAAAGTCATCATATGTACATCATATGAGACGACTTGGCTTGTCCATCACTACCTAAAATCGAAGATCACAAAAGCCTGAAACACTGAGTAAGGGAACCATCATGAGAGCCTTTGTAAGGCGCCCTACAATCAACGTGAGAGTCTTGAGTCTCTATCGTTGGTGTAGCACTGAACTCCAGGTAATGTCAAGTGACATTAGATGACAAAATTAGGCTCTAACAGTATACGGCAGGATGAGATCCGTATATAGGCAAGGCTCGCCTTATAAAAGAGCAGGGGCCAGGGCTAAGTTGTGGACTATGGCACATAGTGATACATTGTATGGCAGATATGAATCCTGAATGTGGCACAAGGATATTAAAAAAAGTTATAATCATTATGTATGTTGACATGATCGCACTCGCATTAAACATTATTGGTTGCTTGAATAATACCATCATAGACCCTATGGTCTTCCTAGCCCAGAGACAGCTCACTAGGAGTTCCAAAATGAATGCCAAATAAATCAAAAAGGGAGGATGAAGCATTTCATCGCACGTCTTTCCCAGCCATCACTAGATGTCGGTCAGACCTTAAAGTCCGTGCATTCGCAGGATATCAATATTATCGTGATTAAACATTATTTGATGGTGGGAAATCGCAATATCAGACGCTAATGGCGAAAGGTATGTGTTGTAAGCTGTCATGATTATCTTTATGATGAAAAAGATCTTGTCGCTAACAAGCGCCTTAGATATCCGTCTTGCGGGGTTGCTTCCTGAGACGGTGACAAGCCCAGCAGGCCCAGACGAACAAAACAAAATGAAGCACTCTGTTCAAGTCAGTCTAAGCACTGGCTCAAAAGCACTGATTTTTTTTCGTCTTACGAGGTGAGCAAGGCCATCGCGAATCCAAAGAACTCGACCCTTGGCAATGTGGTGTCCCGGCAGACAGATCTACGACAGGAATACCCTCCTTCCGCGGCAGGCGTCAAGACGATCATCGTTACGAGAGTAGTAGCAAACACTGCCGAAAAAGCAATAAAGTCGAATGCAATATGGACGCCCGGATGGAGAGCTCGACGGAGAAGAAGTCTGGCTGTTAAGGGCACAAGCGACCAAAGGAATGCATATGAAGACTGATCGACAACATGAGCTTCCGTAGAGATAGCATCAGATCGCAAAATGAAGTGGCTCACTTACTGGAGCTAATATCATCAGACACAGCATGGCGCCATTGAGATCCGTAAAGACGCGATCGTGAGCTTTTATTGCCCAGGCGAATACCACCAGAGTCGTAAAAGCACTGACAAGTGCTGCTATGCGAAGCGATAAGTTAACCGGATGGCCGCTCTGCAAAAGATACTTTCTGTCCGTCATATTTGGTCTGCAGGACAATTCTGAGCTTAGTGACTTCGAATATGGTTGCAATATGCAGCCATAATCGGAGAAAAGGCTGCATAACACTTCTTTTTGTATGATATTGATGAGGGAGTATTGTTTCTTAGAGTTTCAAGCCACACTGGTGATCTACACGATAGCATCAGCCAAGACTCAAACACGAGGTTGAGCCAACACAGCCGTAATTGCTGAGTTGGTACTAGCCACCCAATAAGAGTTGGCAAAGAAGAGGGCAGTGCCAAAAATATACTAGATTGCCTTACTGCACTGCCCTATGCATGGATAGCATTCCCACCGGAGTCGTCACTGACCCTGGCTGGAGATATAAAGCCGACCAATTAGGAGAATACACCATCCAACTGTAGGGTTGTTTTGGCTTGCTGATACCGTTCATTGGTTCTAGTGCCAAGGGCGCTTAATGGAACTATATCAGGCCATACACTTGTTTTGCTGGGTCCCGCTATAGGCTCAATTATAGGAGTTGTGGGAAGTTCAGGACATGTGCCGAACATCATTGCCAAATATACATCACCCTCAATGGTGAATCGTGTGTATGCATTTACTCTCTAGGTGTGAGTTCTGCATTTCAATATATTTTCATTTGCTCTGACCTTTGCATGTTCACTCAACATGGTTTCCCAGTGCAGAGTCTGTCTGCGTAGAACTTTATGATGATCAGGGTTAGCTTTCCATGCAGTCTCATGTGTACGACAAGATGTTGGATTGATCAAACCTGGAGATACTGCCGATAAGCAGGCCTCATCTGTGTCTACCCGTAGTCACAAACCCATTCCTCTGGCTCCCATCCTGAGAAATCTAGCTGCCTTATTAGAAGTGTGACATAGCAGAGAATGGCATGTGAGATCATCGTTTCTCTCCCCATAGATGGGCTAGTCAAGAGACAACAATATTTATATTTATAGACTGTTTTTAGTACCCACTCAGAAACTTTGGGCAGGGTGCCTTGTGTTCGAGCTCCCGAGACTTCAGTTGGCCAAGCGAGGAGTTTATTCATGCGGCTCATTTACAATGACAGCCTTTATCTCCATTCTATCGCTCATATCACAGACAACACCAGATAAGTCAACCGTAGCGTAGTTGACGGATGCTTGTCTCATAGTGTCGATATACTGACGACTATCTTCCGTCTCTTGGGGCCGATGGGCGGGGGATTCCGCATCGGGCTTTTCCGATCACTTCACTGCCAGCTGTACTTTGGCAGGACGAGAGCTTAGATGCTCTATCTGAGTGAACTACCCATATTGAGGGTGGGTACAGCAACAGAATGGGAGAAACATATCAAAGAGAACGCTCAATGCACCCCTGGATTACGCGACAGTTTCCGACGCAAAGGTAGCGTTCATGTTATGGCTTAATGATTACGAGCGCTTTGCGTCTTTCACTGATCATCATATAAGAGACACGAGTAGACGAACAAAGCTTCAAGCCCAGACACATCGGCTGTTTTACCGCACGACACAAATGACAGCTGCCAACGTACAAACCTAAAGATAACCCTCATCCCTCAGCAAGGCAGAAATGAACGGAGCGTCTAATGGGGTAGCCAACGAGAAGGGCGTTTCCGCTCATGGGACACTTGAGAGACAAACTAAAGCTTCAGTTAATGATACAGCATCTATCCCAGATGGCGGGACTAAGGCCTGGGTGCAGGTTATAGGAACCTTTTTTATTTTCTTCAACACATGGCAAGTTCAAGAGATATAGCCCTGTTAGTCTGGTCTGACGTGTATAGGGGCGTACTAAACACGTTTGGTGCTTATCAGACCTATTATGAGACCCGGAAACTGTTTCCCTCATCCTCATCGAGTATTTCCTGGATAGGTTCAGTGCAGTCGTCTTTGCTCCTCGTCTTAGGATTGATAACTGGTCCGCTGTATGATGCGGGCTACTTTTATCCCCTTCTTTTTAGTGGCTCGTTTATGATCGTATTGGGGCAGATGATGCTGAGCCTCTCCAAGGAGTACTACCAGGTGCTGCTATCACAAGGAGTCTGCATCGGTATTGGAACAGGCTTAATTCTCATTCCTGGCGTTGCTGTGCTCTCCACCTATTTTAGTACGAAGCTGGCCCTTGCGAATGGATTTGCAGCTGCTGGCAGTGGATTGGGTAAGCCGTAGGAGTTGTGTTTTCCTATAGGAGGAAGTGTTTCTGACTTTGAACGGTAGGGGGCATTCTCTATCCGATTATCTTTCACCGACTTCTCAACCAAATTGGATTTGGATGGACCTGTCGTGCGATGGGCCTCGTCATATTAGTCACGATAGCCATTCCGATCACGGTCTTTCGATTACGAGTGAAGCCATCTGGCAAACGGAAACTCTTGGACCTTGGGGCATTTCGCGAGCCCGCGTATACGTTCTTTGTGCTGGGAGGAACTCTCGAATTTATCTCGCTCAACATCCCATTTTACTATATTCAATACTTTGCTATCAGTCAAGGGATCGCCGCTAACGACCTTGGATTCTATCTACTCTCAATTTTGACCACCGGATCGGTTATGGGGAGAATATTACCAAACGTATTTGCCAATATTATAGGCCCATTCAACATCATATTTGCATGCACGGTTATCGCGGGGGCCCTGGTGTTCGCCTTGGTTGATCTATCTAGTCTGGTGGGAGTGATCATCGTGGCTTTTCTTTATGGCTTCTTCACAGGAGCATTTGTGTCCCTGCCGCCCACTTGCTTTGTCAAGCTTTCCCCAGATCGGGCTTTTATTGGCACTCGAATGGGGATGGGGTATGCAGTAATGACTGTCGGAAATCTAGTCGGCACTCCAGCGGCTGGGGCCATCCTGCAAAACCGGGGCTTCAATGCCGTGTGGATCTTTGGGGGTGGGGTTTCGATTGCAGGAGGAATAGCTATGATGATCAGTAGGAATATCCAAGGGGGATGGAAGGTACTAATGCGACAGTGACATCGGGATAGCTCTATGCTTGGCTACTACTGCCATATGGAAGTCATAGAAAAGTTACATGGCGTGCAAGTTGGGTCGTCATGATGTATCTCCAGAAAATGATAGGGATAGCTCGGATATCTTTGCTGCCGCTCAGATATCTCTCCTTTACTTCCTCGCTCTTTTGTCTTTTGCCGTAGCTATTTCTAGTATTTCTGGCTCGTATATCGGTTCACCGTTCGCTGCAAGTCATCCACCGGCGACCGCACATGCTCGAATTAGTTTCACGGTGATTATCTGGGAGGTCCTGCGGTGTGGTCCCATATTTCGATGAAACTAACTTTGACCATGTCATCATCCAGTCCTTTGGCCAAGAAATAGCCGGTTGCGTGACTTGGTGTTCGTTGCGGCGCGTTATTAGCCATCTTGGCTGCCGGTTCGCAGGGGGTATATCCGCCAATAAATGGAAGACCCAGCTCGAATGCGTTGCAACCGTAATGGCACTGACGCTTGGGGCGTTGGATAGAGCGCCTAAGGCCAAGCAAGGTTCATAACCATGTGACCTATCGACCAAATCGGAAAGGGGTCGAATGGTTGCGACTTTCCTTCTTTTCATTCCTCTCCCTCTGCGGGCACTCTGTGAACCGATAAACATTAATATCATTCTACAAGAGGGCTCTTGGCAGAACAACAAGCGGGCCCATTTTTGGCTCCAATGGCGCTGATCTCCAATCCAAAACCCAAGGGCAAAATCCGAGGTGAACTTTTCGTGCCCCGCCGACAAATCGTTTATATCTGAACACATTTATCCCCCCGTAACGAACTCTGTCTTTAGGAGACTCAGACCTGCATGAAAAAGAACCCTGGCGGGAAAGCACCATCCCTAGTGGAAACCCGTCCTAGTCACCTATCGGGTTCCGACAAAATCGATGAGTCGAACCTGTGCTCTCGGACAACCAGCTGTGGACGCCTTGCAGGGTCGGCATATGTAAGCCAAGCTGCTAATCTTGGTATTTCCGCATGCGGATATACCAATGGCAGTTTCTGTGAAAAGAGTCTTCTTGGCCTCCCTCGGGATGACTGGCTGTGCGCTCTCGGCGCCAAGCTGCCGAGAAGTATTGGACCGAGTGGGAAAATGCCGATTGCTGTGCTATGATGCCAGAGGGGAGTGAATTGCTGTCGGAGCCTTGAGCCTTGAGCATTCTGTCCAACTGACCTTTGGTTATTATCATGATGATCCCAGCTAGCCCTTTTCCGGTCTCTTTGTATCGGGCATACCTACAGGGGAATGCCACTACTACGTTTCTCGGACCACATGGCTTACATATGTGCACTACCGCTGGATGAACCTGCATGACTCCGTCGGCGAGTCATGTTTCTGCTACTCGCGTTTGTCGTCGTAATAACCTCCTCTAGTCCCGCAGTGCCCTGTCAGTCTGTCAGCCATGAAATGCCACGAAGCGACTGTATACCCTCATGAAAACCAATAGACATTAATCCCGCCGAACTGTCCGTTCTTCGTTACAGAGGAACAGCCACACACCCAGCGACATTGGCAAAGTGGACCCTGGGTGGCAGGTTAGGTTTCCCCATTCAACTCGTCTGGGACTTCCAAGAACGCCACTAGGATGCTCTTGGGACTCCAAGCCTCTTGGCCTGGGGACAGTATGGAGTCAGTGGGAAAGTCTCTGGGGTAGGTGGTAGCTAATCTGGAGACGGGCAGTCATCATGCGGAGCAAATCAACTTGACTGGTCAGCAAAATGGCACGATGGCTACCCCTGTTGTTGTGCGGGCGACAGCTCTTCTTCTGGGCCCTTGGAGAGGTTAAAAGCGACGGTCTGCCACTGTCTGAGATTGTGTGGCCCCAGAATTTTCTCCTTCAGCTGCCTCTCATTTGCCTATCATATCCTGCACCTCTTCTTGGACATACTGACCCACGCCTTGGTCCTCTGATCTGCAAGGTGCTCCGCACCTAGACTTCTGCCATGGATAGGAAGATCGATGACCCCGAAGCACCTGCTTGACGTCTCAGCATCTTGAGTCCGCCGTGTCAGTCGAGAAACAAGATGCAGCGGAGACAGCCAGGGTTTGGTCACGGGATGTTATTAAAAATGATACTAACACGAAACTGAAAAACCCCCTCTCAGGATTGACTCGTGAGGAGCTTTACCGCGATGTCGAAGAGTTTGCTCGAGACAAAGATCTCGAGCACATTATGGAACACCTCAAACGGGGCGCGCTGGTGGCCCAAGACCCAAAAGCTTTCGAGGAATTGAGCGAATTGTCTGAAGGCGAGAAGGAACTCCTCCGACGTGAGAAGACGCACAGATGGAGTCAACCTTTCATGATGTATTTTATGACCAGTAAGCACCGCATCTCGTAGGAAGCGTTTTTGGTTTACTTTCTTTTCCCGTTTCCCTTGTTTTTTAATTTTTGTTTAACCCCGATGATCTATAGTTCTCTGCGCTGGTTCCGCAATTGTTCAGGGAATGGATCAAACTGCAGTGAACGGAGCACAAGAGTGAGTAAAGTCAACTGATTCAGGTGGTGACTGTCAGTCTGACAATAGCCAGATACTACTTTGTGGAGTTTAACATCACGAATTCGTGGTTGCAAGGCCTAGTGAACGGCGCGCCATATCTTTGTTCAGCTCTTATCGGCTGTTGGACTACTGCTCCGCTCAATCGCTGGTTCGGACGACGGGGTTGCATCTTTATCTCCTGCTTCATCTCATTTGCTTCCTCCTTTTGGATGGCAGCCGCACACACCTGGTGGAACCTCCTGCTGGGTCGTTTCCTGTTAGGTTTTGCGGTGGGTGCGAAGTCAACGACTACTCCAGTCTACGGCGCTGAATGTGCGCCTGCTAATATACGCGGTGCCCTGGTGATGATGTGGCAGATGTGGACGGCATTTGGCATCATGCTAGGCTATATCGCTTCTGTCGCGTTCATGAATGTGTCACATGCAACCATCCCAGGTTTCAACTGGAGGCTTATGCTGGGGTCGACCGCCATTCCGTAAGTTTCTTCCACAGGGCTGACCCACTCGGCAGCTTTATTCTGCGTGAATTAACAGTCCCGAGTCCCTTCTTTGTTTGTATCCAGGTGTATCTGTGCCCCGAATCACCGCGATGGTATATGATCCGCAACCGCTACCGGGACGCGTACGGGGCACTTTGCAAGCTGCGCCCATCGGAATTTCAAGCCGCGAGGGACCTTTATTACATTCACTCTGCGTTAAAAGTAGAAGAGAAGCTCCGGGAAGGAAAACACCTCTGGCGCGAGATGTTCACCGTCCCCCGTAACCGGCGCGCCGCCCAATCATCTTTCTTCGTCATGTTCATGCAACAGGTTCGTTTTTGAGCATCCCAAGCCTCCATCTGTGCCTCTAACGTCGTCTAGTTCTGCGGCGTGAACGCAATAATGTACTACTCTTCTTCGATGTTTCGGGACGCGGGATTTGATCTCCGAACAGCGCTTGTTGTATCCCTCGGATGCGGTATCACGAACTGGATTTTTGCTCTCCCGGCGGTGTACACAATCGATACCTTTGGTCGGCGCAACCTTCTGCTGACTACGTTCCCTCTGATGTGCCTGTTCCTGCTCTTTACCGGATTTTCGTTCTACATCCCCGATCAGACTCCTCGAACGGCCTGTGTCGCAACCGGTATCTACCTGTATATGATTGTGTACTCGCCTGGGGAGGGACCCGTGCCTTTCACATACTCCGCCGAAGCATTTGTGAGTAACATTTCTTACCTTCCTCCCGTGTCATCGACCAAAGCTAATCTAAACAGCCACTGTACATCCGTGACATTGGCATGTCGTTTGCGACGGCCACGACTTGGGGATTCAACTTCATCGTTTCGCTCACATGGCTCCCTCTGCGGGATGCATTCAGTGTCCAAGGGGCATTTGGTTGGTACGCAGCATGGAATATTTTCGGGTGGATTTTCTGCTATTTCTGCCTGCCGGAAACCAAGGCGCTGTCCCTGGAAGAATTGGATCAGGTCTTCTCCGTGCCTACCCGCAAGCATATCAACCACTATCGCGGCATGTTACCGTGGTATGCGAAGAAGTACATCCTCCGTCAGGATGTACCGCCGCAAAAACAACTGTATGATTACGAGTGACAGTTGCCCCGACAAGGCGTTTCGAATAACGGGGCACTCGGCTCACGCGTCCGGGGTCGATGAATGATGGTAGTATGGGTATTAAATATGGATTTAAGTAATGTGATGGATGTGATGGTATGACCTTTTGCACTTGTCGCCATTTATTCAGGGTAGTAGTAACTAATATGACCACGTTGAATTATCAATCCGAATGCGATATCTCCATTTAAGGTTTAAACCCTGACTTTTATCTTCTCCATGCATCCGACCGAGGTTAAGTAAACGGAGTCCGTTTCCCGTTAAAGTTTCCGGGGTTCAGCATCTGGATCGGCCTGGACGACCAGTGGTGTGCGGTGGAACTGTAGCCGAACATTCGAACGTCGCTGGGAGGCAACTATGATTGGTGTAGTACCTGCAGGAAGCCCCGGCCCTAAGGCACTCGACGGCACGCTAAGGCGCTCAACTGAAATTTTCTAGGTTAGTGTGGCTGACGATCCGGCGTCTTCAGGCTTCCTATTGGCCGGAAGGTGGCGGTGGCACTCCACATGGGCGCCACCCGGGCGGAGACTAATTAGGTAACGGATTCAACACACACTTGCAGAATATTCCCTCTTCTCCAGGCGAAGGTGAGTCAGGCAATAATCACGATGCTTTCCTGACGTCGAGCTTGATTCAATGGCGCTCTTCTTTCATTTCCCTTAGACACCGTCTTCCCCAGAGTGATCAATCGCGACCGGTTGACGAACGTGGAGCACTCCGGACCGTTGGTGTCACTGTGCTGTAGTATCCATCAAACTTCATTCTCCGCTTCTTCTTCACCCCATTTTTCTTCGGTTTTTTTTCTTTTTCCTTGTCTTTTTTGGTGTTTTTCTTTTCCGTGACCGCTTTCCTTTCTTTCCCGGTGCCCCTCTGCATCCGGCTGAGAGTCACCTCACGCTGGTCATTAGCCAGTTCAATATCAAACTCTTCCCCCGAAGCGCACTCATGGCTCCCTCACCGGATAATCATGGAAGCGCTGTATTGAGTGACATGAGTCAGGACGCAGAATATGATGTCAAGGACACGGAAAAGCAGCAAGAGGAAAAAGCCCATCCGGAATATCAGGACACCTTTGGTGATGAAGAATACGCCGAGGTGAAGTACAAGGTGTTGAGCTGGTGGTATGTTGTCGGACGATCTCAATTCTCAAATGATCCCAGTTGGCTGACCAGCTTTACACAGGCAATGTGGTTTTCGTGAGTAACTCTTGGGAGCTAGTGTTCGGGGAAGTGTACTGACCCTCATGAGTGATGGTCGCGGAAACGGTCTCGCTGGGGATTCTCTCATTACCCGCCGTGGTTGCTGCCTTAGGCCTTGTCCCGTAGGAAGCCCCATTCCCGGAGGATGCTCATTTCATATACTGACATCCATTAAAAGTGCTATTATTCTTCTGCTCGGCCTCGGCCTTCTGGCGACTTATACTGGCTATACCATTGGACAGTTCAGATGGCGCTATCCTCACATCCAAAGCATGGCCGATGCCGGCGAGGTCCTTCTCGGCAAGTTCGGGCGCGAGTTCTTAGGGACCGGTCAACTTCTGCTTATCATTTTCATCATGGCTAGTCACATTCTTACCTTTACGGTGGCCATGAATAATATCACCGACCACGGAACGTGCTCCATTGTCTTTGGTGTTGTGGGACTAGTCATCTCTTATGTCTTATGTTTACCGCGCACATCGGCCAAGGTGTCGTATCTCTCTATTGCTTGTGAGTAATGCCAGCCACTTCGAATTTCTAACAATTAGATTTACTCACACTCCACCAGCTTTCATAAGTGTCTTTAGCGCCGTAATGATTGTCATGATTGCGCTTGGCATTCAACGCCCATGGCACGGTGGGGTCCAGGCGACCGTCGACACCAGCCTGTACAAGGCGTTCCTTGCTGTGTGCAACATTGTCTTTTCTTTCTGTGCGTTTCTCTCCCGTCATGTGTCCTTTGAACCTCATTAACATGTATTTTAGCGGGCCATGTTGCCTTTTTTGGATTTATGTCCGAACTCAAGGATCCGAAAGAATACCCCAAATCTCTGTTCCTTCTTCAGGGAATCGATGTCTGCCTATACATCGTCACGGCTATCGTGATTTACTACTACGCTGGCCAGGATGTGACTTCCCCGGCTTTAGGGTCTGCTAGTCCCGTGGTGCGCAAGGTGGCCTACGGCATTGCGCTTCCTACTGTAAGTGCAATACTGATGTCAGTTCGAGAAATACTTTATTAATATCGTCATCAGATTATCATTGGTGGCGTAGTCAATGGCCATGTTGCGTGCAAGTACGTCTACGTCCGCCTGTTCCGTGGCAGCGACCGCATGCACAAGAAGGATCTAGTGGCCACCGGCTCTTGGGTAATCCTTATGTTGCTTCTGTGGGTTGTGGCCTGGATCATCGCGGAGGCGATTCCAGTCTTCAACAATCTTCTGAGCTTAGTCGTACGTCCCTCTGGTTGCTCTCCATTTCCACAATGAACCCAACTGACATATATCCTAGGCCTCTCTCTTCGCAAGCTGGTTCACCTGTATGCACTGCCCAAATCCACCCCCCAGCCCCAATCATCCAATACTAACAAACGGAATAGACGGCCTCAGCGCCACGTTCTGGCTCTACCTCAACAAGGACCGACTCTTCGCGACGCCCATGAAAATCTTCCTCACCATCCTCAATGTCCTTATTTTCGGAATCGCAGCATGCATCGTACGTTCTTCCCATGATATCCTGACTTCCCTCTTCGTTCCTCACTAACTCGCCTCACAGTGCGGTCTCGGCCTGTATGTGTCAGGCAAAGCATTGCATGATGACCCCAGTAGCGCTAGTTTCTCGTGTGCAAATAACGCTTGATCTTTTGCATTGTTCCAGCATCGGGCCGGAGTTGTTGTATTATACGCATCAATATTTGTATCTATAGATTAGATTTGTTTGAATGGATTCATAGCCCGCATGGCAAGCGCCCTTCACTTTGATAACGAATCGATGAAAAATGGTGGAATCCTCATCCGCTTCCCGTTACCCTACACGTGATTATGATCCACGCGCAAAGGTTATCCGTTTGGATGAATACTTACTAGGTAACTCGAGATTACATGGCTTAAGATATAACGCTCCTGAATGTCTCCGTATGGCGAATCGACCGGTGCTTGTGCGGCAAATGACGGCATGTTGAAGTTTGTACGATGGCTGTAAGTTTATTGGAGGTAATTGATTTGCAATTACTATGTTTAAGTTTAATAAAAAACATATTGTTAACGATAGATAGACATAAACATACAAGAAAGCTTTCGTTTGCCACGGTTGTATTCGTAACATACCCAATGACCCAACTGTATATACGAATCAGACCAATTTGGATTAGACAGGGTCTAAGGATATATACAATGGACACTTCAAGACAGTAGCCCTATCCATGTGGAAGTAATGGTGTTCCTTAAGCAGTTTGTCTGTTCTCAATCCTCTTGTCTTCAGAAACCGCCTGGCGAGCTTTCCTCCACCCTAAAAAGTCCTAGTAATGTCAAGAATAAAACAAAATCGCTATGATGATGATGGATGGTGATAAAGTGGGTTTAATACAGCTGGTAATGAAGCCACCTGCAGTGACTCTATAAAAGGACTTGAAGTCCATGAACATGTAGGACTCACTTCCAACTTACGTTCAATATCCATATCTGCTTAAACGAACTCTCTTTCGACTTGAATCTCCAAGCCTTTCTTTGTAGCGCATTTAACCCGCAATACAGAATCCAAATGAAGTAGATCAAACTAGAACAGTTCCAAGACTTGGGACCCACAATTAGCACAACTGCATCATGGCACGTTCGGTGCAGTTCCGGTGCACAGTCTATATGTTGCGACTTTGATGACGGTTGATATTAATTGACATTTCTCCTGGCCGAATATTTGCCGATCTAGCACGACAATTGGTGACAAGTTCTCCGCTCTCGCTGGACAGCATTCTTCGGCCGTGCATTAGCCTCGCCTTTCAATTCCCTGAAGCAAATGACGATCAGTAGTCTGACCACCCGGCTGATTTGGTAAATTGTTGTCTCACCTGTAGAGTGAGTAATCCCTGGAATTTATCTTATCTGATTGATAGCGACCTGATCAATGCCCGGATTGGTGGAAGGATCCCGTTATGGGTCATCGCGGCGGGTCGTTGTATAAATTATACCAATGCTAGATAAAATCAGGGCTGTTGCAGGTGGATACAGTCAGAAGCCGTCGTTGAAGGTTGTACCGACCTCGGGGATATCATCCCCGATCGGAGAAGCATATATAGACTGGCATGGATTCCAAGCTCGTCCGTGATACTCTCGCAGTTGTTCTTCTCAACATATTCGCATCCTGATCTTACATTGAATCTTTTTTTGTCACTTAAGGTCGACTCTTCCTTCACGATGCGCTTCTCCACTATCGGCATTCTCTGCTCACTCCTGGTGCTTCCTAGCTTCGCCAGCCCCGTCGAGACCAGGAATCCCACTTCTCTTGCCGCTGACACGAGCAGTAACGAGGTTAGTGCCCTTGGATAACAACCCTGCTGGCACATACCATATGCTCTCCCCTTCCATATATTTCCTCTATATATGCGCCCATGTGGAACCAAGGTGAAATACCAAACAAGCTGCTAACATTATGGTTATATAGTCATGGATCAGCAAACGCTGCTGCATCCTCTGTGACAACCCATACGCCAGGTGCGGAGCCAATGACAAACGCGAGGCCGTCGAGACAGAGGAAGAAGCTCTCTTTGGGCTGGAGAAGCGTTGCTGCATACTCTGTAATAACCCGAATGCGCGCTGCAAGCGTGGCGAAACGCCAGGACAGTGGCCTGAGAAGCGCTGCTGCATTAACTGCGATAATCCGTACGCTCTGTGCGACGGTACAAGCCCGTCTGGTGGGCGTCAGCCTGTTGATACGTTGAAAGAGGCTGTTGAGGGACTGAATTAGAATATTCGGTTCGCTATAAGCAAGGATGGGCATCTGTTCGATGTAGGGGCTAACCACGGGAGAATGGATGCATATGTGAAGCTAGATTGAGATATATCTGAATGCATTGCATAGTCATAGGCCATTCCCAAATTACTATATCAGTTGCTGTACTTTGTCGTACTTACCGTCGCACGTCCATGAAGACAGCTGAAGCTGGTCTTTCATATTTCATTAAGGTTCAAATAACCTTATTACGTACTATCATGCCAAGCATGGAGCTTTCAATGCTTGAGGGAGTCAAGCTTCACCATTGTGCCTGCTTTCAGACAGGTGTACCAAGTTCGGCCTGGTCGTGCAGCTCAGAACCATAGCTTAGCTGAAAGCCAGATCCAGAAGGCTCTGGATATACTTCTCAAAAGCATGAGTCATATCACATCCCGGTCGGTGCCTACAGAGTAATCTGTAGCCATGGTTGCGCTGAGTGTATACATATAACATTGAGCTCCGCTGATGCCTCGGGTGCTGGTCGAACTATGTGACGCCGTAAACGCATGACATATATATGCCTGGTTCCACCACAAGAGATTGCATGGTAACTTGACCAACAGAATTGAACTGTCAGATACAGTGTAATTTCATGAAGCAGAACATATCAGGACTTTCGCTTGACACGTTAGGCATAGCTCTAAGCAAGCTGGAAAGGATACTTCTTTCTGTTGTTGCCCAGGCTTATGTTCTTAAGGCTATCAATCCAGTATGGCCATTTTAGTTGGATATAATATGGCAGCAATTATGCTATCGAAACGGCCCTAGAGCCTCAACAACTATTGAAGGCCAAGCTACTCAACATACCCAGCCCATCTAAGGCCTTGAAAATCGAGGATGGGCCTCAGGTATCGCGAAAAGATCAGACCTAAGGTTACTGGAGTAGTTCTGGCCAGGGCTCATCAAAGAATCCCCTGGAGCGTGCGATCGTAGAGAGCATCAATGTGAGGAAGATAGAACTATTCGCACTTAGACCCTAGGTGTCGAGATTGGATACTCCAGCAATATGACTCTGAGATATCATTGCGATTCTTAGAACACAATCTGGGATGTCACGGCCTACCCTTGAGAAAGTCATTTCCAGGACAAGCGCACAAATCTTCCAGCAACGCTATCAAACCTGAGGCAAGTCGAGCCGAAGAGGATCAGTTGTACGAGGTGGATACCACATTTAGCTTGCCTCGTGCATTTTCTTCCTTTTGTTCCTTAGTTCAGTTTAGGTAGCGCCCTCACTGAGACATTCCTTCGGCCATTAGATGCTTCTACATCTTGGTCACATGTGTTTATTTACTGAAGGCTAGAACCCTGACGCTAGTAATGTTCTAGACCCATATATAAGTGGGTGCTAACGTGCATGATTATATATCTTCAAAGCACCTGCTGCCGTCCCCGGGTATACTCCCTACGACGAGAACGATTCCGTAAGCCATACTACTTAGCCATATCTAATTTCGGCGAATTATTATATCATCAAGGATATTTTGTTATCGAGTAGGGTTAATGAGAACATACGTGGGTAGTTATTCCCACGCTATGCCTGTTCCGGACACTCAGGCCATTGAATCACGTGGACCGAAGGAGAGCCCGACACGTGAGAGGCCGAGGGAGGTCCCGCAATGAAGTCAATGGGATGAAACAATTCCCATAAAGATCAATGGAAAGCGCCATGGAAAGCGCCATCCACGTCACTGGCGTTGAGGTTGTCCTATCTTGAGTTTTTTTCCCCGGCGGGAACGATGGAGCCACGAACGGCACGGAAAAAGGGAAGGGACTAGCGCATGCCGAAGCGGCGACCTGGCTTGCGATTTGACCCCGTACAGCCAGCGAAATTGGACCAAGATCCGATACGCAACCCACGATAACCGCTCGGTCGGACCGTCACAAGGCTCAACCGGGAACTGCAAAGATCGGCAAAGGGCAACCAAGTAGTACGTCGCACCGAGATGATGGCAAAACTTCGGCTACGTCAGGGTCAAGTGGTTTTCCATCTTAATCCGTTCGCTGGAAGTAAGAGAGAGTTCGGGAAACCTGGGGAAATCGTATCTCCCCATGGGCCCATACTGACTATCGCGGAGATCGCGGGGGGGGGGGATGAGAAGGCGCGAGACTACTGTGTACGATGTGCAATTTTCTGAAACTCAGCCGAGGCATGACAGGGAATCTGTAACCACATGGCACTCTCTAGATCCCATTCTGGTCTGGGTGATTTAGTAGGTCGCCTCGATGAGGTGCCAAGACGGTCTGTGAGTCGTCGGAAAAAACAAATGCCAACAGGAAGCTGACTAGCAGTGGCAGCTTGACAGAAAAAATTTCCTATCCAGGTGACTCTCCAGCGTGGTATCCGTGAGGCATTTCCAGTCCCCCACTTTCTTGGCGTAATCTCAGTGTGCCTGATTCCAGAGACTCCGCGTCGCCAAGATCTGGTACTCGACCGTTGAGGGCGTACCCAAGACTTTCAATGCACTCAAGCACTCTCAAGCACCGGGGGGAGAACACAGAATTATTAAGCCACATTGCTTCACTCGCCAAAGCTACTGCCAAGACGTAGTAGTCCATCGGCTTCTCAGACTCGTCCTTCTCACAGGCTCACCACGGTGCGCCAAGCGCAACCGCCCCAATCTTGGCGAATTCGGTCACGGTCGGCACAATTAATATGACCAATATCGATTTTTTTTCCGTCTGGAGAATCGTTTCTCTATTCTCTTTCCCTTTCCTTTTCCACAGTGGCTCGGGCTTGTTTCGCCTTCTGCCGGGATGTTTTCGGCTGACATGTCAGCTGTACGCTCCAGAGCTCATGTAGCATGATGAGGTGTGGGAAACCTTTGACTGTGAGGCGTCTTCACTAGCTCGATACTCCGTAGAGATCCTGGACGCCTGCTTCCCCAGGTGCTCTCCGCTCTTTGGAGAGGGCCATGGCCGCCACCCCCCATACCCCGAGGAGAAGGGTGCCGATTGGAAGGTAAACCGAGATGATGCTGTGTCCCGGATATGAAGAGCCCCGCTGTGAGCTTTGGGGCCATCGCCTGCTACGGATTGGTCCGAAGTTTTCGTAAGTCGCCGGGAAAATTTTGCCTAGCGCCGTGTTCGAAACTTGGCCCCAAGTTTTTGACATCATATTGGGGCAATGAGGCCTCTCCACAGTGTACACCCTGACTTGTGGAGCCGTGCCAAGCGCCAAGGACGCCCGCCAAGTGCCAAGAGGACGGATTCCTTCGCGCTTCGGGAACGATCAAAGCCTTCGCTGGACTTTCCCCTTTTAGTCCCAAGGTTGCAATACAAGTCCGATATTGAACTTACGCGATTGCTATAAGAACGCCGAATCGTGCTGTTCCGACGTCCTCTTTCCTTCCATACTACTTTTCCCTCAGGTTTCCTTGAATCCCCCCCCTTCCCTCCCCACCAAGAAACTGACGGCTGTTACTTGGTTCCTACCGTCAACATGTGGACGACCACCAGCGGCTTGAGTGGTCGGCCACTCCGGCTGAGCATCACCTTCGCTGCTGTCGTGGGTTTCTCGCTCTTCGGCTACAATCAGGGTATGATGGCCGGTCTCCTCAACGGCGACGAGTTCGTGAGCTCCTTTCCAATCCTGGCAATGCCTGAGAATCCGACTGCGGGGGAAAAACACTACATCGACGTCATCCGTGGTGCGGTCACATCCTGCTATGAGCTTGGCTGTTTCTTCGGCGCGCTATTCTCCATGTTCTACGGCGACAGACTCGGCCGTACTCGCCTGATCTGCATGGGTGCCAGTGTCCTCATCGTTGGCGCCTTGCTTACAACAGTCTGCTTCACTGGTAAATGGGAAGTTGGTCAATTCGTTATCGGCCGTGTTGTATCCGGTATTGGAAATGGCATGAACACAGCCACGATCCCCGTTTGGCAATCAGAATGTTCCGGAGCGCATAATCGTGGATTCCTGGTCTGCTTTGAGGGCGCGATGATTGCTGGTGGTACCTTTATTGCCTACTGGGTGGTCTTTGGTCTGTCGCACGCCGCGGATTCTGTCCAGTGGCGATTCCCGGTGGCGCTCCAGATCTTCTTCGCTCTGATTGTGGCCGCCGGTGCCCTGATGCTCCCGGATTCCCCGTCATGGTTTGTACTGAGAGGACTTGACAAGGAGGCTTGCGAAGTTCTCGGTAAGCTTAAGGGCGCATCTCCCGATTCTGATGAAGTCCTCCATGACTTCAACTTCTTGAAAACCGATATGGAATCCTCAAAGAACTCCCAGTCAAACTGGAAGGCAGTATTTACATTTGGCAAAACGCAGGAATTCCAGCGTCTTCTTATCGGTTGCTCTGGTCAGTTTTTCCAGCAGTTTACTGGCTGTAACGCTGCTATCTACTACTCTACGCTACTTTTCCAAGAAAATCTCCATATGGAGAAATATCTCTCTCTAATTATGGGTGGAGTCTTCGCGACTGTTTACGTCATTGCCACGATCCCATCCTTTTTCATGATTGAAAAAGTCGGCCGCCGGAATCTATACTTGATTGGATTTCTCGGCCAGGGTCTGAGTTTCGTGATTACATTTGCTTGCTTGATTAAGGAAAACGAGAACAACGCGAAGGGTGCCGCTGTTGGTATCTTCCTCTTTATCACTTTCTTTGCATTTACCCTCTTGCCACTGCCCTGGATCTACCCACCCGAGATCAACCCCCTGCGGACCCGGACTGTCGGCGCGTCGGCGTCAACCTGTACCAACTGGATCTGCAACTTTGCCGTGGTCATGTTCACCCCGCTTTTCGCTGGTCAGAGCCCATGGGGTGTGTATCTCTTCTTCGCCCTGTTTAACTTTATCGGCTTGATCTTCGGTTTCTTCTTCTACGTGGAGACCGCCGGGCGTGAGCTTGAAGAAGTCGACATCATCTACGCCAAGGCCCATGTCGAAGGGAAGCTGCCATTCAGGGTCGCCAACGACATGCCTAAGCTCACCTTCGAGGAAATCGTCCAACAGTCTCGCGAGCTGGGCTTGGATGCCAATGATCACGGTACCCCGGAGAAGAACGAGCTTGGCCTCAGCAGTGACAGTGGCCCGGAGACCGAGGAGGTCCAGGAGAAGCACTAAATGCCTTTTAGTGGAGGTGTTGTAGTTTTGGATGAAGGTGATGAACATATGTGAAAGTGGTTGTATCTAATGTCTTTTTGACTGTTCTGTGTATTTTCGATTCCCCCAAGTGATTTCACCGCACGATCCGCACAATAGCCAGGCCTCTGGCAGCTACTACGTGATATTAATTGATAGAGCCAATGCCAGCTATATATTACAGACCTTGTCTCGCGCACCCTATCGAGGATAAAATCATAACCGTAGAAGATAGTTAGACCCGAAGGTGTATTCCATATATTAGTTACTAACATATCCTGTAATCGAGGACATTGTCAAGCGAGTTCATTCCGATGAACCGTTCTACGAACCTGCGGAGCACATTAGGAAAGATCAGGGGAGCTGTGAATCTCTTTCACTTGGGAAAGCCCAAACTCGTTACACCTCAACAAATCTCATTCAGTAAAGGACGTTGGGCCCGTTAAGAAATCATCAGACGATACTCCGCGGCCCCTAGATCGTCACCTCCCCATACTTTTGGATACGGACCCGTAACGGCAGCAAAAAACTATATCCATTTCTTGCTTTAACCTCACCATACCTATTTTGACATCTAGCGATTCACAAAGAAACAAAATGTGACATCAGTGGCATTCGGCTCGCTTTCCTTTTTCATAGATCGTTCTTAAAAATTTGTGCTGACTAGTATCTCGGCAGATATCTGCCTAGATCTTGGCCCCGAAGCCAAGGGCCACAAGTTGCACTGATTACCCACAGATCTCCCCGTCGCCCATGTATCTGCCCGAAAGATTCTGCTCCGTATGTGGATAATTCCACTTACTCGCGTCTAACGCTCGTTGTCGTCCCACTGTCCCCTGTTGCCGAGGGTTCGCCTGTTAGCGTTCCAGTGGAGAAGAGGAGCTCTCGTTGAAAAACTTTTCATGCTGCCCCCATGTGCTTAAATCTTGGACGCCGCTTAGGTCATGTCTCGGGCCACCTGCTTCCACGTACCTCGGTGACATATACTCCGCATGCTGTGGTCTATGCTTGCTTGCTTTATCCCGATTGTCTACTTCTTCTAACCGACCCCCGAGACTCTAGTGTAGCCGCCGGCTACCCTCAGACCGCGGGTCGCTCCGGGAAGAGATCGACTTTGTCTTCGCGGAAGGTTTCCTTGAGGATATGGCCTGCGTTTGCGCTGCGTGGGAGCTGCCGTACTTAGCCGACGAGCAGGTTGTCATCCAGTATGGCTTCGGTGGTCCTGGCCAACAGGCTCCGAGCGAGGCGAAGAGTATCGCCGAGTCGGACGGTACCGACTCGATGGCTGTCAGGAACAGCGACCCTGGGAAGAATAGAATACTGTACCCACTGGTGGCCAACAATGATTCCAGCCTATGAGACAAATCTTTGAGTCATGCAGGTGGATCGTCCAATGATTACCCTTTTTGATCTTATGGAATACCCCGCTGCGGATGGTATAGACTGAATATGTTAGTTGAGATTGTGCAGTGTTGGTTATACACGAGATTAGCATCTTTTGATATGACTTTACTGTTGTTGGCTTGGTAGTCATGTAGAAACAGTAGTATAGATCAATAACAGTTGCTAACTACACTAATTGTCCCGTCTTCAAGAGCAACTGCAGTACCTGTGTACACATGGTCTATGCCACACCCTTCAGCTTTGCTCGCCTATCACACCTCGTGCAAGTGGCCTGTTCTTTTGTACGTTCTGATTTACCTTCATATCTTGGATTGCAAAGCCATCTGTATGTTTATGCAAATTCCTAGTCAAGTATCTGTGATCGAATGAGCCCTAGTAGCAACTGATCTCGGGCTTTCCTTGGGCAATCACGAATGAAGTGTGTCTCCAATCGGAGACCGCATAAGCCACAAGCTCTTATTGCAGTGCATCAGTACCCCCGAGACTTCATGCAGTAGTGCCCCAGACCGATTTGAACACTACATGCATGGACGGCTGCATTAGGGCCGTGTAGGATCAACCTGCCATTCGAGGACAATGCACTGCGACTACAATTCGTTTGCATCAAATAGGATCTCAACTAAGCAGCAATGCAACCCTATCCCCCCTAGAGCATGTCATGCATCTCAGAGCCAGTCACATAGCATCCACAGGACTAGGGCTCCGAGGCCCAGCTGCGACGTAGTAGCTCTATAGGGTTCAAGGAGTGGAGAACTGCTACACAGCACAAGCCAGTCCCTCTCACTCCTGCCGCATCTCTAGTCCTAGTCTTTATTCCACTTAAAGTTCCGATCGCAAGCTGTTGGTGGATAACTGACACTGCCGCATTAGGCAATCCTAGCCCTAACCCCAGATCCCCTTCATTGACCCCTTTGTCCGTACCACCTCCCCATACACACATACATCGTCGCCTCTACCCCTCGAAATTGTGATTTCCAGTACCTATTGCTAACACCATTGAGATCAACAATGAGGCAACCAGGCAGCCGTGTTTCAACGGGGCTTGGATGACGTCATCCATGCCAATCACTGCGATAACGAGATGAAGTATCGGTGAACAGCTGGAGATTGCCCCTCTTTATATCCAAACAGTCCCCCCGCCTCTCAAGCCACAATCAACACTCTCTGATAACTCTTTTCGCCGGACGAATAGAACACCAAACACAATGCCCGGAAACTTTGGCCAGAAAATCCTCAAGACCTTCGGGTTAGACGATAACCAACATGGTCAGGGCCAGGGCCAGCCTCCACAGCAGTACCAACCACCGCCACAGCAGGGTTATCCAGGCCAGCAGCTGCCTGGCAACCGCCACATTGAAGATGGCGATCGAGCACTTCACCCGGACAAGCACGGTACATACCCCCGGCTCGCCAGACTCGGTGACGGGTCGTTGCTCGCCTCGTTCACCCACTTCCAAGGGAACACACGCGTGCTGGCCGTATCGAGAAGCACCGACGGCGGCCGGACGTTCGAGGACTGGGGGGAAGTGACGCGCGGCGAGGGCGACGTCGACAACGTGTTTCTGCTGGAGGTCGCGCCGGGGACGGTGCTGGGGGCATTCCGGAACCATGACCTGGGGCCTAACGGGCCCACGCACTTCCGGATCACGGTGTGCCGGTCGATGGACGGCGGCAGGAGCTGGCACTTCCTGTCGCAGGCGGCGGAGAAGAGCCCGCCGCACGGCATCTGGGAACCGTTCATGCGGCTGGGCCGCGGGGGCGAGGTGCAGCTGACGTATTCGCTGGAGTTCGCGCATAACAACCAGAGCACGATGATGGTGCGGTCATTCGACGGCGGTGCCACATGGACTCAGCCGCAGTGTCTGCATGGGGACTGTGATCTGTTGCGGGATGGCATGAACGGCATCGCGCCGACCTGGGATAACGGTCGCGAGGCGTTGGTGATGATCTTCGAGACCACCTCCTTCGGCACATTCAACTTGGAGGCGCTGATTTCCTACGACGACGGCCAAACTTGGGGCTGGCGTCACCGCGTGTATGTCCCGCCGCAGGGCCACAATGCTGGCGCCCCCCAGATCGCCTCCTTCGCTGATGGTTCGCTGGCGGTTATCTTCATGACGGACGAGGACCACCAGGAGGTGTCGTGGACGAATAATGCCTCCATCAAGGTCGTCTTCGCTGGACCCCCGCAGAACGGCCAGATCCAGTGGACCAGGCCGTCCGTCATCTGTCCTCATACTAGTCACTGGCCGGGTATTGCGCCCGTGGATGGGAATACGCTGTTTGCGACTTTTGAATGCGAGGGACGCCCGAGGGCGAAGGCTATCACTCTGCACTGAATATCTGGTTGAGCGTGGGATGTTTGATCTAGTGAGGGGGGAGGCGAATGGTTCTACGAGTAGTTGTAGAGCAACTGCCAGCAGAAGCTACTATGAATCAAAATCACATACTACCGCTTGACAGAGTGTCACACTTTGAAAGTATTACAGAAGACGTAAAGCATTGTATAAACCTGACACGGCAACATTCAAGTAGAGTTCATTATACGGCGTATCGATCAACTAGCACATTGACTGGACAAACCCGCTATAGGTTCGCAACCAACTCATCGACGCTCTTCATCTCCCTGGCATTGTTCTCCCCAACGTCCAAAGCAACCAACACCCGGCTCACGCAGTTATATCCCGCAATACCGGTCGTCAATTCGACGATCTCACGATCCGAGAAACCCTCTGTCTGCAACTGCGCGAAGGTCGCATCCTGCACCTTGACCGTCTGCGTCATTTCATCCGCATACTGCACGATCGCCTTTTGCTGGGGAGTCAAGGCGCTTTGTGCCAGGGCCTCCTTGGCTTTCGATAGCTCGGCAGCTTCTCCGACCACGGTGGAGGGGAGAGTCCGCACGGCCTGCAACTCTGGCGCTTGAATTCCGCCCTTCAATGCCAGCGGGGCATGGGCATTCCATTCGTAGACTGCTCCAGTCAAGACCGCCACGCGACAGACGGCGAGTTCGAGGAGTCCCTGGTCAATGATGGTGCGGGTCCGGATGGCACCGAGGAAGCTGTTCCAGCCATCAGCGACCGGGGGCGAGTGCAGCAGGGACAGATCGAGCGGGATGAGAGGGCGGGGGTTGCGACGGGCTGCAATGCGGGCGTAGATGTCGGCCGCGTCGGGGTCGGATGCGGGGGGTTCGGAGGGGGCGTAGGGCAGACGCATTTTCAATGGGGGGATCGTGGAGAATCTGGGGATGCTCGTCAGTATCAGTGTTATCCGCCGAGGCCGAGGATATACGTCCAGAGAAGGTGTACTACTGGAACGGGACTTACCCGGGGTTGGCTCTATTGGCAAGTTTTGAGGTTGTTGTTCGGTGTTGAGTCACTGATTTGCAAGGGGACAGTCGAAGCGGAAAGCCCCTCATGCTTTTGAGAGCGTCACTTGGGCTTCATGATGGTGATTGCTTGACCAGGTGGGGATCTTCTCTCTCGTCTTCTCTCCTCATTTGCGTTTATCCGGTTCGGCAGAACGAAACGGATATCCACCAGTCAAACAGGACAAACTCGCTGGACAAACAGATCAACACACGTGATTTTGGTGGGCGATACACGCTAAGCCTATCGAGGAAAGGTGATCGGTGATCCTCGACTGAGAGTGCGAACGGAGTCGACAAAGTATTTACCAGTCTGCCCAAATGCCACTCTTTGACGCCCAAGTCTTGTCGTAACTGAATGTATCGATTCCGCACACACCCACTATGATATTAATATACCTTGACTCCGTATAGTTGCCGGTATGGGGGAAGATCTTGTCCCAAGGTGTCAGTGCGTAGAGGAGCTGAATGATAGCCAGCGAATCGGGCTCTACTGACCCCACTGCAGCTGTAGAACACAGTAGATATTTAGCTATCTAAGAGGGGTTCAGCTCACCCCATCTTTCAACGTGTGCCTTTCCATATTCTTATACAACGATGACTCACCACATTGCATTCACGCGCGTACGCAACGACACCTCCCAGCCGATTTATGCGGTTGGCTTGGCCCATAAGTACAGTAACGAGTACCAAAATAGCGACGAATGGGGCATCATTGAGCCCGGAAAGTCTAGCCCTACATTGCCAGTTGATTACACCATGGGGTGGGGTCACAGCCCTCGCTGCAAGACCTCTGACGGCTGCATTCCTCGCCCCAACCACTACGACTGGATTCAAGCAGCATATCTTGAGGGAAGAAGACGCCACTATCACCATCAAATCGAAGTCGGCATTCCTCAAACCGTTTCCTCCACGAAGGAGCTGTGATTTAATCCTCTACTGACCAAGTCTCCTGTATAGAAAGCGACCCTTCTTTTCGTGGTTAGTTTAGCTCCCCGGTGTATATATCGCGATAATCTAGTCAATTGGTAGCTGGCTGTTCTAATACCAAGAAAGATGGTGATATTGACCTCAGGCGAAGATATATAGCGGGATTATTGTGACCCATTTGTGACTTTAGGTTGTTAAGCTTTTGCTTTACCATGTTTTTTGGGGTTTATACAACCATATGTAACGGCGGGAGGCAATATAGGTCACCCCAGAGCATTCTAGATCGTTGATCCACAATTATTATGATCTTTTGGTCTTGTGGAATCCAGTGCCCTAGCTACATCTCTTATACCATAGTAGATGGGATTACTCATATCTGAAGCAAAGTTTCTTTGCAGTTTTAAAAATACGCTGCTTGAATTCCATACCTTGCAATTACGAATGAATACAAAGATCGATTGCAGAACGTGTGCTTCCTCCAGCAGCTGTAAACCGGGGCTAGTATCATGCAAGGCTCGATAACATCATCCAGGGTCACTAACAAAAGTTTTCGTCAGCCGTGCTACTCTGATCCTTGGTTTCATGTATACGTCGGAATAGTCCCGGTGACCTCTGATAAGTAGACTTTGACCGACTCCCATAATGTCTACCATCTCATATGATACTTTTTCGTTTTCCTACTTGCCAGAGTTGAGAGTTACTTATCTATTCGCATACGGTCTATCGAGAATCATGAAATACATCAGGCTTATGTTCCAGTCATAATGGTTTGAGGAGACTGTACGAAGCACACCCATCTTACGACTTTTGCAGAAGCGATCATGATCGAGACAGAAGTGGCAGTAACGGTGAAAAAGCGGGCACTTTCGTCAGGCTAACTCGAAGAGGGTGGGTTGTATTCGAATGGTACACTGAAGGTGCATTAGTATCCTGTATAATACTGTCCACTATAACTCTCTAGTGCCAGTTGGCACTCTTCAACATATTGGCCGATCATACAATCCATATCTAGCAAGTGTCATGCGATAGACGGCACGATGCCCTTTGGAGATGTTTTTACGATTGTCTCGGAGATGCCTTGTATAATCACCGCCGAGGAAGCTATGGCGTCCCCACCAAAATGAATATCGGAATACAGGCGGAGTTAACGGCCGCTAAAGAAACCCAGGGACGTTTATCCAGGCTATACAGAGTACTATACGATGCATAATCATATGCATAGGACCCTTTCCTGCCCCTGGCCCCACGTGGTTGACCATGGAAGAGGTCACGCTTTACGCGGCTTGAAGAGCCCTAATTCATCCTAATTCGAGTCTTCCGCGGGCCCCCGAGTCCTAAGTAGCTGCTTAGCACATGCCCATTTTTCTTCCCTTTAACTTCTTTTTTGGTTGATTCTGTTTTATCTTACTTTGCTTTACTTTGCTTTTCATTTTCGTCTTTTTCAGCTCTCTCTCGAGTGAGTTTTCATCCTTTCCGACACAGATGAAACATTGGCGGAGGATTGAAGTCGGTACGTTGGATACGCCGATATACCTCCATATAGTATGGGCTACTATCGTGGGAGCTTCTGCCTCGGAGTTAATAGTCAGATTAGTTATAGGCGAATCTGGACATCCGATAACCGAACTGATTAGAAATGCGAACGGAGTAACATGGACCAGATGAATTTTTACTGCGTATATTGCGCCGATCCCTATTTCTACCCGTCAGCAATACCACCCTGAATTATTGGTGTGTGCAGCGTGGGGCCGCTAAAGATCGGGTACGGCGGACTAAATCGAAGTTCCCAGCAAGGTAAAATATGAGCCGAAATCTTGGTATTTTATATAAAAGCCACGACTACTATATACTTCTAAATCTATTTACCACCAGATTTTAAAAATAGTGTTGTATTATCTCTAAATATTACTACTACTCCCGGAATACTACTACGGGGTGCTGATAGTCCCTAAAAATAGGATACTGGTGCCCCCTAAAAACAGAGTGCCGGTGCCCCCTAAAATCAGGGTACTGATAACCTGTAAAAACAGGATATTGGTGCCCCCTAAAAACAGGGTACTGGTATCTTCTGAAAACAGAATACTAGCAGTTTGTAAAAGACTATTTAAGACAGAAGAAAAGACGGTATAATAATGTCTTGGAATTGGACTAGTCGATAATCCAGAGCTTGATCTTATATATAAAGAATATAGTTGATTAAGCAGTATAGCAGATCTCTACACATAGACTTAATAGATTAATAAAATTATATATTGGTATTGGTAAAGTTGGTAATATTTTACATCGTCTGGAGCTTCGATTTAGTCTACCATAATCGGGTGTTCCTGAGATCCACCGGTAGGCTTTTCTTGGGTTGCCTTAATTCTCCCAAAAAGAATACCACGAAAAATGATGTGGCTCACTCAACCCTCCAGGGAGTCTACGAGACCCTGTTTCGATGACAATGGTTCCCATCGTCGCCTGGTTGATCATGACACCTGAATTGATTCGGAATATTTTGCAGAAAAGCCTAAATCTGCTAAGTTCAAATAATGCATGCACCAAGTGGAGCATCAAACCGGCCAGAAAGTTGACCCTATTTCGTGCCGCTCTTCGGATGCACTAGGATGGTGGATCAATTGAGTAATCAATCATGATCGCATGCCTTACCTGGATACGGAGTTTACTCCAGTTATTTCCTCAGCTGAGCACTCCCGTATCGGTAGCACGGGTCAACTTTGGATCGCAATGGTTACTAAGGTGCTGCTCCACAGCTCAGTATAAAGAAAAGGAGAAGATGCCCTCGAACTCGTGAGTATCAGTGAGATCAACTCCCCACCATTGAGCACAAGACATCATGCGCTGGCTTCCCCTGTTCGCCGTCGTCGCGGCCGATATCTGGTCTGCAGTGACAGCCAAACCTCTTCTGCCAGCCGAGGACCCCTGGTATGACCAACCAGCGAATATCGCCTCCTACGCGCCGGGCCAGACGATCCGTTCTCGCGAGTTATCGGGCAGGCTGGCGCCCTTCCTCCCCCTCCCAGTCGACGTGGCGGTTGAATCGGTGCATCAGTATCTGTTCCGGACCACGGACAGTTTGGGAAACCCAGTCGCCGCAGTGAATACGTTGATTCAGCCCCGTAATGCGGATCCGTCAAAGCTACTTGCGTACGCGCTATTCTACGACTCCTCCAACCCGGCCTGCGAGCCCTCCTATACTCTTCAGCCAGACTCGGATTCTGGTCTTGCCGGAATTCTATCCCCTAACAGCACTCTGACGCCCGATGCTGCTGTTGTAAGTTTAGGAGATTCAAGCCTTGGCCACGATGTTCAGCGTGACTGACAAAACTCGCCAACGAATAGTTGGCCGCCTCCCTGAATCTAGGTTGGTGGGTCGTGACCACAGACTACGAGGGAGTGAACGCCCACTTTTCAGCCGGTGTGATCTCCGGTCAGGCGACTTTGGACGGTGTTCGTGGAGCTCTAATGGAAGCCCCCAAGCTCGGCCTGTCAAAGGACGCTCGCTACGCCATGTGGGGATACTCTGGCGGTTCGATCGCCGTGAACTACGCGGCAGAGTTGCAGCCAACCTACGCACCGGAGCTGAACTTCGCCGGTGCCGCCGCGGGAGGCAACATCGCCAATCTGAGCTCTACTCTCCAACGAGTCACGGGCGGGCCGTTCGCTGGACTTGCCTTCGGCTCTATTGACGGTCTGTCCAAGGCCTATCCGAATGTCTCCGAGTGGCTCGACCGGTCCCTCGTTCCCGAGAAGCGAGCGGAATTCAAGAATATTGCCAGCAGCTGCCTGATCGGTGAGGGTACTCAAGGGTTCCTCCAGGATGTCTATTCATTTTTCGTGAACGGCGAGGATTCTTTCAATGAGGACGTTCCTCAGGATGTGATGCGCCTGGCTGGACAGATGGGTGTGCGCGGAACCCCCAAGATGCCCATGTACATCTACAAGCCCGTTCACGATGAGATCAGCCCGGGGGCAGACACTGATGAACTGGTGGACACCTACTGCCGCGACGGTGCCACTGTTCAATACGACCGGGATCTGGTCGGGGGACATGGTAGCTTATGGGTGACTGGCACTGCCAATGCCATGGGATGGATCGCCGATCGCCTTGACGGAAAGGA